GCGTTTGCCATAGGCCTGGCACGGGGATACCATCCAGTGCTATTTGGATGGAGGCCAAGTACCCAGATATGCTTGAAGTGCTAGTTAACATAGGTCGATATCAATATTTCTACAAAACTCGGGGGGTAGTTTTCATCTATTCTTTAACTTGGTCCATCCACGTGTCCCTTTTAGTCGGTGGTTATTTGTCGTGTCCTCATTGCCATGGTTATCATCATCTAGCGGCTTAGCTGCGAGAGAACTCGCGGCGTCACTGAGAACGCCATCCATCACACCTGAAGGGGATTTTGTAGCTGCCGGAGCGGGCTCCTCTTCTCCTTCCGGGAGAATATGCCTTTGGGAATATTCGTCCTCCCATTCTGTTTTGTCGAGTAACTCCCACTCTGCGCTCGTCATTTCTCCCAGGAGAACGGATTTCAGCTTGTCAACGACCTTCGCTGTCGAAGGCTGTTTCCACTTTCTCATAAACTCCGTCCCTTCTGCGCTTCCAAGGAATGAGTGCGCCGTTCCATGAGAATAATGGCCAAGCATGGGCGAGGGCCTGTTTCGTTGGATGGTTGGTTTGGAGTCATCCTTATTCGAACTGTGAAGTTTTGCCTGGGTATCACGGTTTGAGAGCACTCTGCTTATCGCTGACACATGAGACGGCTGGGCAACGAGAAGCATCCATAGGTTACGACCGATATCATACACATCCTCCCAGGAATCAACACCAACATGTAGTCCTTGAGTACGACAAAGCCAATAAATGTTCCAAGCTAGAAGTGCAACTCCTTCAAGGAACAACCCATAGGTCGCAGGGTCTTCATGTGCAAGTTTTGGTAGAGATTTGTTGACATAAAGGGGCCGTGGGCGTGGAGGTGGCCTAGTATCGGTAGTTCGAGAAGCTGTGGGACTCGAAGACGATGATTGAGAAGGCGATGCACCAGGAAATGCTGTTTCTTGTGATAAATATGAAGATGACGGCGGAAATATAGTGGGTAGAGGGTAATTTCGATGGGGCAGCGTGATCTCTGCAGGTAACCGTAGGGAGAGGTAATGAGAAACGAGGACTAGGAGGTGGGAGATGTAGGTAAGGGATGTGGTAATGAGAAGATGGTTTGCGCCTGTACATTTGACTTAGTGATTTGGCCAACAGGGATGTCACTCTACGACACGCTTACTGTTCAGGTCTCTGAGATCCACAATGCTAACTCCTCCGATCGTGTAAACGGCAATGAGCTCGCCATTTTTCCGTCTCGTCCTCTGGCGTAAGCGATAAAGATTCGCAACTTCGCGACACAGGAAAACTCGAGACTGTGCAGTTTTATTATGCAAGCTATTCCATAAGTGCTCGGTTCTCTTTATGCTATCTTGTACTGTAGCCAACATTGAAGCTCGTCGATCTGTTACTTGATATGTAGCGGATTCCATATCCGATCGTCGCTGTTTGAGTAATGCCTTGCGATGGGTTATGTTTTCTTTCCCTTCTCTTATTTCCTCCCTCAACGTTGTCATGCGGTCAAAAATATCTGATGTCCTCACGGTCGACTGCGAAACACGACTTTTGGCAGCTTGAATGGCCCAGCGAGACGGGCGCTCTTTAGCTCTCAGGTCGCCTAGACACCCATTCTCCACAGATTCAGTATCGTATGTGTTTTCAGTCGCCACTGCAGCTTTGATTTTTTTCCCTATAGCTTCCTTTTCTAATAAAACCCTGGCGTGATCGAAGCGAAGAGGATAAAGCTGGTTACGGGTACACGTCGGGCACAGAAGGTGATGTTGGGAGTTAGGCCCACGATCACATACGTGGCAGTTCATAACCGGAGATTTCCCTAAAGGTTATTGAACAACTGTCCAACAAATATAGTCGAGTTCGCATGCTCCCTCCAATATCCCTCAACAGGCTGGAACTGCTGCGGGTCGAAATGACGGCGAGAATGAGCACAGATGTTATTTCATGGGTACTAGATGTTCATAATTCGGGCAGAGAAGCGACGGCCAGTAGCTCAACATATATGGTATTTAAAAAGATCCACCTATCTCCAACTAGATCCATAAATGAAACAAGAGGAAGCCAACCCGCAAACTGTGCATTTTAAATTCTGTTTGGTGGCTCGAAGTCGATGAAGGAGCCGAAGTTGCCTTGAGGTACTCGGACAGTCTAGATGATGTCACCTGATGGCAGACGAATGTTTGCACTGTTTGCACTATCGGTATTGTTCGACCACTAGCTGCCTCGTGCACAACTACTACTCGAGGTCACATTGGGAGATCATGTCGATGGTTCAAAAGACGACAATTAGCAGGGGATACGTTACGCACACGAAGTCATAAGTTCTCATTGATACTACTAGTACCTAAACGGCGTGGCTCAGTCTAGCCACTCTTGACGCATCGTGACGCGAGACTGAAAATAAGGTGCTTTTGATATCGAGATATCACCATGTCGAATGGGCATTGCAGTTCACCGTCGCTGATACCCCGCCCTGTTGCTGTGAATTCAGTGCGCGAGAACGAAATTCCAGATGCGAGCTCCAATACTGAAAATCTTGAAGCTAGTGCAGAACATATTCCTCAGGATGCAGCTGAGGACGGAGTAGTCGATGAATATGAGAAATTGGCCCTCTCTCTTCGCGATTGTGATTGGGAACAACTGCAGAAGGAGTTTGCAGACGCGATGGACGAGCGATCCCAGGTAGAAATGGCTCTACACAAAGAAACTGCCGAACTACTTGAGGTTGGTGCTGTATGATTCCTTCTTCAGACATAGGAGACATTAAAGATATATGACAGATGTTCACCGCATGGTCACAAACGACAGCATACCGTGACGAAGATAGAGCATATAAAAGGCAGGCTCTGTCCCGATTGACTTCCACAAAGAAATAGAAAAGCTGATCTGTTATTTCTTCCTGCTAGGTTTAAAACACGAATGGGTTTCGCACAGACCTCTGAAACTAAATTGGAGGAGAAAAAGAAGCACTGTATGGCCATAGCTGCTGGATAAACAGAATAAACATGCTAACATCATGTAGATGCGAATGTCGTAAGAGCCTTTGAAAATGCACTTGCTCTCCTCCAGTTTGATTAAATGCAGGGCTTCCCAGCCGAGGTGGGAGGGTTGGGTGACATAATCGCATTTATTTGTGTACTCACCGCCTTGCGTCATTCTGCCGACCACTTTAACTTTACTCTTAGTGGTTGTGCAACTGCTTTTGACTTGCTGAACGTCTTTCTATGCTATATCCGGTGTATATCATACATGATATATGGATTATGGAGGGTAAACCATCCGAAGATGATGCAGCCCTTTTAGAACGCTTAAATGCTCTGAAGCCATCTACTGTCCAGCTGGGACAAACAACGTTCGTAAACATTCCAGGAGTTTAGTGGTGCAGAATAATATTTCTGATTAACCCTTTGTAGTCTTCCATTTAGCCTATCGGACATAGATGTGGACGAACCAGTCGATGGCTTGTCTGCACGATTCATGAGACTTGATACATCCGCTTCGCTTGGGACATCTGAACTCCGGCAAGGCAATCTAGATCCCTATATCAACTCCGGGGATGAGATAGAAAATTTACTCTCGGACCTTCAAAACAAGATATGGGAAAAATCTCAGGAGCTAGACAACGAAAACGATGTTGTCAATTTACTCAAGAAAACCAAAGAAGTCCTAAATTCTTCTTCCCAATATCAAGACTTAAGAGGTACTCGTGAATATCCACCACAGTCAGAGCCCTCCAAAAAAAGCGACAGTGGCCATAATTCGGAAGATAAAGACGCAGATGATTATCTCCAAAGGATTCTTGATGAACTGGGCGTGGAGGACCACCAACAAGCAGAGGCAGAAAAGCAATCCGGTTGCGCTGCTAAGGAAAATTCAATGACTGGGCTAGAAACAGCGCCAACGAACCACTCCGCATTAGATACGGAGCCAATAACAGAGACACCCGTCTCCCTACAATCACCCCTAAATCTGCCTTCAATTCCATCAGCACTGCCGCCCCCACCACCTCAAGAAGCCCGGCCCATAGCCGATTCCAGCTGCCCCACCCTGCCCTCCGCCCCTACATTCACGCCTGCCGATAACTCTATCCATATCACCAACAGCCAGCGCGGCAGGCACTGGAAGGGCATCAATGATAACCTGAAGCCATTTTGGTGTTGTATTTGCAGCGATGATGCGAGCATAAAATGCGTTGGTTGTGAGTCGGAGTTGTTGTATTGTCCCCGTTGTTGGCGAGAAGTGCACGTGGAAGAAGGAGATGCGGAAGAGAGAGCTCACCGGGTGGTAAAGTTTGAGAGGGATAAATCCTGATTTTTCTTTTTTCTTTTTGTTGGCATTATTTGAGTAGAATTTCGAATTTTGTTATGTGACATAATGCTTTGATTTTACCACTTTCAAAATAAAAATTTACCAAGATAATTTATAAGTAACTATAAATCCTAACACTTTTTTACTTTTATATAGAAAGACTGTAAGTCAATAACTATATCTTGTTATATATATTTAGAAATTGGGGGAGATTTCAACATATCTTTTGTATATTTACCCTATAAATTAGCGGGCCTATATTGATCACAGTTTCATATAAATTAAGTATATATTCTTAGATATTCCTGACAATATAATATACAAGTTAACGTCATATTTAAAGTAAAACTCTCGTACAAGAGGCTGATTGATTTCTCTTGTTGTATGAAACCCTGTTAGTTCTGGAAGTAATGCAGACCTCCTTTGAGGTCCATCAGCGAAGCACAAGATCAACCAATACCCGGGTGCAGCCCGAAATACCTTGTGGAAACCTCTTCAATGAGAACCTCATAAAGTTGCTAGCCAATTACTTGAAATAAATAACCCAACTCCGGACCGGTGGGCAAATATACATGCCTTCAACCCCACAACTTACCCTCCAACCCAACCTCTCCAACCCAGCCTTGAACCGCCCTTGACTGAAAATCTCACAGCCGTACATTGCTACTTGGATATCGGGAACCACAATCCACATGAGGCTTCCAACATCCCATCGCATCTCCCGAGTCCCAAGCTAGTCACCAAAGACACAGATGCAAATAAAACCTATCCGAGGAAAGCGGTGTAAAATAAGTCATCGAGTTTCTCGACTTATGAAGTATATGAGGTATTCTTTCTCTCCATCACGCCCCGGTCGGTTCATTCACGAGTTCCCCGACCAGCGGAGCCAGATACTTGAGGCGATCTGCTCGCTCGTCCCGTTATATCTTCCCACGTGGCCCCAAATCTCCTCCCAGTACTTGCCAACAGTCCTTCTTCCTCTGCTGCTTCCGCGTCCTCGTCGAATTGCTGTTCGTCTAACTTCGGTGTTCGGAATATTGTGACGAGGAAAACAAGAAGAGAGAGCCCTAAACAGTGAAATAGAAGAGGTTTGGTCGGTTAGGCATTTAATATTCTATTTCGTTGACGTTTTGTGAAGATAGCAGCCTGTTCGGCTCAGGTTATATATTCACTTACCAAGAAAGAAGAACTGCGCCCAGAAGTCGACTATACCGAAAAATGGGAAATTTAAAGTGATACGGTTCAGAAATGTACTGACGACCGTGGGTGTGCAAATTTCCTTGGCGGTCGGGTTTTCTGCTAGTTCAGAGCAAGGCTTGATAAGTGGTTCCAGGCCGGTACAGTCTGGCTGTTCCCCGGGGAGCTTAGGTGGGTGGTCACAGAAAGTCTGTGGACCGTACGTTGCATATTGTGGAGCGACTGCCATAGAGATCGAGTAATTGAGTGCGAGCGTGATCAGAGTCAGCATAACCGTTGTGATAAGGAGCGCCTGCGGTGACGTATGGCCCTTGCGGAGCTGGAATATTCTGACCCATAAAAAGCGTATTCCTGTCGTTGCAATTCCAACGACGGAACTGCAGAAGAAAAAGAGCACTAGGAATACGAAGAGGATGTAATCAACCGGGAATACCTTGGCAGAATGGACGAATACCCAGTTAACCGGGTTGAGGATGTTGGTTTTTCCTAGGATATAACCGCAATTCTGTTTGCAGATAGAATTCATCGCCTTGTCAATACTAGTCAGGAGCATGGAGACCCAAACCAACATAGCAATAGCAAGTAAAAGCAAGCCACTAAGAAGTTTAAGTGGACGGAAAACAGCTGACAGCTTAAACCACGCATTCAGGAGCCAGCTCCCGCTGGGCCGGCGAGCTTCTTCTGCCAGACGCTGCCGTCGTCGTAAGGTCCGCGCTTGGCGCACCAAAGAATCAAGTTCCCTTCGTTGTTTCGAGGGTAGGCGATCCGGATTTCCACCGCAGCGACCTTCTAGCTGGCGTTGGCGTTCTATGTTCTCTTCAAGCCGTGAAGCTGTGTTCGCACTAAGACTAGGGCTGGAAATGGCTGGGGCCGACTTGATAAAAGTGACGGGTAGCAAGGCTAGGCCGGTAGATGTATACAAGACATACACCAAAATACCAATTGTAATGAGCAAGCCGAGAGCAAAGGTTAAAGCTCGTTCTCCATCTGAAATTTGAAGCCTTAGTATGTTATGTAATCAAAATTACATTCAGATCATAGCTATGTTTTTGATAGAAAATTAAGGGAACTTACGATTTTCTGTGAGCAGCCTTCTGAAATAGTCCAGATCAAGATTGGGTTCGTCCTTTCTTCGGCCAACGGGGACGAAGAATCCAACCAGAAATAGGATAACCGTCAACAGAATGAAAGCCACAGTGTATTTGAAGGCACCCCAAAATCTTTTCCTGAAAGTCTGAGAACCGTCCTCGCTTGCTACTTCATCATATTCTTCGTACCAGAAGTAGGTGAAAGGTACCACCAGCAGACAAAGCACCGCATCGAGGGAGTAAAGAAAATAATAGGCTACAGTTAAGGAGAAGGTAATCTTGTCGACCTCATCCTGAGTCGCCCAGGATTTTCGTCGTCCTTCCCTAGATGACGTGGTAGAAGATACCAAAGCCACATCGACTGGCAGTAAGAGGACTGTTGCTAGTAGCGCTGTGAGGGTGAATATGCAAACCGTGGTGACGTATGTAGACCTTTCACTCGGGGTTTGGTAGATGTAGATGAAAATGGATGCCACAGCGACGAGGAGGAAAAACACGATCGCGTATACTACCCATATCAAAGAAGATTGTAGTAGTGCCATATCGAAAGGTAGTCTAGAAGCTTGAGGACGGAGATATCCACTCAGGGCATTGGCAAATTTTCCTAGCTACATGCAAGGCGCGGAGAGTGCAATGATTTGGGAGGAACGGTAATTCAATGCGAAGTTCATTGAAGGTAGAGAGGTAATGTGAAACCAAAATCGCATCCTAAATCTATCAACAACCCGAGAGTACACATGTATTGGATGAATATCAATCAAATCTTGGTCGTTGTTGTTGCTCTGTCGTCATACCTGATACAAGTTTGATCATGTGATATAGAGCAGATTTGAAGAGCCCCAGTATGGTTAACGCTAAGTCTAATTGGGAAATTTTGAGGACAAACCTTGAGCTTCAAAATTATTCGACGCAGAGAGCCAGCAATAATTCCCGAACCTCATCCATTTGCCTTGTCTTGTTCATTGTTGCGTTTCTTTCCGTTGCAATAACAATTCCCATGGTACGATAGCATATTCCTGTCTGGACTTCGCAATGCGAGTCTAGCTCTCCAAGCTCCATTCCAATATTTGATGAGTTGAGAGAATGCAATGTTATACCGAGCTGCTGCCCCCTTCAGGGGTAACGCATGCTCTGTCCGTTCCTTTCCTGTCGGCAACATCCAACAATCTGATAGTGGCAAAAACTACCCTCCTCCAGGTGTTTAATCTGGTTAATGTTGTCTACGGATCTGGTCCTGGCCAGCCAGATGAGAAAATTCGATCACAGTACACCAAATTAGTGCTGGTGGCTGAATATGCTCTCTCGGGTACCATTACAGATTTGGGTCGAGTGAAAATACTTGACTCCAAAAGCGGTGGAGAAGCTGTTCTTGTCGCGACCCGTAACGCCAAACTTAGTCTCATCGAATGGGATCCTGAAAGACATCAGATTTGTACGACCTCCATTCATTATTACGAGAGGGATGATGTAAACATAAGCCCTTGGACGCCGAATCTTGCCAGCTGTCCCAGTTATTTGACAGTTGATCCGAGCAGCAGATGCGCGGTACTCAATTTTGGCAAAAAGAACTTGGCTATTTTGCCATTCCACCAGGTGGGCGATGACCTGGTTATGGACGACTTCGATTCGGATGTTGAAGAACCGCATAGGAATATGAATCAAACGGCGGAAGAGACGGACGAGGCAAATAAGTCCAATGGACCAGTATTCCAAACTCCGTATGCATCGTCCTTCGTTCTCCCAATAGCAGCTCTAGAACCCTCAATGCTTCACCCTATAAGTCTAGCATTTTTATACGAATATCGGGAACCTACATTTGGCATATTATATTCGCAAGTGGCTACATCCTCTGCTCTGCTACATGATCGAAAAGATGTAGTCTTTTACTCGGTTTTCACGCTAGATCTAGAGCAACGCGCATCTACTACCTTACTCTCGGTTTCCCGCCTCCCAAACGATTTATTCAAGGTTGTTCCGTTGCCTCCGCCTGTTGGAGGAGCGCTGTTGATTGGATCGAATGAGCTAGTCCATATCGACCAAGCGGGCAAGACTAACGCCGTGGGAGTGAATGAATTCGCTAGAGAAGCGTCTAGCTTCTCAATGGCTGATCAATCTGATTTGGAAATGCGCTTGGAAGATTCTATTGTGGAACAGTTAGGAGCGGAAAATGGCGATATGTTATTGGTATTACTCAATGGCAAAATGGCGGTACTCAGTTTCAAACTTGACGGGCGATCGGTATCTGGAATATCTCTGAGGCCGGTCCCAGACCAGGCAGGCAGCTCTCTCTTAAAGGCGAAGCCGTCTTGCTCTGTTCCAGTTAGCAGAGGCAAAATCTTTTTCGGCAGTGAGGAAGGTGACTCTGTATTGATGGGATGGTCACGTCCATCTGCTAGAACGAAGGATCCACGAGCACAACGAACGGGCGAGGGCAACATCGCCCAGCTCTCTGACGAAGACGACGACGATGAGGAGGAGGATGATGACGATGATGCATATGAGGATGACCTATATGCGACACCAATGACTACAGGAATTAAAGCCCGAGATTATGTATCCGTGAACGGCACAGGCTTCAACGATTATATTTTTCGAATCCATGATCGCCTGTGGAATCTAGGTCCAATGAGAGACCTGACCTTAGGACGACCCCCTGGCCCGCGAGATAAGGATAAACGCCAGCCTGTCTCCAGCATACTAACAAATCTAGAGCTTGTCACAACCCAGGGATATGGCAAAGCTGGCGGTCTTGCAATCCTCAGGCGCGAAATAGATCCTTTTGTCATCGATTCATTGATGATCAAAGACACGGATGGCGCACGGTCTGTGTATGTTAAAGACCCTAAGCTGCCTTCTCAAAGTGGGTCTCTTCCATTGAATCCTGGTAGCAACTATGACCACTACCTCCTGTTATCCAAGTCCAAAGGCTTGGACAAGGAGAAATCAGTTGTGTACAGAATGAGCAGTGGAGGGCTAGAAGAAACCAAGGCGCCTGAATTCAACCCCAACGAAGACCGCACTATTGACATTGGAACACTTGCTAGCGGGACCAGAGTGGTGCAAGTTCTCAAAGGTGAAGTACGGAGCTATGATAGTGGTAGGTTCATGTGCTTTTTTTTCACTTTTATGATTAGCCACTAGGCTAAAATGAGATATTAAGAAATCACCTCGTTTTTGTCTCATGATTAATATGAAAGCGACCTTACTTCACGTATGGCATAATTAACTCGTGGTTAGGCCTTGGGCTCGCTCAAATATTTCCTGTGTGGGATGAAGATATGAGTGAAGAAAAATCCGTCGTTCATACAAGTTTTGCCGATCCCTATGTTCTGATAATCCGCGACGACCAATCCATACTGCTCCTTCAAGCGGATGAATCTGGTGACTTGGATGAGGCAGAAACCGATGGTATCATTAATTCAACAACATGGATTTCAGGATCGCTTTACCAAGATAAATATCGATCATTCAACTCATATGAAGGGCCGCCCAACATGAAACAATCGGATAACGTCCTCTTATTCCTCCTTAGCTCGGAGTCAAAACTCTACGTAGGTAGCTGCAAGTACTGATAACTTAGGATTAGATTATGCTAATTAGATTTGAAGGTATTCCACCTTCCGAACGCGAGGGAGCCAGTGTTTACTACGGAAAGTATTGATCTATTGCCCCAAATACTTTCAACAGAACCTCCCCCAAGACGAGTAACCTACCGCGAGACCATAACGGAGTTACTCGTTGCGGATCTAGGCGATTCTGTTAGCAGATCCCCTTACTTAATCGTGAGTTATCCCAATTTTGGGACAGAACCTTCTATCTGGCTTTAAAACTTACCAAATTCACAAAATTAGTTGCGATCCAGCAATAGCGATCTCATCTTATACGAGCCATACCATTACACCTCTTCCACTGAAAAGCAATTCTCTGATTTGCGGTTTGTGAAGATCGCTAATCATCATTTTCCCAAATTCCATTCCGAATCAAATGTGGAGAAACATCCTGCGAACTGCACCACGCTATCGAAGCCACTGCGTGTCTTAGGGGATGTTTGCGGCTATCGAACAGTGTTTATGCCTGGGAATTCTCCTTGCTTCATAATAAAATCTTCCACAAGCATTCCACATGTTATGAACCTCAGGGGGAAAACAGTCCATTCGCTAAGCAGCTTTAATATACCTGCATGTGAGAAAGGGTTCGTCTATGTCGATACCGATGTAAGTATCTTTAGTTCATCTAATCTTATGGACAAGTAGCTTACACTCATTGTCCAGAATGTTGTGCGGATGTGCCGATTTCCTAGGAACACTCATTTTGACGGCTCCTGGGCTGCGCGAAAAATTGGTCTCGGTGAACAAGTGGATGCCGTTGAATATTCCTCCTCATCCGAAACATACGTCATAGGAACCAACCAAAAAGTCGACTTCAATCTACCAGAAGACGATGAAATCCATCCTGAATGGCGAAACGAAGGTATGATACAATCATGTTGATGTAAACGTGGTCATTCCTAATTGAAATCTTTAGTGATATCCTTCCTTCCCCAGATCGACAAAGGGAGTGTTAAACTGCTAACCCCAAGGACATGGTCTATTATTGATAGGTAAGAGAATCTCGAGCTAGTCTACGTATTCCTGTTAACAGATGTCCAGTTATAACTTGCGAAATGCGGAGCGTATAATGTGTGTCAAATGTTTAAACCTTGAGGTGTCCGAAATTACACATGAACGTAAGGATACGATCGTAGTAGGTACAGCACTCACGAAAGGAGAGGATATTGCCGCCCGTGGTTGTATCTATATTTTCGAGGTCATCGAGGTCGTTCCCGAGGTTGACCGACCGGAGACCAACCGGAAGCTCAAGTTGATCGCCAAGGAGGAAGTTAAGGGAGCTGTGACATCTCTCTCTGGAATTGGTGGTCAAGGGTTTTTGATTGCAGCCCAAGGCCAGAAATGCATAGTCAGAGGCCTCAAAGAGGATGGGAGCCTTCTCCCGGTGGCGTTCATGGATATGCAATGCTATGTTAACGTGCTCAAAGAGCTCAAGGGTACGGGCATGTGCATCATGGGAGACGCCTTGAAGGGCCTTTGGTTTGCGGGGTATTCCGTGAGTTTACAAGATTCTAAACAACGATTTAGCAGGAAGGTCTAACAACAAATTTATAGGAGGAGCCATACAAACTGTCTCTTTTCAGCAAGGATGACGGTACCCTCCAAGTGATGGCCGCTGACTTCCTTCCTGATGGAAATCGCCTGTATATACTGGTCGCTGATGATGACTGTAACATACATGTTTTGCAGTATGACCCTGAAGGTGAAATTGTTTTTCCCTCCCTTTAATTTGACGAAAATGATTCTAACAAGCAGTCCCAACAGATCCTGGTTCTTCCAAAGGCGACAGATTACTGCACCGCAGCACCTTCCAAACAGGCCATTTTGCCTCAACCATGACCTTACTCCCTCGAACAGCAACTTCATCATCACAAGGACCAGACGCCGACCCGGACATGATGGATCTTGACTCCTCTGGGCCCCTTCATCACGTACTTGTAACATCCGAAACCGGGTCTATTGCACTTATCACTCCAGTTTCTGAAACGTCATATCGACGCCTCTCAGCGTTGCAATCCCAGTTGACCAATACGCTCGAACATCCTTGCGGACTTAACCCTCGTGCATTTCGAGCTGTTGAGAGCGACGGGATTGGTGGACGAGGTATGGTTGATGGTGACCTGGTGAAAAGATGGCTTGATTTGGGCACTCAGCGAAAGGCGGAGATTGCAAATAGGGTGGGTGCAGATGTATGGGAAATTCGTGCTGATCTGGAGGCAATTGGGAAGGGAGGGTTGGGATATTTGTAAAATGTTTTTAAAATATCTTTTTCCTACCCCTTCCATATCTGGTAGTAATGCCTAGGTTATATATTTAGGTGTCTAGAGACATATTTCTGATCTAGGAGGCTATATAATACATTGAAGAGGTCGATCGAATTCATTTGACCAGCAAGGTAGTTGCAACGTAGCATTCTATATAATTTTTCGTGCTGATAATAACAATCGATTCCCAAATATCAGCCTCGCCCTTTACATCTATGTAGAAGCCATTGGTATCTCGACACCACCATTTCATGATCTCACAACACTGATCATCGCCTCGTCAAGTAGTATCATATGAAATCTAGAAAAAATGGGAAGGAAAAAGTGAAAAGAAAAGAAGAACATGTATAATATACAAACTAGCCAGTGATTAGCTAGTGCTGGCACACACACCCTCCGCTGCAAATCTAGAATACCATAAACCGTCACTCCCGCTACCCTCATTTAGTCAAATCACTCAGCCTTCTTCTTCAGCGTCGCCGATAACTCCCGCGCCTTACTTTCCAGCCCAGCTATTTCCTCTATTCAGAAAAGAAAAGGCAACAAACTATTAGTAAAACAGTCTTCTCTGGATCCATCTTTTGTTTAAAGAATATTATTCACAACAAATAAGAGCGAGAGGCCAATTTCAGAAGGACTGATTTTCAAGCACATATAGTTGGGAAATAAAAAGTAACGTAGCCCATTAGGAGAGGTTGATGGGAAACTTACTATTTTTCATCACCTTCTCTTCATCAACCTCCAGCCTCATCCATGCCCAATAGATAATCTGGTACGTGAGGACGCCACCTAGAAAGACCTTTGCAAAGGCCCGGCCGAAGTTTTTGTATATGCTTGTCTTTCAAACGATGGTATTAAGCACGCGCCGAGGCGTTTATCGAGGATGTTAGCTACAAACAATAGTAAGAAGGAAGGAGTAAAATGGAGGGGAGGGGAGGGGAACAATAGCAGCATATAAAAGTTCATAAGAGAGAAACTGAGGGTAACGAATGGCTTACGTGGGCTGAAGGTGCATTGGTGGTTGTGGATTGTTGCGTGCTATCATCGTTCAGGTGTGAAGGCGTAGAGGTGAATGTTCGCCGAGTTAAAGACGATCGGACTGGATACTTTACAATACATGGTGATGGGAGTCGAGCGGCTTTTCGGATCCAAGGGCGAAACATTGTCGCCATCTGGTTTAGACTGGATGAGGGGTATATAACATTTATGTGCTGAGAGATCCGCTCGGAGTTGGCTCTGGACCGGGGCGGAAAAAGCATTGGCGGAAATCGAGCGGAAGAGCCAAGACTTGTCCAATATATTCACGTGATTGGAATATTTTCCCGAATTGTTGAAGATGCTTCAAGGTTTAGTCTCATGCGTGGTCTACAATGTCAAAACTAATTAAAGACAAGGTTGCACGGTCGACGCAAAGAATCCCAGAGGGCTTTGTGAAGCTAATAATCCTATGAGAGACTCCTTTTGTAACAGAATTCCCAAGGTGGATGAGGATGAGAAAAATCGAGATACAAAGCTCGAGAATATCCGCTGGGAGTCGCTTTCCCCATTATACTATGAATCCCCTTTCATCAAATTGATGTTGCAGCCCCAACAAAGATACAGGAGTTGCTGATGGGTTCAAGTTCTTCAACAACAGGATACCTAGATGCTCCTTTCTACCAGCGGCCCGCTCATTGCGACAGGTTCTCGCGGAGCTTAATACATCTGGAAGAAATACGCTATGCAGGTCGTGACTACTTTGAGCTGTTTCCGCGAGACTTGGTTGCCATCCAGTCACCCGATTGAGATGGGCTCTGTTGAGGAGTCTTCAATGCCCACATTTGCATAAATATTAGTACCTTCCAGTTAGGGTTACCGTATGGTTTCCGGAGCGCGGTATCTGGACTGGTACTCTGGAATCACGCATCCATGGACAAATTCTTGCTTGGGGTAGATTTAGGGGTGGTCTGTAGATAGAGGAAATCTTCAATATTAATAGCATGCAACACTGGGACCTTAGAATGAAAGCAGCCCGCAATCGACATGAGAATGGTATGCCCCCCATTTAATATCGACAAGACGCCTTGCTTTTAGATTATTGAGTATCTTAGTAGTGTCGGGCCTACTGTGGAGTTGCGGCAGTACTCTCGGCTTCAACTGACATGGAAACTTCTTCCGACAAGACCAAGTAGATGCTTGGGAAGTAGAAAAGCAATTACAGGATTCATGGATTGTGTATCACGTGACAGTACTGGACCGAAACACCGCCCGATTTTGCAGGATGAGGTGCGGAGTGACAAACCTAAGGGCCGATAAGCTTGGTTTTTAAGCGCCAGGGGTGACGTCGATCACCCCATTTTTTTTTTCTATCTGGATATATTTCTCAATGAAAATTAAGGTGGTGCCAGGGGAGCAATGGGGCCATCGCATTCTGACTGAAAACCCACCAAAATCCTGTTCGCGGGAACGTGCCAGCTAAGGAGATATGTGTTCTGCAGCAACCCCGCTGTGTTTGAGGTGTATGTGGTATCTGGTGCTTGAAGACCGATACGCAAATGATGGAATAACGGAGGCGCAAACCAGCTCTGGAGAGAGCATCGACCGTTTGTTTGGCTTCAACGACCAGAAGTCTGCAGCCGGGGACATGGCGCTAAACCGAGTTCGGACTTAGAGTGCCATTAGTCATGTAACGCTAGGCTTAGATGGGACTAGTCCCACTGGATGAAGCAACCTTGGAAAAGAAGCCCAAAACCACCAAGGAGGCTCCAAGCGTCGTGAGAGCAGGAAGACAGAGAGAGAGAGTCGCTGCAGCAAACTTCTCTGAATATTCTGATTCCAGTTTCCTCTTCGACTTCCGCTGTGCGGCGATAAATTTCTTTTGCTCTGTTCGAGGACCGCTAGAACCATCGGGACCTCATAGGACATTCAAACTGCAATCATCGCATCGATCCCCGGACCCCAATTGTTCCGCTGACTCGAGGAAGAGCCCTGGCCGCACTGGTCGATGAACCCCGTCTTTAGTGTTCGAGCTTTGGGAGGAGTGTAAATGTTTGTTTCATCCGGCTGAACCTATTGCTCTCCTACTCTCCGTCCCTTTGCTCCTACCTCACTCCACCCTTACACTCTACCGCACTGCTTGTACGTGAACCTTTCAACTTCGTATTTTTTTTCTTTTATTGTTGGTGGAAGAAATTATTCCTATCTTTAGAGGCATATAGCAGGGAATGAACCCCAATGTCCGAGTGTTCTACGTTTACTGTTGCTGATATTAGCGCTCGGAAAAAGGGCTCCCCTACGGTATCCGGACGCGTGGAACATCATGCCTCGCGCTTCGAAACGCACCTTGGAGGAGATCGTGTTGAAGTCAGATTCCGACGATGGCGATTACAGCGATAGCAGGCCGCGACCTGCGCGAAAATCCACTACGGCCAAATCCAAATCAAAGAAACGGCCTACCAAAAGGCGGAGGAGAAACTCGATGATAGATGATGATGACGATGATGAGTCCGACATCCTCACCAGCGAGGATGACATTTCTGCTGAATCTGAGTTTGATGAGGACGACCCTACCCTGGAGCGAAACGCTCGAGGATCAATAAAAAGGAGTGCTGCGAAAAAGGCCAACTATCAGCTTTCGTCTACAAGCGATGATGATGAAGAGGAATTGGAGGAGGAGGAGGAGCACGAGGACGAGGACGAAGGAGAGGCAGATGAGCGGGATATGAAGGGGAAATCGCGAAATAATGACAAAGGCAGAACAACAAAACGACTACTGGTGAAATTTCCCATCGCAGCCCAGTCCAGCAATACTCGCACCACTAGGAATACCAGGGGTCGAAGCGCCAGCAAGGAACATCCGGCACCCACCGAATATCAAGGGAATAGGCGAATTACTCGCCGAACCTATGATGAGACTGAGGATATTGTTGCTCTCACCGGTTCTGGACGCCACGTGGAGACAGTACGTAAGGCCACACGCAGCCCCGACGCCCTTCCACGGACACGCAGGGGCACTGCTGTGCCCGCCCGTGCCCCCTCCAAAAGTATCATCGATGAGGAAGATGATGGTGATAAGGTCCCTGTTGAACCGGTGGCGTCACAGATTGAAATAATGGAAAGTGACCAACACGGAGATTTCGAGGAAGACGCACCAGCTGTGGCTGCGTCAGATAATATTCAACCCTCAGCGGAAGCAGAAGAAAACGTCCAAGATAAAGACGTTGAAATGGGTGAAGAAGGCATTATACCTGAATCGGACCAAGGCGGGGAAAATGAGGACGAAGAAGAGGAGGAGGAGGATGCTCCACGGTCTAGTAGAAACTCTCGGGCAAGTCGGAAGCAGAATATGGCACTTGAAACAGTGGAAGGGGCAAGCCAAGCTACTCGCCGTTCGGCGCGCAAATCTACGGCTCGAAATTCGCGACAACCACAAGACGATGGCAGTGATTTTGAACCCAATGATGACGAAGCTAATGATGAAGATTTATCTGAATCTGAAGCATCAGCCGCTTCACCACGCAAGGGCAGCCAACAAAATATCGAGGAGGTATATGAGAGTAGTAATGACCGTCGATCTAGGCTAAGAAAGCGACAATCTCATTCCCAAGGAAGAGTTGAGTCGGAGGCAGGTGAACTCGCAGAAGAACTTGCAGAGCTGAGGCCTGAACGCCGCCGCCGGAGAGTGCAAAATGAAATAATCTATGAAGATAAACCACGACGCACTCGGAAATCTGTGGACTATAGAATCATCCGACCTGAGATTGCTTTGCCTATTGAAGAAGAAGACGCACCCTCCGGCTCTCCTTCCCGCCGCGGCCGTGGAGGAGGGAGCGGCTGGCAGAGGACTCTCTTTTCAACTTATGGCCCCTTTGGTGGCGCGGGAGGCCGTCCGCCACTCCTAGGGGGGCCAGCGGGTACTGGTGCAGCAGGTGGAGCGGACAGCGACAGTAGCGACGACGATTCCGGCCAAAGACCAATGGTTGGTGGGATGGCAGGGATGACCCCTACGTCAGGCCCTGCATCGGGGTTCAATGTTGCAGGCCATGCATTCGCACCGGACAATGCTCCTGGCTTGTCAGGCACTCCAGCGAATTTCGGGAAAGTGAAGGATAGGCAAGCTCTGGCTGACGCCGACCCTCTGGGTATCGATCCAAATGTCAATTTTGACAGCGTTGGGGGCCTACAAGGTCATATTGACCAACTCAAGGAGATGGTTGCACTTCCTATGCTCTATCCGGAGATTTTCCAACGGTTTCATATCGTTCCGCCTCGTGGAGTTTTGTTTCATGGTCCTCCTGGCACTGGAAAAACACTTCTAGCTAGGGCTCTCGCCTCAAGTGTGAGTTCAGAAGGCCGAAAGGTAACCTTTTATATGAGAAAGGGGGCGGATGCTCTCAGCAAATGGGTCGGTGAAGCGGAGAGGCAACTCCGTTTGCTTTTCGATGAAGCTCGCAAGACGCAACCTAGCATTATCTTTTTCGATGAAATTGATGGTAAGTTCTTTGATGGACGTTTAACAATTAAGTACCCTTGCCGAGAGAATCATTACCTGATAGAATTGAAATACAGGCCTTGCGCCCGTCCGATCGAGCAAGCAGGAACAGATCCATGCGTCTATTGTCTCCACTCTCCTTGCGTTGATGGACGGTATGGACGGTCGAGGCCAGGTTATTGTCATAGGGGCAACGAATCGACCTGATTCTATAGATCCTGCCTTGCGACGTCCTGGGCGGTTCGATCGCGAATTCTACTTCCCTCTACCTAATACTGAAGCCCGGCGAGCGATTTTGGATATCCATACGCGGGGATGGGATCCTCCCCTTCCTAACGAAATCAAGGATGAATTGGCAGAGCTGACTAAGGGCTATGGTGGTGCAGATCTACGGGCTCTATGCACGGAAGCAGCCTTAACTGCCGTGCAGCGAAGGTATCCGCAAATATACAGGTCCAATGAGAAGCTCCTCATCGACCCTAAGAAGATAGAGGTTTCTCCGAAAGATTTTATGATATCACTCAAAAAGCTGGTACCCTCATCGGAGAGGTCCGCATCATCTGGTGCATCGCCTTTGCCCTCCATTGTTGAACCCCTTCTAAGAGTTCCGCTGCGCGACATAAAGCAAATCCTTGCAGAGATTCTTCCTCAAAAGAAGAGGCTTACGGCTCTGGAAGAGGCTCAGTTTGAAGAGCCGGAGGATTCGGTTGGGTTCAAAAGGGAACGGATGCAGCAAGAATTTGAGACTTCACGTATCTTTCGACCAAGATTGCTGATCCGAGGAAATCCAGGAATGGGACAGCAATATATTGCGGGAGCACTGCTCCATCACTTTGAGGGGCTGCATGTGCAAGCCTTTGATCTTCCAACCTTGATAAGTGACTCAACGAGGTCTCCTGAAGCTAGTGTAGTTCAACTGTTTACAGAGGTGAAACGACACAAACCAAGTGTCATCTATATACCCAACGTACAAACCTGGTACGAAACTGTGGGACAAACAGTTATTGCAACATTTCTCGGCTTACTACGTTCGCTTCACCCAACAGACCCTGTGTTACTTCTTGGTGTCCTTGAAGATGATGGCGACAATATCGACACGACGATGATGCGTGATTTCTTCAGCTTTTCCAAAAAGAATCGATTTGACCTTCACGCACCCGAAAGCCTCTGGCGACATGAGTTCTTTAATACTTTGATAAAGTATGTTAAAAGTGCTCCGCCAGAATTTCCTGACTCGGAAAATAGGAAAAGGCGTAAGCTCGAAACATTAGAACGAGCACCCCCTGCTCCTCCCCACCCACCCGTACCTCCAACAAGGCAGGAGATAAAGGCGCAAAAGAAAAAGGATCGGCAAACCTTGAATATTTTAAAAATTCGAATTCAACCAATCATGGACGAGATTAAGAAGTATAAGAAATTTCGGGCTGGCGTCATTGACGAAGCACAAATTATGTACCTGTATGAGGAGGAGGATCCGAATGTTGTGACGACTGATGTACCCTTAGAGCACCGTACTACTTTCCGTCCGTTCGAAAAGGATGTGGACAAACACGGTGTACCAGGTTTGCGCGAAACTGTATCCGGCAAGTTTTACTACAACATGGATATCGTCACGATCGAGAAACGGTTGTCGAACGGATATTATAAGCGGCCGAAGGACTTTTTAGCCGATATCAAGAGGATTGCGAAAGATGCCCGGCAACTTGGTGACCAGGATAGGCAGTTGAAGGCAAACGAGTTACTCTCGAATGTTGAAGTCGATATCGGGAACCTTGAACAATCGGATCCTCCACTTGTGGCTGAGTGCGAACAAGTCTACCTTCGTGAAGTCGAACGTGAGAGGGTTGCTCTTGAAAAAGCGAAACGGGTTGCAGGCTCAGATGGTGCCATGGCCCCTCCGCCAATAATGAATGTTCCCCATGGAAATACGGAGAATTCGAACCAGTCGTCCGGCCCTGTTGTCCTGGGCGAACCATTTTCAAATGGTCGTCTCCCTCTACGGAGGGAGCCTGCCACCCCTCCCCGACCATCTCACCCTAGTACGATTACAAATGGGTACGGGCCAAATAAATCTAGCAAAGATGCGGATGAAGACGTGACTCGACCTCTCACCAGCAACGGATCTATCGGTGCAGATGGCGACGTTCAAATGTCAAATTCGGATGACGTGCAGCCAAGCGAGCGTGAAAATACGCAAAATAGTTCTTTTGGGCCATCAGCACAACCACGACCACCCCACTCTTACACGGGACCATCCCAACAGCTTCGGCAACAGTCTGGTCTCTCGAATTTGTCGCAGAAGGGAACATTGACGCCAATGGCCCCTGGTTCGCAGCCAGGTGATTACGCCAACGATGCGTCAACTACGCAGACGACTACAGACAAGAAACAATCGGGCCCTTCGGATTCAAACCAGCTGAACACCCAAAGCTCAATTGATGGTTCAACGAAACATGAATATCCCGATCTGAATTTATACCCTGACCGCTTGTCTGGAGACGAACCTCTACCTGATACGCAGCAGGGAGAAAGTGGCGCATGGGGAACACCCCTCGCAGGCAACCTAGATTTTGTGAACTCGCAACATAGCCTAGTCAATGGCAGCCAATCACAAAGCAACAACAGTAAATTCTCACAACTAGGGACGCAACCACACATACCACCGTTCGACGGCTCTGGACCAAGGACGACTACCACACCCCGCCAAGTGCGTGTACAGGAACTTCTGCATGCGGAGGGAGCTCAACAACATCAGCGGCACACATTTGATACTGGAAAGTTGATTGTGGATGATCGTCGACTCGAAGCACTGCATCATACTCTTACGCAGAGGACGAATGGGCTCTCTGTAGAGCAGCTGGAGCAGGTTAATAAGAGTCTGATGGATTGTGTGTGGAAGATGCGTGGGGAGTGGAATCGGGTGGAGGTTGCAGAGGCAGTGAAGCAGGCGTTTGAAGAGGCTTTGGACGATATACAGTCTATGCAGGACTTTGCTGCGATTCCTTGATTCCTTTTCTTTTTTCTTTCTTTCTTTCTTTCTTTTTTGGTGAGGCGGAAGGCACATGGAGCCGGTACCATTTGGTGTTCATATATTTTATTTCCTTGTCTCAATTTATTTTGTTATCTTTCTGTGGTCACAATCTATTCCACACTGTTCTACGCATTTAAAATACGTGAGTTCTGTGCAATTTCGTTTTTTTATCCCTGCTGATTTTGCTTCTATGAGCTCAGATCGGCTTGTTGGTGGTCATGATATCTCACAATCATATTGCTGTCTTTGTCCTTACAGATGGGCCCTCTCCCCTTTCTCCTTCCTGCACTGTTTGTTGTATTTTTTTTTGTATTTGGGTACGATATTCCCCTTCCACCTTCGCCTGTTTGATTTGTAATGTTTCTTTTATTTTATCCCAAGCTCCTATCCCCTCCCTGCATTTCCTATCCAACTGGTTCTACGACAGTGACATATATATGGGGCTGTATTTCTTATCGAATGCTAGATATTGTATGCACATACATCGATCTTCCATGAAGGAAAAAGATAGTTCATTCGTAAAATAGTTGGGAAATTTCCAGTGGAGTTGTGATTACCAGAAACATACTAGCGCGATCTGGCACAAAGTTGCCCAGGTGTCATCTTTGTCATCTTGCTGAACCAAGCTGTGAGCCGATATCGTTACAGCCCGATCGAGATATATGGAGCACAGCACACTACCAATATGCGCAGGTCCAGGACCCTTATTTTGCGTCTATCTTTTCCGCCGAATGTCTAGGCCAGCGCATTTCTCTTTCGATTTGGACAACGATAAAAAGCCTTCCCCGTTCAACGGGTGATCTGCCGAATCCCTTGGAACGAACCTCCTATTCCGCGAATTTTTTTTTATTCAGCCACCCTGTGACTTGCGACCTCTTTTCTGCATTATCCAATCTAATAGTCCTATCGTGACGGATATACGTACAGCGAGTGGCTTTGAAGTTGTTGCTGCCATAGTCAGGGGGAAAAATATATACCGTACAGGGGCAAGAGAGTGGTCGAATTTCCTCGTTGGGCTCTGCGAAATCTCGCATACACATTCATTCACATCCATCCACCATCTTTTTGCATGATGGTGAACTGGCTCAGTTTAACCATTCCCATCGCCTACATTGGCATCCTCATCGGCTCGTTAGCGACGTTCTCCTCGCTATATCGCAAGCGGAAAGCTGGTAAGTTTCAACTTAACAGCTTCTAAGTTGTTCTATTTAAATCATAATTGGCTTGACTATTTCTCTTTGCCGGCGCAGCTGAAGCTGAAGCCACTCCAATCCAATGTGATAACATCCGTGCAGACTACGTTGTTCTTTTTCTAACGTATATTTATTCCAACCAGCTAAATCATACGCCTTAAAACCATGGTTTCCTGCACACTGCCAACGAGATATATACACCTCTCTCACCCACCTTCACGATGAGCCTAACACATCGCAAGCAACAACGGCGACGTCAGGTTCGTCGTTGACAAAGGAGAAGAAGGCACCCGCTGTCCCTGAGACTGTGCTCAAAGCTGCTCTCCTCCGCCGTGCGACCGAGGATATCCGCCGACTAATCGAATTACGCAGTCGAAAACCGGCGCTCGCGGGCCTGTTGCAAAAGGGCAGTGTTGGCGATGATCTGTGGCAACAGTTCCTAAGGGCGGAGAAGGAAATGGAAGAGGAAGTCAGAGATGTGTTTGCCGAGGTAAGAAATTGGATCCCTCTTCCTTTTCATGCTTTCATTTTGACACTGTTCCCTTACAATTTCCATTTTAAATCTATTCAGGCAAACCACTTCGTTCCAAACTGGGGTACCACCATCTTCCAATCCGCCAACGAAATTGTTGCCAACACGTTCCTCCGCAAAAAAATCGAGGATATCCAATCTACCGTGAAAGATGAGCGAGAATGGTGGGATAAAAAGAAGGCTAGAATCCAAGAGGGATTTTTGAAGGAGTTGGAAATGGATCCTTCCGCCAAACAGACCGGTTCGGGATCACAACCAACGCCGCTTAAACAGAATAGTAGTGATGATGACGCCGTGCTGGTTGAGAGTGGCGGGCCCGCCGCTGGAAGTGGTGGTAGTGGAAAGAACAAGAAGAAGAAGGGGAAGAAATGATGTTCATCTTTTCATATCCTTCGTTACGCTGCCCCTTTCTGCTTTCTATACTTTTTATAAAAGTCACTGCTTCGTGGCTCGCTGATGGAGGTTTGGCGTTGGCACTCAATAACAGTTCGGTCCCTGTTTTGATGTTTTAAGTGGTCCGAGTGATCCGATTGTGTCTCCCATCGCAATATTCGAGAGACATTTTGTGCGCTATATATATATCTTTATTTTATCTCATCACTTTTGCTGTTTATGTGATTCGTTAGACATGCGGAAAAATGGGGTTCGGTCATTGCTTTTCTAACTTTTTCATTGTTATTGTTGACTCTGTTCCCCCCTTGTCGAATGCTAATGTTATAATTATTTTTTTTTGTTATTCCAAACTTCTTTACTGTAGCACCAGTTGCTTCGTTTATCTCATATATAAGCCATCTCTTGACGCACTGACATCTAGCGGATGTCAGTTTATCTTTTCTCTGTTTTAAAGCATATTCAGGATCATATCCTTGTTCCTCGATTTTTATTGCAATAAAGGAAGCATTGTTTTGAAACTATTTAAAATACTCGATAAGTAGGATCAGGAAGAAAATGAGCATCTGGCAAAAAGTATTTAGTGTCATTTACTTTTTTTATTATTATTGAGAAAAATACGATTATAACTTACTCATTTCTCCCTATTTATCCTAGATACCCCTTTCGCCCCCGCCTAGGAGAGTTAATGGACTTGTATAGTACTGTACATAATGGCCAACAAATCACCCCAGTAGACCCCCAGAAGACATGTATGAATAAGTGAGGAGGGAAACGAAAAAGAAACAAATGATACAAGCTCCTCTATTTGAATCATAAAGCAAGAAGAATTGGAGGTATTTCTTTAGAAAAGATTGCACAAAATAGCATAAGGACTAGGTGTTCCTACTGAGTTGAAAATTAGTGAGGCAGGCAAATACCGTTAGAAAGATTGAGTGTCAAGGCAACAACTCCGCTGGTACTGGCTCCCCCAAATATAATTCTTCACTCTCTCCCATATCGAGCGCTGCCTTGCGGATCTTATCCTCGTTCTTGCGAGGATTCTCCGCCAACCGACTTAGCACAACGCGCAATAAATCCGTATACAGGTTTACCTCATGATCTTTCCGTGATTTCATGTCTAGATCCTCTATCAGCAAGCCCTGTTTGCCTAACTCCACTACTTTCCTATCACGAAGCGTTTCTAGTAGCTTCGTTACGTGCTGTAGGCTTTCCTTGCTCCGTGGGTTTGTGGAGATGCGACGTCGGTGGTGACGTGCCTTCTTCTTGTCTTCGAGTTCCAGTGGAGCTGGCAGGAGACGGACCACCTCGAACATTAGGATGCGGGCTGTGACGATGTCCGGGATGTAGCCGAAGACATGTCGCAGGGAATGTAGAGCGACGATTGTGCCTTGCGGGTCAAGCGAGAAAGAGAAACAGCGGAGGATTTGGTCGTAGAGGTCTTTGGTAAAGAGTTTGCGGACATTGGCTTGGCTACGCGGACTCAGGCTGAAGTACCAGTCCATCATTTCACGGTACAAGACGCGTGCGGTGGGGAAGTTAGAGTCGAAAGATGGTCGCGCGCGATCGTATTGGATTTTGGCGCAGTCCCAAAGGCAAGCGAACGTTTCTAGATCGGGGCGGACAGTGGCTGACATTTGCTGGTAGCGGGTCCAGACGCCAAGGACGTCCTGTTTGCGCAACTCCGCGAAGAGGAGATGGTTCATGAAAAATGCATTAGGTCGCATCTGTGCTTTTTCGAGGCATTCAATAACGTAGTTGGCTAAATGCTCTTGGCCACGCCGAGTATAATAAAGTAGTAGTAGGGAAAATGTTTCGATGCTCGCTGGGGGAACAGTCTTGTGTTCAAACTTCGGAATACGGATACCATCATTGGCATCATGAACTGATGGCTTGCTCGATTCGGGTGATGGGCTCTTCTGGCGCGACCAAACAGTGTCAATCCTTTCCTGAATCATCGCCCACCCGAGTTTTGCGGCCTTATCTCTGCTATCGACACTATCTTTGCGGAGCCAGCCGCTTATGACTCCGTTTAGGTGTTTTGCGTCTGGATTAATGCCGCGTTCGTACATCAATTCGACGACCGCAGCTGCGGAATCAATCTCGCCCATACCGATCAACTTCTTCATCCAACTTGCATAGAAGAACTTGTTTTGAAACTTTCGGGGCATGATCGTAAGTGCATATAGTGATACCTTATTCACGTCCGCCTCTGTGATACTTGAAGCTTGCAGATTGCCAACCAAGCCGAGGGAGGCACGGTAAAGTGAAGTTGAGTCGGAGGGCGACGTTTGTCCTGAGAGCATCATATCCTTGAAGACCGCAACTGCCATGTCAACTCTACCAGCTTTCAGGAAGCCAATACTTATCGAATCGTAATCATTCATATTTATATCAGACCCAAGTATTGTTTTGAGCCGTAGGTACAAGGTCCAAGCTCGAGCGCCGTTCGTATTTCCGGGGATTTTAGCCCAGGCAACGATTATGGGTATTAGAATACGTGGCGGCCGGCATGCATCGTCTGCAAGAAACGCCAATGCTATATCTTGCGCGCTTTCCAATTCCCCATTTGCTATCAATATGTCAACCCCCAACTTCCAAAACTGCTCAACTTCCATTTTCGAACCATAGTGTAGATGATTCTCTCGGCTTTTCCACAAAGAAAGTGCTTTATTTGACTGGCCATTGTCAAGAAGGAGTGTAATGTACCGCAGCCATTGGGGTTGCGTTAAGTCTCGGCCATTCGAAAGGATATCTTCTGCAAAATCTTCCCAGTGTCCAAGCTGCGGGGTTTGGAGACTGGCACTTTGGCTTTGGGAGTTCCACAATATGGTCAAGGTCTCTTCTGGCAACAATTCAACAAAGGCAGGTATTAAGGCTTTACATCGTTGATATGACCGCCACAGCTCCTGCCTATGGCCCCTGGTTGGATCTTTGATTAGAACCTTTAAATTCTGGTTAAATCTGTTAACATGCGCTTGAGCGGTGTCCGGGACCTTCAATTCGACTTCGAACGATTCTTTATGAGGTGGCTTAGATGCCTCTAGCATTTCTTTTGGATTCCATTCCGCTGTTTTCTGTTTCTCCAAATCTTGCGTTTCCTCTGCAATCATTTCATCTAGTCCCGCAAAAAAGTCTTGATAACGCTGATTATCCTTTGCTTCCTCTTCCACATGTTCTTCTTCATATTTGCGGACGGCGTCACGTACTATCTCTCTTTGCTTTTCCGATAACTGTTTCATCAAGGGGCTATGCGGCCCAAAAGGGCCCTGCTTTATCTCCTTCAGCTCTTCCTGCAGCTCTCGGATTTTGGCCCAAATAACATCTTGCTCGGCCTGTTCTTCCTCCTCTGGATATACCTCGACTTTCTCTTTGCTCCACCGCGTAGGTTGCTCAAACCATCGTATAGAAGCTTTGGGATTGTTGTTGCGGCCGTCGCCATTTGAGTGAGCAGTGGAGTTTGACAAGTGCCTTTGTGTGTGCGGATGGGGAGGAAAAGGGAGACTAAAGTGACTCTGATGAACACCATGACGATGCCATTGAGCCCGAGACAGACTCAGACGTCGCATGGATGTAAAAGTGCAAGATCAAACCATCGGAGCGGAAGGTCTTGCCAAGCTCCAAAAAACTATGTTTGAGATCCCAAGGATGGAAGGCAATAATACGCCGAAATGTAATCTTACGCATCATGACGTCCATAGGTTAGTTAGTTAGTTACGATGGCTCATTATATAATCAACACTACCCTGCCCCAGGTCCAGCTTCCACTTCTACAAGTGTTTTGGTGTTTGCGACCATCAAAATTATTTACGATTCTACGAGCTATAATGGCCATTGCTGATATTCACGACGAAAATCGTGGGTTGGAGAGCCTCGACGGTTCAGAGTACCAAGTTTGTCTTGCCGTTCATGATTTCCCCATTCAATCAGCTAAACATTCGTGCAGAATTCATACATATACAAATCTGTACAAAAGGACAATGCACATAATGAGCGCCCATCTAAAAGACGTAAAGTACCCAGCGCCACGGCATCTCAGAAAGAAAACGGCTTTCCATTTGCGCCTCTATTGGAGGGCGAAGAAGACATAGAATCTGTCAAGCTGCGATATAGCTTGTTCCAAGAATTCTGGGCCCGCCAGGAGCAACAAATTCAGGTTCGTTGGATTGAGGATGATGATTTTTAAAATAAGAGAAAATGATTCTAATATTCGGAAAGGGGATACTCCGTGACGTAGACTCTAAGATTTTAGGCAATGTTTCTACGTTCCTAGAGCATAGCTCACCCGACAAGTACGTTTGTTGGATTTCGCTCCCAGAGAACGTTGTTAATTGATCCATATCTAGCTGCGACGGGCGTATCCCTACCGGATTGATTACTCTGGGTTCCAATATTTCATCGATGGGACGATTGTTAGATCGGCTACGCGAACAAATACAATCCAGAACGACTGGACAGGTGGTTACGCTGGATTCTGGAAATGCTTCCAACCTCAAAAATATTCTGAAGCAGATCATTCGATCTGGTACAAATATGATAAACGGTGTGGATAAGGACCGGGACCAAGTTGTGTGTATAGCTTCCTATTCTTCCTACGGACATTAGCGTTAAAACTTTTCCAGGGCCCAAAGCCTCTTGCTTACGACCTAAATATTCTGCATGACCATGTAAAAGAGAAAGGGGTTAGGAAAGTGGTAATTGCTTTTCGAGACAGTGAAGCCTGGGACCATGGATTATTGGGGGACCTAATATCATTACTCAGGTAAGAGCTCAAGGAATTTGGCAATTCCTCTACTAACTTTATTCAGTTCCTGGCTTGATCGAATTCCCTTCGTTCTTCTCTTCGGTATTGCAACTTCTGTCGAGCTCTTTGAGGCCAGACTTCCGAGATCCCTGGTGAATCTACTCCAAGGCTGCCGATTTGACATTCGGGACCCTAGTGATTCCGTAAACCGAATCTACACGACTCTACAAACGCGTCAGAAAGATGCTCTATGGTTGGGTCATAACGTGAGCAGAATTCTTTTTGAAAAATTCAGAGACCATTTTCAGAGTCCGGAAGGCTTCGCGAATGGAATTAAGGTGGGTAGATTAAAATATTTCGCAATATACCCTGCCTTGAAGTTGCAATGCTGACAACACTAGTATGTGTATATGGCCCATTTTTTCGCCAATCCCTTATCCATTCTACTCTCAACAGTCGAATCAGCAAATGCTTTCTATCCGGGTTTATGTGAGGCTATTCGAAATATTCCCTCCTTCCGTAGGTCAGTATTGAACTTCTCAACTACCTTCGAAGCTTACCGCATAACTCACTTATAATTGTTAGACATATCCATACTTTGCTCGATGAAGGTGCATTGGAAATGGTACGAAAAGTTTTAGTAGATGACGAGTTTTTAGCACAGTATGCCAGATCGAACCTTCGGAGTGGCCAGGAAAGGATCGGCTCCATGTTGCGCTCCGTTGAAACGTTATTATCTGTACTACGGATTTTGAAAGTCCCCAAAACACCTATTCTCTCTGAGCTTATAATTCAAGCGCTGGGTGGGGAACTTCTGGGCTCAAAAATCGTAGAAAATATGTTCATGGAAATGAAGAAATCACCGTCCAATACCATCGAAACTCTTTTAAACACCCTTGCACAAGACGTTGGCGGATTAGATACGTTCACGAACCTACAAGAAATCCTCAAATCGTTATTAAAAAACAATACTGGCCCCGACCCGCTCCGCAGTGAATACGATAAATTCCATTCAACCCACAAAACCACAATCGTGGGACAGAGAGTCAAACTCACAAAAACCAAAGCAAAACTATCCACACTGGAGATCAAATATACCACTGTTGTCGACGACTTGAGTGCTGCCTTCCAGGATTACTTGTCAAGCAATCTCATATCTCCAGTTGATCTTTTTATGCATGAGGCGTTCCTCTACGACTTAAGAACTCCCATAAAAGACGCTTTTACACCTCGACCTCGTTTCACGATCGAGCGAGCCTTATCTACTCCATTCGACTACCTGGTTGCAAGCACACATTCTACGGATGACGAGAGCACGTCACCTTCTAAACCAGCAATTTCCATTCTGTATAACCTTTATTTGGAAACGGGGTCTCTTGTCAATGCCTATGACCTGTGGCGTGCGTTTTATACAATGGCTGGGGGTGATGATGGTGAGGAATCTGATGAGCGCGAGGCGTTGGCTCTATTTTACCGTGCCTTATCGGAATTGAAAATGATGGGAATGGTTAAACATAGCAAGAAGAAGAGTGACCATTTGGCGAAGTCATCTTGGAAGGGTTTGTAGTTTTAACAAGGACCAGTAGAATATAGATAGATGCATCAAAAATAGGCGTACATGCCTATGGGAAACTTCCTTTAGACAAAAATGGGATATATATATATATATATATATATAGGGGTATCGTAGTGCTCATTCAATGTTTAACAACGCCGTCATGCTGCTAGATCAGCGCCATAGTCGAAAAATAACAGGGGGCTGGCAAATGGCCAACAATGCTCCAAAAACGCCCTGTGGACCTAACAATCCCCTTTTGCCTTTCACAGCCGACATAGTACACTCTCGTCTCAAGAAAACGGCCACATAGACCATGAGCGCCTTGGCCGTGCCTGTCTTTCGGCTTCTAACTGTTCTTCACGGAGTTCCCGATCAACCTCATCTGCCAGCTGTTCCAGCTCAGCATCCAGTTCCTCATCCTCCCTATTCCGAACAGGGTGGATAATGTCATCTCTCCCCAAAGGTCGTCCACTCTCACTGAAAACCATGGCTTCCCTGCGCTGTCGCCGCAGTTCTTGCTCTTCAGCGGTTCCTTCTTGTCGTCTCCTCCCACCAGCCCATAATGGTAAACCAGCAGTTTCCTCCCCCCCAACCATCCAGACATCGCTATCATTTTCGCTGCCGTCATCATGATCATATTCGTCGCCAATCTCGTCGTCATATACGCTGTGAGTGTGCTCCGCCATTCTACTACCCATGAGCCCGTATTTCCGTAATTGGCTGACTCCCTCCTGATGGGAAGAAAGGGTGCTGATGATGGAGCTCATGACGGAGTCGTCAGTGTACCATGTCTTCGTTAGGACAACCACATCTATCCGTTTAGGTTCGTCTTCCGTAGTGCATGGAAACGGGTACTTCGAAAGCCATCGACTTATAACGCCAGCCTCTAGCGCTGCAGGTACGTTCTCTCTGAGAATTATGTCAAGGGTATTTAGAGCTTTCTTTTCGCCTTGCGGTCGCGTTCTGGGAAGGATTGGTGAGACCGTTTTAATGTTTTCTTCTGTGTGCTCGGCGAGAAAGTTACAAAGGCAATTGACAAGGGCAGTATAGGTAGGGAGGTCTTTTAGGCGGTTGGTCACGGAAGAACGAGACACTGGAGATTGTGTAAAATTAGCAGGAATAGTAGATAGTAACGAAAGGAAGCAAAGGGAATAAGTAAGGGAGTTAATAAGAGAGAGTAAACTTGCAAGCTCGATTAGAGACCAGGAAATAAAGGGCATTCAAAGCCTTGTTCCGGAGCGTGGGATCCTTGCTTGACAGATCTTCTAGTAGTAGATCTCGTGTAGATCCTTTAGTTGATCTTTCGGAGATAATCCTCAATGCCCTATCTGATGGTTAAAATATATGTGTAAGATGTCTGCTAGAAAATCCTTACGCTGCTCGAAGATCAAAGCTTGTGCTTTCTGACAGCTTTTGTAGAGTTTCTAATTTCAGAGCTACGATCCATGGCGTTAGTTTCCAAATTCCCACAGACCCGGAGAGTGGATTTTACCATCCTCTGTTCCTTCACCAATTACCTGGTCATCTTTCTCCCCATTTCTGATCGTAGTGAGCTCCCGGATACGATGGAGTTCGGCGGCGACTCCGCGCACAGCAAAGAACAGAGTGGCACCTGCATATGGGGAGCATTCAGTAACGTTTACAAGGATTGAGTGCTATGGGGAACATACCTAAACATAGCCATACAACTCGGTCATTATATTGTGAAGTCATAGCCACTGTGAGCTCCCTTTCTCGCGGATATTTTCGACATTGATGCGCGGTTGCTGTGGATTACAATTAAATGGAGTAACTATTTCCGGGAAAGGTGAGGGTGGCAGAATATTTTTACTTTGGCCCACCTAGAGGCGGTGAAGAACTAAAGTGCCAACTTAAAAAATTATTTACTGGAGCTTCAAAAAATGACAGTGAAGCCAACTACCAGTTAGGAGAAAACATTCAACAATGCCCCCTTCGCAGCTGAAGCAGCTGAAAGCCTCTCTGCGGGAAAGCGGAATCCTGGGGCCGCAGCAGTCTAAAAAGCAGAAACAGAAAAACGCGAAGTCTGGTGCGGGCGCTGCGAGCCGAATACACCGCAATGCTGCCCTCCAGGGAATACGGGAACAATTCAATCCCTTTGAAATCAAGGCGCCCACGAGGCCTGCTAAATTCAATTCTGTTTCGCGATCGAACCAAGATGCACCACGCTCCAGACCCGGAGTCACTAAGGGCTTAGGAGAGCAGAGAGTGTGTTTTCAATTCCTGGCTTATTTCCGTTAACTGTATTATACGCTAATTATTATGTAGAGAAAAGAAACCCTCTTAAAGGAAATGCAGCGCCGGAGTAAAGTCGGGACATTGCTCGATCGACGCTTCGGTGAAAATGACCCTACAATGACCCCAGAAGAAAGAGCGGCCGAGCGGTTTGCAAGAGAGAGCCAGCGGAGGCTCAAAAAGGAGTCAATGTTCAATCTTGAAGATGACGAAGAAGAGGTGCAACTTACCCATTTGGGACAAACTATTACGTTTGACGCAGAGAGCAGGGATGACTTTCAAGAGGACGATCTCAATGTCTCTGATGAAGAAGGGAACTTAGAGAAAATACGTAAACGAAGGCGAACGGCTGAAGAAGATGACATGGAGGGGTTGGCGGAGGACTCGGAGGAGGAAGGGCAACCGGAACGGAAGAAATCAAAAAACGAAGTCATGAAAGAGCTCATTGCGAAATCGAAATTTCATAAATATGAGCGTCAAAAGGCAAAAGAGGATGATGCTGATTTGCGAGCGTCACTCGATAAGGGTCTTCCCGAAATTTTTGAGATGATGAGAGGGGTCAAAAAACCTGAACCTGAACCTTTGCCACAACCTGATCTTGTCGCCACGATGAATCCGGATCGTGCGGCTCTCTTGAATGGAAAGCCAAGAGACGAGGCTGATAAGGAGTACGATCAACGGCTGAAGCAAATGACCTACGATAAACGAGCTAATCCTGTAGATCGTACTAAGACAGAGGAGGAGAAAGCAGAAGAGGAGGCAGAGAGACTGAGACAACTAGAAAAAGAACGGCTCAGAAGAATGCAAGGGGCGGGGGATGACTTGTCAGAGGAACAGGATAGCAACGGTGAGGAAGACGTGGAGGATAATTCAGAGCCAGACGATGCGAAGGCATTTGGATTGGCTCAACCGAAGAGCATTCAAGAGTTCGCTGTAGAAGATGAAGACGATTTTATCATCGACCGCGACCTTGTTGAGTCCGACTCTGAAGCAGAACTCTTTCTAGATGAGAGCGATATGGCCAGCGCTTCGACTGAAGAGGAGTCTGAGGCGGAAGATGATGAATTCATTGGTGGTTTAGTTCTCCCTCCTGGCATGGAAGTCGATAAGGGGCCATCGACCACCAATGGCGAATCCTCCACAGCATTGACAAACAACAACCTTGCATTTACATATCCCTGCCCGAGAAGCCATGAACACTTCTTGCAAATCATTAAGGATACCAAAACCGAAGACCTGCCCACTGTAGTTCAGAGAATTCGCGCACTCCATCATCCCAGACTCCACAGCGACAATAAATCGAAGCTTGCGACTTTTTCGCAAGTGCTTGTGCAGCATACCGTGTACCTAGCAAATCAGCCAAACCACCCACCCTTCGCGGTTCTCGAGAACTTGTTACGCCATGTCCATTCTATGGCCAAGGCTCAGCCGGAGGCAGTAGCTAGTGCAATGAGAGACCATTTGCGAGAGATGTCGGAAACTCGACCCTTAGAATTGTTGCCAGGCGATCTCGTTATTTTAACTGGTGTGGCAACCATATTCCCCACCTCCGATCACTTCCATGCTGTTGTCACTCCATCCATTCTTGCCATGGCTAGATACCTTGGTCAGAGCAATATCACCAACCTTGGAAACATCGCGACTGGTGCATATATCGCAACCCTTTGCATCCAGTATCAGACGCTAGCCAAACGGTATATACCAGAATTCATGAACTACGTCCTAAACGGTCTCTGCATTCTAGCGCCTATCGAGCCCAAAGAGACACTCGGCTTGTTTCCTCTCCGGCAGCCGTCTGTGCCTCTTCATCTAACCGCTTCAGAACTCCCGTTGACCCACATCAGAAAACTTACATTCTGGGACGTTCTCGCTAACTCTTCTACCGACAGTCGTGAACAAGAGACCCTCAAGCTTTCCCTCATCAGCACATTTATCACTCTCCTTGATCATGCCGCGGACCTCTGGTCATCCAAATCTGCATTCCATGACATTTTTGTCCCCGCAAATCGAGTCCTCAAACATCTCAACCACTCCCTCAACAACAAATTCCCCAGCGCTCTCTCTGACCAACTGCAAAGGATCCTCGACAAGTTACAAGTGCTCCTAAAGCAATCCGACCTCGCCCGCCGGCCACTGCTACTACATAACCACCGTCCGCTGGCGATCAAAACCGCCATTCCTAAATTCGAAGAATCTTTCAACCCGTCCCGCCATTACGATCCTGATCGTGAACGCGCTGAGCTTAACAAATTGAAAGCAGAGCATAAGCGCGAGCGTAAAGGCGCGATGCGCGAGCTGCGCAAGGACGCGAACTTCATTGCGCGCGAGAGCCTACGTGAGAAGCGCGAGAAGGATGCGGAGTATGAGCGCAAGTACCGTAGGCTTGTGGCGGAAATCCAGGGCGAAGAGGGCAGAGAGGCGAAGGCTTATGAGAAAGAGAAGAAGGCGAGGAGGGCGAAGAAGTAGGCGGGGAACTTGTTTTTAATTTTTTTTTTGGCATCTCAGATACTATAGGTCTGTATACTCTTTTGCATATCCTGTGTCTAGTGGCTCGGCTGCGGTTGCATCTTTCTCTAGTTCAATGGGCGTACATAAAATTTAATTGCTTGAGGCGTATAATGTTGAAAACATGAGGGTTGTAATCTAACGATATTTGTGAATTCTTTTCGTGCCTCTGCTAATCGGGGATATCTATGTGCTAAATCCTCAAGATGGGGCAGACAAATATGTAAAATGGCCCCCTAAACACCACAAGGGCCGAAGAAGTATAAAATGAAACAGAAAAAGACCCGAAATTCTCCAGGCGCCGCTGCTATCTAGAACATGAAATACAAATAACAGAAACAAATCTAACAAACCACATATACAAGGCGCTCTCTCCGTTAATATCACATTTTGAGCTCAGCACCAACACTAAACAAATACCGACATCTCTCTAGTTGATCTTCGTCCATCAATCTTGTCTTCGTCTCGCCTGTTTTGACGTATAACTGATGCAGCGCATTGCCAGTCTTCGCAGTGGTGACCGTTTCCCAAACGGGGCTGCCCTTGGCTCGATATTTATTCGGATCAAAGCTGCGGATAAAGCTTGTCCAGTATCCTTGCACAACAGGCACAATCGGCGCATTAACACCCTTGTCCTTGTATGAGGCGGGTCCGTAGCCGTACTCTGGGCCCCAAATAGCGGGAACGTGAGCCGTGTGGCCGACTCCGATGCCGCTTCTCATGGCTGGAGGGTCCTCAACATCATAGTGAAAATTCCATGTTTTATTCGGATCGCCATATGTACTACCTGCAAGAGTGAGGATGATGGCGGGACAGTTGTATCGCATTTCACCGTAGGCGTTGCTTCCTTGGCGCCAGTATGCGCCATAGCTTTTAGCGCCAGGAAAAACATCGTTGGTCTTGGGGTACAAGTCATGGATCTTCTCGAAGTGCTTTTCCTTCATCGCTGGGAATTGGTTTTTCAGGAACGTGTCGGATTCTTTGAAGCTGTTTGTCATCCTTGGAACGAAGACAGTGCCTTCGTTATTGTCTGAGCCAAATATCATAGGGACCTTTTTGAACATTCCGCTCGAGATCAGTTTGTAGGTATAGTCCCTGATCATATCATTGTCTATGGTTGGGCTGTACATGAACAGTGGTGGACCATTGCCACCAGGGAGAGGGTATCGTTTGTCGAGTTTCTGCATGTCTATTACATTTACCCTGCGGAGACAGGCAAGGGAATCTTTGCCATTGCATTTTGTGTTTTCAACAAGATTGTCATACATGTATTGGCTTTCTTGGACGTTGAGCTGTGTTCCGAACGAAGGAGAACCTGCTGCGACCGCATGGAAAGTGTCAACGCTTCTGCCCCCGAAAGCAGTGAGTAAATAGTATACAGAAGCTGCACCAGCACTATCTCCTCCGATTGTGACATGGTCAGGGTCTCCACCAAACTAAAGGGTTGAAGTTAGTCTAAGTAAATTTCAGGCGCACCCCGAGATAAAACATCTCTGAAATGATTGGATGGATGGGTAGGGCCCAGCACAAACCTGTTTAATATGCTTTTTAACCCACTCAAGAGCCTTCATTTGGTCTTTTAGGCCATTGTTCAAGCTAGCCTTTTCCTTGATCTCTTTGCTTGCGAGGAAGCCGTAAAGTCCCACACGATAGTTGAAAGTCACAACGATAATCTTCATGCCAGAAGCTTCGATGAGGCCCGTACCGTTGATACGCCCGCCGGCATTGGCGTTGAATCCGCCGCCCTGAATATAGAAATAAACAGGGAGCTTAGAGTCCGCTCTGGCATTTGATGGAGCATAAACATTAATAAAGAGGCAGTCTTCTGAGGTTTGTTTTCGAGGAATAGTTTTAGTTGACAGGCAGTTGAAGCCAAACTGTGAAACAGTTGTTAGTTGATTGTTGTTGGCTCATGCCGCTCAAGCTGAAAATGGAGATGGAAGGTCAGTGAAGTATATACTTTATTTGCATGTTGTTGTTTTCTCTCTTTCACTGGCTCCTCCGGTGCGGCAAATCGCAGATTTCCCAACGGAGGTGCCGCATATCGCATTCCAAGCCAATGAGTAATCCCTCCTGGGTTTTGTACACCCCTGTATTTGGCATAACCTAAGTTAACCAATGAGCCCGTGGCTTCGGCCGACTGAGAGATATTATGTAGAAATAACAAGAGACAGATAAAAAGCACGAGCGACGCCATGGAGAAAAAACAGACTATACAAAGGCTCAAGCCCGGAGGGAGCCGAGAGTAATGTTTTTGAAACATGAGAAGCAAAGGGTGAGGGCGCCAGCTTATATCTCCTTTTCGGAGACACAGCTGGCAACTCTTGTCGTATTTAGTAATAACTAATGTGAGTTGTCAGTTGGTAAGGAATCAACAGGTCACCGGTTCTCCGGATTTTGAGTCAGAGGGTTTTCGTCCGCATCTTCCTGTTCCACAATAACTATCACGGTCCCATGAAACAGGAGTCTCCGAGGGAAAGATTCTCCCTTTTGTTTGGGAAGCGGCGCTCCCGCCTGGTGTTCCCGTCGCAACTCGGGCTTGATGTATGCGTGGTTTATTTCAGGTCTTTTCTTTCGTTTGGACGTGCAGGGGCTGTGAGCTTGTAAGTTTAGCTCTGTTCACGTTTCAGCACTCAAAATAGGTTTCGGAAAAAGTCAATCACCATTCCCCCTTGCGAATGGAGGCGGAAACAGCCCATCCGTGCAGGCCATCCTAGTCTGTACGCTCTAGTGGCACACCTCATGATGTTAGGGTTGTACGCTCGATATGCTGTACTGTACAGTGGGAGTATCAAGGAGGCGTGGGGAGAGTGTCTCGCTGGCTGGGCATCGGGCCTGCAGCTAGCTCGGGTGATCTGAGCCAAGAAAACCACCCTTAAAACTAGGGACCAATGGAGAGTTGTTGGAGTGCAGGAGATCAGCATAGCCGAATGCTTAGGAGAGTCTAAAACAACAGTTGGACCTATCTTGAAACTCACGATTTTGAGTAGCTGATCAAGAGCACCAAATCCAACGCACGAGGCCATGCGCTTCCATGCCGCTTGCGAGGTCATTTTGAATACTCTTATAATTAGTACTAGTATTGATGGCTCCGCATATCACTCGCTCACCCTGGTGTCAGATTTTGCGGTCCGCTATCCAACCCAAGGCGGTATTAGGCACACAACCCGATCCCCTTGGATTTCACTTGCGGTGTGCCGGCCCGACCATCCCACGCCAGGGGTCTGCCTCATGTTGCGATATCCGGGATAAAAATACGATCGAAGGGGCAAATGGAGCGAGAACCCGCCGCACTGGCAGAAGACAATAGTTAACACTACTCGTAGTTTATCAAACTAAGTCAATTCTCCGTGTCAACAATAATAAATGTCCGGAAAATGCTGAGGTGTTCACTTTTGTTAGTTACCTGTATCTGGTTAACTAACTAGTTGACTCGTTAGCTAAATAAGTATTAGGCCACTAGGGCAAAAGAGCTCAATCACCACCAGCGCCATGGTGGTATAGAGGGTACGAATCACCCAACCCAATCCCCCCAACACCCCCCCTCGGACCCACTCTACCATCCGGCCAGCTGGGGGAACCTGGCTCTTCCTAAGTTCCACTACCCTACTGCCATTGGTCCTTGGTGGCCTGGGGTCTTCCTGGGTGCCTAACCACCAATCTCCCCCATCTTGGCAAGAGAATGTGCATTAGTAAGGGATATTCCTCTGGCCTTGGTCTGATTCGAACCTGTGATAGCATGTTGGCACACCCTGTAGCAGTCGCGCTTACACGGGCTCATAACCTATTAGGCCACTAGGGCAAAAGAGCTCAATCACCACCAGCGCCATGGTGGTATAGAGGGTACGAATCACCCAACCCAATCCCCCCAACAATAAGAGCCTTGAGGCTGACATAAGCCTAGGCGGCAATTCTCAGTGACAGCTAACTTTTTGGTAACGAGTGACGCGTACGCATTTATTAGTTTCAATTTTCAACAAATATTTTTAATAGGAGCCGAATTCTAGAGCGAGTTTGTTATCGCGAGCTGCACGTCGCCATCTGGTATTTGCGGTTTCCTACATTTCAACTTCTCAAAACTGATATCCTACATCGGTCCATGAGCCTCAAACTTCGTGTGAAACTGTCAAACTGAATATCACACACCATCGATCGATGCTTCGAACGAAGTCCTCGAGTATTTCTAAGTCCGCTGTCTATATCAACTTTCCACCATCCTAAACGCCCCTCACCCCAGCTTACCTGGCTCTAGATTCATGCATGGGTCCGTCCCACCAGTCCATATCCCCCGAAATTCAGACTTGTCTCCAGCGCCTTGGATACACTGTGGCATTCTGAATGGGATAGCATCATCTGATGAAATTATTGCATTGTATAATCTCTGTATCTCCAGTTATAACTAGGCCTAGGTATCTTCAGTAGTTGGCTCTTCTGAAGGTGCAGCAAGTGTATTTGAATATCTATAAATCCATTCCTCAGTCTTTGATATCGTGAAACAAATAGCACTGATTGGCGTGCTCCGTGGATAGGGCTTTTGAGGAAACAACCATATTTTCCTCATTCAAACACAGGAGGGAAAATCACAATCAATTGGAGGTGTAGATATGGAAGATTGCATAGAGAAGAAAGAGGCCGAAGGATGGAAGGGTTATTCGCAAAATATTGTCATTGACCAGGTCGTCAACGAATGCATCGATCATAATTCGAGAAGTCAATGAAATTTTCCCAACAGATATCCATCTACCAGGTTCGATTGATAGTCGGGTCAAGTAGCAGAAAAGGCCAAGCTTGGAGTAACAAAACCACATGTAACGTTATAGTTAAGGTTGTTGACGATGCTTACGTCAAACCCACTTGAGATTGAAAGTGCATCGTATCCATGACACATACATAGCGCTAAGCACATTGAGCCGCACACCACATGCAATCCATATCCGCCAATGCGAAAGAGGGGAAGCGTGTGTATTTAGTTAACAGATAGGCCCAGACCTGCGGCTTCCCTTCAGGTCATGGATGTGCTTTCCGTCTGAGCTCATCAGCAAGCCGATCCATATAAAACCGAGCCATATCACGGGGAAGGCCATCAAAAGACCGTGCGATTTTGTCCACCTCCATCCGACCCCTCTCATATGCCTGTAGATCTCTGTTCCCGTACACGTCCCGGCCCGCCGCGTAACCTCTATCAATATTCCGGAAAAACGCATTGACAGCTATGCTCACTCCATTGATTGGATTCGCAGTATGAGGCCAGAGTGGTGGAATGAAAAGGACATCTCCTGGCCTGAGGCGAGCTTCATGAGGATGGGTGTTTGGTGGGGAGTACGGAGAAGTATCCGACATATTTTTGAAGATATTGATTGATGAGCTTGAAGCTCCAGGAGCGAAACCCAGACGCAGCACGTCCGATGGCGGATATAGGATAAGTCGCTTATCACCTTGTATTTGGCAGAGGACATTTGCCATGACCTAGAATCAAAAATTAATCTGTAGGCCTTGACAGACTAGGTTAGGGGAGCTCACATCATAATGGAGCCATAAAATAACAGGCCCGGATAACCTCAGAGGAAAGCTGTGGGCATTCTCTGAAACAAACGACAGTTCGGGCGGAAGATGGAAATCACCTTGAAGACCGGGGAAGTCCTGGGCTAGATTCGCAGGTTGTTCCATAGGGTTTACAGAGGAGACCGAGCGGAGGTATTGTCGGGAGCCATCATAAATTTCATCGATGAACTTCCCAAATTCCTTTGTGATGTATGAGAAGTTCTTAGTCTGGAAATTCATATTTTCGGATTTTGCTTCATGTACCACTACCTAAGGAAACCATTAGCACTTTCGATCTGGTTATTGATCGGAGTCCTTCTACCTTGCGATCACGCCCGATAGCCTTCTCGAGGTATTCTTTCCTCCAAGTTTTCACACATGAGCCGAGATCAAGGCCGCTAAGAATAACAGGCTTTGCCTTGTCAACAACTCTCTGAAACTCTTGAGGCGTCGAAATGTTGATTCGGGGGATTATCTCCATCTCAGGGGAATTTGTATTTGGCCGGTCATCTACTCTTGTAGTAGATACCTCCTCCAGCGGGTTAGCATCGAGTCCGTTAGTTGACGGTTCGCAACAGACTCCACCCGTTGATAGCTTTAGATTTTGCGCTCTGCAATAACCAAGTGCTTTCGTTCCAATATATTCCAAATGAGAAACAAAGAGCACCGCCGCCAACAATGAGTACATCGTCATCACCAACTTTGCAAGAGGAGTGACCAACAAGGAGTGGTCTTGGTCCGATGGATTCAAGGTCCAAGTCAACAGCTGTCAAAAGAGGGATATTGGGAGCAAGAACCAACCCATCCAGCGCATTTTTATTCAGAAGCATTATTTCATAGGCCTGGGGTATGCAGCAATGCTTGGCTACCCCCCCAATTATAAAGCAACCCCTTGCCGTTGTGGTTATTGATGCCCCAAAACGTCCTAGCCATTTATCGAGGGGACTGGAAGCACCTATGGTTTCTGTGAGGTTATTTAACTCGACATGTATCCGTCCATCACTGGATTTTACTAGTTTCCAGGTCCAGAAGTCATCCAGCACGACGGCGTATCGTGACATGCCTCCAAATACCACTCCAGACTGTCCGTCGATATTCACAATTGACGCCCCAAATCTTGCTGTAGGAGACTGGTTGGCTACAGTAGCCTCCTGCCAACCTTTCGACACATTCCATAAGAACCATTTACCCGAAACGTCACCGTTATTAGTTTTGCCGCCGTAGATGAGTACATAAGCGTCATTCCCTCCAAGATTCACCGCAGTTGCACAGTGCCTATAAAGTGGAGTTGGAAGGCTATCAGTTCGATTCCATCGTCTAGAATGCCTTAGCCAACAATCAGCCATAACCTTTTTAGGAGCAGCCCTGCCTCCTACAAGAAGACAATCCTGCCCATAAAATTGAGTTATAGTGTGGCACATTCGAGGTTCCACATCAAGTGGTGGCATTTCACCACTTGCCGTCTTACTTTTTGATACCGTATATTCATCAGTCGAAGAGAGTCGAGTTTGTTGACCTAGGCCACCGTGAAATCCGAACGTATTAGCGGAAGTAGGGAGTATTGCGCCGAATCGTCGCTTGCTGGTGAGCTTCGGAGAGCACAAAGGAGTCAGTGTCAACGGACTTGGCTCTATCAGAGCTTTTCCCAACCCATCTGGAGGTTCTGATTCTGCCGCCGTCTTACGAATGCTAGCAGAAAGCAGAAAATGATGTGAGGCGAAGAGGGCGAACTCTTCCCACTCATCAAAAGCCTCGATTGAATCAAGGGATAGCCTCTCATCTTCAGTAACGAATGTTGGGTCGTTCCAGAGTTCCCATAAGTTTGTTGCTTTCGCGTTTGTCCAACCAGATCCACGAAATCGCTGTTCCTGCTGGCGGAGCGAAGGGTATTTATGGACTGAATGTAACGGGCATTGGAGCTTTAAGAAATCTTTCATCATTACAGCCGCAAATGGATGGTGTGGCCCCTCTGGGAAATACTGCTCCAGCAAACAGAAATTTACATCTTTCCAGCTGTTAGTCGAATTGTTCACTTTTGCTGACTACGATTAGAGAGGAGAGACCAGAAACTCTTACCATTACTTAGCTTTGGCATAAACCTAATAAGGGCGTCCGCTAGCTCAACTTCCATGTAAGTTATTGACACTTCAGCTATGCAAAGGATCGAAGCTTGATCTAAGCCTATCACGCCGCTTAATGCGGCATCTAGTTCTGAAAGATCTCCGAGATCGCACCCGATACCAACATATTCTTTGCTTCGCAAAAGGATACTATCTGTTTCTGGTGTCAATTGGGCATCCGAAAGAAGGTCCCGTAGTGCAGGGCATTGGGTTATTATATCTCTTTTTTTGACCATCAGCTTGTGGTGGTCGACATCAATGAATTTGGCATTTTGGCACAGAGCAGCGTCTCGGTTCAGGAATTGAAATGGAAGTGGATCGCTTCATATAAAGCCCATATAATCTTATATTAGCATGTATGTACTGTACATATGAATTTCGAGACCTTTCTAGACTGTCTGGTACAACCGCCTGTTAGCAACTCACAAGCCACAGCCTAGATTCACAACAACTTTCTGATGTCCCGACGGTCCTTCGAGAAACCTCCGCACCATGCTTTCCACAGCACGCATGCGCAGCCAGTAACCGCGATTGACCAATGGCGAGCGCCTCAGAGGCTTCTTCACAAAGTAGCGGAAAAAGTGAGGCTCAGGATAGTAGATGCGCTCGACACTGCGCTTTGAAACTATGCTGGCACTATTGGTCTAAACTGGATGTTAAGATTGGGTTGGTCAGATACCGGTAACCAACGGTTGCAAATAAAATGGCAACAATCATGCAAATATCCACCATACCTCCATCACGGCGGTCGCTCCCCTCTCGGCCTTCGTACTTTTCGGCGCCATGGTGCCAAAGAGAACCTTCGTGGGAGTGCCCGCGTCTCCTCCCCTCTAAGGTTCCCTTTCTTTTCCTTACTCTGAGGTATGTCACGGCTTGTCCAGTTTTATGAGGTAGTGCGGGGAACAAGGTGTGGTCTGAGCGCAGGAGTCCCGATTGGACTAGGTCCATGCTCAATGGTGTTTGCCTTGTTTGCCTTGTTTGCTTTCGCGTTACCTCAACCTCTGTCAGGCGCCCGCTTTTCATCATCATCACCATCAACTATCAAGTGCGAGCTAGCCAGCAACCACACTCCTAACGACGCATCTATCGGCTTTTCTTGCCACTGCCAGTCACTATTTCACTGTCTCCTCCTGAGTTTTGTTTTTTAATTTCAAGCTGTGTCTGCCTATGGCATGCGGATGCTTTAGTTGTTCTGGCCGTCTACTTAATGGGTGCTATCAATGACAGTAAGAGACATTTACAAGGAAGGATAAATATCGGTGCACGGTGTCAACTTTTGGATGGCCTGGGATACAACGTATACGCCCTTTTTAGCACGATAGCAACGCTGTCTTGTTCTTAAACATGGCGATGAATTTCGTCACCTTCAATCAGGACTATAGCTATTTAGCTGTCGGTGGGTAATTCAATATCGAAGTGCTACACATACAAAATTACCATTTCTGATGATGTCCGATTTTATATATGTTCAGGTACCTCGAAAGGTTTTCGTATATTTACCACTGATCCTTTCGCGAAGAGCTATGAAACGAAAGAAGGAAACATCGCGATTCTAGAAATGCTTTTCTCAACCTCCCTTGTCGCCCTTATCCTCTCCCCTCGTCGGTTACAGATTACAAACACCAAGGTCCGTTTGCCATACTCCCTGCGGCTGTATTAGCATTCTCTACGTTTTGAGAGTCATAATTTCAGTTGCTAACTGCTGGATCAGAGACAATCGACGATATGCGAATTGACCTTTCCTACTACAGTTCTCGCCGTCCGTTTGAATCGGAAACGATTAGTCATTGTTCTGGAGGACCAGATCTACCTTTATGATATCCAAACAATGAAACTTCTTTACACTATTGAGACTTCGCCAAATCCGAACGGTGCGTAATGAGCAAGACGCCCAAACCCTTTCAAGGAACCGATAGAGAAGGACGGGTCACTAACTAATATATCATCTAGCCATTTGTGCACTCTCCCCTTCCTCGGAAAACTGCTACCTTGCCTATCCTCTTCCGCAGAAGGCTCCTCCATCATCATTCACGCCGCCTTCACACGCTCCACCCAGCAGCGCGCACATCTCACCGACTAGCGGCGAAGTTCTTATTTTCGACACGCTAAAGCTCGAAGCGATTAACGTCGTTGAGGCCCATAAGTCTCCCTTGTCGTGCCTCGCAATAAATACGGAAGGTACCCTGTTGGCTACAGCCTCCGACAAAGGAACTATTATCCGGGTGTTTTCTGTCCCTGACGCGCAAAAGTTATACCAATTCCGAAGGGGCTCTATGCCATCTCGAATATTTAGCATGTCTTTCAATATCACATCCACTCTTCTTTGTGTTTCTTCAGCAACCGAAACAATCCATATTTTCAAACTAGGCCACCAAGACCCTTCAGAAGATCTTCCCACTTCCCCGATTGGCACTGATTCCCGAAAAATTACTAATACTACTCGGGAAAGAGCATTCAGTCAGGATTCTAGCACTTTATCAGGTGGGGACAATTCACCTACGGACGGTGACCCCAGTGACATTAGCTCTCGAAAGCATAATGGTACACTTATGGGCATGATTCGCCGGACCTCACAAAACGTAGGCAATTCGTTCGCAGCGACTGTTGGTGGTTATTTGCCAAAGGGGGTCACAGAGATATGGGAGCCGGCAAGGGATTTTGCTTGGATCAGGCTTCCCAAAACAGCGGGGTATGGTGGCCCCGGTTCTAACACTGGACCCGTGCGAAGCGTAGTTGCTATGAGCAGTAACACTCCCCAGGTCATGGTGGTCACTAGTGATGGTAATTTTTATGTGTATAACGTTGATTTATCGAAAGGCGGAGAGGGTACGCTCACAAAACAATACTCGTAAGTTTCACCCCCGTTCAAGTAAATAAACCCTACGTGCGCAATCACCTACTAATAGCTGTTTGCTCTGCTTTTGACTCTCTTTTTCTGACTCTCTTTTTTTGACTATGTAGGGTGCTCGACTCCAGCGACAAACTTGGCTCCGCCGGAATGGATTATTTTTAACGTATGTAGTTCTTTCTCTGCTTATATTATATGACATCTTACGAATTATTTCCATTATGTCACCCTGTGAAGTCAGAAATCTTGATATCCATGCACGATAAAGCTTTTGTTGCATCACAATCGAATGGATTGTCAAGCTGGAATTCAGCCGGAGGTGTTTGCTCTCCACCAAGGCGTAGCTAACGATAAATATGTAATGTTGAAACGAACAAGCTCGGCGATTCACAAAAGACAGGAGTTCAAGTAAACTCTTGCGAGTATTGTTGATTTGATAGAGGATGTCGTGCAGCGTCCCTCATTTCTAAGGCCATTCTGCTTTAACCTGTCCTATAATCTCTACTTATTGTCTCTTCCCTACTCTTCTGCACATTATTCCAGCAATAACTACCTTGTCTGTTACTCATCCGCCAGGTGTAGATGCCCCGGCCAAGCGGGCCTATTTTTCGAACTGCCCAATTATAGAGTAAAAAGATAGCATTTTACAATCCAAATATCTTTATCTTCGGATGCCGAGAATTATTCTGACTTTTCGTTGACAGACACATTTTGTTATTGCTGGGGGTCTCGACTCGTCCAAATATGTTCACGATTGCGTTCAAAAGAGGGCATGGAAAAGGAACAAAACTAGTTTTAATATCTAACAACCCGTGAGGATGAGCTGCAAGGGTCTGGTTATGGACCATATCCACTGCTTGAAACACAGATACTCTATCATGTCCACTCGTTACAGCCTTTTTCCGTATGTCATTTTCTTCACCGAAGAATATACGGATAAGCGAATTGCCTCGCTTCGTCCACAAGACGGACAAAAAAAGCTACATTATTTTCAACCAAATCCACTGGCTCCTCAGACTGGGAGCGCGAATATATAAGTCGGAAATCGGAGATATTTGCGACCCTAGTCTTTCTGGTACATCTTGGAAAGTTCATGTTGCCCTTTCTAGGTGCCTTCACCACCGTCTCCCTTATATTACCAACGAAGGTGATGCTGAAATAAAATACGGGGTTGATACTGAGTCTTATCCTGGAAGGCTTGGAGGGAGACCGCAAACGGAATGGCAAAGAATCGAATACGAGGTGCGTGCATCAAATTGGATTATATTTCTTTTCAAGTCTGGGTCGGAGATCAATTTGTTGGAGCGACATTCCAATGTGCAATACCGACAGTGTGTTTCGCAGGAACCTGGTATATCTCCTGACCGATGGCTGTAAATTATGGGCAAGTGGACTTTGTCTGTCATATTGTTGATGTATTTGACGAGACGCCACGTAATATATACTTGCCTCCATGGAGAGGATAATTTTAAATATTAGCCTGTATACACATACCTCCTTCTTCCTATGCTCTTTCTCACCCTCTTCCAGAACGTATCCAGGCCCACGCAGTCATGAAAAAGAAAATGAGTGCTGCGGTACACTAAAAGATATGTCCTGTACAAATAGCTAAGTAAACACACTGGGAATAGTAAAATATAAAATGATGCTCCATCATCAGAGTTATGTGATTCTTGTAAGTGCTTCCTATGCTGCTCTGGATCAGAGGCGTTTGCAGTGTCAATGTCACCTTTGATAGTGTTGCTACTGAAATTTTCATGAAGAGGATGGTCATGGACGGATATGTTATCCATGCTATTTCATCTAACATGTCGAAGAGAATAATGTCTTGTGTCATGGTGGACATTTTGAGATTTAAACAGCGCCAGATTTGTGGTGGACAATCCCAATGCTGAACATGAAGTGTGAAGGCATCGCCGTCTGTGAGGGATATTTTGCAACCTTCTATACGAGGGATTTTGAGAGTTACTCGACCTTCAGAACAGAGATGTGGGATGTGGGTAATTTTTAAGCGAGCTGGAGTGTTTGGAGATTGAGCAGAGGTGGATTCACCTACTTACAGAGTATCAAAAATCTAGTATTCGTGGCTCCACTAAACAATATCACAGAATTCACAGTTCCAGAACCAGCTATGATTACGGAGTAGTTTCCAACCACTCTCTCAGGCCAATTTATCATCACCGCATATTGAACAACTGTTCATGATTGGGTGGGACCTGTTCGAAATGTCATTTTGACTCAAAAATTATACCAAGAATATAAGTTCTTTGATTTCTGCTGAAGTTGATTTCTGATTTCAGATATCACATTTTCATTGTTGACAAGGTTGTAGCGCAAGAACGAATCATCTACCGAGTTCAAAATGCACACCCTAGGTTCTACCTATTCACTTGATATAGAATCACACGCCGGCAAATAATTTACAGATATACTTCCCTTTTTCTATCCTGGACCACTTCTCTTTATTCCCGCATGATATTGCACAGAAAGTGCACTGGAATGAGCATGGGCCACTTGCTGGAATTACTTCTGATTTGCTTTGACTATATTTGACTGTGAAAAGTGTCAGTGCTAACATGGACATCTGTTGTTGGATGTTCGTCCAAAAAGTTACTGGAGGGTTGGGGTGATGAAAACGGGATGTTACTGCAACGGATGATGTATTGATAGAGGTAGGAAGCTCAGGGTATAGAGTTAGAATCATCGCATTGTGAGGGCATCCGAGCTTTCATCCCTGGACACACGAGAAGGGACTGAGCTTTTCGAGTGCTGTGTGATTTTACGATGATGACGATGATGATGGATGAAATAGACCCAAAGTTTAGTTAGTTTGGGTAATATGATATAGCTTCCTGTTGGATAGAACCAAATTTCCCTGAATTTGGTTCATTGGCTCGGAAAATGGCCTGCTAATAAAAAGAATAGAATGTCCCCGTCGCTCAGGTCCTTTTCCATTGAAATAAATATATAAAAATTTAAGGCACCAGGATGGGATGCGGCGGCTCAAACAAAATGCAACTTCGCCCACCTTCAGCTGGCTGCACAACTCGTCCAACTTCCGCAAGACCGGGAACGACAAGACCGGGAGCCATCCGAGGTGGCCCAATGAGAACCTCTTCCCGCCATTATCCTCCACCAGAACCACCATACAGTCTTTGTCAGCGATGCCAGCGACACCGGCGATGCCAGCGACACCAGCGACGCCGGCGCCGCCGGCGCCATTGCCATTCCACCAGGCAAGTAATCGAAAGCAATGATTTTACCGTGGGATGGATATGTGCCCTACCCATTGAATTCGCAGCGTCCGTGGCGATGTTAGATGAAACATATCCAGTTCCTCCACTGGACAGAAATGATTCAAATACGTATGCCCTCGGGCGGATTAGAGAGCATAAGGTCGTTTGCGCTTGTCTTCCAGCAGGAGCACAGGGCATGCATGCTGCTGCAACAGCAGCCAATGATTTGCAACGCAGCTTTCCGAACGTGCGGTTTCGGCTGCTGGTGGGGATCGGAGGTGGAGCACCAGCCCCGCCGAGCAACGATCCGCTCGAGGATCTTCATCTTGGAGATGTCGTTGTTAGCTGCCCAGGAGTCAACCATGGTAAGTGGGTTAATAATGATAGAGGGTCTCATGGATCTGACTATAACCACCTACTAATCATCTACTAGGGGGAGTAGTCCAATATGACTTCGGCAAAACTATCACAGAAGGCAACTTTATCAAGACTCGGTCAATCAACAGGCCGCCCGCGCAGATAATGTCCGCGGTTGCGAAACTCAATGCTGAACACCTTGCAAGGGGGAATTCAATCTGCGAATCTATTTTCCAAATGCTCGAATCAAACCCTAGGATGACACCCAAGTTCCAGTTTCCAGGCACCGCACATGATGTATTATTCGACGCAGACTACAATCATAATAAATCTGGAAAGAACTGTGAACAGTGCGATACACGACGGTTACTTACACGCGGATCTCGAGAGACGAGAGAACCTGTCGTTCATTATGGCCTCATTGGCTCAGCAAATAGGGTTATGAGGGATGGGATCACGCGAGAGAGGCTCCGACAGGAACATGGAATTCTTTGTTTTGACATGGAGGCTGCAGGATTGGTGGACAATTTCCCATGCCTTGTTATACGAGGGATTTGTGATTACTCTGACAGTCACAAAAACAAGCGCTGGCAGCCATATGCTGCCGCGGCTGCTGCCGCATATGCGAAAGAGCTTTTGAATATCGCACCTCCTGTTGTTTGAGGATTTACATAGAATCTCACACAGACTATCAGAGGATTTGTTGAGGGAAGTCCTTGGGGGAAAAGGCCGGTTTCAGAACCAATATCTAGAATATCTATTAGAATCAATTTAACTTGTTATTTAGTGATTTTGATGTAATATTCGGATTATTCTATAATTCCGACACTAAATTATTAAACTTTCTACCTTTCCAAAGAGGGAATCAATCAAGGCGGGCCCTGCGCCAGGTAGTGTGCATTAAAAAGCTCCTGGAAACCAACAATGCCTTTGGCTGCGGCCACCTCTACATATTGAGTTGTGTTTTCACTCCTCCAGGAGATTTGCTGGGGTCCATATTTCACCTTTAAAGTAGATCATGTAGCTGATTTAGTAAGCTGTCAAAAAAGTGGAGTGGACCTAGTTAGAGAATCAACTGGACAGGTTAAAACGTATGAAGCTAATATAATCGCCAGAACAGAGAAAATCCTTGATCCTATTAAGTTTCAACCAGAGCTATCGTATTATCATACGACTTAATAATAGGATCATATAACCTTTGTGGGTTTTGCAGCATTCCAACAATAAGTCCTTCCCTTCCGTAAGGAAACAGGACACCTTGTATGGTTCTGCAAAGATGCTTGACGCTCTTAAAAGTTCAACAGAAACTTCTGTAAAAGATACTCAAATTCATCAACTTCCAAGTTGCAATTTTCTTATAAATTCTGATATATCAGTCTCTCAGCATATTATCTTTTGAGCTGATTCTGTCTGTCTCTGTCTCTGTATCTCATTTAATTTTTCTCACCTGTGACAGACATTTTGTCAGATAAATATAAAAAATATTTACTCAAGATTATATCAATAGATATGATTGATATTAAGCAGCATCTTGATCATCGTGAACTTCATTGTACTGATCTTGTGCTGTGCACTACTTCACTCACTTTTAACTTATTTAACAAGATTTATATTGATTATTATTAGTATTCTTCTTCCTTCTGTGGGATCCTCCGATCAGCTCAAAAGGTTTGGTCAGGTTTCACATCTGTGCATTGCTTTCTAACTAAACATCTGAGTCTAGGGCGTGGATCGACTCAGAGCCCAGGAACAATTTCTATTTTTAAACCACCTGACTCAAAAAGCAAGGGACATAATGGGAGGGAAGTGATACGATGTGTGACATTGTGCTGAGGTACGACGCATTGGTGCTGTATGGAGGAAATACGGTCATAGAGGTGGCTCTATAAGTTGAGGTATCTGATATTATTTATTGAGGTTCTATTTCATACCTTGGTATCCGTACAACTAGGAAAGAGATATTATCAAGGAGCGGGGCGTTTCGCTAGAGATTACCATGTGTGAAAAGAAGGACATCGGCATTGCGACGATGATTAGCAGGAGGAATAAAGAGGAGAGGGCAATAATTCTTCTAATTTCATTTTCAGGAACCAGACCCTGTAGTCAATGACATTAGCCGATGACATTGGAAAGAAAGTAACCTGTTGGGGATTCTTCTTGGACTGCTCCATAGTAACGGAAGTATGAACATGTTCACACGGCAACGGGGAATGCAAGAGATAATTCTGAAAGTGAACGGGCGGCCGCCTTCTCAACAGCTTGGTTCATTGGTAAAGGCGGCAAGCCAACCTGCTGTCGAGTCCATGACATCGCCTCACACCCTTCTGGAATCTGGGATATTGGAGAATGCTCCAAAATCCCCGAAACTTCTTCCACAAGCTCTCTCCCCGCCGGACCCACCCACCATGACATGTAGTCTCGACCAGCTCTATCTAGGAGAACACCAAGATACATAAGCATGAATAACGCCATTGGCTCCCGGTTCTTGATTGCTGCAATGTAATCTCGGCCGCCGATGGGGATCATTGACAAAAAGTAACTCTTAATGCGACCGCAGGAGTCTTCTGCGAAGCAGTATTTTAGCTGTGCAATGGTAATCATATATTCCTCGCTGGCCAACGGGGTTTCCTCTCCTGAAAAAATGGCCGTGTGACTTGAGGCAGGAACGCGAATCTGGCGACTGACGATGGACAGCTTCTGCAAGGCAGCAAGGGTGTCTTGGTCCAAGATTTCCATAGATAATGGCTTGTAGTGGAGTATGTCGCGGGATGAGCAGGGGGCGTCTGTTAGCCACTTAAAGTTAAATGCCGCGATGTTACAGGCGCCAAGCATCAGGCTGAAGATGACGTCTACACGTTCTAGCATGGTCTGTTGCCTGCTAGGAAGGACGAATTGCATGAGTGCTGAAAGCGCTGCGAGGTGGTAGAGCAAATGGAGATTGTCCTCGTTGATATTTTCGAGCTGGGAGCGGAACCCGGCGCTGGCTTTGTTGCTGTACTCTAAGGCTGTGCAGAGGTAGGTAGCAGACTCGGATTCGTTTGAGGATAGAGCCAGGTCAACTGCAGCTGCCGCGAGAAGACTATTCATGACGTAGTCATCTTTCAAAGCTGCGCGGGGGAGTAATATTTGCATATATGGTTCATCTGCGGGGATGCTGTATAATCCCATCCAAGTCCTCGTCGTCCATCTATGCAAAAGCTCCATTTCCAACAATCTATTTGATTCACTTGTACTGGAAAAAGCCACAGGAGAGGCAGAAGGGAGGAGCGTCAAGGGGGACTCTGAGGACCTCCTTGAAAAGAATCCTGACTGTAAGCCAGAAGCTTCATCAACTAACTTTTTCCGGGAATTGCTCGTCGAATCGCCTTTAGAGCTCCTTGCTAGCGCCGGCAGCGTCGACTTCTTTCTGGTGACTCTTGGCTTAGTCTCAGGCGACTGATAGACACAGTCAGTCTTCCGCACAACGCAGTTTGCACAGGACGGGCCTTGTTCATCGCACTATTTAGATTATGATTAGCGACTCTTACCAGCAACATCGTATAATTCCACCATGCAGATGACGGGGATAGGAATCCAATCGTCATATACACACCTTTACGTGTCTCCTTTTGCAATTCAAGCACCCTCTGCGCGATTTGTTATGAGATACTCTTTTCTGCATGGCAAATTGCGGCCACTAACTACCAGTACATAGAAACGTGCTTCGAGATAGAGAATTTCATGGTCGAAAGAAGCTCTCTGGGTTTTAAACGCAAGAAACCTGGAGTATACAGGCGCCTCATCGTCAGAGCACACAAGATCTGACAGGGCTGAATTTAGCTCAGAAGCCAAGAAGCAGCGGTGGCTCAAGTTTGGAGCAATCAAAAGCAAGGAACTACAGCGGATCTGTCCTCCCAGCCAGCGATCAACCATTCCTGCATCGGCTGTTGTCACTCAGCCCCATAACCACCACACGAGGCGGAATTGGGCTGGCCTATCCGCCGCCAAAAACAGCACAGAGTACAGTGAATGCAACTCAACTAGAAAATCCATCAGCATGTTTTCCAGGGTTTAGGGGACCGGCCCCCAAGTGCATCCGCCCTCATCGACTAATAAAGCAACAGTTATGCCCAAAGCACTAATAAACAAGCCAACAGAATCACCAGAGTTAAGACATTGACTCTTGCAGATAATGGATACCAGCACCCCATTTTTGCTCCATTGAACAGAGTCCATACGGGCTGGAGGTTATGATCTGGAGTCGAAATTTCCTCGTTGGGTAAGTTTAGGGTTACTGTCCCGGTTTGGACGAAGCTCTCAAAGCGGCGCTCGGGTTATCTCGATTGAAAGTAGCGTGGGGTGATCTATACGAAATACGCAAATACGCCCGTATGTCCTTAGGATGGAAAACGGCGATTTATACAGGCAACCCATTTTTTGATAATCGCACTCCCGCTACTATAACAATAGGAATAGCTCAGCAATTGATTTTCCAGAACTTCTACTTAAAATTGGAATGTTTCCGCATGAAGAGAGTGTTCACAGCTTCTCATGTATTGATTTAGTAATGGAAAATCAAGTATGAAGCTAAACTCAATCCTTTGTAGCGGCGGTGTGTTGTCGTATAAATCGCTTCGTGGATAACTACATCCTAGTACCTCCTGAACGTACTTGATTGCTGGAAGTTAGCGCTACATCAATCTAGCTTAATTGGTGCTGGAAAAACATGCCAATTCTGGATTCCGGGGTGGACATTTCCCACATTTCATTGACTGGGGCCCGAGCGGGAGGCGAAGGGCTCCAAGCTACCGCCACTCACTCGGTGCTGGTAGATTAGGTGGGGACAATGGCATGCGAATTCTATAAGAGCCCCGAACCCCTCAGTTGGGACGTTCGTGATTATTTGGAATTTCCATCCTGTTCTGCTCTGCATTCAATTGCCTCAATTGTGGTATTGGTTCCTATTTCCCCTTTTCTTGGTTTCCAAGAGCCCCTTCCTGCGTTAGTTACTAGTATAGGTGCGAAAGTACCGAGAATGATCCCACGGCTGTGAAGCTTAACCAAGGCCATGGAGCTGGAAACCCTTCAATTCCCCTCCCCGGCTGTGAGCACGAAAGGCAACGGCGATACGCTGTCGAGAAACGAGCCCGCGGGTGCAGCTTCATTCCCACACAGCTCCCCCCGTAATACGTTTGAAGACACAACACCTTCAATAACGACCAGCCCCTCAGAGCGTTGGAATTATCCAAAACGCAACTGTTTTCGTTTCCTAGCGGCCAATTACAGCTTTATAGTATTGGGAATCAATGATGCAGCCTACGGTGTAAGTTAGCAGCATCTATGTATGAAATAATGTATATCCAGATATCAGTGTGAGAGAGAAAAAATCAGGAAGAACAAAAGCTTAGAAGAAGTGCTAACTATATTGCCAACCAAAACAGGCTCTTATTCCATATGTAAGACTGTGAACTCATTCCACCAGACATCCCCCCAGTTCAAAAAGGAACAATAAGCCAAAGGGAGGGAGTGAGAGAGGGAAAAAAAATTTATACTTACACATATCCTATTTATTAGCTAGAAACTTATTATCACGTTACCTACACAGTCATATCGCTAGTATTTTTATCCCCTCTGTTAGGATATATCACGTCGGCCATATTGAACAATATGTTACATATGCGCTTTGGGCAGCGCGGCCCTGCTCTTTTGGGACCTGCCAGCCATGTCATTGCCTATGTCATTGTCTGCCTTCACCCTCCATATCCGGTCCTAATCATTGCCTTTATTATTGCTGGCTTCGCAAATGGCCTGTCAGACGCTGCATGGAACGCGTGGGTGGGCTCAATGGCAAATGCCAATGAACTTCTAGGACTGTTACACGGCTCTTATGGCCTAGGGGCATTACTGGCACCGACAATCGCTACATCCCTCATCACAAAAGCGGGCTGGCAGTGGTTTGAGTTCTATTACCTTGTTACTGGAAGCGCCTTTTTGGAACTGGTTTTTCTCGGGGCCTCATTCTGGAATTCGACAGGGGCCCTGTACCGCGAGACACACCAGCGTAGCGAGGTAAGCCACAGCGCGAGGACCATGCCCTCCGATGAAGAACGACCACAGGTTACGAGAAATGATATTATCATCAGCAAGATCTTCGGCAACAGCCGCACAGCTGAGGCTGTAAGGAACAAAATAACTTGGATCTGTGCATTCTTCCTGATCGCCTATGTTGGGATCGAGGTTGCCCTAGGTGGGTGGATCGTCACGTTCATGATTCGCGTTCGCCATGCGTCAAACTTTGCATCCGGCATGGCGTCGACTGGGCTCTGGGCCGGTATCACTGTTGGGCGTGTGGTTCTCGGCTTCGTAACCCCTCGATTATTTAAGTCTGAAAAGCATGCCGTGACTGTATATCTGGGAGCCTCTGTGGTCCTCGAGCTTCTCTTTTGGCTTATTCCCCAATTCATCGTTTCTGCGTTGATGGCTGCTTTCCTTGGGTTCTTTCTGGGGCCCCTGTTTCCAGCAGCTGTAATCGCTGCGACGAAGTTGCTCCCGAAACATCTACATGTCAGTGCTATCGGCTTCGCGGCCGCCATTGGTGCATCTGGGGCTACAATCTTGCCCTTCGCGGTCGGTGCCATCGCCCAAGTCAAGGGAGTGCAAGTCTTGCAGCCGATTGTGCTCGCAATGCTTGTTGTTGACGGGGGAATTTGGCTGTGCCTGCCCAGTCTTTCGAAGAAGAAACAATGAATCTACTTCGAGCGGCTCCTTTAATACCATCAGGATTAGGGGCAGCTCTCTTGGTCTTATAAACGATTTTTCGTTGTTTTTTACTCCCGTTTTTTGTCCCGTGCTTAGGGTATTGGGTGCATATCGTCATTCGGAACATCCTTCACGTTTTTACTGCAACCTAACCAATCAGCCTGGCTACGGTGCCCTTATCAAAGAAAAAAGGCGATTATATGGATGACAGGAATGTGGTCATACCTTGAAATTCTGGAAGTTGTGAAAATCGGTGCAAAACATTTCCTCTGGTGTGTTGGTTACTAGCAATTCCAAGGTATTTCTGAGAAATTGTAGATCCAATTCGTACATAGCATATTTGGACGGTATCTAAGAATGTATCGATTTTCCTTTTGATATTTATCTTTCTCACTTTTCCCTCTCTGACCCTGTATTTTCTTGGCGTGGATAAAGTATATTCTGGCCTCGCTTTTAGTTCAAAGATTGATGACGTTCACCAAACCCCGCCACACCGGTGGACTGTTCAGGAAGAAAAAAAAACTATTCACATGTCTTTATGTATTGTAAATGGTTCTCGCGGAGAGGAGAGGCTACCATGATCATACTTAGACGAAGTTGAAAAGCAGTTCCGCTTGGCAAATGGAGTCATCAAACCCTGCTCCGCTCAGCGGAACACCCTGGGATGAGGACATTTACACTGGGAACAACAATGACAATGTTGGTAATCGGGATGCTTCCAGCATCTACAAAGGAGGAATTCCTACGTCTGGCCCTCCAGTGAACAAATTCCATAAGTTTTCGCCTCGACCAAGGGGTATCTCCAACCCGTTACAAACCGGAATACTCAACTATCTCAAGAGCCAGCAGCACCACCAGTACAACCACTGTTTGCCCATACATTTCCATCCAATTTCTCCGCAATCACCATCGATTCCCCTACCTAAAAGATTTACAGTTTACACACCTCTCCTCCTGCTTCCGTCAAATACATTCTCCTTGCCACCCGAATGGGCGACACTTTACAATACATTTTCTAGCGCAGAGCGCCAGGAGCTTTACGCATGCATAGTTGCATCCTTCGCATCAATGGGCGTCACGCACATCGCGATAAATGCGCCCATATCTCCAACAATTGCTACTGGCATTGACAATCGAATTCGAAGTCCGACGGGGTTGGCACCTTTGTTTGGGGATTTTGGAGAGGCCAGTGATCATGTAGGGGGAGAAGCAGGGAGAGGGGAGGTATGCGAAGATATAGAAGAAAAAGAAGCTAACCCTTCGGAAACGGCTTTGCAGTCTGCGTTGTGGGTTCGCGCGGTGCAGAATCGCGGCATCGTGCAGATTTGGGCACCATTTCATTCTATGTTCAGTCGTGGGAATGTTGTGGAGAAGGCGAGGATTTTGGGGATTGAGTCTCGGTTTGAGGGGCTTGATGATGGTTTTGATGACAGTGGGAAGCGAATGTTAGGCCAGCGAATGGGAGATATTGCGGTGGTCGATATGTATGCTGGGATTGGCTACTTCGTGTTTTCGTACCTGAAGAGAGGGGTCGGGCGGGTGTTGGGCTGGGAGATCAATGGGTGGTCGATTGAAGGATTGTGTAGGGGATGTAAGGAAAATGGATGGGGGGTTAAGGTGGTCAAGGTCGACAAGAAGACGGGCGAGATAGAAGGCAGTATTGATGGGTTAGCCAGGGGATTGAGGGAGGAAGATCGTGTGGTAATTTTCCATGGTGATAACAAGTTTGCAACAGATGTGTTAAGAGCTTTGGAAGAGGCAATGCAGCGGACGAAGACATGGAAACGCATCCGGCATGTTAATCTTGGATTATTGCCGAGTTCTAAGCCGTCATGGGAAGGGGCTGTGAAGGTTCTGGATACGGAGGCTGGAGGCTGGATCCATGTTCACGAAAATGTGGATGTAAAGAGTATCGGGATGATGGAGGAGGGTATTGCTAAAGAGATCAGTTCTCTGCTCAGCTCTTCTAGAGGAAGTGCACAGCTTCCACCGTCATCACAACCCTTTATTCCTGCAGCGAAGTGTATCCATGTGGAAAGAGTTAAGACCTATGCCCCGGGCGTGATGCATTGCGTTTTTGACATCTACATACCACCTTCACCAAGCTGGTTGGAATCGAGCAACAACATATTAACCTGAGCTACAGAAGTGGCCCGCAGGACACAAATTCGCGATAATAAATCAATAATTCTTCAATTCCCTCTAGTTGATGCCGAGTACGTTCAATAAAAAACAAGGCAACTCAATAACATACAAACATGGGAATAATATATACAGAAACGCTCCTTCATAGCAACATCACAAACATGTTCATTCGTATGCTCTTAAACAAACATTTATGCGTTTCAAACATGAAGGCCAAGGTAATAACAGCACCGATACAAAGAGGATAGGAAAGCCCAGAATATTCGATGAAATATAGCGAAAAATGCAGGGGCGGACGTCATCTTGCCGAGGGGCTCTTGAGGAACTTGACCGGAATGTTAGCCTCCACAATGGGCATTTTTTGGAGGTTTGCCAGTCGAATCTGAGCATCTTCCGCATGGTCGTGTTGCCGAAAATGTTCGATATCTTCGGGATGCGTTAGGTCTTCCTCCGTTGCCCCATCGCCGTGGTATTTTTCAAAATGGTGTATTTCATATTCATATTCCAAGTCACCATGATGTCCCGGTCCCGTACCAAAGTCTGGTAGCTTCTTTCCCTCACGGGACAGGCGCATCCATTCGTGTTGCGATATAACCCCGGTTTTCTGTGGATCGAAGATACTGAATATTTCCTTGAGGATTTGTTGTTTGCGTTCTTCTGTTATGCTGGCATTGGAGTTGTCATCAAGTCCATAGGTCCTGCGGACTTCCTCCACTGTCCATACCCCCGAGTTGTCATAGTCGTGAAGCAAAAAAAAGGAGCCTGGGTCAAAGTTTGAGATGTGGTGTTCCTCTAAATTCCCTCATTGTCAGCAAACTCTCTGCATACTTTGGCGCATCATGGTTACCCCTTACCTAGCATATGCCTTGTAGCCCAGTCCTTCACATCACCAATATTTTCGTGTGAGCCATGCGCGAGACATAACCTTGTCACTGCTAGGAACGCTACCAGTAACGCAATCATGTTGCTGTCGCAAGAATCCCGCAGTGAGCCAAACCAAAGCTGTGCAGTTAAAGCAATTATGTGGAGGCAGGGTTTGTTGTCTCGATCTTGCCTTGTGCTCTGGGGATAAAACAGACCAATGGATGATGCATACTAGTGCGCCTACTAGTGGCACCGTTACGAATGCGTGCTCCAAGGACAGGAGGCGTGGAAATGCTCGAAACTTGAATTTGATGGGAATCTCAGTGCCAAGAAGTTATGGGGCTCCATAGGCTCTTTGCATTCGACAGCCAATATGGGCATTAAACCGCTCGATCCGCCCCTACTGCTTCATGGGCCTGTCAATTCGGATGTTACCGTATAAATTTCTCCAAGCCTCCGTAGCTATGAGTGAATTGAGCTTACAGACTCCTCACTTGATGCCGCCTAACATCAACCCTTTTTAAAGCACACATACTGCTGAATCAGTCAATGATCATTGAGTCAAATATCATGAAAATTAGTGACTAGATATTACACCACCTAATCGATATCCAGGTCCTCCTTGAGACGTGTTTACGGAGAATGTTAATATCTACTTCCGTAAACCATGCAGAGAAAAATGGGTCGGGAAAGTAGCACCAGCTGGACGTTCCTCTATTCCAGATCTGCTACACCTGATTACATGACCTGGTAGCACCGCTGGCTGGGAGATTTTTTGGGTTTTTGATGACCTACTGCGTAAGGCATGAACCGGGCGGTGGCATTGGTCCGGGTACAGCTCACAAGGTCAAGGGGTGAAAAGAAAGCAGGGTCAATAGCAATCATGCCAAAACAGGTTTAAAACGGTCAAATAGCCCACAAGCACGCCATCAAGCAAGCCATCTAGCCTCAGTACTATGATACGGCTCAACTCCACTGACCAGTATTCCCTCACCCATGTTTCTTACATGTGGCGGATAATACAACCGTATATTCCCCTGAACCCTGAGCTCCAGAATGAGAGTGATTGCGTGGTGGAGGCTAAAAAGTTTCGCTGACGCAGGGTCGATTGTGTGGTTGGCCGGGAGGGGCAAGACTATGTTCTTAGGGAGGCCGAAGACGCGGGAGGTTATCCCCGCGCGCCTATAGATTTGGCTGTCTCCGGATATAGGTCAAAATGTGTGGAGCATCATATTTCGGGGTATAACATTTCCCAGACAGCCGATGTTGGTTCCCTCGATAAGACGAACTACACGAGGATCGGGCATGTCTAGAACCAAGAAGGGCGGTTTTCTTGGATTCGGGCTAGTTTCACAGATTGCAGGTAAATATAGCATTATTCATTTGCTGAGGAGAGTATACCAGCCGTGGCTGCACACCCACCGTCTTTGCCGACATGAAGGTATGACGAATCATATGAGCGACCTCCAGGTCCGAGAAATGCTGTGAACAAGAGATAAGTGGTTCGCCATCGCCATCCTTGTAGTTCATGCGCTCTATTTCTTGCTGGCGATAGCTCCATCAATATTGAACGGGTGTACTAGCAACATTGTCGAACATACGGGCTGACAATGATGCCGGGCTTGGTTGTGCTGCCTTCCTTGTAATAGTCTCAAATACTGCACAGGAAAAAGAATTCTGAAAAAGGGTGCTTCACAAATGAGCCTATTAATGGTTTTATAATATCAATGTGATGAACGTCATGGTCAACAAAGAGGAAGACTGGCGTTGAACGGTGTTCTTTGAACTGGCATGCTTTTATGTGAAGCGCAAAAGGATGACATGCTTGTAGGGGCTGGAGTGCTACTCTACGCTTGGTAGAGTCTGCAGCCGAAAACTTGACCACAGCAAATCGAGGATGTGCTCAGGGGATGCGAGGTGGTGATGGAGAACTGGACGACGTGACAGAGGTGGAACAACGTTTTTCCAGCCAAGTCTCTAGTGAACCAGCCCGCAATGTCCACGAACTCCGACATCACCATTCGCAAACACCAGCCTTCCGTCGGTATCTCTCGACAGCGCTTCCCTCAATGCTGCTCGGTTGCATCCCTCCTGCCCGCTGCCTCTGATACTACGACAGGGGCAACGTCAACTGGTCTACTGGACACGATAAGGTGGGAACTCACCCAGAGAACGACTTTCGATTGACCTACCTTGCCCTCAAATTTCTCGAAATTCCCCTCCTCTCCATTTTCCTGTCCATCAATTATGCCAAAATAATGCAAGGTTTTTGGTCCAGAACTGCCCTTTCTGGGTCATGTCGATGTGTTTCTTGCCTGCGCAGCAGCTCCAATGCCGTTGCTGGACAAGCTAGCACGGCTGCCAGTCGGCGGAGGCTCTACATCGGCAACTCCGTCACACTGCTCTACTCCGCCATTTTTGCGACTGCCATAATTTTTGACGCAGATGTGAAAACCAAACGACGGACCGAGTTAGAGAAGAAAATTAAGGCTGTGAAAGAGGAGGTGGAGGAATTGCGGATTGAGGAAGCTCGTATCCTGAATGGGCTCGCTGATCGGAGAAAATTGCGACAACTTCCTCTTCCGCTGCAAAGAAGACAATATAGCACAGTTGCCGCAACTGCCACAAATGGATCTGCGTCAGTTGGGAAATATTGGGACGCGAACACACTTCCAATTGAACGCTTAGAAAATAGGGAGCCCGGTGCGTTTAAAGACCGACCCGAAATGATCACCGACTTTTTTGAGAAAGGGTCTGCCAAGAAGAGAGACCCAACGGACGAAGATGAACGTGTTCGGAGACAGTATGACTTAGCAGGGCAAGATGTTTTGCGAGAAAGGGCTATCCAGCTCCTTGCAATACGGCAACTCGCCATAAAGTTGCTCCTTCGGCCCAGCATTGCGCATTCTTATGGGGAGGTGGTGGCAGATTATGGAGAAGAGTTCGACCACCCGAAATTCAAAACACAAGATTATCTTGTCGAATTGCACAGGATAAAAAGACGGATCACTCGCCTGAGGTTTCGGAAAGACGAATCATACGATGATCTCGTGAAAAATATAACGATTCAAGAGCAATCAGCCCTCCAGCAAGAAAGGCAGGAATTGCACAATAACCTCCAAGCGGCTTTTGAATCATATAATCGAAAAGCCCTTTCCCTCCAGCGATTACTATTGATCACCTCTGAGAATTTACTGGCTTCGGAAGAACCAATTTTGCCGCAGACTGTTGAGCTTATGATCACGCAATTTACACGATCCAAGCAAAACGACCTTGTGAAGATGGTCATCGACTCGCTGTTTCCAAACAGGATTAGGATGACTCCCCCTGTCATTGTTTCTGCGATCAACTTTTTCAACAAAACCAAGGACCTCTTTGGGTTCGACGGTTTCTTACGTTTACTTCAAGGGGACAGTTTTCCTGTGAATATACCTGTTTTGTGGGAAACAGTTCGTGTTGGAGATGTTCAGGTTGCGCTTCCACCAAAGCCTCGCCACCCATTTGTGATGAATGCTCTCATTTCTGCCAGTCTTAGTTTCAATCAGCCCCAAAACGCTGACGCTTACCTCCATATCCTTCGAGAATCTGGATACAATGAAGGAGCTCAGGTCCTGGGTTCTTATCTTCGATTCTACACCGTATCACCAAACTGGAGAAAGGGTGGCTATGTCCTATTGCGATCTGTCGCTTTTATTATGTCTACGAAAGCTCATTTTGGAAACGCAATTAACCGACTAATCCTATATATGGTAGCCTTCTGCAATTCATGCGGAAAACATGAATTGTCTGAGGCTATAGTCAAAGCTGCCGTTGATACTGGAATTGATTGGAGGCCCAGTTACAATAAGAGAGATCTTCGGAGTTCAGTCAAAACCGCTTTAAAGCAGTGGAATACGGCTGCTGAGCGTGCTTCGACAGATATCCCCGTCAATAGGCCTTTAGGTCAGAAATGTTATGAGTTCGCAAAACAAATAGAGCAAATGGTTCGCGTAACGATCGGGTATAGTGCAAATGCGCCATCGCATAACCCTCCGCAATCCCGAGAACGCGTCGACAGGAGTTTCGATGTGCGACAGGCAGGTCAGATTTATGAATCACAGGATCGTGAACCAACCACCGGCAGCAGCTATTATCTTCATGATGTCTCCAAACCGAAGCAAGCTGCAGAATTGACTCGTCGTAAAGCCGAGCATCCTCAGTTCCAGAAAAACCAACCCGATGAGGAAGAACCTGAAAGGAATATTGTGAGTTTCTTTGTGAGGAAACCCGAAGAAGAACGTGTAAAAAATTCACCGTCCGCCGAAGAGATAAGAAGAAGACGTTTCCATGATGACTGCCGGTCTTTGTTCTATTCGTTGGGAGTGTCTAAAAGGGCCATTCTTGACCTCCATCGGGAACTAAATGAGTATGAGCTTCGTATTCATGCTTCGGAAGTACCAGCCGAAAAGGTCAAAGAGGAACTGTCCCCGGAGGCATGCGGGTCGTTGTTCTATTCGCTAGCGATCTCTCAAAAAACCATTGGAGACTTGCAGCGTGAAGTAGATGAATATGGTCTTCACATTCATACTTCAGAAGTGCCAATCGAGGGTAGAGCTGAGCTTCTGGAGACCTGATGTCTTGGTTGTCTCATGCGTGAAACGTTCAATGTTGCGCATTTGCGTTGCATGCCTAAACATCTTTGACAACAGCATATCTCTGAGTTGTGTATAATTGATATGATGAATGCAATAATCACGTTGGATCTTGAGATTCTCGTGTTTTCGAACACAGCCCGATTGCGAACGTTTAACGACCTCAAAGATAACTGCATCAAGCAAAATCCTCGTTTAGGTGACCAAATCTGGCAACAACGATTGTGAAATCGAGACCCCCGAGGACTCCTCAATTTGCCACGTCCGAATGAAGGGTGAACATGGACCTTGCCTTTCCTCCACGAAACCGTCGTTAATACAGCCGGACCGTAGTATTTCCAGTGCTCCCTATATATACCCTTTACGGGCAGATTTTAAATCTTCGATCTCCGCGGCCTTCGTCAGGCTCTCCATGTCTTCCCTTTTGAGCGTGTTCTAAAATATAAAGCCTTGTGCATGTACTTCTTTACTTGACATAGCCTTATCCACCTTCACATATCACTATGTTGCCGCGATTATTACTTCAAACCCCAGTCAAAGTTAACCTGGACCCATTGCAATCTCATTCAGAGTATGATGGGCAAATGTCATTTTTCCTTTTCATATTTCTTGTATATATAGGGAATTTTGCCTGTTGGCATATGCATGTATGATAGGCGGGGAGTAGTGAATCCATCTCTCGATATACACAATTCGAATATACTTTTTTTCACTTCCCGAGATGGCCCCACTTAGCGAGCGAGAGATTTCTTATCGGTATCTAGTAATTTAATATATCCGAAAGGATGGTTGAATGAGGCATCTTTCAAATGGTGATTTTCTGCCCCAACAAGGGAATATCAGTCAATAGGATTTCTCACCTTGCCAGTCACATGAAAGGACGACAATCTAAACAATTCCTTTTGCTTTCCATTTCTATGTTACAATGTATAGGGTAAGTAGGAATAAATAGTGTTCGATAGGAAAAGGATTCTATTTATCTTTTAGGACATACGCCGACTGTGGACTCGGGAATGCAGAAAGGACAAATTAAGTGACGAAAGGTGTTACACGGCTCTAGCAGAATGTTCATTGAGAATTGAAACCACGAGACAGGAGATGAGAGAAGAAAAATAAGGCTTTTTGAAAACTGGCAGTATATCTATCATTCAACGATCTCCCATTTTCTTCTCGTCATCTAAACGGATAAATAGGGGAATTAATCCAATCGTGGACGCCATGTAGTGTCAATGTACGACCTATGTTTGTATGAGGGAAAGGAGAAAAGAAACAAAGGGATGGGGAGGAGTAAGGGGCCCCGGGGGGTAACTGGATCTAAGCTTTGCCTTCTTAATGTCGTTTTCCTTTATCTGCGCGCATCTTCTCCTTTCGGGAAAGTCGTTCGGCAGCCCGAATTAAAGCGGAGCGAATCTCGCCTTTGGGGAAACTGGATATATCGTAGTAAACTGGGGCAATATCCTATAAGAGAAACATTTATAATTAGTGATAAGTTATGAGTGAGAAGAGATGTGAGCCAAATGAGGTCCACCAGAGCGAAAGCACTCACCAAAAGCCATTCCCCTTTCACAGCAGTCACTGTTCTTACATAGTTCTTTGTCGTGAGAACAAATTCATTATACAATACCCATTCCGCTTCATGCCCCAGGACACTACTAGGGTGCAGCAATACGGGCTCATTGTTATCTTTGACAGTCCTGTAAAGATTCTTTCCCTGACTCTCTTTCTTGGCAACCTGCATGAAGAAGCCAGCCACAAGGGCACGGCGGATGTTTTCGTAATATTTCTTGTCTTCGAATGGGGTAGAAACAAGTTCGATTTCTTCCCGCTCCATGATACGTTGTAGCTGCTGTCGAACATTGTCGGCAGATTGAAGAGCACGGAGGGAAAGGAAGTGATCATGGCACCATTGTCGTGGGTTGGCTTGGGCGTTAGGACCCTTGAAGGCGTGGTAGGCGTTCAAGAGTGTAAGGTGGTCACCATCAGGGTGGGCAAAGAGGTTCTTCATTTCATCTGCGCGTTTCCGCTGGGAGGCAGGACGGATGAATATTTGGGGAACGGACAGGAGAGACGTAATAGAGAGGATCTCATTGGAACAGTAGAATTCTGGAGAGCTGATCAACATCACTGCCAGAGCAGGGTCCAGTGGGAATTCGGATGCAAGTCGACCTAGGGGCGTAAGATCTCCTTCGTCATTCAAACAAGCTAGATAGTTTAATTCCTCGAGCGCTCGCATGAGAGTTTCGGGGGCAGGAGGATCCATAAGGTCGAAGTGAACCAGGTCGTCAATTCCAAGCTTCTTCAGGTCCAACACAGTCGAGGACAAGTTGGAACGGAGAATTTCTGGATACGTCTGTTCGATAAGTTCCTTTTTGAATGCGCTCTCGGTATACAATCTGAAACATTTTCCGGGACGTGTACGACCAGCACGGCCAGCCCGCTGCTGCGCAGATGCTTTAGAAATTGGTGATACCAGTAAGGACTCGACGCGAATGCGTGGGTTATAAACTTTCTGCTTTGAAAATCCTGGGTCGACCACATACACAATACCGTCGATGGTCAGAGATGTTTCAGCGATGTTAGTCGACACGATACACTTCCGTCCGGGTCGTCCTCCTTCCTTACGAGGTGGCGGGGGAGGATCAAAAATGCGCTGCTGTTGCGCTGGAGGTAGGCTCCCATAGAGAGGGTATACCTTCATGGGCCCTGCATCGGCTTCTCGAATCATCTCATCTACCTCAAGAGATATTTTGCGCACAGAGTCTTCGATCTCCTCCTCCCCGGTCAGGAATAGGAGTATATCACCTTCCGGTTCATTGGCGTGAATTTGCAAAACGGTACGAATCGCAGCCTCTACGTAATCTTGTTCCGGCTCTGGGGTGTAAAAGATTTCGACAGGGTGGGTTCGTCCAGGGACCGCGAGGAGTGGCGCATCACCAAAGTACCGTTGGAATTTCTGGGCGTCCAACGTGGCAGACATGATAATTAATTTGAGATCTGGGCGGCGCTGAACGACTTCTTTAAGGAGACCCATGAGCACATCGGTAGCCATCGTTCTCTCGTGGGCTTCGTCCAAAATGATGGTGCTGTAGCGTGTAAGATCGTGGTCATGCATCGCTTCCCTCAATAACATACCGTCCGTCATATACTTCAGGATGGTTTTCTGACTCGTCATATCCTCAAAACGAATACTGTAACCGACTTCCTCGCCAAGCTTAACATCCATCTCTGCTGCAACTCGCTCCGCAACTGACATGGCGGCAACTCGCCGGGGTTGGGTACACGCTACAAGCTTGCCTCGCTTTTGCGGAAGATCGTCGAAGAGCACGAACTGAGGGATCTGGGTGGTCTTGCCTGAACCGGTCTCACCGACGAAGACGAGGATTTGGGATTTCTGGTAGAGTTGTAAGAATTCATCCCTACAGCAAATATTATCATTAGCTAGGCGAAATGTCGTGAATGAGGGGGCTCAAATCGCATACCTTTGAGCATGAACTGGTAGATCCCTTCGTGTTTTTAAAATCGAAAAGTATTTGCTTGAGAGCGCTTTACCATTGAAAGGATTCAGTAAAGAATTCTCCGCCTCTCTAGCCATAGCAGCTGTTGTTTCGTGTCGCTTGAATCGGTCAAGGATCGAACCCTCAGTAGCATTGCCATTTGCTGGCGTTTCGTCTTCATACCAATGCGCAAGGTACTTATTCTGTCGAGGATCCATGTCTGCGGTCTGGGTTTTCTGTCTCTTTTTCGCACGAGCAACACTGTCGCCGTCAGGGCGATGGTCCGCCATAGTCGTCAGTGGCAATGCAGTGGGTTCTCGAGGGGTGTGCAGGGTGGCGCAAAGAGATGAGTTGAGGTTTGAAGCTGAAGCTTGTGTCAAAAAAAAGATAGCACGGACACAAAAAAAGAAAATTTTAGCCGACTCCAGGCTCGCCTAAAACTTCCCCGCCTAAGATCCGTGCTTCACCCAAAAAATTCTTGGACAAACATCTTCGACTTCATCTTCATCGAGGTAAAAACCCTGTGGATTGTCGCTCCTTTCCTCCGCTCTGTCGATGTATATTGCTCTTGCACATGGGCTGAAGTGCAATTGAATCATAATGCATGTTTGATTTTTGCCTAACATTGCTTTTCTCAGACCTATTCTCATGCGCCCATCGACTACCCCTCCAGTTGATTGAGTGAAGCTGCAAGTTCTTAATGTTTCGGTTTTAGATATTTGTGAATTTTTCTTTCTCTCCCACTTTTCTCTTAAATATCTTCAACTTTTGCAGTGTACCGAACTATATGCGCTCTGCTTACCCTACTACTAAACGCCCTCACTTGTACCCTGCCGCTGTGCGGTGGTTGCAACTATGGAGTCACAAGATGATTTGACCCCAACCTTTTGTATTGGACAACATGAAACTCGGCGCACTGTGCCAGTATCGCCTCAACTAGTCCAGTTGGCGCAAGAGGGTAATGTACGTATATCAGCGAATACATGTTTTTGCGCCTCTGCAAATTGCTAACGGTCTTCCTAGTATGATCTACTCACAACCCCCATCACGACTCCTCTTTTCCATTCCCGCGTCCTTACGCTGCTTTCTACCCACCTATCTGACTCGCGCCCACCTGCTCTCGACGCGACTTTAACTTTGGGAACGTCACATAATACTAGTCCTGTGACGGTCCCGCCACTTTCACCTGAAGATACTTTCTTGACGCCAAATGAGTCCACAAGCCAGCTGGTTGGTGTCACTAGTCCTTGGATAGATCTTTGTTCTCCAGATCCTTTGATAGCAGACATATCTCGCCAAGTATTGAACCTGGAGATCGCCTACACTGCGTTTTGCGGCGTCAGTTTCGTTATCATCCCAGGCCCAAGATTACACCATGGAAATGTGCACGGGGAAGGTCTGATGTATTATGCTCGCGCAGTTCAGGATATTTTGAATATCGGGCTTTATATCCAAGTGCATATCTGGTTTGGTATGGTAGATATCCCGGATCTGGAAACTAACAATGTTGGTGACCTCGCCCCCTTTGCTAGAGCGGATTATCTTATCGTAGGAAACTACTCACCCACCAAGGTGGACTTATTTGGTACTTGGGAAGCTTGGGACGTTATCAGAAAAGTATGTAAATATCATTCGAGACTTTTCGTAGGTAAGAATAAAAACAATCTCTCCATACTATGTTTTGTCAAATATATCCGCTCGTGCAGCTTTAACCCATGGTGTGGACATGGAGACGATTGCTCGTAAGAATGAACTTGCTGATCTGAATGGAACAGCTTTATCGATCCCAAAACACCTTCCGCCCATGTCTGTACAGACACGATGGCATGCTGAACCAGTCCATATCCTCACAATCGCAGGGTCGTCATTCATCAAGAACCAGAAAGGGTTTCCCGTTTTGCCCAAGGCGCACCAGGCCATGATTGCTCACATGATGCGGCTCCGCACCCCACCGTGGATTATTCTTTGCGATGTTGGCCCGATTCCCGGGCTTGAGGTTGGTCAATCGGGCTCTGAGACGGATTCGACCCCCAGAATCAGCCCCCGAATCGAAGCTGAGGAAGCCGATCCTACCCCCGCGGAAGCGCACCGGCATTTCAGATCTGGGTCTAATAAAAAGAATTTTGACCCAACCCCTCACCTGTCCTATATGAGAAATCTCCAGCAGAAACAGCCTACTCGGACTCCTATGGAGCGATTTGGAGTTGGATATCAAGATTATTTACAGGCTCCACTCCAGCCCCTTACCGTTAACTTGGAAAGCATAACTTACGAGGTGTTCGAGAAAGATCCTATTAAGTACGAATGGTATGAGCGTGCAATTGCCAAGGCTTTGAAAGACTGGGCGGAACAGGGAAAGCCAACTTGCCATCCAGAAGGCCATGTGGTGCTTGCTGTAGTTGGTGCTGGACGAGGTCCCTTGGTCACCCGAGCTATTCGCGCGAGTGTTGAAACTGGCGTGGCCATTGAAGTTTGGGTTGTGGAGAAAAACCCTAACGCCTTCGTTCTGTTACAACGGCATAACGAGGGTTTGTGGGGTGGCTGTGTGAACTTGGTGAAATCAGATATGCGCAGTTGGAAAGGCCCGCACCGTTTGGCTCCTGAGTCTGGTAGGTACTTCCCAGCTGTATTGAAGAGGAGAGAGTAGCCATGGATCAATTGCTAAAAAAAAACTTGAAGGAGATTCCGACGAGCCACCCAACATTATCCACACGCCAATAGATATATTAGTTTCAGAGTTACTGGGGTCATTTGGAGACAACGAACTATCTCCTGAATGCTTGGATGGCGTCACTCACCTGCTCAACCCTGTCCATGGGATTTCAATCCCAGCCTCATACTCTGCACACCTTTCCCCAATTTCCTCTCCACGCCTCCATGCGGACATAGCCAATCAATCAATCACCAACCCAGCTGCGCCAGAAACACCTTACGTCGTTATGCTACACGCGTTTGATTTCCTCTCCACCCTCCAACAGCCTGTAGAACCCAAGAGTGCCAGCGCCAACAAGCCGACAAGCGGGGGAGGAGGAGGAGGAGGAGGAGGAGGCCAGAGTACTCAGGGCGGTGGAAACACCGCGCTGCCGCGCGCCAGTGAATCCCCAACACCAATAATAAAATCAGCGTGGTCATTCTCGCACCCCAACATCAACGCGCCGCCGCCTTCCCCAGTTTCATCCACAATCTCCAACGCGCACAACGTCCGACGAACCAGGTTAGCGTTCCCCTGTCGAGAACGGGGCACTTGCCATGGCCTCGCCGGCTATTTCGAGACTGTCCTGTATGATGATGTTGAGCTATCGACGAATCCAGTGACAATGGATGCCAAGAGTGCCGGCATGATAAGCTGGTTCCCGATATACTTTCCGCTCAAGGTGCGTTCGAATTTATACCATTATTCATTCCATTTTTATACAAGGATTCTCTCTCTACTTCTCTCCCCTCCAAAAAAAAAAAGAAAGGAAGGAAGAAAGAAAAAAGAAAAAACTAAAAACAGGAAATCCACCTCAGACCCCCCTCACCGTCCCCGCCAACTCCGAAATCGTCGTAACCATGTACCGCCAAACCGACAACCGAAAAGTTTGGTACGAATGGATCGTCGAGGTATTCGCGCGCGATACATCGTCGCCGCTACCAGCAGCGACAACCAGCAGCGCATCGTCGCAGCCGCAGCAACCTTCCCCTTCCCCTTCCACTTCCTCTTCCTTACCACTACCATCACCATCACCAACGTCGCCGCCAGCCAGAGCTGAGAAAGGCACCGATGTCGACAAGGACAAAGCGGCCGGGGACTTCAGGAGAGTGCGTGTCGCGATGAGTGAGCTGCATTCTAGTATCAAGGATGGGTGCTTGATGTAATTTTGTGTGTTTTGCGGGTTATGGAAAAAAAAGAACAGGGGGGGGGGGGGGGGGGGCGGCACCCACAATCCTGGGTACGGACGGGTATCTATCTAATTTTATTCCATGAACCATACCTTACGACGTTTTTTTTTAACAAAGAAAAGAAAAGAAAAGATAAAATAAAGAAAAAGAAACAAAATTCAATTCCGTGGACTCATTAGTTCTCTGGTCTGATCAGGGCCCGCTACCCGCTAGTAGATACATTTGTATAATTACCCCTTGACTCCCTTTAACCAGCCTCCTCTATATATCAGCTCGAGCCGCTCGCTCCTTGGCTGATTCGTACGAACAATACCTAGTTAACCCCTGACCCTGAATTACGGTGTCACACACAGCACATCTCATCCATTGTCCTAGAACAACATCTAACATCAGCAAATAGCAAGGAGGTAATCGGTGCTGCTGTGATATGCTGTACTCTAAATCTAAAAGTAACTACTATGATGTTTTTCTCCCTCCCAGCCGGTAATCTCACCGAGCAGTTCAAATAAATGATATTTCATGAATAAAACCCTTTCCTTTTCCTTCACCATGACTATTACCTATATCCCGGAACCTTAAAAATCTTAAATTTATTAAGAATTAAGCGCGCCGAACGGCTTGCGTTGTCAGGCTTCCTGCTACAGTGAAATTCATTTCCCTTTCTCACCCCATTCTTTTTTTTCCTTCCCTTGGGTCCACATTGCTACAACTCGGCGGCATCATCAGCATTAGTCCCCGATCCGGTCACATTACTGTTACCAGGACCACTACCGCCACCGTGTCCATTCGACTCCTGCTTCTCCCCCTCCGTAAGTCCCTTCCGAATTGCAAGCACGCTATCGACAATAACGGCGTCAATGCCTTCTTTAACTTGCAACTATATTTCCCGAATATCGTCAGTATCTCCCAATTAGACAAGACTACCACATCTTCTTCCCCCCCCAGGACATGAAGGGAAAGGGAGAAAAATGATATAAGAAATCCATACCTTCACATTCTTCGGCTCATTATTTGCAATCCCGTACGAAACACAAACAAGACCAGACTCCTTCACAACTCTCACAAGCCGCGGCGCAATAATCAACGGCTCCGCCGCCGTCACAACCCCTAGTAAATTCCACCGAGAAGCAAATCGGATGGCTTCCTGCAGACTACTAGCGCGCACATCGCCCACCCTGGTGATGCCAGAGTCCGTCAGAAACATAACAGGGATAGAGGGCTGTTTGAAGGAGAGCAAAAGGCAAATGTCCGGATTGAAGGAGGAGAAGATCATGTTACGGCCCTGCCCTAGGTCATAGACCTTCGTCAGTACAGTGTCGACAAAAGAGTTTAGCTCAACGGCATAGGTGTCCATTTCTTCTTCTTCAGATTCGTGGAGCATGGGGTATTCTTTTTTGTGTTTTTTTGGTCAGCTTATCTATACCATTGTATATTGGATATGGGCTGGGTGGTCTTTGATTAAAAAAAAAAAAAAAAAAAAAAAAAAAAAAAAAAAAACTTACTCATTTCAATATTAAATCCAACGTCCTTTGGCAGCTTTTTGAATAATTCCTCCAACGTTGCGAACGGGGCTTGAATGTGGCTGCCACGGGAGTTCCCTTTGAAACCCTTTTTCTTGAAATCGCGGGTATGTTTCATCTTCTCGCTCATGTGCATCGATGGCGTAAACCCTTCACCAACGGACATCGACCGTTGACGTCGCGCAGCTGATGTTCGCAGGTCCGCCAGGAGTGGATCTTCAGCCTTAAATGATCCCCCTTGGTCTTCAGATTCACGTGGCCTACGGCCGTCGCTGAGGTGTAAGAACTATATTTGTGAGAAAGGAAGATAAAAGAGGTCAGTTGGCAGCTCGCGGGTAATGGGTGATGATAATAACTACAAATGCAAAAGAACAAAGAGAGGAAGTTTTAAGGCAGAATGGAGAAGAAACTCACTTGCTCCAAGGTTAGCGTGTAAACTGGTGCATCAATTCCTGTTTCACTGACGAGGAAATCATGATATATCACAGGTACATGATCCTTCGTCAGTTGCACATCTAGCAACAGCTGTCAGCCCAAAATGAGGAACACTATTAATGATTCAGGGATGCTCAAGGAATGGGAGCCGGAAGGGTTGGGTATATATACCAAACTACATCGCCCCCCAAAAAATTCTTCGTTAGCCACCTTTTCAGAAATCGCGACATAATCTGCGAATGAGCCAGATGGACTCACCTCAACATAAGATGCACCCAGATTTGCCGCCGCGATAAAGGACTGCGAATGTTAGAAATGCACCTCGCAAAGACGAGGGAGAAAAGCCCTCGAAACCCCCGACACACCTGGATTGTATTCTCGCCCAACTGTAGCGACTTGCGACTAGCCATGTTTTTCCCAAGGCCTTTGTTCAAGTTAGGAACCGGTCATAAGAGAGCATAAAAAGGTAGAGAAATGGGGGATTTGGGTCAGCTTCGAATCACCTCGATGCCCAATAACCATCGGCGAAGCCATGCTCTTCCAGTACGTCTGGTCCTCGGTAATCGACATATTCGGATGCTTGAACGGCGTAATAATGAGGAAATTAAACGTGACACTACCAATGATATCGAGAGTATTTGCCGCGATTATCGGTATGGTCACGTCTCCTTGTAGGTTTATGCGCTTCGAGCCGACTGTGGGTTTAATGCTTGACAGTAATGCGACACCACGACCGACGATTTGTTCCTTGGAGCCCGCGTAGGTGGGGATTAGGTCGAAGATGATTTTCACTTTGGAGGCGTCTGCAGCGTAGAAGGCAACGGGGTCCGTGGCAATGCTCTCTTGGATGGGAAGGTCGATGATCTCGGGCTCGCCACGTGCCTCGTTTGCGGATATTACGATGGATAATGCAGTGTCTAGCTGCGTTAGATGGGCACTAGCCACGGGAATACGATCGAGGTTAACAGCGTGTACTGATTTTCGCATGTCCATTGTCCCCAGACTGACCAGAATCATGCTGTCATCGGTTAGATAGCGATGGCCAAAGGTTTTGACGGGCTCTGTCGTACGAGCTGCGGATTTTCGATCTGCTAACGAGGCTTGAGTGGGAGGGGATAAAGAACGAGCTGGTGGGGTGGAGGGATCTGAATCACTCGAGATCTCGATTGGGGGAGTAGCTTCTGCCAGCAGTCGAGCGATAGCCATATGGCCCCTAAGAGCAGCATGTTCTTTAGCGGTCCAACCGGAGGAGTCAGGACGTTCTAGATCAGCGCCTGCATTGATCAGAAGCTCCACCACGCCCAAACTCCCATCGACACAGGCGATGAACAGCGGAGTCCAGGAATATGTATGCTCCGCGAGCTCAGTATTGGCCTTTTGATCGTGCGAGCCGTCTAGAAGCGCCTTGGCGCACGCATCGTGGCCAAGCCTAGCTGCAACGTGGAGGGCGGTTTCACCCTGCTCGTCCTGGTAATTGATATCTACACCGGCGTCCACGAGGAGCTGGACAATGTCTACGAAATTCGCCTTGGTAGCGAGCGCGAGCACAGCACTCGACTTAGACATATGCTTCCGGATCGCAGCTTGTTGCTCGTTTGTTCCCTTCCAGTTCTCCGCATTCAGCAACGCTCGAGTAGTCAGGGGATGGCCTTCAATGACACTGAGATGCAACGGCGCCCAACCCTCGTCATCCTGCCAGTTTGGGCCATCAATGCCCTGGGAAACATCGAACATGTTCCATGCTTGTAGATGTTCAATGATAACATCACATACCACACGGAATCCATACTGAGCTGCGTAATGGAGTGGAGTTCGTCCAGAGATATCCTTGGCCAGCAGCGCAGCTCTTTGCTCCGGACGGAGATTGTCCAGGAGGTGCTCCAATAATGAAACAGCGTCGTCCATCCTACTTAGTAAAGGCATCCGCCCGGACTCCTTCACTACAACGCGCGGGTATTGGAGGGTCGGCGGAGCAGCCGGGGTTATGTAGTTAGAAGCCTCGTTTGGGAAGTCGAGTACTTGACCGGCAGAGAGCTCCGAATCGCTCGTTGACTGCGAGCGTCCAATGGAGATGACAAGTCGATGGATGCAATTTCGTCTATTTATGTCGTCATCTTCATCCAGCGTATCGAGCTTCCCTAGCAATGACACTACGGAATCCCTGGCACGATAGAAAATCGCACGCTGTAATAGAGCCTTCAAAGCTTTTAAATAGAGACTTGAGTCTAATTCCTCCGCCGCAATCCGCAACGTGGGAAGCAGCTCCAACATAATGTGGGTATCATCTTTGCGCAATGCATCGTCAAGAGCTAGAAGAAGGCTTTGCGGCAGCTTGAGGATTGGTCGCGAGGTAGGTTTTACCACGGATCGAGAGGAGTGCGTGGAGCTCGCATCGTCAAAGCCCTTTTCATCTCCCAACACAGATAACCAATCATTGATGATTTTTAGAGACTCCTGTAAACCCGCATTCGTAGCAAAAGGGGACGGGTCAACCTTGGTTGGCAGATATCGCCTCTGCGCTTGCGCACCGGGTAGCCTCCTATCAAGTTTCTTCGTAATTTTGATGAAGCCGCGACGATTGACCTCGCCATACCACTGCAATTTCCTAAGCTGGCCACGCAGTTCGAGAAGTGCAGCGAGGAGGTCCTCAGCGTCTTCAAAATCGAGGTTCTGCGAGCCAATGGCTGTATGGCCATAACGGTCCTCCAACAGTTTCAGGCGGCGGGAGAAGTCTGCGAATTTTTTGTTGTAGAAGTGGTCGACGTCTTCCAAGTTACGGTCGAGGGAGTAGAAGAATCCTGTGGAATAAAAACAAAAACAAAAACAAGGGGAAAAAAATCTTAGTACATGGACAAGAGCCTCACACTAGTTGATTGAGTACATTGGCAAGATGAGATGCAAGATCAACCCACCAGCCAGGTCTGGGTCATGGCCCTCCTTCTGCGCCTCAATTTCCGATTTGATCAGCTTTTTCAAGCCTTTGTAGTTGATATATGACGAGCTCCATTCAGGCACAACATTCCTTGCAAGGTTCCGGCCGAATTTCATGATGTATCAGGTATGGTCTGATGTTTTCTTCCGTAAAGTATCCGGCGTATCTCTGAGCAAGCGAAAACCGGATGCCTAACTCTAACCTCCTTACCGTCTCAACGATATAAAATTCCGATCGACTTGCTGACTGAGGCGTGGTAAAAATTTCCCGAGGCAAAAAGGGAAATGGATATATAAAAATGGCAATGGAGTCGAAAACCACAAACAAAAACGAGGCCCGTCAAAAGAGAAAAAAAAAAACAGAAAAGAGGGGACAAACTCTCAATGAGGGCCGCTTCCTCGAGGAACACAAAAGCGAGAAGGGGGAATAATAGAAAAACAAACAGCACAAAAGGTGGCAATGGGTGCTGCAAGTGCCATCTTTTGCTATGATATATTTACTTGAAGCATGTTTTTCGTGTTTCCTTTCGGACTTTTTGGTTTTTCGTATGATGGATTCGCTGCGCAACTCTCAAAAATCAAGCTGTTTCGCCCTTGCTCTCGTCGTGGTTTCAGTTCCTGAAAGAAAAACGGGGGAGGGGTGGTGGAGGGTTTCTTCGTCCGTATATATATATATATATATATATATATATATATATCTACTGCACAGCAATCAACGTACAGGTGTCATCAATTAGCCTAACTCATTCGATATGCCTACTGGAAAAGGATGGCAAAGGAATTGGAGGTGGAGAAGGCGGGGGGAAGAGCAGGGAACATGTTTGAGATGGCTGCAGCTGTTCCAAAAAAGATCAGAGGAAGTAACTATAGATAGCACCTACTGTAGTCCCTTTCCTTCCGGCTTCCTCTTTGGCTAACAGGAGGCTACGCGGGGAGGTAATTCTCTCCACAGCAGCGAAGCGAAGTTGAAGTTAAGAACGAGCGTAAGCAGAGAGACGGATCTCCCCAGAAACTCTGCGGGCTCGATTGAATAAATCAGATTGATTCAGTGAGCCAAGCACTCTCTGGGCCCCGTCGATGAATAATGAATGACCTTGCGCGATGGGAGTGGTTGTGGGTCTAGCGTCGTCTGTGTCACGAAAGCCACTGCAGCTAGCGGGCAAGATCGCTGTTTGAAGCTGCATACGATTACCGAGAACAAAGCACGCGGCACAGGATGAACCCGGACACGAGGGAAGTTGAAGATGAAGTTGAAGATGAAATTGAAGACGAAGTTGGTGGAGGAGTTGGAGGAGGAGGAGAACAAACCCAGAGAGGAACAAAGAACAACATTCGACCATGTATGTATGTATGTACGGTACGGTACGGTCCCGGGCAAGGGTTCCTCCCATGGTTGGTTCCGAAAGCGGGCAGTGTGAACACACCGCGGCCTGTGACTGGCCAGCGACCGGTGGGGCCGTATTGAGATGGTAATGCAGCTGTATTTGATACCGCAGGCCACATTCCGGCCCGTGAACCAGGTACAGCGACGGCTGACGTCATACCAGCCCGGGGAGGGGGAAGGAACGAATGCATGTGACATAGGACTGCAGCGGGCCCTGAAGCGGTGTGCGGGAGATTTCTTCCGGGAAGGGATAGGGAATGTAATGGAGAATGCTGAAGGGGAATAATGAAGGGGGAATGGTGGATGGGGAATGGTGGATGGGGAAACCTGGAGGCCTCCCTTGCTTGGGTGGTGTGCCGGCCAGTATCCATCCATATCCATCCACCAGCCTCAATGTGCATGATAGGCACCTCCCGCCGAGAGATACGCGATTTCAGACCCGGAATGGCCGGAGATGTGCGTCGTTGGTTGGTGCACGGATAACCAACCCTACCAAATGTCTCGCCCCTTATCTCGGCTCAACCGTGGTGTGGTACGAATGCCACCTGTCCCTCTGTCCGTCGGCATGGTGTCCGTGGGGCAAAATAGCAAAACTACAGCGGGCATCGATCGGGAGCCAGGGACTTATAATTTGCCATCATCGGAGGTGGAGGCGAATGCCACTGTCTACCTATGGTGTGGAAAACCATACTACAAGAATGAATGCAAAGAAAAGAAAAGAAAAGAAAAGAAAAGGATTGGCTGAAGCAGATCTCGTCTATCCATTGTTTGAAAATATGTAAACACTGAAGAAAAAAATGAAGATTTAATGCCTCTGCGCGTAGATGTCTATCCCCGATTTCTATCTATTCTCAAATGTCGGGTCAACTTTTTGATAGCGAGAATCAAAGAATAAAAAGAACATGAAAAGGAAGGTGTATGGGATGTTAAGAAGATGGAGGGAAGAGTTGTGACTTAAAAAAAAACCGGACTGCTATCCACCGAAACAAAGTCATGCAATAATAGAATGATAAAGGAAAGAAGGAAATGTCCCATAACATATCGAAAGGTGAGGGGGGAAATAAGTAATATGGGACAAATACCAGAAAGCCATAGAAAGAGAGAGAGAAACCACCCCTGAAGAGAAAATATAACGAAGATAAAAGATGAAAAAAGCTTAACAACACAAGACGGATAGATAAAGGTCAAAGCAAAAGAAAAAAGCGAAGTGATTAAAAATAATAAATGACCAATTAAGGGTAAAAACAAAATAAACCAAACCAAACCAAAAGTCGAGCGATGCACAATAATTATATCAAATTAAACACAATAACCACACGGCATACCGAAAGAGCAACGTGGAAGGGGGAGATAAGGAGAAACAGAAACAGAAAAAAGACATCATATCATATCAACCCTCAACCAAAATCCTCAACCCTTCCACACCACACCGCAACACTTCCTCCCCCATCCCTCCCCCTCCCCCTCCACCAGCACCACTACCACCACCACCACCCGCAGCAACAGCAACAACAGCAGCAGCATCTTCCCCAGCGCCTGTAGCGCCAGCACCCCCAACCAAACACCCCCTCAACACCTCCACAGCCCCCCTCTCCTTCAACACCCTCCTCGCCTTCCTCCCCACCTCCCCCTCGCAACATCCCATATTCCTCACACAAACAAGGCCCCGATGAACCATCTCCATTCCCCCACCTCCACTCTCTCCCTCCCTGCACATCGCCAACACCACCTCAACGCCCCCCTCCCTCTCCAGCACCGCCTCCACAGCCCCTTCAAACTCAGTGAGTGCCGCCAGCGCACCGCCCGCCGCCCTCCTCGTCGCCAGGTCCCGAGCATCAGCCAGTGCCAGGAGGATGTGCAGCCGCTGCGCCGCGCGGTGGGTGCCGTCTGCGAATTTTGCGACCGCGTCGGGACAGGTGGTGAGGTTGCAGGTGAGTTCGGTGGCAGCGCGTTGGAGGTGGATGTTTGAGGAGAGGAGGAGGTTTTCGATTGTAGGGAAGGCGAGGCGGGTTATTAGGGCCGCGGCGCTAGGGGCCGAGATGGAGCCTGGTGGTGACGAGGAAGTGGAGGCAGAAGTTGAGGCGAGGTTGGTGAGTGCGAGGAGAGATTCGAAGGCTGGAAGGAGGTCGCGTGGGGTTTCTGTAGAGAGTGAGGGGGAGGGAGGGGTGGTTGTGGTGCTGGGTAATGATGACGGATCGAGGAGGTAGACGAGAGGTCTGATTGCGGTGGTGATTTGGGGCGAGCCGGTGGAGGAGAAGACGTGGCCGGGGTTAACGGAGATGAGGATGCGGGCGAGGGCGTGGGCAGCGTTCTGGGTCGGTTCGTCATTCTGGCGGTAGTTGGTGCTGTTCTCTGTGCGGGAGGAGAGGAGGGATAGGAGAAGTTTAACGGCGCCTTGCTGGGCGAGTTTGCCGCGGGTTTGTGGGGTTTTGGAGAGGGAGAGGAGGATTTTGCTAATTAGGTCTTGGATGGAGTTCGATGTTGCGTTTGATTTGTTACAGTCGATGAGAAGGGGCATGATACCAGCATTGATGACGGCTGCACAGCGCTCTTTGACGTAGTTGTCGTCGTCCAGGGGGTCGGATGCTGCAGGTTTGGTTGAAGCGTTCGCGTAGGACCTGAGCTCGGAGATTTTCTTTTGTTCTTCAGATAAAGTAGGACGGTATTTCGTGAGATTATGGATAATCATGAGTCCACCATAAATGAGGGATTGGTCGGTAATATTGTTCTTGAGAAGAGCCTCAAGGTCTGACTGGAAACTCGAGCCCTTGGAAACCAGCTGCTCCTTGACATCTGGCTTCACGGAGGAAAACACCAGGCCCTCAACCAAACGATGGAAGTCACCTTTCTGCGGACGCTGAGCAAGGAGGTTTTTGAATCTTTCAACGAGATCATGGGAACTACCACCCGATAGTTCGTTCCCCAGGACTTTACTCGCTGACGTGGATTTCAGAATTGCACCGTTTTCGGAGGCCCGGATTTTGGCCAAAATTACAGCAGCCAATTCGGCGTGTTCGTCGGTTTCTCTGCTCAACGTACGAGAGAGCCATTCTCCACAATGGCTATCGATTGCTTCGCGACACTCTTTGTCGATGCAGGCGGCGTTGAACAGCTCCAGCACAGCGCGTTCCACGGTTCTACCTCTGCGCTTCTGTTCCAGCAAGCCAGCAAGAGATTGAACAAACTTATTTGTCAAGAAGAGGGTTGCAGTGATGGAAGGGATGATGGGGAAGACAGCAGCAGCAGCAGAGAATGCGATTACGTAGTCGTCATTCCGCTGTCTTGAAACACGAGCGGTAAGGATCTTGGAGAACAGCGTCTGGCCGGTTTCTCCGGCGGCTTCGAGGTATTTGGCGGTTGCTAAAGTGGCCTGGCTGCGTACGTCGCTAGGTAGCCTCAGGTCCAGAGAGGATAAAATGGCATCAAAACACTCCTCATCAACCAAATGTTGCAGATTTTCAGCGTCGACTGCAAGGAGTCGAGCAATACCCTTTAGAGAGCGGCCGTCCAGGTCATGCCCCGACTCCATCAGCTTGGCAATAAAAAGCTGGAACAGCTCACTTTTGCAGTGATTGCGCACTTGCTCAGACCGCCACAGTGCAGTATCTAGTACCGCAGTATCTAGACACGTGACAGCGCCATCTCCACGGTCGTATATCTCGTCGAAGAACTGGGTGACGGACAATTGGAGCTGTGCAGCAAAATGGCGGCGAATATGCGGGCTGCTCCGCATCAGGGCAGTGATTATCTCATCCTGGGTATTCGAGAGGCTTGCGGCAGGGCACGAGAGGATGAGGTTGAGGGCATCGATAGCGGCTTCGGGGGGCGGCACTAGGTCATCGGCGCGGAGGCGCGAGGCCGCTTCGCGACCAGCGCCTTCGTCCTTGTAGGTGACATAGCGACGACATAGGTTCACGAGAGGGTGGCCTGTCTCTTCATCCTCTGATATTTTTTTAAAGACGGATCTGACCTCCTCGTTCGCTGGAGCCAGGGAGATCGCCTCCCGAATGTTTCTTGAAGCGGCCTAAATCTCACAATGCTTCAGTAACCAATACATGGTGAAGCGGAACGGAAAGATGAATTACCTCTCGGTGGCCAGCATCCACTAGTTCGACGGCCTCTCTAACCAGCTGGACAGCGCGGTCAGTGGAAGCAGACTGTACCATGGAGGCGACGAGCTGTGGGAAAGGCCGCTCGTGTTCGATAGTTGGCCTGGAGTACGCTGTCGCCGATGTAGTGTATGGAACGCTCTTCTGGCTAACACAAGTAGCTGTTGGCAGGAGACGTGGGAGGCAAGATTTTAACAGTTGGCCTTGGATATTGCTAGCGGAATGGTGGCGGGACGATGAGGACCCTGCTCAAGCAGGAAGCGCAGACAGCAAAACGTCACGGGCGAAAACCAACGGCGTGCAGCCAAAACGGAGACGGGAAGTAAGATGTAAAACCACAAGTAGCTACAGGCGACAAGAGAGAAATTGAAAAAGAAAAAAGAAAAAAATCGCGCTGACCAAAGTCTGGTTGCAAGCTTGGGTGGGATAAAGTTAAGTTCGGTTGGCGGTTGGGCGGAGAGGAAATTTGGAATGATTCTGTTATTTAGTTGACAATTTACACTTTTTCATTCCATAATCAAACCGCAAAGATAAACAGCCGAGTTAACCGTAAATGGAAGAGCCTGATCTTATTTTATTATTTTAGTTTCTTAATTTGTTTATTTTTCTTTCTTTCTGGGAAGTGTGAGTTGTATCGAGTTGTAATAGTTATGTTGAGAATTAACAGTCATCAGTCAGAGAGAGAGAGAGAGCAAAAATTCCAACGGAATCAGCAATCCCCATGAAGCATTCGGCGGAATTAAATACTAGCAATCATAACCAACTAGCTGGTGAGACGTGAGGTAAACTCTCTGTCCTCCTCCGATGACACGATATAATTTCTTTTTCCCCAGAGAGCAGACAGAGACCAGCCGGGTTGGCTCTTGCATCGTTGAGATAGTTGATCCGTAGTTAGTTATGCGAATGAAACGAGTCATCGACATCATCGACTGATAAGAGTGGCGCTTTGTACTCGTGCGATGAACCCAGACCGCGATTCCATCCAACCGTGCAGCTCGCCGGCTCCACGCCGCTGCCAGGACCACTAGTTACCAGCCAGTCGTCTACGTAGTGTTGCTCTGTGTGTCGCGCTGGGTTCCTCCATGTTTGAGATAAGCAGCGCTGTAGTAATAGCCAGGATATTGGATAGTATTTGTCTTGGGTCCTGTCCAGGCGCGGTTTGTATTTGCCAATGCTTATCTGTGTGGCAGTGTGCGATGCTGGTGTTCCAGGGATCACAGGAGATGAAGCCGAAGATAAAGTTGCAGCAAAAATTACTTTCTGCAAGCAGCCTCAACCACAAGCTTCAGGATACAAACACAACCACAACCACAACCACAACCACAGCTACATCTGCATCTGCATCTGCAGCTACAGCCACAACTACGATTACAGTTAGAACTGCATCTGCAATAATCGTCTGACGAATACCGGCAGCTACAGCAACCGTTTCATCTCCTTCCCACCATGCCACCGTAGCTATCTCTCTCCTTCACCTCCATCCATCCTCTATGCACCCGCCACGGCGGCCACGCTCTCACCATGAACGCTGTCGATGGCCCAACCCACTACGATCCCTCTTCTAGTGGTATATCCCATTCCCCTTCGCTCTTCACTCCAACCTAATTAATCAGTGTAGCAATCGACTAACTGATGAATGCATCCCTTCTCATCTGGCAGGCCCCACTCCCTCCCTCCTCACCATCATCCTCGATACAAACCCCCATGCCTGGGCCCGCCTTGAGCCATCCCTCCCTCTCTCCGCCGCCATTGCAAACCTCCTCGTCTTCATCAACGCCCATCTGGCCTGTAACTATGCAAATAAAGTCGCCGTCGTCGCCTCCCACTGCCATCATGCAGCCTGGCTCTACCCTACCCCCGCTTCCCCCAAATCCTCAGACTCACAGACTGATCCGCCATCCAAAGACGCACCGCCAGATGGAGACATCAACATGAACGGCCAACAGTCGGCCGGACAATACCAGCAAGCAGAGCAAGAAGAGTCTCTAAATAAATATCGCCCCTTCCGCCTTGTCGAAGAACAATTAACCCGCAACCTCCATACCCTGCTCTCAACCACCACCGCTGCCGACATCGCTTCCACAACCTCAACCTTGATCGCCGGCGCCCTAACCTTGGCCCTGAGCCACATCAACCGCGAAACCATCGCCTACGCCGAAACCCACGGCACCGCAAGGCCAGACGGCTCCACCTCCGGCCCCGCAAACAGCACAGCATCAGGCCTCCCACCTCCCCCCGGCACCACCGCATCAGCGACAACCTCCCACCTCCCCAACCCCTCAGCGCTCCAATCCCGCATCCTCATCATCTCCCTCAGCAGCACCACCCACTCCGCCCACCACTACATCCCCATCATGAACAGCATCTTCGCCTGCCAACGCCTGCACATCCCCATCGACATCCTCAAGCTAGCCGGCGACGCTGCCTTCCTCCAGCAAGCCTCCGACGCCACCCGCGGCATCTACATCCCTGCCACCTCCCACCCCGCCGGCTTCCTGCAGTACCTGATGCTGGGCTTCCTCCCGGACCAGCGCGCGCGCTCACACCTCGTCCTGCCCAGCCGCGTCGACGTGGACTTCCGCGCCGCCTGCTTCTGCCATCGGCGCGTGGTCGATGTCGGCTTTGTGTGCAGCATCTGTCTGAGCATCTTCTGCGAGCCGCTGGCCGGCGTTGACGGCGTTGCGGAGTGTTTGACGTGCGGGTCCGAGTTGGCCGTCGGCGAGTATGCCGTTAAGCCTGTTGTGGTCGGGGCGAGGAAGCGGAAGAGGAAGAAGGAAAAAGGCGTTGGTGGGAAAGGGGGGATATCGTCTGGGACGGCCACCCCGACTCCCACTCCGGGAGCGCCTACATAGAGCATCGCCCAGGATTGGGGTCCCCGGTGGTTTTTCTTTTTCTTTTTCTTTTTTTTTTTTTTTTTCCAGGCTTGTACTATAATTAAGTCCATCTAAGGTTTTCCTGCTAAACTAAAAATACGGCGCTCCAATCGAACTTATTCCCACCACGTCCTATCTATAAAATAAAACGTGCATTATGATGTATTACAGCATTGCCCGGTGCGATGCACCTCTCCAGTCATACCTGTATATTAAAATTCCAACCCAACGCCCGTCCCACTCACATACATTTTTAATACTATAAATATACATATATACCCGCCCGCATGATTGATTCCTACATGCACTACCGATTTCTTGATCCTGACTTACCCTCAACCCCTTGGCACTGTAACAAACATGCGCAGGCCAAGATCAGCGATCCTTCGCTAACCCATCAATGAAGACGCCAACATATCTTCCGCACATATTATATTTATTCTACTTACCCTCCCAGGTGGTTTGAGCTATGCATCATCAGGCTCAGCCCTGAGGCCTGCGTAATGAAGTCCAATCCATTCCTCCCTCCAACCAGAAGAAAAATGTATGTAGTACGTTGCAAGTTCACGCCAAGAACCACCAACGTAAGAGGTAGCGGCATGTATAATTTGTCTTTTCTTCCTGCAGGTCTGACAAATGGTAAAACGCCTCTGTTACCTGAGGCACTTGGAGGAATTAATGGAAGCAAGAGTCATAGTAGGGAGAGCTATGCTGCGTGGACACAAAGGGCGTGAGGAGGCTGTGAGAAACGAGGGATGAAGGCCGAAAGAAACGACAAAGAGGAGACCGGATATTAAAAAAGGAGTACATATTAACGAACGGTATGGAAAAAAAAAAAACCAAAAGATATGCCAACCAATCACTTCTTCCGAGCAGCACACACGGCCAAGGCTGTCTGTCTATGGAGGAGCTCCAGCGCCCGTACTTGATTGTCTCTTCGTTAGCGAGCACGCCATCCTCAAAAACATCCAAGGTTTATCAAGATGCATCGGTGTAAAATCGGCAGTATCTCATTTGATGCTCGCATCCCGTTATCAGCCCCCCCTATTTTGTACTGCTGACTGACTAGCCCACAATAATGGGAACATCCGAAAGAAAACTTGTTAGGTCTGTTGCTCATGCTGAAATTCAAAAGGACCTGAAGCAAAAAGCCCTTTTCAAAGAATCCAAGTCCGTTGTGTAAGCCAAGCAAGCAATATGTTTTGCTGTCCATACTTATGTTTAGTTGTCTGAGCTAAAATCCGTCGAAAAGAGGAAGTATCAGGGGGGAAAATGGAATGAAAAGAAAAAATTATGAATGGGAGACCCACCGGAGCATGGAATATGTGAAGCAAGCGATAACGGAATTAGTCTCCAAGGACAAGATACCTGCCTTCGAAGTGCCGCAATTTCAAAGTCACACATTGATAGAAAACAACTTCCGGAAACGTAGGTTTGGACGCATGGACAGAATGCCTTTTTCTAGCACTAAGAGGCGGAATACCTGAAGATAAAAATGACACCAAGTTAGCAACTTAAGTCTCCATAGTCCTAATGTCCAATGGATCCCTTATTATTTGATATGGGCATGGTAAAAAGGGCTTTAGGACATGTCATATACCTATTAAACCTGATAAATCGTCCGCCTTGGGCAACTTTGTTGTGACCTCCATTGCGAGACATGAGACATTTCGGTTCCGAATCATTAGAGTTCATTGAAGCAAGGGCCTATGCGTGTCAGTTGCAGTGTTCGTTTGGCAAATACGGTTTCCACATCGATCTGGCGCTTACAAAAGAGTCTGTATTGTGTGCAAAGTAAAAGGCAATCCCCTCCCTGGTAACTTTAACTGTCATCACCCCAATCGCAGCATGGCAGTGGCTACTTTTAACACCAGGATGACCTAGAAAGAGTTATGTCAATATAGCCATGGCAGGAATGGTCGCTACCGAGAAGTTTCAGGGGTAGAAGAGTAACAAATCAGATACCGTACCCATAAAATCTACGTCGATCACGGCTTCCAGTGCCTCGTCTTCATTCACGGTCTCAAAAACGCCTGGCTGTCCTGCGACTTTCCGGGTGCTTGAATATATCCGCTCTGCGCAAACGTTGGAGGCCATCGTTGTAGCCATATGCTCACCGGTGCCGCTTGTCACAGCCGCAACGCATGTTCTTGCTTCGTCTTTGGGATCAACTGGGATAACAGCAGTTCCAACGCCCACGAGAGCTGCTGGGCCAGTGCGTCCGCTATGTTTCATGCCAATACCACCAGAAGAAGAACCTGCCGCAATGTTTCCATGGCAATCCACAGCGATAGCCCCAACAGTGTCAATAATGTTATCATCTGAACCCATTATGTAGCCATGCTGAGGAGATTCCTCAGCCGGGTCTCTTTGGGGTTGATCTCCGACATGTTCAGGCGGGATAGCCTTTCCTGCATATCCAAAAGAGGTCGATGTGGATGTGCCTGACTCTAAAGGCAACCTGGTCCGCTTCCGCTTTCGGAGTTCCGCGGGTTGGGAGGAGCCATCGGTTGCACCTTGGGATTCCGCAACACCTTCTGCACTGTTGAGATCAAGGTCTAAACACCCGGTATTCATATCTTCTTCGTACCCTCGGACACTTGCATCAGGTAGATGTGCATGAGGTCGAATAACGGTGTCTGGAGACGCCACGCCATCGGGTCCATCAGATCCTGACGGAGGGTTTGTAGGGTTTGTCGAACGCCACCATGACCTTGAAGTAATACCACGACCGGGGCTAGAAAAACGAGACCTAGTTGACGAAGTGTGCCCGGGGTGCTGATATTGTGCGTCCTTTGGCGCCTCTTCATGGTTTTCCTCTGCCTCGACTTGGGCTAAATCCCGTTTCCAGCGCAGCCACCGTTCGCGAGATCCTCCGGAAACGAGGAAGTCAGCATGGAGCACTGGCATTCCATTTTCATATGCAAATTCTGTTGCCCCCGGGCCAACTAGAAGATTTGGTGGCACTCTGTTCAAAGACAAAGGTTTGGTCGAAACATCTAAAACAAGACGCGCAAGGGAAATGGGGTTTTTGATATCTACGAGGGGGAATTCATTAGCTATGATGGTATCAGTCAAGGGACCCTCTACACGCACGTTCCACAGCACCCACAGCGCCACTTCGGCCCAAATGGTCCACAATGGTCGCGTCGCACTCCACAGTGCCATGAACAGAGAGATTGCTGCCGTAACCTGCATTTGTGATTTCATGGTCCTCCAAAAATTTGATGGCGACTTCGACGGCGTCCACAGCGCGTCCTCCGGCTCTCAGCACAGCCATTCCGAGCGTTGCGGCCCTGATCGCAAGGTCAGTTTTAGAAAATGCAACGCGATAGGAATTAAAATTCTGTGTAAAATGAAGGCTTACTGATTGCACACCCAAAGATGGGTTGACTCAGCTTGGTAACTGTGGAATCCCGCGCCAGCATGGATAAAAATGGCGGACACATTCTGAGGTTGTGCCTCTTTCGAATGAGAAATAACCATGGTGTTGTTAGAATCGCGTTTCTTCAGAACTGGTACCAGGAGTGAAGGGTAAGATAATTTTCACGTCATAGAAGCCCGCGACTAATGAGTTAAATGAAATCTTGGGGCGAAGCTAGGTGAGCAAATGGTCTGTTCTGAAGTGACAATCCTGAGATTCACGCTGGATGTTCTGGAGCAAACAGCTCCAGATAGCAATGGTTGGGGAGGGTGTCAAGAGAGATCTGGGGCCCTTTGTACATTAATGCACCAGCAAGTGCAATGGATCAAATCAGTGAACACCGGCTGACCATCATAAAGCGGTGTCAAGCCCTTCAAGTGAGTAAGTAGATTGGCTGAGTTGCTATGGAGGCGACCAAGCGTAGCCTCATGAGACACTTAGCAGTGACTCCTGGGAAAAAAAGAATGAATCGAAACGATAAGGAGAATATAGGTCTGCTTTTAGGTAAAGGGTATAGGGAAGACTAATATCCCCAGATGACAATTGTAGGATACAAACGAGTGAACGGGAATAATAGTTGGAGGCAACCATAGAAAGAGAACGGGAGAGAAATGACCCAAGGAAGACATCAGCGACGAAATATATATACAACCCAAGCCCTGCAGAAGGAGACACACGCATCGGCGCCCTCAGAGAAGCCACAACCTGGCATTAGCTGCTGGCTGCGGGCGATATTTATTGATGTCTACCGTCCGGATGCCGTTTCCCATCCCAGATGAAAAGGGGGGAAAGAGAGATAGATATCAGGCAGGGAAACTCGAGTATACTATGAATGGAATCAAAATGCAGAAATCAACGGAAGCCAATTGAGTTATAGAGGTAATAAAGTTAACCACGAGAATAGCTATCGAATACTTGGAGTAAACTTCATCTTTCTATCTGCTTTACTTCCTTTTCTCTATATATCAGACTAGTATTTTCATATTAATTGGTAGCTGGTGCATTGCCACGTGACTGCGCTCTTATCGCCCGTGACTTCGATGGAGCCTCCAAAACGACGACATCGACGAGGTGAGACCAACAAGCTCCTGAAATCTCTCCTTCTCTCCACCATGCTTGGGTATGCCATTGCCTGGCGCTTGTGATTCGTGTCTGTTCCATAATTACCTTCGATCCAAAAGGCTGCGAGGCCCCTTAAGAATTGCGACCTGACCTCCGCTGCTGTTCTCAACCCCCACCTCATTCGCAATGGCAGCTCAAACCCCTGCCGTTGTCATGGACAAGTATGTTACCGTGCGCGATGTGGCCCTTTCTGCTTCTGTTGCTAATAATATTCTACTTCCTTTAGCGGTACCGGATTCTCGAAACTCGGTGGGTGCAATTCAAATTGCGCGGTCCTCTCCCCGCCAACCTCCAAATTTAGACTGACAGCATTTGGTTTTTCTCAGGGTTCGCCGGCAATGATTCTCCGTCTTTTGTTTTCCCCACAGCGATTGCTACAAAGTCTGCGGGTAGTGTAGGAGGCGGAACAGGTTCCGGTCGGCCTGCAGTCGCCAACAAGCCGTCATTCCTCACAGGTGGTGCTGGTCCCGGCTCACAGCTATCGGGAAAGCGGGGGACGGAAGATTTGGATTTCTCTATCGGAGATGAAGCTATTAATGCGTCGGGTGGCCCCGGATATGGTATCAACTATCCAATTCGCCATGGCCAAATTGAGAACTGGGATCACATGGAACGGTTCTGGTCGAATTCCATCTTCAAATATCTCAGAGTTGAGCCTGAAGACCACTATTTCCTTCTCACGGAACCTGTATTCAGTTCCCCCTTCTTACCCCACCCCCTTCCAGATGTGCGTACGGTCTACATTCTGACACATTTTATTAGCCATTGAACCCGCCTGAAAACCGAGAAAATACTGCGGAGATCTTCTTCGAGTCGTTCAACTGCGCCGGTCTCTACATCGCTGTTCAGGCTGTCCTAGCCCTTGCAGCCTCGTGGACGTCTTCCAAAGTAACAGATCGCTCCCTCACCGGTACCGTAATCGACTCTGGCGATGGTGTCACCCATGTAATCCCTGTGGCGGAGGGATATGTTATTGGGTCCTCTATCAAAAGTATACCCATTGCTGGGCGAGACATTACGCATTTTGTTCAAAATCTGCTTAGGGAGCGACAAGAAGCAGACAGCTCAATGAAGACAGCCGAAAAAGTGAAGGAGGAATATTGTTACGTATGCCCGGATATCGTGAAGGAATTTGCCCGCTACGACCGAGAACCCGACCGATTCTTGAAACACACCGTAACATCGCCCAATGGCCGAAGTGTCACCATCGACATTGGATATGAGCGTTTTCTGGCTCCGGAAATCTTCTTCAACCCAGAAATATACTCGTCAGATTTCCTTACCCCCCTCCCCACTGTCGTAGATGGCGTCATCCAATCCTCTCCTATCGATGTTCGCCGGGGTCTGTATAAGAATATCGTCCTTTCCGGAGGTTCGACGTTATATAAGGACTTTGGCCGGCGTTTGCAGCGTGATATTAAGCACTTGGTTGACGCCCGAATTCGCACATCGGAAGCTAGGAGTGGCGGAGCTCGCAGTGGTGGCCTTGAGGTTCAAGTTATCACCCATAAACGGCAACGGCATGGCCCGTGGTTCGGAGGAAGCTTGCTGGGCCAGACACCGGAATTCCGCAGCTATTGTCACACCAAGGTCAGTTTGTCCATCAACATCAAAATATTAGCTTACGAACTAACCTGTTTTCTTTGATCCCCCTTCAGGCTGAATACGACGAGATCGGACCAAGCATTGTCAGAAGATTTGCTTTGCTCGGTGGACCAGGAAGCACCTAGATACTTCCACCTTAAGCATATCTGTTTATTAATGTATATCGTTCGCGTTTTCCTGGCCTCTCTCTTCGCGCCACCCTACCTTAAATGTTCATTTTGATTTGTTTTCTATTTTATCGTTTTACATTTATTTTATCTCTCGCCTTGTGTCCGGCTTAGAGCTGGATAACAACAGCAAAAGCTTAAAATGAATGATCCCAAGGAGAATATAGAATCTACACGCACTCCTTCCTCACCCTATTCTTGCTTTCCCAGGCCGGCGAATTTGGGGGATTAAGATCCGCGACAACAATGACACTCGACATTGTTTATACGCCATGGAATAACACTCTAATGGCCTCTGTATCCTAGCAAAAATGGAACCTATCTCTCTCTATATATAGGTTTCCGTAATACACACCAAGAATCCGATTCCCATTACCAAAATTACAATATACTCAATATTGTGTTGTGCGGGACCACCTTTTAGCCAGGCAATATACCGCCAATGTGCAGCAAAAGGCACATGTACCAATGTAATTACTATCCAGAGCTGCATCAAGAACTTCCCGGAGAATTCCTACCACTCGAAAGCTCGTCGTCGAGGAGGATACAGTCCTCCAATTATATTTGTGGATTCAGCATATACGAATTCCACACCATAATAACATCTGCCAGCCGTAAACAAAGAAAGTGCGGAAGGCAGCTATCAAACAGCAACAGACATATAAGTATGCAAAAAACGGGCTCTCAGATAGAGAGTAATCCAGTGGCGGCAAAGTATTACTGGCATTGATTAAGTCACAAAAGTGAACTTGCTAGTAAATTGTGAATTTTTATGGAGTTCTCTGTGCTGCATACAGTCCAGTGTTGTAATAACCTTCGCTTCGCCTTTTTGCGCTGGAATCACAGCTGCACCCACCCATAATAGAGCTTGGTCATTTGGACCGATGATGTTATTCACAAGTTAGTGGGAATATTGAACTCTGGTCGGAATTTGATTGTGGAAGGGGCACTTCGACTGAAGCTGGAGTAGTAACGCGGTCTCCCAGGCACAAGGGTTAACCCGTACCATGTCTGAAATATTGTCAAAGAAAATACCCTGTTCTTTTAACTTCAATTGCAGATTGCGGGATCTCTTGACTTCAGATGCGAAGCCTTAATACTATATTACAGCTGTCTGCTTATTCTGCTGTGACGCTGTCAAGAAGGACGGAACTATCTCGTCCTGACATTAGAGATTGAACTGCTATCCAACCGCTGCTATAATCGTATCCTTTGGTCTCGGAACAACCTTATTGAGAATCGCCACACCCTCTACATGCCCCGTTTGCGGGAAGAAATCAAATCCTTTAATGCTCTCAATTTCATACCTCACTTCTTCCCCTTTGAAGTTTCCTCCCTGAACTAATACGCCGACATCTCGCGCTTGGGTGTGCACATTGCAGCTTACATACACGACCCTCGCGGGTCCGTAAGATAGCAGCTGCTGTAGAAAGTTGTTATCGCAGCCCTTTCGCGGTGGGTCAATGATAAGAAGCGTCTTATCAGGTGGGTAAGGAACGTCCTTGAAAATGGCGGCTGCGTCAGCGGCTGCGAAACCAGTATTGGCAAGTTTGTTGGCACGGGCATTTCTACGGGCTGCCTCGATAGAATCAGCGGAGATGTCGATACCGAGGGACGAGAGAAATATGGGAGAGAGTGTGACGGTGAAGAGACCAGAACCAGAATATGCATCTAGGAGGTATTTTAATTTAGAGGTGCGCTGCGTCGTAGAAGATGATGATGGGGACGAAGACGAAGTTGAAGGCGGGAGAAGGGCATTTTCGCGGATATATTGGGTGAAGGGAGCTAGGATAGAGTTGTTGTTTTGGAAGAATTGGCCGGCCTTGTTCTGGAACTTGTAGTTGTCGACGTACTCAATTGACGTTGAGTTTTGGTCCGTGATGCAGCGCTTTTCTTCGATGTAGTCTGGATATTCCCTTCGGATTACCGGCTCATCGTGGACCGGTTGCCTTTCTTCAGAGGACGCTCGTTCCGTGCCGTTTGGTGACCGCCGGCCGGGATCCTTGTAGTATCGTGTAGTACTTTCTCTTAATAAGAGAGTGGCGCCTTTGCTATAAGTATGCAGGCTCTTGGCCACTCTCTTGCGCTCACATTTCATCCCCAGTCTAACAATATCTGTTCCCAAAGGACAGTCCTCGATATCGATAACAGTTCGTCTACCCTTAAGCATGAACCCAATAGGCGGCATCTCCGACTCCTCTCCGTCCGCACTGCCACGTCGGATCCGAGTCGGCATGGGGAAATGGGGTGTCAGTTTTGTTCGATAGCCGTATTGCAATGGTGAAGCCATGGTATCACGAATTGCAGGAATTAATTCAGGTAGCAACCCCGAAAAATTGGTGTATGCCTTTTCTAGGATCCTCCTCTTGTGCTTCAACTGGTCCTTGTAGGGAAGCATCTGGAGCTGGCATCCTCCACACTTGGCGAAGTACTGGCATTTGATAAGGGAGTCATCGCGCTGAGGGGACGGCGTGATAACTTCAAGTAGATCTGTCACGCTGTAAGACTCCTCGTGCATTGTCTTCACAACCTTAACTCGAGCCTTATCTCCCGCAACCGTAAATGGTACGACGTAGACATGGTCGAATAAAGGAGAAAGCGCCAGGCCATCTCCCGTGGAGGATATCTCGTATACAGTAACTTCAGTCTCTGGGAAACTCTCGCTTTTGTGCTTGCGCGTCACTGTTGGTACTTTTTCCGCGTTATCCTGCTTTGCTTGCTCTGCGTCCTCAGCATGTTTCCTCAACAGCGCCTCCACATCCAACAGCAGCACTTGATCTGCATCGCCCTCCTTAATATCCTTTGAAACCTTCTTCTTCTTGTGCTGCGGACCTCCTCGTTGATTTGCCCTTCTGTGCGGGTTTTGGGGCATTCTATAAACCTCTTGCCGCCACCCGTGAAATGGTTTGGAGGAGATAAAACGTTGGCTTCGGGATATATGTAGGCCGGAGATTTCAAAACTGGATCGCGCAGAGAACAGCAGCGCCCTAGCAGCCGAATTAAACATAGGTGGGTAAGGGGAAAGCACGTTAATACATATAGACATAGTTTTGGCATTTACTGCGTATATTTACTCCTAATATATATTTTTTTTTTCTTAGGAACTTTCCTTCGACCAATCAACGTTGCGGGAAAAGTTCCCCCTGGCAAAATTTCTCCACCAAAAACGCAAGAAAAAAAAAGGTAGGAAAAACCACAGCATCAAATCAACAAACTAGGCGAGTCAACGGGTTCGCCCACATCTACCACGACGTTCTCTCTCCTCAATTGATCTTCGCCAGTGAGGCCAGTATTGGCCTCACCAGCTGCTCCCGTCACCATGAGTCTCGCACGCCCGGCCCGTTGTCTCTTCTGCTCCCTATCACGGGCTCCGCTATCTTCGATCTCGCGTCGACAATTCCACCAGTCACTTTCTCAATATACGAAGAATGAGAAGAATGATGTAAAAAATGAGGAGAAAAATCCACGTTCCGTTAAGCCCCCTCGGAAACTCAAGCCAAAAATGTTCAAACCGTACTCGGAGGAAGACAGGAAACGCCTTGCGGAGGAGTACACACCAGAGCAGATCGCCGCAATTGAAGCGGGTGAAAAGAGCATCAGCCCCGAAGATATGGCTCAGCAATTTCACCAGAGAGATGACCAGTGGGCACTCAAGTACCTAGATGACTTCTCCACCGTTGAACCTGTCGTCGACCACCATATCCGCCGCCCAATGACCAAGAGCGTCCCGATCCCACGCATGAAAACAGAGCAGGAATTGATGACAGAGGTTGCCAACTATCTCGAACAGATGTCTGAGGAGGATGCCGAAAACAATCCCGAAAAGATCTTTGAGTTCATGGATGAGATGAACCTTGTGAAGGATCCCGTCGACGAAGCCTCCTCGTTGGTTCCCGATATTACCCAGCCGTACGAAACAATAGATAACATAGGCGGAGGTCCGAATCTCCAACTTAGAAAAGAAGATCTAAAGCGACAAGCACAGGATCCAAATATTTTAGAGGCTGAAGATCCTGAAATCCAACTGGATTACGAGAAAGTTTCCCGTGCGACTGGTTGGCCCGTACGTACACTCAAGGGCTTACAGGTTAAAGCTTTGGTAAAGAGAATGGTTTCCAACCAAACCCGTCTAGGTAAAATCCGCCAGACTTCGATTCTTTCAGTTGCAGGAAACGGCAAGGGCCTGTTGGGTATCGGGGAAGGCAAATCTCGCGACTTTGGAGAAGCGTTGATGCAGGCGCATGCTCGAGCTATTCGAAATATGCGACCTGTTCTAAGATACGAGGATAGAACCATCTATGGAGATGTACGGGGGAAAGTAGGCGCTACAGAATTACAATTGATGCATCGGCCACCAGGTATAGACAATTATGCCCCCCAACGTAACTAATTGCAATCTAGTCACGCTAACATGTATCCCCTCTCTCCCTAAGGTTTCGGTCTCCGTTGCCAACAAAGTATCTGGGAGATGTGCCGTGCAGCGGGTATTCGCGATTTGGCCGCTAGAGTCACGCGATCCCGCAACAAGATGAACACAGTCAAAGCCACGTACGAGGCGTTGATGAGCCAAAAGGATCCTGAAGATATAGCCCGCGCCCGAGGCAGAAAGCTGGTCGACGTGAGAAAGGTATATTATGCTGGAGCTCAGTAAAATTGATGTTCGGCAGCGCACTTTTTTTTTTTTGTATTTTCTCCTACACTTCCTCCCTTGCATTTCACTAGTTTGAACAGACCTTCCAATTTATCTGTACAACTTCTGCTTGTCATACATTGGATAGCGAAACATTGTCTTGATAGATAGCGTTACTGGATATGTTTTTGCTTTACCCTACCTAACTGCTTATTTGCCTAAGTTTTTGCCTGTATACTACCTACCAACTTCCCCTATTTTACAGTTATGGCATATACCGTATAAGTATGTCATGTATGAATTTCTGTATTTTGATGCAAGATGTGGTGATTCTGTTTCACTCACCTGCCTCATTCTCGTCCATCGACGGTCAAAGGCACAATAACATTGAATACCAAACTCTGCATAAGTCCTGGCTAAATAGCAAACGTAAATAGAAAATATAAAGTCACGCATTCGAACTCCATTCGCCTTAGTTGCCCATTCCTAAATCCACGTCCTGTGGATAGAAAAACCTGCAAAAAGACGAAGCTGACAACGCCATCTACCCAACCACCCAGCTAGCCAGCTAGCGACGCGGCCATTGCAAATCCCTATCCCATTGCCTCAATGCATATCATTCACGCACATGAACGGCTTATTTACCCCGTTCCCTCCAATCAATCCCCTTCGCTATACCCACTATAACGCCCCTCCTCGCCATAATGGTGATGATGCTGCTGCTGCTGCTCATGACCAAGGTCAGGCCCATGCCCCTCCCCGCTACCCCCCACCCCATCCTCCCCATTGTAAATCTGCTGCTGCAACACAATACTATATACACTCGCCTTGAGCAGCGTGCACACCGTTGCCGTCTTCCGTTCTAGGAGGCGTAGGGCATCGAGCGTCTCCGCAGCGGGGCGGGTAGAGAGGTGAGCGAGGGAGTCAGAGAGCTATAAAAAGTGAGGTTGTTAGCTGATTTTCTTGCTTATCATTTTTTTTTTAAAATATATATATATATATATATATAAATCGCTTTTAAATTCAGCTTCAACCGTCTCAAATGAACCCATGGCGAAATGCAATGGATAGGAATGTATAACAACCTTATTCATATTCCCCAATAACCTCGCATACTCATTTAGCACTTCTTGTTCCAGCGGGGAAAGGAGGGGGTTCTCGCGGAGGAGGGGATTGGTCGTCGGGTCAGTTGAGGTCCCTGCTGCGATGGTTGCGGGGACGTCATTATTATTATTATCTTGGGCGGCTAGGCCGATATCTGCGTCTGTGTCGATATCAATGTCGAGATTATGGTGGTTGGCGGAGGAAGATAGGGGACGCGATGAGAGGGAGGATGCCGGGCGGGGCATTTTTTTTTTTTTTTTTCGTTTCTGTTTTTCGTTCCCTTTGCCTTGTCTTCTCGCTTGTTTTCCCTTTCTTTTGGTTGAAGGGTGGGTATTAGATGCGAAAGCTTAGGAGAGATCGGAACGCGTGGTGATAGATTTCGCAGCAGAAATGTATGGGTTCAACTGGTGGATCAATGAATGGAATGATGCTGAGAAAGTTGCCAGCGAGTACAGAAGTGCAAATAAATATTATTTGACCACCGTGCCTGTAGTTGTACTCTGGATATGTTGGTTGATATTAGTTTGGAGTGATTAAAATCACAAGTGAGAACCTTTTCAGAATTCCTTCCAAGAACTACTCCAACAATGAGGTGTAAGGGTAGTAGTTACTAATCCTATAAAACTACTTACTAGTTAAACAAAGAAGAAAAAAGCTATGGAAATAAATGAAATAATGCTGAAACTAAAATATGTAAAAAAAATTATCTAAATAGACGTGATATGAGTAGACATAACTCAGACTGCTGGACACTACGCAGTATGTAAAAAAGTACCCATGCTCGCAAAACAAATGGTACTCAAATCACTTCATCTCCTTGTCATCTCTCTCTCCCTGTTTTGTACGACCTGCGCGCACAAGTACGACAATGTGGGAATGGAGCATCGAACCGCTTATTCCCAAGAACATCACAAGCTGAACGGATCAAAGGAAAAAATACAGGTGGACAAGAAAAAGCCACACGCGTAGTGTAGCTAGCACCGGCATTCGTAATAAGGAAATATTTTGGCCGCGGAAGAGGTGGCGAAGTGCTACTTCTTCTCTCATCCTTCTTCTTTTATCGGGGTTGTTGGGGGAGGGGGCAGGTGCAATCTCGAAAGAATAATCAAAGCCAATCCTCCGAGAGGGAGCAAAATAGGGTTAGTGTGTATACTACCGTATGGCGCTCTGGGAAGATCGTCAGCGTCCCTGGTGAATATAATGAGTCCTTTAGCCATAAGTACGATCATCGTTATCTGTGGGCCGTCAGTTCAGGAGGCCAATTGGAATTCGATGGATGGATTTGAGAGAGAAATAACTTTGAAGAGAGAAATAACTGATGTGGGAAGTAGGAAATGTAGAGAGGAAAATGGGCAAGAGAGGGAGCATTGCAAAACGCTCAACACGAGGCAGAGAGCAGTCAGCTTCAATGATCCCCTTCATAGCTCAACGGCTTGTTCATTTTTCCTTCGTCCTCTCCTGCCGTGCAAGCATGCGTGGAACGTGGCAGAGGGAGGGAGAGGTTGGGTAGTGGACAGGGTAGGCGTTCCATACGGAATGAGGTTCCTCCTCTCGAAAGCGGATTTGTCCAACAAATGAGATGCAACGAGTCAACAAGCAGAAACGAAAAGCGGAAGAAAGCAGAGGTAGGGAGCCAGAGCCCTACACATATGAATAATATCGCCAAAACGGTTTAAAAAGAAAAGCAGATGGGTCTGGAAATAAAGTATACAGCAAACAGGCAAAAAGAGGGATGAAAAAGTACCCTTGAAGACCAAGGCGAGCAAATACACTCCGAACACCCCTACTATGAATTCTTTGGCTTGAGAAAAGAGGCAGAGTAAAAATAGCAACACATCAAAAAGCTGGATACCGGCTTTTTCTTCACCAAAAAATGTCGAAGTCGCGTGGAATCGATAGTTATTCTTCATCTTATCGGCGCCGATCAATTCTTTGTTCTTTCTTCCTCCGTGTTTTTGAATGAATAACCTGTTGAGGATCAGTGGGGAGTGAGTGAAAGAGCTTCTCGAATCAAATACACATATGCGCATGGCATGCATGCGATCCTGAATCGACTCAATGGGGACATGCTTGTTAAATATCTGAAAAATGCGCCAATAGGTCCCCCTTTTCCCCCCATTTTTACCAGGATTAAAATAAACGGAGAGACTAAGTTTCCCCGTTTAAATTCACCGCCTATTCGACGGCGACGGCACACGATCATCAATCATATGATGTCCAAGTTCCTCCCCGTCATGGTGAAGTGTGACGCTATTGAAATCCTCAAAGGGATCCGGCACCGCTTCCCCCGATGGAGTTGTCAGCCCGGAGTCCAGAGGTACTCCCTTGGCCTTTGCCGAGCCGCCGATATCAACACTACCGCTTTCTTTGACATTCCGGAAGTTGATTGTATCGGTTGCTCGGCCTTGGTGTGGTATCATGGGCGGTTTCATGTGGCGAATAAGTGCCCACTGTGTGGTACGGAAGAAAGGATGAGTTTTCACGTCCGAAGCGCCTGCGCGTGCTCCTAGTCGGCGGGTTTCGTCTTTGATGAGGAGCTTGCGGATGAGGGATTTGCAAATACTTTTGAAGCAGGGAAGGTTAGTGGTTGGTTGACTTTTTTTCAACATTGCAGCATGAAATTAATCATTTATATGCAAACTTACTTCGATATCTGCGGCGAACCTGAACTCTCCGGGAACGGTACTTCATCCCTTAATATGTTGGCAAAGGTGCCGTTGCGACTCTTGCCCTTGAACGGCGTGGTCCCAAAGAGCATCTCGTATATCAAGATGCCTAGGGTCCACCAATCAACGGCGCTCGTATGTCCATCACCCTTGATAACCTCCGGTGCGATATATTCCTCCGTTCCTACGAACGAATTCGTTCTGAAGTCGGCGATGCATGACTTGGTATCTATGGTTGGTAAAGACGTGGGCGAGGCACCATTGCGACCTATGATCATAGTTGGAGCCCCACCGGGTCCCGACTGTTTCGACAGATCGAAATCTGAGAGCATTATGTGTCCTGACTGGTGTAATAAGATATCTGCCACGAATGTACAATATTAGTAAAACAAAAATCGAGCGTAACGAAAAAGGGCCAGTGGTCTTACTCTCGGGTTTGAGATCACGATAAATGAATCCCATGAGATGAAGGTATTCCAAGGCAGCAGTTACTTCAGCAGCATAAAAGCGGGCATCGTCTTCGGGGATACTTTTGCCGGGGCGCGTTTGAAGAGCTGTATTTCGATTTAGCCATGGCATCCCTTACGTCCATTCATAATAAGCATTGTCAACAATATTACCTCTGAAAAACTCGCCACCACTGCAATACTCCATGCACAGATATAGGTGATCCTCAGACTGGAAGGAATGATATAACGTGACAATAAATGGATGGTTGCTTGTAGCGAGAATCTCCTGTTCGGCCAGAGCTCTCTTGATCTTATTCCGCTTGATCATCTCCTTCTTGCTTAGGACTAAGAGAGTAAGAAGAATAAAAAAACCCCGTCAGTCAGGACATGAACATCCTCGCAAACACACAAAAACTAAACCCAGAGTAGAAAATGATTTCCAACACTCACCTTTCATCGCATACAACCGACTTGACTTCTTCTCCCTCACCAAATATACTTTCCCCACATCCCCTTTCCCAATCAACTTGATCTTATCAAAACTCCCAGGCCCGACCTCAACATTCCGCACCTTGATAGAATTTGAGCTATACGTCCTCCTAAATGCAATAGGATTACGATTCAAGCTTGGCGGGGGAAGATTCGACAGCTCATCCACACCGGGCACCGCAAGCGAATTACTCTTGGAAGGCGCATCAACCAGGCTCAGTCTGGCCCCGTCGCTGACACCAACACCACCAGTAGCAGCACCATGTTCCACCAACGGCTCTTTCCCCAGCTCCGCTGTCCTCGGCCTCTCGTCCGATTTGCCAGTAGAAAACAATCCCTGCGCATTTGGTGCGGAAGCGACCCTTCTCAACTTTCTCGCTAGCTCCTCTTTGCCCGCCGTTGTGGCCTGGTCTCCAGCCGCGACACCATCCACCTGCAACTCGGGGGTATCGGCATTGACCGAGGACACGCTGCCGTCGTTCCGATGTCTCAGGGCCGGGTGGCCCTGATGAGCAAAGTACGGATTCGCATGGGCAGTCGGGGACATGCCTTCGTCTAACGGGTTTCCTTCACTGGCGGTTGTCGTCGATCGATTTCTGGTAATAGTGGGAAGAAAACGCGACTGCCGGAAGGTCATCTTGGTCTCCGATTTACCCGATCCAGAGGCGCCGGAGTTTTGGCCAGCAGCGCCATGGGAGCCGTCGCTATTGTTGTTGTTGTTGCTATTACTGTTTGTGGAGGACGAGCTGTTGATGCGGAAGAAGTTCTTCAACTTCGTAGGGAAATGGGAGGAGTCATTGGAGGAGTGTTTCTTCGTGGCCAATGATATGCCGGCGAAGTTGCTGCGTTTCTCATGTCTCACGCCGCTGGTCTGCCCAGAGGAGGAGGTGAAAAGTTGTGTCATCTCCTCTTTCTTTTACCTCTATAAGTAGATATAAATAGAAACAAACACAGTTATTTTAGCAAACAGAAATATCCTTCGTCTACTCGATTATCCTTTTCCCCTTCACTTTCGTTTTTTATTTTTTAAAAAAAAGGAATGAAACGAAAAAAGGAACGTCCGAAGTTGGGTTCCTTTGGTTAGAACTCAAGAACGGCGAGTGGGTCACAAAGACGTTGAGAGTTGGGCGGACGAGGAAGGGGACGACGGCGACGGCGACGGCGGAGGGGGTGCAAGACACGGTCGGCTGGTTTCCTTGAATCGAAACGGGCACCGCGAGGCAAAGCGGACAAGTGGACCAAAAGTCAAAAAGAGTTTCAAGTCCCAAGAATAGGCAGGAGTCCGGACCATGAAATGGTGGGGTTCAACAGCTCAAGGCAAGAGATGCGGGAAAAAAAAGAAAAGAAAATAAAAATCCAGGCTCTTGGACTATTTTTGTAGCTGCTGTGCCCGCCCACGGATGACTCTTTCACAAACAGGGCTTTATCAAGGTGTGTCTGTTGGTCTTCCTAAGGTTCAGAGCAGCAAACGGCTCTCTGGATCCAATGGGGGCTGGGCAGCCGGACAAGAGGTTTCTCCTGGGACCACGAACATGGATAGTACCTAGGTAGAGACACTGACACACAGAGAAGAAGCCCACCCGCTGGTTGATAGATAGACGGTTTGATGCAGAGGTTGTTGTTGTTGACTGTGGGAGCAGGCCTTGGTGATGAGATGGGTTGGTGGCTGTCTGGAGCAATGGAGAGGCTGGACAGTGAACGCGCGCCTTTGATTGGGTAAGCAGCCTCACTTGTCGCTGCGAGGTGGAGAATCTTCGGAGTAACCTCTGAGTGACCGCAACTGGCAGCGCAATTGTACGGCAGCACAAGCAGAGTAGTTGATTACAGGCACTCGCTCTATCCAAAGGCTATTGTTCTATACTCGAAGGCGGAAAGTGGATTAACACCCGGCCGGGATCCTCACTCCCCTTTTATTTTTTTGGGAATCTTCAAGCAAATTATTTATTTGACTAGCTATCAGGAACGAAACAGTGTATTGCTGTGGATCTCCTAGAACTCAAAAACGTTACGGTAAGAAAGTGTCATTGGTTTTCTTCTTTTCTTTTCTCTGCTTTCCGCCCACCAAGGCAATCAAATGTCAGATTAATCATGTAGTCATTATTCATCACCCCACAGCAACCAAACAAAGCATAATACGTCAATCAATAATGCAGCGGCAAGTCCAGTTTTTGGCCTCCTTCTCTACCCCGACCATATTCAAGCTGTGACAAATGTCAATTCCTGTCAATTTGCTACAAAAAACTTTTTTTCTTTCCTGGTGTTGGGCAGGGGCTTTTTGATTTTCTATCCAAAGGGACGGCTCTCCTTCCGGTACCTATCCATCAATTCTTTTTCCTGTTCACGCAGGTGCTGGAAAAAAGCTCGTACGTCCAACGGATCGGGGTCTTTGCGGGGTGTTTTGCGATACCATTTGTCGCCCGTGGTTTTGCTAGCACCTCTCGTAACGGCAGAATTCAAAACGTCGCTTGCTGCTTTGGGATTGCGGTTATCTGGATCGTTAGCCCCATCAAAACGGGGTACGAATCCGTAGGCATTCACGTTATACGATGCCGTCGAAGTAGTTGCCTTTGGCTGCAAACCACCGTGATGCGCCACTTGATTCCAAGGACTGAATGGAAACTCATTGCTGCGTGGAGCAGTCTGTCTCGTTTCTTTGTCTCCAGCGGCTGCGTTCGAGGACACCGAAAGATGCTGTTCCGGTACAGCTGTTTTGCCAGCGGGTGTGGGAGACATGATCTTACTATCCTTACACAAATTGTCAAGGCTACCACCATCGTAGGTTAGCCGTTTCTCTTCGCTTGCCCCAGCGTTTTCGGTTCTGGTTCTATTTCGACCAGAATAAATGTTGCTGAATTCAGTCAGTATAAGCTACCCGATGAAGAGAGATCGATTTGACAAGATGTCGTCGTATTATGTACTCACTTATCATCATCTTTATGTTTACTCCCATTGTTGTCCTGTCCCGTAGTTCTGTGCAACGAAGTGTCCCAATGCTTTTCGGGTGTTCGGATGGTGGAGTTTTGGTTCCTGCTTATCATAGTCAACATTTATTATGATTGATTCTTTATTGCCCGAAAAGCTTACATGCTGTCTTGGGAGGTAACTTGTGAACCAGTTGTTACGGAGCGTGTGTGGTTTGACTTGTCACTGGAACTCGCAATTGTGGTTCCTCTGTTGAATGGAACGATGGTGAGCTGGTTCTCACCAGGATCAATACATGGTGACTCTTTTCCCCGTCGCATCACAATATCTTGTCTTTTCGCGATACCAGAAATATTCAACTTTCTTGCCACGATTGCCAGCTCCTCGATCAGTGGTCCTAATGGTTCACCTCGACTAGCTGCTGTCTCGATATCATGATAGACACGAGCAATTTCAGCTGGAGAGCATTCCATAATTTCTTCGCTGGCGCTCCTGAACATGTTTCCCCTCACATCCAAATGAATTCTACTTGGCTGCTCGTCTGAAAGGTTTGTATAATTGTTGTCAGCTATTGAGTTGGCATTTCCTATCCACTCAGTTGCTGTATTATTGCCATTATTGAATCCAATTGAAGCCTGGCAGTCTTCAAAACTGGTCGCAGGTCCAGCAGATGTAAAGGGTAGCATTGTTTGCCCCAAAAATTCATTGTTGAATGAGTCTGCCATTGGTATCCCCGGTCCAGACATCAAGCACCCAGTTGGATTCAAATTCCCTAAAAATACATTGTTTGTGTACTGTTCAATGTGAGAGGGCCAAGAAATTGCCTGACCGTGGGCCTGATAACCAAAAGGCTGACCCTCACCTGTGGGTTGAGAGACCAGGTATTGGATTGCTGCCTCAATTTGCTCCTTCGTTGATCTTGCAGTGTCAAGTTTCATGACAAGTTCTACCCGCTGGTCAATAAGGATTTTCTTCGCAACTGGATCAATATCCCAGGAGTGTATTGCAAGGTATCTATCCAAATTTGAAAGCTGGTCTGTCAGCGTATCGTACTCCTGGGACGCCTTTTCGAGAGCTTTGTGGGTTAACGGTTCCCCTGACAGGCCTGCCGATGACACTACCAAGTTTGAAGCTTGTGCGTGCTGGATCATGGATTGATTGATCGGGATTGCTGAGATTGGGAACAGCTGCATAGGAGCAGACATCATTATGCTTGATTGGTCGGCGGGGTACATACCGAGAATTGCACCGTGTGGCGATGTATATGCCATTGGGAATGATTGGCCCGTTGAAGAGGGAGCATTATACTGTTGGATGTTGTTTGGGGTCCAGCCAGTCTGATCAATTCCTCCATTAGGTACTAAGTAACCAGAGGCAGCAGAGGTGCTTTCAGGGGTTAATTGTCCGATCGTTTCATCTCTCATCTGATGAGAGTTGAAGGGTCCATTTTCTCTTCGTTGGGATTGTTGACCTGATGTTGCCCTGGTTGACACGTTCGGAACGGTGTGCTGAGGGTGATTCATTTGCCCGCAATCCGACCCGGATAACACCCGTGGAACCAAGTTGAGGCCAGCAGGTGTGTTGGAATCCGATTCACGACGCAACACCGGTTGCTGTATACCTTCCATTTCATGATTAAAATCGGTACACCTTTTCAATGTCCGGTTTTGTAAGTAGTTATTATTAGTTTTCCTCATTTCAAACTTTTCTGAACTTTTGGCCGGTAGCTTGAACTCAGGGGCAGGAGAAGATGCGAGGTTCATGGGAACTATTCGACCTCCTGCAGTGACTCTGTGATGTTTGGGTGACGCATGTTCCTTCAAAAATCGGGCGAAACCTGCATCTCTTTGGGCAAGGTTACCTTGGGGCGCGTTTAATGGTTGGCGACGAGGATACTGAACACTATTGGCTTGTGAGAGCAACAATCCGTCCTCGTTACTCAGAGAGAAGCTCGAGGAGATTCGGTGACGGTTAACCGGTTTTTCTGCCAACACCCGATTCTCAGAGTGTTCTTTGCGTTGTCTTAGAGAAGCGACTGTGATATCTGTCAGCTTGGCGTCAAAAGAAGGGATGATTTCAAGGTAAACAAGAAGATATTACACACCATCGATAGTATTACAGCTGTAAGAAGAAGAATCACTTTTCGCACCAAGCCGACGTCCAATATCTAACAATGTACGAATCTCGTATCTCCTGGATTTTGGTTCATTAGACGGTGAATGGGGACGTGTTGCTCCAGTATTTTCTTGTCCGTCCTCCGTAACCCCTTTTCGGGTTGGATGCCCTTGCATGGGCTGCATATTCGCTAGAGGGTTTGAATTTTAGTTAACACCTCCCTCTTTTCTGTCCGCTGAACTGAGCGAAAAACTACAGGTTTTATCAGTAACTGTAACGGCAAGAAAGGTAAAAGAATAGATTTTCACATTACCTTGCCCAGGAGTGAGGTTCGTCCCGGTAGGTATTCGTCACAAGGGAGACAAATCATATAACACTTGAATAGAAATCAGCCAAAATGCTGCAAATCAGCCCCGAAAAAAAAAGAAAAGAAATTAGAAAATAGTGAAAAATGAAAAGCCATTCAGTAAGAAATCGGGCACCATGTCACGGCAAATTTGAGCCATCTTGACCACTGCCGTCCATACGACAACAAAGCAACAAATACGAAATAAATATGAATTTCCAAATGAATGCCTCAATGAGGTCGACTTTATCCAAGGTCATATCAACTGCGAGGCGAGGACAAGAAGACAAGGCACTGATCACCCATCCAGAGAAGGAAAACGGCCATAGCCATAAGAAGTTATGGAGAATCCAAACAACACGTACCAATGAAGCAGCCTTCCGCAGATGTCCGGAGATGTGAGAAGGCAAGGCCGTCTTTTCTCGCCTTCTCCTTCTCCTTCTCTCCTCCTATAAGGCAAATGACTTCGAATAATGAAAAACCAAACGTTGTAGTGGAAAAAGCGGGTATATTCCCGCCAGCGGATTTTTCGAAGTGGAGAGGTCGAGGGTTCAAAAATAGGCAATGAGGATAGGAGGATATGAGAAAAGAAGACACAAAAAAGGGGACGCAGGAGAGTGGGATTGACGATGGTATAGGGAACCAAAAAAAAAAAAAAACAAAAAAAAAACACAAAATACAATCGACTTTATATTCGGCTCCCTTTAACGCGTCCTCTATACTTGGGCCAAACTGAGCAGAGTCCTTATGCCTAAGTGAGAGGGATTGAACTACCCATCCGAGCAAAACACGCGCGGAATAGGGGGAAGAAGAAAAGATATGAATCCGCAGGTGTCGAACAAGAAGATGAGATGCCAGATAAGGAGTGATAGAGAAGGTAAGAAAACGTAGAGGGAAATGGGCCGAAGAATGCGATTCTGTAAGGGGGACAACGGAGTGGGAGATGAGGGGGCTGGATGGGATTGTTGTTTGGTGTTGTTGTTGTAGCAGAAAAGGGAAATGAGATAGAAAAACAAAACAGAAGAATCCAAAGGGAGGAAAGGGAAAGGAGGAGGAAGGAGAGAGAAGGCACAGTACACAGTCATCATGCGGGCAGGCGGGACGCAACTGGTCCAGCAGCTGTGAAATGGATGAACAGCAAGAAGCGGCGACCATGTTGATAGATTGATACTGTCTGTTGTGTTGTTTTTGGATGCTGGATTGCCCAGGTAGATGCTGTTGGGAAGAGACACAATCAATAGAATTGGAATCACAACATCTGCTCTATTGCCCTAGTGTCGCTGAATTCACTATCACAAGAGTCAGGATGAGAGCTGTGAGGAAGAAGAGTGTTTCCAGACATTATCTGTATTCAGCTAAATAAACAAAAGTAACAAGATTTCTGGGCATTCACAAGAAAATCCAGTTCCCGAAGTTTCCAACGCTTTGTATTTAATTTCTTCCTTGTTCTGGTAACTATAGTAGAATCATTACTTTTTATTATTATATCCCAATATTAATTGTAGGGAAAGAGTGACTGAAACGGGTATCAATAAGCTGAAGCAACATCACGAGTGAAAGGTCAACGTAGTAGATGTAAGCAAGGGACGCCAAATTTCCATGGGGCTAACGAACGATAAGGTCACGCGCAAAATTATAGAGGGGGATGGGGGAACGAGGCGGAAAGAAAGGAAATAACAAAAAAACAAAACAAAAGAAACAAAAACAAAACAGCTCCTGACGCAGTACACATTGGTTTTGGAAGATGTCTGCTTCTACCATTTTTCAAACATGTTCGTAAACCTTCACAGGCTCGGTACTATGAACGACTGTGATATCATCATCGTCAAAGCTCCGCCGCACCCGTGTGCTTCCATTATTTGCATTTGCATTGTTATTGTCAGCTGCAGCAGATGTTAGTTTGCTCCGCATTTCCCAACTACCGGCTCTCTCATGTCCACGGGCAGCGGCGGAGTTAGAAGCATCAGTATTCCCCTTCCCAATGGAAACAATCACGTTTTCAGGTTTGTTCCCCTTCCAGCTCAGTAGATCGGGATCACTCGCGAGCTTATCCCCGCCCTTGAAGCCGCCAAGGTCTGGCTTGCGACGCGTGATGCTGCGATGGAGACGGAGTCCAAAAAGCCACCAGACAAGTGCGCCGGCAAGTGCCGTCACGGCCAAAGTGACCACAGCACCAATCACTCCCGCTACTGCTGGTTTCAAGGATCGCGAGCCAGAACGCAAAGTTCCTCCAAAATTAGGGACATAGGCAGGACAGAAGACGGTAGAATCACTACCACAGGCGAGGCACCATTGCGAGACACCCATCATGATATCCACCATGTCATTCTTGAAGGCCTGGTAGGGTATGCCTGGCTGAGAAGGCGCTTGGTTGAACAAGGGGTACGATATAAATGTTTCATTTGTCCCATTCCGGAAAAGGAAGCGGACCATTAGATCAGTTTGGGAAGGGTATGCCCTGGAGGAATTACCAGATTCCATACTAAAAAGCTCGAAGATCATCGAAGACCCCGGGTTGGGCAGGCTGTAGAAGTTGCTCTGTCCATTAGACGTCAATCCGGATAAGAGAGCAAAGGACATTATTGGCTCATGGCTGCCAAATGCCATCGTCAGCTTGTTGGAAGCGCCGTCTGTGCCGTAATTGGTCTCAAAAGCACTGACGATGAGCCTTGCCATAGTTTTCCCTGCTACATGGAGGATCATGCGATCTTGGGCGTCGAGCGTCCCGTTTGTGTTGACGTTGCCGTTTGCCGCGGAAACCCACTGAGAAGCGAGGAAGCGCGCATACATCACCTCCTCCATCGAAATTACTTCCCGGAAAGTCGAATTGTGGATATATTGATAGTTGAGATACTCGTAAATAGCGTATGAATTAAAAAAGCTGACGGACTCCCTGACAAACACTCCCTGTAAAGCAAGGCGATAAATTCTAGCATAGAATGAAGCACTTGCTGCATTCATCGCGAGGACCTCGTTAGTGCCTAGCCACTGCGCAAACGAAGCGACGTAGGCTTCGCAGTTGACCTGGCCCGCAAGGTAAACGCTGGTTGGGTCCCTGAAGGTCGGTGTAAGGATTGGTGGATACTGATATCCCCCGAGCGGGGATTCCAGGACGGACCCATTCACCACGTTTGCTAGTGCCGGAATCTCGGTGTTGTTTGATGAACCCGACGTAGGAGGAAAGAATCCTTGCATGAATGCCTGAGCTGAAGCAGCCATGGGATGGTCCGGCCTAGAGAGAATAAAGAGCTCATCCGACACCATCGAGAAGAGCGAAATGTTGCCTGGTATCGTCCCGGGTGGATACAGAAGTCGGACGGCTGAGCCTACCTCTACCAGTTGTTGAGCCCCTAGTGTGGTCAATGTTGGAGTGTACGGCAGCACACGGGGAGTCGAATCACCATAGGTTGTGAAGACGAAAGCCGCCCATACTTTCTCCACAGCGGCAACTTGAGCTGAGCAAAGAGGAAAGATGTAGAGGGAGAGTGCGGTGTAAAGTGAAAGGAGGTGCATGTTGAGTGCAAAGCCGTCTCCAGCAAGTCGACGTATTGTCTTGACTGTGCGAATCGTTATGGCGTATGTGAATCTATAGAGGAAAAGGTGAAGATTATAATACTATTGCCACGTATCTAGGTCTGGCATTGAAAATCATAACGCAGTGCAAATGGTATGTGCACTGGACGGACAGGTGGCTTATATTGCAGGCCATCATACTCTGGAAGAGGTCATATACAACTTTAAACATTCTGTCCTTATTATTATGACGAGCTCACCCATTCGGGGTGGGGTGGCTGATTCTATAATTGCAGCAAAATCCACCGTTGTTCCTTGGATGAACGAGGCTTTATCGTCCAAAGTTTCTGGGGGAAGGTTCCAAGGCTTAGAACTGAAGGTTTATTCAATCTACTTTTAGTTTCTGTTGTCTCGAGAGTTAGTTACTGTGGAGCCTGAAGCCGATCACATTGATTTGGTTCTGTTTATTCTCAGTATGCTAGTATATTGGCGACGGAGTAGAGTACAGATCGAAGGTCGGGGGTATTCGAATTCGGAAATTGAGACCACCACACATGCGCGGGCTCCATAGGAATGCCATTGCTGGCGCGGTGGTGGCAAACGGTCACTAACGAGGACATAATCCGTGGTTGTCGTACGGAGTAACTTGTCCATGATGTTGATGAAGTTCCAAGGTTGGTCCGAATCCTGCAAGCTAGGGCACCGCGACAAAAGCCCTAGATTACCCAAAACAGATGCATTATCCCTATTTTGGGCTAATCATTGCTGACATAACCAAGCTATTTTCTTTGCTGGAGTGCGAGGGCAATCTGATCTCCAGCTTCAATTGTGACAATGTCGATATTTCCCTTTGCCAACATCATTTAAAAAGGTATCGATGCTTTGCAGCATGCAGTTTATTGAAGGTTTGGCAGTGTTGTGATGCCTCTTTGAAGCTGGTTCGGTTGCCTGCCAGTCCTCTGTCCAAAAAAATTCCAGTCACAAGCGCCCCCAAGCCCTACTTTTGCGCCCTATCCCTAAACCCTCATTTCTTCTCCTGGAAGTCTTCCTAGGCCGATCGTGCATATATGCCGTGCCCACCATGGTCAACACTCGAGCTTCAGACAACCCAACGTACGCAAACCAGGAGAACGCCCAACAACAATTCTCTGTCCGTACGACAATAGGCAACAATGGTCGGGGCTTCCAATTCGATCCCTGTATTCCAGACTGTCAACTTTCTATTTTATCTTTGTCATGTAGCGTTAGCTCGCTGTTCATCTGATTTGAGGTACTGTGACTGAAAATTTGTGTTCTAACCACTCTTCTTCACTCTTATAGGATCGTCAAAGGTGACCCATGAACTTGAAGAGCATGATGGATCCAACAACACCTCTCCCCATGTTGCGAAGAAACGACGGACTGGGTCTGTCAGCGAGGTGGTTCCCGAATCATCCAACGTGACAGAGCAGCCGTTGCCAGACAAAGATTTGAACCAGGACGCCCAAAATGCTACAGAGCAGTCATCGATAATTTGCATGTCTCCTGTCGCCAAAGTTGAACCCAACGGAAGCCCTGATGGTAACCTTGAGAAAAAGAGCGCAAACGGATCTCCAACGGCGATTCAAGCTGCTACTACATCTACATTTGCACCGGATCAATTGGGACCGGACGTTGCGGAGGTCATTTCAAACATTATGAGTTATTCAGAGCGGGTGGAGGAACAGTATAACCTCAGCCAGCAGCTGAAAAGCTCTGGCGGAGGGTCGCAGCCCTTAGTGTTCATCAAGGCGAACTCGCAGCTGATGACCAAGAGCTTGCCGATACTAGACAATTTGGTATATGGCTACTGATTGCTGGTGAGGTTGAATTTCTCATGTGCTAACTGAACTTGCAGTCATCCCAAATTCTTACTTTGCTTGCCCAATCGTCTTACCAAGACCTGACCTCCATTGTATCTGAACCCAACTCCGAGTGCGGACAAGCTTACTCAACGATGCGATCCCTATTCAACCATACGAAAAACGTATATTCGTCTAAAGGATCTTTCCTCTCACCACGCGAGCTTAATCTCACTGAACCGAGCCAGATGGATATAATCAGAAAGGCTAATATGGCATCATTTGTATCAAGCATTTTCGGTAGCCAGGAGATTGGGTTTTCTGAGCTTGACCAACACTTCCTGGAAATATTTGTACCCGAGGGAAGTCGATTGCTGAAGGTACAAGGTGCACTCTTCTTAGAACTCAAAACCCAGGCATACATCGCAGCAATGAATTCTGGAAAACGTTCACGAACAGAAATTCTGTACGAATTGTTTCCCGATGATCTTGAAGAACGGTTGCTTTCCAGAAGACCCGGTACAAAGCAACTTGCGCCAAGTGAGACGGATTTCGTGAAACGTGTTTTCTCGCGACGCGACATCCTTCTCAACGAAGTAAACAATCCCGAAGCCGCTTCCGCACTGCCACAAAAGTATCGCTGGGAGGATTTCTTAAGGGATTTAAGTTCATATGTGAGCAAGAATTTTGAGGCTATTAGCCATCAGCAGGTTTGTCTTCATATAATTTTTATCTGCTCTTATGTATGTAAGCTGACCTGTTTTTGTTCTCCAGACCAAAAAGCCGAGTAAGGGACGGCCGTCAACAAATGGAGAGGCACAAGAAGTTCGGAGCGCCCCTCTCGAAGGTCAATTTTCTGTTATCGCCAACCCACCTGAAGTATCCCAAGTTTCCCGTAGTGCAGCGCATAGTGACCTCGTAGCAAGAGCCGCCCGCGCTGCTCAAATCGCTCTTCAAGGTCAGGGTAGAGGGACACGAAACGCTGCTAAGGCTGCTCAGCAAGGCCGACAAATTCAACCACCACCAGCAACTCAGGCTGTAGCCCAACTGCCACCTCAACAGCAGTCGCAGCCACAGCCACAGCCGCAGCCGGAGCAGCAGCAACCTCAGCTTCAACAACAGCCACAGTATCCATCAACCCAGACACCGCAGCAACAACAGGTACCCCATCCTCAACATCAGTCACCCAAGGAAGTACAGTTCGTTCAATCTCCTCAACACGCGCCAGCTCCTCCTGCGTATAGGCTTCCCCAGAGTCCCCGCTGTCCAGCTTCTCAACATTTGTTGCATCAGGCCGCTATGACAACGACATTCCCTGCGCACCCGACACATCCAGCACCGGCACCACCAGCACAAGCAGCCCAAATCACATTCCATCAAGCCCCGCTAAATTTTCAACAATATAATCCAGCCACTGCACATGCTTCAGTCACAGCAAGGGCACATGCCGCTGCTGCCAACTACGGCTACATGCCAGGAGTCCCACACTATTCTCAATCCCAGCCGACGCAAATCCTTTATGAACGAGCCAGGATGGCAACTACAGCGAAGTCCTCGCCCGCGAACCGTCGTGCGGGACTTCCGAGCCAACGTCGCCCCTGGACAACGGAGGAAGAAAATGCGCTAATGGCGGGTCTGGACAGGGTCAAGGGACCTCACTGGAGCCAAATATTAGCCATGTTTGGACCTGGTGGCACAATCAATGAAACCCTCAAGGATCGCAACCAGGTACAACTGAAAGATAAAGCACGGAATCTCAAACTGTTCTTCCTCAAGAGCGGCATTGAAGTTCCCTACTACCTAAAATTTGTCACTGGAGAACTAAAAACGCGTGCTCCCGCACAAGCTGCCAAACATGAAGCGCGGGAGCGGCAACGAAGACTTGGCGATGAAGATAAAGCCCATGTAGAGGGCATCGAAGGGATGATGGCGCTTGCTGGCGCTCACTCGGGATCAAATATGTCTCCGGAGTCTGCTCACAGTAGCATGGTTGATTCTCCTGGGCTGATGCCGCAGCAGCAGCAGCAGCAACACCCTGATGTTCAGCATGCGCAGGATCAAAGTGTGGAGCAGGCCATAATCCAAAGCTTAGAACAGGAGGTGAGACAGGATGGGATGCATCTCGAGCAACAACCGAAGAATATGCAGCACACTATGCCGCAGGGCATGGTTGATCCGTCCCTTCAACCCCAACAATGAAGAGCGAAATCACCGTTTCTTCTAAGGCACATGGACAATGCAGCATTGAATTTCATTGATTTATCAGTTTTTGTTTCTTACACTGGGCGGGATGCTCCTATTTGCGTTGGCATGGCTGGCGGATTGAATTCATTATGCTTTTATATTCGCCCTTGGTGGGTCCAATATGATCAAATACCAAAGATTGACAATCGGCGTTTTTTTCTTGGAGTGGGGGCGAGGGTCCAGCATGTGTTTTCCAGGCATGATAGGTGTTTTTGTAAACAGATGATGTGTTTAATATTTTATTGTTTGCGCGCTGTATGTTAGGAACACCGAAAAGAAAACACGAAGAATTCGTCTAAAGTGAGAACCGGAAATCAAATATTATTTCTTCTCCTGGAAATTCCATATCATCTTTTCATATAATTCCTACAGAGTTGCGGTTGCAATGGTAGAACTTTTTCCTGTTTAGCAGTGAAGCTAAAGAAAAGCTAAAGCTGTGGAACCTCACTCCAACCACCTCACCATTCACCCAACCCAATTCAATCACCCTGGAGCCAACCAACGACGGATCGATCCGTGCTACGAGAAACATATATAAAGAGCGTCGCAGCCAGTCATGGCCGATCCCCAGCCGCCGCCGTCAGACTTACAAGTACAAGCAACAGCACAATCGGCACCTCCAACAACCGCATCTGCTCCCACTACAGAAAAACCTGAGCTCTCAAACCCTCCAGATCCAGATAACAGTCCATCGACCTCCGCCATCCCCACAGACAATGCTGCCAATAGCAACACGAATATCGAAATGAACAATAGTAATAATACTAATGCTAATCCTAATAACACCTCGACGACAACTCGGCCAGATGTCACGATGAGCGGTACCAGCGAAGCCACGACGGCATCTACTATGGCTGCCAGCTATCAATCGATGACAACGTCTGCAACGACGATGACAACGATGACGGCACCAGCTGCGGCTGCGGCTGCGGCCACTGGCCCTGGCACAAGCACCACTGCGCCAACAGGAATAATTGCACCAGGAATCCCAATAGATGCTGGAGTGAATCCCGTCGCGGCTGTGCCAGTGCTGCCCCCGTCAAAGAAGGATACGAGCCTACGCGAGTTTTTGGGACAGATGGATGAATATGCACCTATTGTGAGATTCATATTTGTTCCCTTTTTTTTTTTTTTTTTTTTTTTTTTTTTTTTTTTCAATTTCCTTCTTATTTTCTCCTTCAGTACCCAGTTGCGCTGTTAAAGATTAATATTCCCTCGACTTCAAATCTACCTCGTTGGTTGCGCTGCAGGGCCTTTAGCATATCGTTCCTGCGATAATATATTCTCCTTTAGCTAACAACACCATAGATCCCCGATGCCGTAACAGCACACTACCTAACCCTCGCCGGCCTTCCGCCCCCAGGAAATGGCCCAAACCATACTCCTCCGCACCTCGCCCGCCTTCTCGCCCTCGCCACACAGAAGTTCGTCGCCGATATCGCCGCAGACGCCTACCAATACTCCCGCATCCGCAGCTCGAACACTTCCTCGAATAACCCCATGGGCGCCATAAATCTCTCCACGGGCTTGGCGCACGGGCTAGCTGCTGCTGGAGGTGCTGCCGGGGGTACTGCAGGAGTAGGCGCAAGTGGGGGAACTGCTACAGCCGGTGGTGGCGGGGGAGGCGGAGGGGAAGGGGCAAAGGGGAAGGGAAGTGGTTCAACTGGTTTGCTTTTGGGTGTTCAGAGGCCTGGGTTTGGAGGTGGGGGACAGGGCGGACAGCAGGGGCGGACGGTGTTGACGATGGAGGATCTAGGTATGGCGGTTGCGGAGTATGGGGTGAGTGTGAAGAGGGGGGAGTTTTATCGGTAAGGGTTAGACGGGTAGGTACCTTCATGAAGGAGGCCTTACTTATATGGCGTTTCTTAGTTGTTGGTTGGGGATTGCGATGGGGGATGCTTACAGGTTTTTATTACCTCTTTCCGCCCTTTTTTCTTTTTTCTTTTCCTTTTCTTTTTAAACCAGGGCCAGGAATCTGGGGTGGAGTTTCGGTTGTCGTTCCGGGTGGGAAGGAAAAGGTGTTTTCCCGACTTATTAAGCTCATATATTATCATGCTATACCATGTCATGGCATATCATATACTATGTACATTTCAGATTGATTATAAAGACTAAATGAAGCGTGGCCTTTCCGTTTTTCTTCTGGAAATTAGATACAGGATAGTTGTCTATTAAGAATCAACATTATGGAAGCTTTTTATTCCCGTAGATGTACAGAACAGGGTAATAAGCAAGATTTATTGAAATTCTAATACAGAAAATTATATATATATATACATGTACATCATAGCATAGAAATGTAATATACAGATTTCTCCCCAAATGAGTATTCAAATCCGAGACGCCCCGCTCTAATCGTTCAGGAGATAGGAAACCCCAACTGGGCAGCAACCTTAAAGAGTCCGCCCTCTCACCGCTTACAAACAGACCTCCTCGCATAGTCAGCTCTGATGATGAGGTATCCAGGTTTCTCTCGAAAGATCAGGGTTCGATATCGATATGTCATCCCTTCTCCCACCCAACATTTCACCTCTCCATCTCCATGACGAATAGAGGATTTGATGGGTAGGCAGCAACGGCGTCCGAGAACATGACGGCTGCTGATAACGTGTATCTCCTCCTCGAGCAAAGTTGCGAAACAATCATCCTGCTCCCAAGAACACAAAAGCCCCACATGAACCTAATAAATTCCAAAACGCAGCGATTCAGCTGGCTTTCCGCACACCATTCTTCCCCCCACCGCAAACTCCCTTCGAATCTAAACTATATTCTCTTAATTCTTCGAATGCTGGTATTTGAACCGCTTCCGTGTCCTAAACGAATGCATATTAAGTTCCCTGCAATTGATGTATAGGAAATAACGGCGCATAGCCATAAGAAAAGGAAGAGAAAGACAATGAAAGAAGGAAAATATATACTAATCTAAAAAAGAAGGATTTACATACTGCGAAAACTCCCCCAACTTTCTCCCCACCATCTCATCCGTAATAAAAACCTCATTATACGTCTTGCCGTTATGCACCGCAAACTTCAAGCCGACGAAATTGGGCAGGATCGTCGCGGAGCGCGCCTGAGTTTTTATCGCGGGTGTACCGGGGGATGGAGGCATGGTTTTTGGGAGCGGGAGACTATTGTTTGCGCATATTTAGCATTCAGAGCTTTGGGGGACATGATCAATTGCATTCAGGATACAGAAGATACAGAGGATACAATAAAATGAGGGGATTCTGTGTTCTTTCCGTCCTTCTTAATCGCATGCTGAAGGAGAAGGAAGTGGATTGTGGGAACGGGGGACCGGAGAAACTCACGGGACAATGTTCGGACCTGCATATGGGAGTGTTGGTTAGAGCAGTGCGATTAATGGGGTTATATTAAAGGAGTAGGAGCTCACCCTTCCATACTGATCGCTTGAACAATGCGCGTGTAGGGTACATCTTGGATCAGTCTCGTCTTGTCTTGTCCTCTTCTTTAGCTGCTAACATGCTTCAACCTTCACTGGAATTTATGCATTATCGGAAATATATTTATCCGGATAGGCCCTGACAGTATCTCATCACATGGCTGATTCGTCCATCATGTAGTAGTAGTAGAAACTTCAATCGTACAAGTGGATTGAAAGCACCGGAGCGTGTCCTAGGCTGAACCCCAGTGTGTAAATGAAGTTTCTCTATGCACTGTGTTGAGAGGAAATCACTCTGTTGGCTTCGATACGGAGTTAGGGTTACTCGCAACATCAGCTACCGGAGCGAGTGATGGGAAGGCAAGGCACCTTATGCCCATTCCACCACATAATACGAGTATCTCTTCCTACATATGGCAGACATACTCCAGACTCAAGATTGTCGATTTGGACAACGGGTGTTTCAATCGCAAGCTTTAACTGAACTCCATCCGCCTTCTTCATGACAAATTCTTTCCATTGGTGCTGTTGTGTAGGGATCAGCAGCATACTATGACTGGCTTCTCAAATATTCCAGCTCCTTGGGGACCATTATTCTACGCAGCCAGCATAGACAGATATCAAAGCGCGAGCATGACTGTTAGCTGCTCCTTTCCAGGGTTTCCCCATGCGTTCCACAGAATCAGTTGAGCAAGACCAAGATTGCCGCCATCATCTCAGCGCCTTACAGGGACTAACTACAGATCCATAAGAATATAACCATACCAGGCATGATGTTGCTTCATAAAAAAAATTGAGCTGTGAGAGAATCTGGCAAAATCCTCAATGGCCTGCTGACAGTGAGCTGTTTCGCAAATTGCTAGTCCATTTGCATGATGGCTTCACCTCACCAGGTGCGCGATTCCAACTCATTATAGCAGACATGTGTAGTTGTCCAGATCCTGGGTTCTCCACACTGATGATATCTATCGATGGTATCTGTGATCATATTGTTCAATTGCAACATAATGAATATCATGACTTCGCACTTTCGCTCCGTCCTGCTCCAGCTGCACGTTTCATGAAGCTTCTGCTATAGGGTGTTGTGCCTGAGCTTTCGAACCTTTGAAGCAATTAATGATGTCTTCATCTCTGGTATTTAGAGGTTCATTTGCCCACTCCCAGAAGGGTGGTGATAGAGGCAAGCTGCCCCTAGCAATTTATTATATCATTTTAACATGATTATAGATAATTCTATATTCATAATAAGTTATTTTTAAAACATTATTATTCTCTAATATTCTTCTAATATTTTATGTTATAATTACTAATATGCTTGATTTTTTATAAGCTTTCATCGAAAAGTATTCGAATGCTATTCGAATTGTAAAAGGCTCTATTAGGCTTCTGCAAGCTCATCCATGATGCTGACCAAGTTTCGAATGCCGAGTACTGCGTTTTCATCGGGGCCCTGCCCAGGAGTCCATTGTGCATGCGCAAAATCGATTAAGCGGATATCATGGACCTTGTGTGGTATTTCGTCCTCGTCTTCGTCTTCATCCTCGCCGCCTTCGATGTCGAAATCAATATCTCCAAGGTTGTTAGGGCTGATATCGAGTTTAATTCCGCTTTGAGTGATCGATTCTCCATCCACCTTCACATCGACGATCTGCAAGGTTGAGGACCCTTCAGGCAACTCTACATCGTATTCCGATTCCGATTCCGATTCCGATTCCAGTCGGTCGTCGGCTTTGCTATCATTATTTCCTTGTTCTTTGGTATCGGCTTCTTTGACGAGAGCTTCCTCTAACGCTTCTGGATCCCCTTCGTAGACAATCAAAACGCTGGCGGAGTACATTCTGCTTTCCTCCACCTCAAGAACTGCCTGCATCGCGCGTAAGCTTTCTGCTATTCTATTGGCAATTAATTTCGACCGATCGACTTTACCCGCCTTGGCGCCAGCGAGGAATGTCTTGAAGCCTTCCTTGACATTGTCCGCGTTGAATGAGCGGCCATACCATTTGTCATATCGTCTGTATCCATCAACGGTCTCGACCACGATTTGTTTCGATATAATGATGTCGTGAGTTTTTGTTTGCGTAGTTCCGAGCACTTTTTCTGCCTTCTCCGCATTCTCGCCAACCCATATCTTCATGCCGGCGATGCGGAATCCTAACACAGCACTCGTAGTTTCCAGTGACACCTGATCCAATTTCGCTCTCTTTGCAGGTGTAGCATCATCCGCCCAGAGCCTAGCGCCAAGTTTTACATCCAAGACGCTTGGACGCTTAAAACCTGCTGCCACGTTCTCAAGGACTATCGATACACTGCTGTTGATCTTCTTTCCCTGGGAAGGAAACCATTCTGGCTCTTTATGCGTGGCAACGGGAACCGGTACTGTAACAAGATTAGAGGTTCTACTGAGCTCCGGAGTCACGGGTGTATCGGTACTGGAGGACGAGGACACTAAAGGGTCTACGGCGGCAGTAGCCACGGAGGTCCTGGTTTCGCTTATTGGGATTTCTAGGACATCTGGAGCGGTAGCGCTAGACAAAGTTCCAATGAATCTGGGCATAAATTGCTGGAAGCCAGGATGGTGGAGGCTAGACTCGTAGAATTCAATTTCTTGGGGAGTGCAAGGTTTTGCGATCAATGACCCTGAAGGATTGCAAAGCACGCCATCACTGTGAGATACAGGAGATTTGAGTCAGTTCCCGAGTTTTCAATATGTACATAGATGTATATGTGTATATTCGTTGATATGTGAGTTTCCCCATTAAATGCATAAAGAACCTAGCCACCGGAGACAAACGGGGAGGAACGCAGTGGATGGAACGAGAATGCAGATGGAGAAAATCTTACTGTCCAGCAGCGGCGTGACCAAATGCAACGAAGGTACCTTCGTCGAGTTTCCGGGCCTTGCGATTCTCAGGCACGGAGGTGGATGGCATGATAAGACGCGATAAACCAACCCGATATCACCGGCGTCTCGATGATTATTTAAAATAAATAGGGCTAGCTTCACAGATGCTTTGGAGGGAAGGAGAGGTGGGGGAATTAAAGGAGAGAGGGGATGTCGCAGGAAGGCTGTCAACGCATTCTGGGAGAATCAACAACAAGCAGCAGAAGGCCACAAAAGGAGAGAAGAGTGTTGCAAGTCCGACAAGCAAAGAGAGGAAAAAGGAGCGGAGGAGACCTCGAGGCGGGGGTGCTGGGCTTGTAAGGAGAGGAGCAAAGGTTGCCCACACAGGAAGCGCGGGAAGCGGGTTGGCTTATTTATCATGACTCGGAGGCGCCAACTTCCCGCAGCACCAACATAAAGAAGTTACTATGCTACAACCCGTCTCGCGATTATTCTTCATCACACTGCAAGAAATGGCTATCCGCGTGGATCGATATTCTTGAAGGTTTGCAGTTAAATATTGCACAGTTAATAGAGTCGTTTGTGCGAAGATAGAGTTAAAAGAGCTAAAGTCAGACACTCAGGCATTTAATATATGCCAATAGTTACTGACTATTGCACCCGCCTCAGAATATATACTCCGCAGAGGAAATCAGACATGGTCATTTCACTTAACCCCACACAACGTACGCCTGCAACTGTCTAGGTGCTATAGCAAGCCAGGCGTGCTTTCACACTTCATCAAATGTAAACGCCATGGTATAGAAATAATTAAATCCCCTGAGGAGTGCCACACCATTAGCCAATGTACCTTTTTACATTCATTCGCTCGGCCTTTGCTTTCAACCCGGTCCCTTTTTTTCCACCATAAAATTATCGCAGCGATCTAAACATTGTCAGTGAGCAAAGTCGATCATTGAACCGTCGAGCGAAAAACCTGTGAACTCACTCAATGACTCCATGGTTGGATAGAGGCATTCAAGCTTACCAATGGATCATCCATGGTGCAAGTCTCTGTTGAAATGTTGTTCCACCGACCATGACAAGCCTATCAAGTGTCGCGAATCCTGGATTGGGCTCGCAACCTCATTGAATATGGGGACAAAGTCGTTGTGTTGAAGCTGGTACGCTAGACACTATCTCTTTACCCAAAAGAACTCAGATTGTGATCTTTTTCTTTTTCTTTTTTTCTTTTTTTTTTTTTTTTTTTGGCTCATCTTTGTTCGCGAGAGAAAAATCCAATAACCTACTTTCTGTAGATCTGGGCTGGGCACTGGCCATATCCACTAGATATATTTCTACCATAAACTCAAAAAGCACGAGAGGATACCGAAAACTCATTTTTATTTTTCACGAGGCCCCTGCGTTGGGCTGTCTCAATAGCATTGTGGAATGGCACATGGGCAGCAAAATGGTATGGGTGGATTAAACTAAATGACGATCAATCCAAGGCCTCACATAACAAGCACCAACATTTTCTGTTGATGTGCTATCATCAAAGACTTGATCTTTGAGAAGTCAGCATTAGCGAAAATGCACGCAAATTTTGCTTTGGCCTGACGATATCATGGAGAAATAAGACAGCACGCAGTCGTTAATGTGCTTGAGATATATCTCAAAATGTATCTGCCCTGTTTGTAGGTCGCAACGTAGGATGTTTTGCTTTGGCCTATTTCATGAGCGGGGTTTTCAGACTGGCATACAGCTGAATAGTATCAAAACTCACAAAACTTCTAGATTTTATCCTTGTAGAGGAAGTGGCAGCTATGAGAAATACCAAACTGTCTAAATAAAGTGGGAAAAGTTAAAATCTTAGTAGCAGTGCTAAACCCCATGTTAGCCTTCTCACTAAACATGTCCCAGATTTTTGCTGAACTGACCAACTATTATATCATCAAGGGTCCAGCTGGCTTCCTCTTGAGAGGGACACTCCGAGAATGGGGAGGTTACTGAATTTTAGGTGAGGACATAATACTAGAAACGGATGATCATCGGCTTGAGAGAGGTAGAATACTCTCACGTCCTTAATCCTGAGTGAACCGGTGATCTTTTAGATTTCTACCTCAGTATCTGGATTCCAGCAGTAAGTTGCTGCAAATTTCCATATGCATGGATTACTTCCCTTTCTGAAATGGCAATTCTTTCATTTCTTTCATTTCTAGCTTTTATTCCGTTTTCCATATGACATTGGGGCAAACTACCTACTATCCAGGAGGCAGATTCATGGATGGAGTTGTAGTTGTATATCTGCATAAATTTGTTGGGCATGCATGGGGCCATTCTGTTTATGCCATGTCTGACATTCCACTGTACTTTGCATAGCTCTGGCAAGTTGGAAAAATAATACTTCATGGGAGTATTTGCTCGAGCAAGCATGCGAGGGCAATCCATTATCCATTCTACTTTCTTCACCTCCACAAGCTCTGCGTCATCACATCCCTGCTCTGCCGTAGAGACAATCACCTGCAATCATAGTTGCTAGTTGTCTAAGCCAAGCGTTATCCTATATCTACATTTATTTCTCTCAGTTGCCTCCCGTTTACCTCCTTTTAAAAATACGGCTTGTGTATCTCGCCATGGAGATCCCAACCGCAGCACTTCCGTTCCGTGACAAACCAGCGCAGGTTGGTGCGGATGGCCAGCTGGATGTCAAAGCTGATGATGACCAGGAAATTGCCCAGATGGCTCGTTCTGGTACCGACAATAATAACGACGCAAATATGGACGAGTGTGTTGCTACGAAAAATGACGAACAGGAACCCAGTACGATTGAGGAAACAGCTGAAGCCCCAGATCCAAAGAAAAGTAAGAAGAAAAAGAGGACCAAGAAGTCGAGAGGAAAAAATAAGGTGGGTGTCACACTCTTCCGCGTTTGGAATATGTCCATGCGATGAGTAACAATACATCTTTTGGTGACATTAGGGATCAGGATTCGAGGAATATGCTGCCGATGGCCCTATCACTGTTGCTGAATATGAGGAAAACAAAAATCGTTACGATAGGTGAGATGCTCCTAAATCCCAGTGGTTAAGGCATTTCGGAATTGACAAACATGTTATTCTTATCAGGTCCCTCCCTGCCAAACAGTACGTCGTTCATTCGCAACTAGGCTAGACTGAATTTCATTACTCAAATTTCAAAACAGGCGCCTCGAGACAGCCATTCAACGGTTCCAGGCAAAAAGGAGCATGAACATTGACCGCAGAAACGTATTCACAAAATACATGTCATATGGAGGTGTAGACGTTGGGCCGAAAATGTTTGAAGGCAACGACCAACGGGATCTCATGGACATGGACTCCGAGGACATTCTGACTGCCGCAGCGCAAGCCTCAGTCCCGGAAAACCGTGTTGGTTGGGATGTGGATTTTGAAGCTGTTGCAAAAGGCTTTCTGTACGTTCAAAGCCCAACTTTGCCTTTTTTTTTGCATTTCGTTCACGTATTACCCTCCTGACAGGCTCCTCTCTCCCAGGTCGTCCGTCCTACCTCTGCACATCGGCTTAGAAACGGAAGCACTCGTCGACATGGCCACCGGGACAATCAGAAACTTTCTAAATTACATTCTCTTACACGACGTCTGTCCTGAATATACTGAGAATATCCTAGCCGCACGTGCGGTCTGCGACGTCGCCAAGGTAGAACTCTGGAAAGCCCAACAAGCGAACTGCTGGGCACCGGGAAATTTCAACATGGCCTGTTCAACCTTGTTTGGTGGACACTTCTACGGTTTCTACACCGGAGACCAGGCATGGAGCAAAGAAGCCGGTGCCGAGGGCATGGCAGACAGCGTTGCACGCAAGGTAGTCAAATTTGCGATTGCCGGGGTCGGGAGCTACGAGCAAGCTGTCCGCTTCCGCAGCCTGGCTAACGCCAATGAATTGAAAGCTACCTGTGTGAATGAAACTGGGTTTGAGGTTATCGCCATTACACCCGTGAACAATGACGTGCGGGATTTCTACAAGCAGTATGCTCCCGATCTCCAGCCGGTTGGCAAACTTCGAGCAAAGCCGTGGCGCAACCCCGGGTTGCCCGCGGAGGATCTACCCCCCAACCAAAATTATGGCGCATACCATTCACCTCCGTTTTCAGCTATTGATGAGTATGAATTTTTCGTAGAGGAGAGCATGCTGAAGTTCTGTTTCGCGGGGATGAAAGTTGAAACCTCGGTATGGGAATTGAACTGTGGTTTTCAATACTTTGATAATGTGATGGCCGTTTACTGCTCCTTTTACACCATATTGCTGAATGAGAATATGATTGGGTGGAAGGAACCGAGGGACCTTAGAAGTGATGTTATTGTACCGCATAATTCAGAAGCAGAAACACAGGTTGGTGGTGGAGATGAGGGCCAGGTAAGGGCTGAGGAAGATGACTAGTGAGTGAGCTTCTTTTTGCAAACCAACATCCCAAGCGAATGCAGTCAATATACCCCAGGCGCTTAGGAGTAAATAAATTATACCTAAAACTAGAATACTTAGGAAGAGAGACGGAATATATCCGCGTTTGAAATCAATCGAACTGGTATTTCTCAGCTATCACATCAAGGTAGCGAAATTTTCCAGCGTGCGCTGTGAAGAAAAGAGTGACTTTTTCATTAATTGCATATGCAGACCTATAGTATCTTGTTCTGAGAAACAGATTGAACGTCAGAGAGCCCAACTTTCTCAGAAGCGCAATCCCCCCAACAACAAATTCCAATGCAGTAGTAATCTTATGGCTTGAGGAGGAGCTTCCCAGTAGTCTGTCTACTCTCGAGGTCCTATTATTTTAACACTCAGTCAAAGATCCCATAAAACATAGAAGGAATGATGTAACAAAATTCTGCTTTTGTGGGACTTACGATGTGAGCCTGCGCAATTTCCTCCAAGGGATAGACCTTGTGGATCCTAACTTTCAGTTGGCCAGCCTTCAGTAGGCCAAACAGCTCTTCGGTATAATGGTCAAATTCAGCTTGCGTGTGGATATATGGGAACACTGTAGGCCGGAGCACTTTGATGTTCTTCGACGACAGAAGCCTATATCGCCTCTCAGCATTCACACTATCACACAAAAAAAGGGGTGTCAGAAATCAGACAAAGGAGCACTCACCGGATCTGCAATGGCGGTACGGGCCCGCTGGAATTTCCGAAATAAACCACTGTCCCTTTCCTCTTACAAACATTCAAACTTCCCTCCCATGTGTCCTTCCCTACGGAATCGAATACAGCATCCACCCCCTCTCCGCCAGTCACATCCATCACCTTCTCCACCCAATTTGCGCCCTCCGCACTCCTATAATCAATAACCACGTCCGCCCCAAGACCCTTCACTAACTCCACCTTCGCCGGACCCCCAGCCGTCGCAATTACTTTCGCACCAGTCATCTTGACCAACTGCGTCATCAGAAACCCCGCCCCACCCGCCGCAGCGTGGATTAGAATCCAATCCCCCTGCTTAACCGGATACGCTTCTCGGACGAATGTGAGCGTCGTAAGCCCACTTAGGAATCCCGCGACGGCATCCTCATCTGATAAACCTGCAGGGACGCGCGCCACGTTTGCCTCAGCGGGGACGGCCGTGTACTCCGCATAGCCGCCTGTATTCATCCATGCCACACGCTCACCGACAGTGAAATTTTTCGGGTTAGCGCCAGGGCCGACGGCAACGATGGTGCCGGCTGCTTCACGGCCTAGAATCTCCGGTTTGGGAGCTGTGTAAAGACCTGTGCGGAAATAGGTGTCGATGTAGTTCACGCCCGAGAGGTTGTTTTTTATCAGCACCTCCCCTTCCTTTGGGGTGGGGACGGGAAGGTCTGTTCTGTACTCGAGGACCTCGGGCCCGCCGAGTTTGGAAACAAGGACGCCCTTCTGTGTTGCTGGTATGGATGGTGCTGCGGTAGCCATGGTGCGGAGTTGATTTTGGGAGAACAATGGCAGCTGCTGGTGAGTTGGCGGAAAGCTGGGTTGGAATTGTTGTTGAAGCAGGAGGCACACTGTGGCTCGAGAATGGCGAGATGTTTTCAACGGTGTCGTCAATGCGGCGAGCTGTGCAATTGTCGCTACTCTTCGCATTTAGCTGGCTGTTCCTTCCGGGGACAACGCAATATACTTGATTCAGCGTGATGTTTAATAACTACCACGCTGCTTCAGAGAACACTTCATGTGGAGCTTCCTTCCCACTTAAGCTCAATTGATTGAACAAAACATATATGTTATTCATTCTGATAACCGCCAAGCGGTTGTATGAAACATACCTTCCGGTCTCATTTAATTCTGTCCTATTTTCAATTTGTTCTTTCGACCTTGCGGGGAAATATGACGGCATTGATAGATGGATAGCCGGCTTAGTCATTGGCTAAACCGACTCGGTGCAGTGCTTCCTTACTAAGTAGCCAGATATGATGGACCTTTTTTCACAAGCACTCCTAAGTGCAAAGTCGATATTTGCTACCGGAAATGTGAGTCTTCGTGATTCTAGATATGTTCAAAACTTGCTTTAATCCCAATATTACCTGTATTCTTCGCCGGGTTGGCATCCCCTGGCCTGTGTTTCAGGAAATGAGTCAAGTTGAAGAACTCGACCCCAGCTGAACAGTCCTGTGCTCTCACAGCCTGTTATGTCTAGCTCCTTCTCCCTTCTGAGCAGACGGGGAACGTTTAGTGTGGATATACATCATGTCCAGCGGTCATCTCCTGTTATTGATTTCTTTCTCAACTTGATCGACTTGGCACCTCAATAATCAAAGCCTTCCAGAGAGCTTTCTGCCCTCTCACCTCTCCTATCATTTCACGATTTCAGTGTTTGCACAACTCCCAGCTGTATAGTTTGCCTGTCGCTATTGAGAAGGATAAACTTTTTTCAACAATATGCGGTACGGTCGGGGAATGTACTCCATAGTCTCTTCTCCCTCAATTTTTCCCTCCAATTTTGATACTATACTCTGCTGCACAATCGATATATACCATTAAACCTGACCAATCGTCTTACATAAACCGGCTGGTTACAGTTGCTCGTTCTCTCTTTTTATTTTCCCAATGGATTCCGAAAAATTATCGTTTGTGAGACAGATATCAAAACACCTTCCACCGGAATCAATGGGCTTGGTCCAGGGGCTCATGAATGCGAACAGTGCATTCAACATCTTCTGATAGAGGTGATATGGAGCGATTTGTAGTGAAGCAAATACTGGTTCCAGTCGCTAGAGAATCTGCCTCACTTCTCTCCTTCCTTCCATTGTATGGTACATGTACGGTACAATGCAATGCAATAGCCAGGTATACGGCTTTTTTCTGATCAACCACATCCTCATCTCTACTCCACTTTTCCTCCCCAAAGGGCCAGCCAGTCTCATGCAAGGGTTGTCTTGCAGATCAACGTTTTGAAAATGTAGAGGGATCGCAGTGGATATGGGAGGAGCTTGCTGGAGCGGGGACATGAAGTTTAGTATGCATACCTGCATAGAAGTTAGAACACTATAAATTCAAATAAACAAGCATGTGAAAAGTTGCGAAATGTAGACTCTAAGCCTGCAAAGGTGGCATGGTCGTTTGCTGCAAAGTTGCTAGGTAATGCGTGAGTTACAACAGCTAGTCCTGTTGGAAAGAGATGGTTTGTCCCATTGAAACATTGAAAGGGGGGATTGCAGAATGGAGTTGGCCTGAGTGTGAACTCGTCAACAGTCCGCCTCCATCTCGTCAAGGTGCTTCAGTGTTCTCAATGCTGTGGCTCACCACCCCTTTTGAGGCTGGCTTTTTTATTATACCTATTACTCTCCGAAAACTATGAGGTTCGCGCCACAATAGTTGGAAGCGGGGGCGCACCAGGGCGGGATAACCGTAGTTGGCTTCAAGGCATGGCACATTAAGGTCCATATCTAACTTCCCGAAAAGTGAAGAAAACTTTTTTTGGCGGTAGTGATCAGCCGATTAAACAGGTCTACTATGCTTGAAGTCAAATACAAGTGGGGTCCATCAAGTGAGAATGAGGCGAGCTATGCACGCTCATATATCAATCACACCTTCAAAATAACATTGACGTAAAATAAAACAGGATGACCTGGTTGAATGATCTAGTGTATATCGAGATCAGAGGATGAGATGAGAGCCAAAATCGGCAAGACGGAAAAGAAGACCTCAGGAATAAAAAGGAAAAAGGAAAACACGATCAACAAAAACTCGAAGGCGACTCGAACGGCTTTGAGGGTGAAACAACCTCATTGCCTTGGAGAGGATATAATCCTTCATTCGATAATGAATGGACAATGTTCCTAACACGTGGAAGACAAAAGTTGGCGAACTTGATATAGGACAGGAATTTTGATTGTCGTACTCATGTGTACTGTGTAGGCAGGCTTCAGATAGGGCGTCACCAAGGGCGGTGAATAGAAGATACATATGAAATGGACGTATGACGATCCAACTGATGAACAGGTTCGCTCTGTGTATAGATAAATAGGAGAGCATAGGGCCAAGTGCTTGTACCTTATTGTGTATAGGACTTGCATAAGATATACTTGCGAGTCTGACGAAGAGGTATAATTTTCGACCCCCTCATCCTTTTTCTTTTTTCCTTCTTTTTGTGTGCGACAGGCTGTAAGGCGCCGATGCAATGCAGAAATCCATGTCATTGGCGAACCAACAGGGTGAGCACGTTGTTTGCTACCCAATAACGCCCTCTGAGGCTTACGCAGCGTACAGCGTAGGGCTTGTCCCAAGGGCCTTTGCAGGAGCCAAAGAATTGACAGAAGCCTTTGTAGAGAACGAGTGGTGACACAGGCAGGTGGACATTTATCGCGTAACTATAAACTGAGATTATGAATCGTTTTGCGGAAGAGACAAAGGAGGACGAAAATCGAAATATTGCTGTTATAACCCCGATATGCTGGCACCTGTTTGCAGCTTGGAGATACTGACCTACGCGATCACGTGATTCACATTCAGAACACCCAAAATAGCAAGTTGATCGCCAACGCGATATAATTGAATTTAGAATAATATTTATCAAACTGACTGGAAGGGATAAGTTGCCATTGAGCCTCAAGAACAGTCCGCCGTAGATCAAGTCTGGGCGTCAACTGTGACAAAGGCTCTGCAACTGTCGAGATGCCTCATAGGTCGCAGTCTACGCCCTAAACTCGGCTGGAATTCGCAACGTTGCCCCGTTATTATGGACGCCAACGCGACAAGCTTCACTGTACCGGGGCTCGAAGATGGTCCGGGCAACCACCAGCAGCATCGACCCTCTGAGGCACCGTCTCGCCTGGGCGTTCGACCACTCAGCATTGCGGCATCCCATTGACCACGGCATATGGCGTGCCCACCTGTCGTTTGCTATGATGTTTTTGTGCAGCACAAGTCCTGCACGTCGCCAGAGACAGGTCCAGTCGCCTCATGTGTCGTGGGCAAGGAGGGCGATGCGTCCCAGCCCAGTCAGATTCGGGCGTTTGGCGGCCGGAGCTGATTGCTCGACCCATACAACGTGGAGCCGGTTTCCCAGACACTGATCGCCTTCACAGGCTCAAGTCGAGAATGGCCAGACCAAGTGACAAATGATGTTCCGTCCATGTCACTTTCGCCCACTTGGGAGTGTCTTTGCCTTTCTGCAGTTTCCATTACAACGGCACGCCCGGTTGGTGATTGTCTGTCAACATTCCAATTGTAGGCACAACGATGTCATCTCTGCTGCAAGATGGGGGCGATTCGAAACGAGGACATCGTCAGGGATCCCATCACATCCATACAGCTCTCCTATCGTCCGCCTCCTTTCTGTAACCGCTTTGGGAATGGAGTCTGGGGAAACGCCCTTTTATCTTACTGGAACGTGCGGAAGCTTTCTGGCCAGGGTGCTTTACGCCTCCTGTGTCCTAGTGATGCACTGCATTGCCCATCTCTCCTCCCCTTGCGCAGCTTTTACGGCATTCTACTGGCCAGCAGTGGAAATGGCAGGATCTAATCCATCAACGTTATTGAAGCCCAACAGGAGTTGGTATCAGATTTTTTTTAGCAATCAATGCCTGACCATCATATTCGAGATCAGCGCTTCTGGATCTATAAATGCTACTTATGGCCATCTCTGGTACGGCTTCTAGAATATCCGTTCGTTATACAAGCCGCCTCGACGCTAATTGCCCTCCACCTTAACTTTCCTCGATATAGCCATAATCCCCATTCCACGGTTCTCCATGCTGGATACTCCGCAATTGCCTTTCTGCTTGGATTTAGCCACTATCTGGATATATAAAGCCTGGCGTGAATTTTCTTTTTTTGTTACCGTTACCTTTGCGTGTGAGTTACGTGAGCCGCCGGATTTCCAAGGTCATGTCTGATCTGAAGGATAGTTATAGGAAACAAGCCAACCCCTTGGATATTGCCATCGCCATTAATGGATGCATCGTGACAATTATTACACTTGATATATAATCTCAATTTCTTATATATCAGCTACCTTTGATCTGTGGGCTTTTTCTTCATCTTTTCCACAGAGATATAATATATCATGTCCTCCACGGTTTCCCTAGGCCGACCCTGGCCTCCCTCTCCCAGTGTTGAGGATGAATGCGAATCCCTCTCCCGCGAATTCCTAGACCCATCGGTCTTGAACATAATGTTGAATAATGATACCGTCGTCCCGAAGGGAACTGTAGATCAGTATCCCCTCATCCTCCCCTCTGACATTGTTACTCCATGCTCAACACCAACGGACACATGTGGAAGTCCCATCGACCCGAAATCCGCATGCAAATCATCCAACGGAAATATCGACCTTGCAATTGCTCAATCTCTTCCCGATACCAGTCGAGCTTCTGGTAGAGAACATGGGCCGGATGTCTCTACTCCGCCTTCCTCTCATCATCAGACATCCAAACCCAATAATGTGCTATCGGAATTGCCCATCTATCACGAATCAAATATATCTTCGGGGATTCCAGATGTTCTTCAGCCTCATGGATGGTCAGCCATCAACCCGGCTGACTCACTTCACCAAAAGCCAGGCCTAAACAGGCACTTCTCTGAAGGGGATGAAAAACTTGACTTCCGCGGAACAACAGTCAGCGGAACAGAATGGCACAGTGATGATGAATTACGGACGTCTCACGGTGCCATAAACGGTCGGGAGACCCTAAGCAACACCGTCCCGATCAAGAAACAGAAAAGGGTGAATTTTCAGCTTCCCGATGAACCTCCTGAGGAAAGAGTGTCACTGGAGGCCGAGCTTCCCCTGGAGCATGAGTTTGAGCTTCTTGACGGACGCTCAACGGAAATTTATACTTCCCGCGGTTCAAGTATGTATTATGAAGATGAATTGCCCATGGATAACTACGACCCCACCTTCATTACGTATAGGCAAGATTACACCTACCTTGCCCATCCTCAGCCACTAAAACTCAACTGCAACTATGGTGGAACACGCAGCAGAGTTTCTGATTCTGGATCTCCTGTTACCTCACCACTCAAACTGACTTCACGACCCCCAAGTCAGTCGCCAAGACAACATACTCCGAGCCCTACAGGTTCCCGCCTAAGTCCAATTTCTCGTGTTGCCTTAGATAAGACCAAGAAAATAATGCCTATCACGAATAAAGATTCCAGAGCCAGCACGAATTCTTCTCCAGTTAGACGCAAAGGGCCTTTCCTATCACCCCCTTTATTGCCATCAGGCTATGAGATAATTGTTAGAAGAGGTAGCGACAAACAATCCCACCGGAATAGCATTCCAGCAATGACTTCATCCCATCTCCTATCCAGATCACGAAGCACAACAATTCCCTCACAGGTACTAGTGCGCCGTCATCAAACCATCGCGGCTGCTCCCCCTGTCATTGCACTTGCCCCTTGCCCCCGATCCATTCCCATGGCTGGCCATCAGGACTGGTACACCATCAAGGGCATGACGCACTTGGACATCTGCCCTTGTTGCATGCGCCAAATTGGTGGCTCCCGGTTCCGTGATCTCTTTATTCCCAGCCTTCCTAAAGCTCGCGGTGAGAATGTTCGCTGTGCCCTCAGCCAGCCATGGGCACGCCTCGCATGGGTCCAGACAATGAAACTACAGCTCAACCACCTTGAGCTGCTCCAGCGCATTACCCTTCCCCCAAAGGGAAGCCGCGCATGCAGCGGTCGTAACCCCTCAGTACAGTCTTGGTTCCGTCTTGCGGACCCTGAAACAGGTCGCAATGTCACTGATTTCAACGCCTGCTCCGCATGCTTCCGCAACTTGCAAATTCTCATGCCCTCGCTACGGGACGCCTTCCGCGCTGGCCCACTCGTCCAAGAGCGCATTTGCGACCTCCGCATCGACAGCCCACGTTTCGTTAGATACCTCGACCTTCTAGATGAGGCTGCAACACGCAGTTACTCCGCTCCCCGGGGCCGATTGGACATGCGCGAATTTGTCAGATATGCTCGACGCAAGAGCAGCATCCCAGATTGCCCTCGGGATCACTTTGCTACAGGACCATGGCATTATATCCCTGAGCTACCGGAATTTACCATCTGCGAGGACTGTTATGATGATGTTGTCTACGATCGTTCTCACACTGGTATTGGCAAAATGGTTTCGCGGACCCCACAGCTGGTCCCTGGGCGCAGGGATCAGCAATACACATGCCAGCTGTATAGCCCGCGTATGAGAATGGTGTTCCGGGAAGCTGTGCAGACTGGGGACTTCAAATATTTGGCCACAGCTGCGTTGCGCAGATATGAAGCGGAGAATTTGTTCCGAGAACGAAAGCGGGCGTTGTTGGATGATGTGGCAAGGGGCTATGATAAGGATGCGGAGTTGAGGTGGAATGCGGAAGATTGGAGGAGATGCGAATAGGATTGTTTTTTAACCTTCGTCCGGGACTGATCTCTCTATTTCTGCTGTCATTTTTCCCTATGCCATTTTTTCTGTTTTGCATGGATAAGTTCCTGATTTCTTTTCTTTCTTGTCTGCATTCCTTTATTTCATGATCACTGCTTTTTTTTTCTCTTTTTTATTTCATTTTTTGCATCTTCAAGGGCTGTCATTCCAATGTTCTTTTATATTTTTTTTTCATCCTATATCTGTACCATCTTGAACTCGGTCATTCCCGCATTTCCTTATTTGTATATTTTCAACCCAGGTACATGTACATCAACCAGTCGTTCGATACCTCCCTTATATTGATATCAAGATTTGCACTACCCTTTCATCAATTTGCCTTCCCCTCATCATTTGTCCTTACTATTTCCTGGACTGTCGGTCTCCTTGCTTCCATATCTGTCTCTGTCTCTTTGGGGCCTTTTGACCCAGTCTACCTCCAGCACAATCAATAAACTTGTATAGTAAATACTAATAACAATAATAACAAAAAAAAGTAATAATTTACAATAATAAAACTTATTATTGCCCCTCTTATTCCTCAGGTTAAGATTGAAAAATTAAGAAGCGGGTATATAATTTGTTCTTATCGCTGCTGTATCCCTTACCCCCAAAGCAACGACAAAGAAAAAAGAGCTCTAACTAGTTCATTTATCATGATGTATTTTTACTTCCATTCTCCCTTACACATCCTTCCCATCAACCTTGGCGCCACCTACCAGCAGTAGATAAAGAAATGCCTGTGAAAAACCGGATCCCATAAAAAATCTTTTCTCTTCCCATTCCCTTCCCTTCCTTCTTCTGCTCCTGGGGCCCTAAAAACCAATACTCCCCCAAATCACGCAACCAACCCCACCAACTCCCCCGGCCACCTCCTCCCCCATATCATAGCTCGAGCAGGCACCCTGCCCCCGACGGGAGCCAGCACTCGGATTTTCGCCTTCTTCTCATCAACGCCTGCAACATATACAAAACCCATGATGCTGGCGTCGCGGATCTCATGGAGCGGCGCGTTTGGGGCTGCGTGTGTTATTGCTAACAGTGTGTTTTCTAGCGCTAGTGGGGCGGGGGAGGTTGTGGAGGGAGGCAGCTTTTTTAGAGGAATGGAGACGGTGTGAGGAGGTTGGGATGTTGTTGTTGTTGCTGAGGCGTTGGATGCAGACAGGAAGGCGGGGAAGGTTGATGAGGTCATAGCTTGATCGATATATTGTTGCTGTTGCGGTTGCTGGGGCTGTTGCATTTGCGAATTGTCATCATCTTCGTGGTCGTTGATACCCCCGGGTAAAAAAGAGTCATTCATGCCGAAGGTTGAAGGATCGTAGTCATCCTCGTCCTCGGGAGTGGCGGTGATGGTGAATATGGAGAGGGAATCTAAATCGAGCTGCTGTGCGTGCGGGGAGAGGGTTATTGTTGTTCCTGATGAGGTGGCAGAGAGCGAGAGTGCGGAGGAGGCGGTGGAAGGAATGGGGTTGCCGAAAAAGTATGAGCGGATTTGTGAGTCACGGACAGACTTCATAAAGGAAGCATCGCGGTCAACGCACCCGCCGGACTTTGTCACTTTGACGACGGATATACGGTCGAGGGAGGAAGGGGTAGCGCCAGTAGCGACAGTGGCGATTGTGGTAGACGAGGATGTGGAGATAGGTTTGTTGTCGTACTGTTTTACCATGGAGCTGTAAAGGCGTTCGGAGCCCAGGACAAGGATCGTTGTGACTGTTAAGCAGCCAGCTTGTCAGTATATGTTCCTCGCCAATTGAAAATAGGACAGGATTTTCTCATACCTGAAAACTCAGTAACAATATGATGGATAAGATCTTCCCCCTTCCCTTGGCTAAGAACCCCAGGTGTATCAATAATGCACCCCGATTCCCTCGCATCCTTATCTCCCGCCAATCGCCCCGCAACTGCCAATGCCAGCCTCGACACAATCGGCTTATATACCTGGCCCTCCGCATCCAGCGGACTCGGCAATCCATAAAAATATACCAGCGGCAGTTTCACCGGTATTGGACTGGGGCCGGACATAGGGCTACTCCCCCACCCTTCCTCCACATCAATCATAGACTGAAACACCGTCGCCGTCAAGCTACCGGGCACACTCAACATCCCCTCCGACGGGTCCAGATTAACCACAACAGGCTGCCGGCCCCTCTTCGTCGCATACCCCGTGAGAATCTTCGCGAGACTCGTCTTGCCCGCATCCTCCGCACCCAGGATGAGTACGCGGGGTCCCTCGCGGCCGCTAGCTTTCGCTTCTTCGCGCATAGTCTCCAGCGCGCCGTGGATATTGACGTACTCGGCCATGGGCGTTTCCTCCGCTACATACTCGACCTGGCAACCCCCGCTGCCTGAGCCTGGCGGCGGAGGCACACTGCCCAGTCCACCAATGGATATGGGGTCGCCGGCGCTCACTTCTAGCGTACAGCCATGCCAAGTGTATATTGCGGCTTTGGTTCCGGAGAAGGTGTATGTTTGGGAGGAGGCTAGTTCGGTGCCGAAGAGCTCTGCGGTGCCCGCGAGAAGCTGACGTATTTCCCCCGGTCAGGCTATTTGAATATAATTGCTTTTAGGTTCTTGTGTGTCATGACATACTTTTACCCTCACTGTTCGTCCAAATGCGATTTCAAATCTCCACTCCGAGCCCCTTGGAAGACTATGTTGGACGGGCGGTGCGGGGGTGCTGCGAGCTTCGACCGGTGTTTGTGTGAGCTCTAAACCGGGGAGGGACATTGTTGTAAGGTTCGTCTATAAGGCCAAAGGTGATATCGTGAACATAATTGACAAGATGGGTGTATGTGACAAAACAAAATCCAAAGCTCTGGAATGTTTCATTTAATTTTGTGATATTTTGTTGCTCGGTTTCTGCTCTTGTACCTACGAGCTCAATGATTCGCTGGGCTACATGTCACATGACCCAATCTTGTATGCAAATGTTAGGCCACGCAGAGCTCGATCACCACCAGCGCCATGGTGGTATGGTATAGAGGGGAAGAATCGCCCAATCCAATCCCTCCAACACAATACTAGTACTCAGCAGAGAAGGGCGTACTACAAGTCGATTTCAACTTGAATACGAGTATACACACACTACTATCAATCCAGCTTGTCCTCAATTCAGCTGGTTCACCTGGACGGGATAAAGAAAAAAATGCGGGCGCAAATCAGAAACACAACAAGGGAAAAATCACATATATACATCGCATGAACTAAACCAACCATTTGCAAAAGGCAACGCTTGCCCCGATTAAAAATTATCCCGGAACGTAACTAACCTTACTAGTAGTACTTAACCAAGCAAAGCCAAGATGGAAGCGGAAGCGGGACACTGAGAAAAAACGGGTTGAGATAAAGCGCCTTCATCGTTTTCCTTCCTGGCCCAATTGGGAACGAAGTGTAAGAGGGGAAAGCCTGAGAGCTGTTGCCGCTGTTGAGGACTTGTCTAATTGACTTGCTCTCTTGAATGGAATGAGAGGACGGATAGTGAGTATCCTGATAGGGAGCGGAAGAGTCACTTGAATTAGAACATCAAAGCCAAGAGATTCCAGCAAGACACTAAAAAAACATGCGTTAAATATATCACTTTTTTGATGTAGAGAGAAAGAGGTGGTTGTATGTAAATTAAATAAAAAATTTTTGCTGGGAATGATACAGCTGGAATTTGAGCTAGGATAGGCTAAACTTTGGGAGTTGAAAAGGTTGAAAATGTCACATAACCCTACGGCAGTGTAACACTCAGAACTAATGCTGCTGCTGATAGTTGAGGATTTGAGAGTTTCAAGGAGAGACAGATGATAGATAGGTCGTGCTTTGATAAAACCAAAGAGGCGGGTTTGGTGGGATGGTGGGATAGAATAAACAATCGTGTAGGAATAAATCACAAAAAAGTGCCTGAAAGGAAGAAAAGAAAAGAAAAAAGGAGAATCCCGACTTTTCAAAAACATTCGATCAATGATCCTTATCCTTGGAGGAAAAGCGAGAAAGAAAAACGGAACGAAGAATTTCTTGCGTTGATTGGTAAAGAGTAGCCAAGTTTGTAATGGGAATGGGGGCGGAGGAAGAGCGTTGAAGAGAGGGAGGCGAGAGTTGGCGAAGGTGAATGGAAACGCAATGGGGAAAGGGGAGCGACGGAGGAGGGTGGGAATTAATATCAAGAGATTGGGAAAGGAGAAAAAGTTAAGCCTCTTTCTCAGTAATTAAACAGTGGGAATATTAGGTTAAAAAAGGAATGGAATGATAGCCGCCGTCTTGAATAAAGAGCCAGTTGTGGTGGGTTCGGAGAATTCAAAATGCTTCTCACATCACTGTCTCCCTCGCTCTGTCTCAACATGCCACGGTCGGATATATGTATATAACGTGAACGTAAGAAGTGGTATGCTTCAACCCCTTCTCTTCTCATGTTTTCCTACTTGATCCGCTTCCTCGCTCGAACGGGGCGACAGTGAAAATTAAATCCGAAACCTGAGAAGAAGAAAAAATAACAAGACACAAGAATAACTGAGAAGAAAAGAGATGGAAAAGAAAGTTTATTTACAACATATTAAAGAAAGTATGGTATTGCCGCACTGTCAAGAAAAATCACACATCCCATGTTAGAACAGAAGTCTACCCCTTTACTGGCGGCGCGAATGCGAAAGAAAAAGGGGAGGGGAGCGGGAGGGAAAGGGGTGGAATGGACTTACGCGAGTGCCAACGTAGCAGTAACCCCAACAAGCGCGCGATTCCGCACTCTCTCTCGCCGTAATTTTTCCTCTAGCAGCCTAGCGCGTTTAGCCGGTTGCGCCGGTTCCGCAGCTGCGGCAGCATCACTTGAGTCCTCTACACCCTCCTCTTGCTTATCTGCAGGTACTTCCTCCGCCTTCCGCTTCCTAATGGCCATATCCCGTTTCTTTGAAGGCGAGGCTGTTGACGATGAGGGCTCAGCTTTCTGATCATCCTCTTCCACTTCTTCTTTCGTCTTCTTATCACGCTTCACGGCGTCAGCGACCATTTTCTTCGCCTCAGAGAGCATCCGTTCTGAATCTTCTGCCGGGTTTACTTCGGGGAGCATACGCGGCGCAAGATCGATTCGTCGGGTTTCCACACGATCTTCTTCGCCTCGGGCTGTAGATTCCACTGTACTTTCCGTGGCTTTGACGGACTTATTGTGGGCGCGATCTTTGGATTTCTTGACGGGAATTTCATGCTGTGAGGCGTCGTCCTCTTCTTCGTCCCCGTGCGATCTGGATATGGGTTCTTCGGTGCCGTTTGATTGTAACTTGTCCCCGGAAAATGACGATGTCGTCGATGCTGTCGATGCTGCCGCATCCAGGGTGCTTTGAAGCGAGGCATTGGCAGCCGTTGAGCTAGCGGTACTTGCAGCTTCCCTTTGCGCACGGCTCTGTCGAGGTTTGCGACTAGCGGTATTCTTCTTTGGAGAAGCCATTTTCGAAGGAGTGGCGGACCGGCGGGTTCTGCGGGAGCCTTGTTGGGATGGTGTAAATGTGGAGGAATCAATTGGCGGCAATTCGAATTTCGGTGGAGGCGAGATATGCTTTTCTGGGCTTGATGTGTTCTGGACGATTTCTGTTGGGTCCAGGAGCGCTCGAACCCAGTCGAACATACCATAGTCCTTTGCGATCTCAAGTGCTAGTTCCAGGCAGATTGTCAGCAGACACTGGAACATTGGAATTCTTTGCTGAAGGAATATAGCTTACCTAGCTCGGGAGAGATCCAAACATTCCCGGCGACCTCATCTTCACTGGTCTCTGTTCTACTCTTCAGGTAATCCCGTTCAGTTTTCTCCTCGGAGTGCTTCGCCCAGGGGAATGCGATTTTGAACATGCCAGTGGCACTGACATAACCATCTTTGCTCCGTCGCTGTCGCCAAACGAAGAAAAATCGCAGTAGTTAGTGACCTACTTTCCATATCCGAATCATTCGCGCGCATAGATCAGGAAAGCAAGGGGTCGACATCGTGCTGAAGATAAGGAAAATGGTAAAGCTCACCATCAGGAAATACGCCTCTGGATGCTGCTGTGGCGCTTGGAAGGAAAAAATCTCCGAACCCTTGAGGTCCTTGGGCAACGGTGCTCTCAAGTGTGCATATTCAAACATTCCCAGGTTTTCGGGTTTCGTCGCGCTGGATGTGCCGATCTGGCCTGGCTTGACTGATAGATTTGTCTTACCCAGTCGACGGCGCGATAGAAGTTCTTCATCTAGCGGCGCGAATGGAAACAGTGAGGAAAACGAGCACATTAGCGAACGGTGTTAAATAGTAAGTATCAGGGGATTTAACAGATGGGATATTGTAATTGCGCCGCGCCATTGGAGAAAGGACGCAGGGTTCGACAATAGGAGACGCAAATGAATCGCGTTTGGAGGGGCATTGGGCATGGTTACAGCTAATGTACAGGACTTACATGGCGGTGAAACCTCTGGCAGGATGAGAGGGTTGATTCTTCTCGGAAGGGAGCGCATGGTGGTGACTGGCGGCCGGGCGGTGTGGAGGGGAGAAATAAAATATTATATATTATTAAATGTTATCTTAAGTCAACGAGACTGGCGGAGAAGAAGGGGAGACGAGGAAAAGGAAAGGAGGAGGGCGGGCGACGCAAGGCAAGGGGGGGAAGAGGAGTCGATTGAGATAGAAGTTGGGTGACAGGTCGGATGCGACAGGCGGAGAGACGGGTGCCACGTTGCAGCGCGTTCTTGCTCGACTTCTCAGTCAGGCCAACAAACCCAGCAAGGCGATGGGGCGACAGGGCGACTGAGTTGGCTGGCGACAATGATCGCAACGCAATGGTCAGGGGGCGATATCCGCGATGCAAAGAGATAAAAAGCCTGCCCAAGACGAAATAAGCCAGACAGAAAAAAAAAAAGAGTTCGGGGAGGAAAAGGGATGGCTGGGGCCAGGGAGGTTGCAGCGCCCAAGTTGATTGGCATTGGGGGGAGGACCCCGTGACCGGGAGTCTTGTTTACGTAACCAACAGTTGGTGTGGGCTGTGGGCTCTGGGGTTCCTATTGCGGACTAGCGTACCAGCCCAACGCTTGCCTCTTTGACAGCGGAACGATGAGGTCATCATGAAAGAACTCCAACAGGAGAGACTTTCGTTGATTGATGTTCCATGCCACACAGGGATAAAGGTTAAGTTTACCACATTTCTAGCTCTGATATAACTGCTACTAGTACTTCCTATGAAACTTCCATTTTTGTCTTTTGACCGGGTGCCATTGGGGGAATAACGAACGCGACCCAAAAAGAACTCCCCGACTTCAATTTTCCTCGAAACAACCGCCCTTGCTGTATCCAAAGACGCCAGCACGAAGCCCATATCGGAGAAACTAAGCCGGGAGTGTTCGGAATCCTTTGGAAGAGAAGTTAACTGGGTCACTCCAACGGTGCTATAATCCTATCCATTTGAGGTTTCCACCTAGTATCTAGACACATGACAGAAATAAAATATCACCACACGTCCCAACAAGACTGAGCAGAGAACTAGAATGGATTTCTGTTCATGAAAGTAGTCAGAGGGTATTCCAGCTTCAGCTGACTGGGACACACACACACACACACACACACACACACGGATTCCCTTTATGAGAGAGATTCTGAACGAGTGCAATGCTACTCTTGTGTTGCTGCACGCAGATGTTGCCATATATGGTCGGGCGGGCTGGCCCGAAGTCATGCCTCGGGCTAGGCTTAGCGTGCTGAAGAACCGTTCCGTGAGTCTGTGGTACTGTGGGGCAGTTTTGAAAATGCTCAAAGCTTGGATTCGGCAGAAACAACGTCAAACAATCCATTTAAAGGGCCATCTTGCGATGCCAGGAGGGTATATGCCGATTCGAAGAACATACAACTAACAGAATGAGATGCTAGTTGATGAGAGACGGCATTAGGCCTAGTTTTCCATCTATATAAATTCGAAATTGTGTCCGTTGTTGGAGGCTGGCCAAAAAATCAGCGCATCCATTCAATCTTCAAAATTCACAATGCTTCACAACCCTAGCTCGTTCATCGCATATCTCTTTCCTCTCCCAGAACCGCAAATACACACATGCGTTTGTAGATGATCGCACACGGATTTGTCTCATTGGCGCGGAAACTAAGCGGGAAAACAACCATTTTGCAAAAACACCACAAAGGATCAAGTAGATTTCCCCAGCGCCCATTATCATGTCGATAAATCCCAAGCGGGGCTGGCTTGAATAATTTCTTCCTGATGCTCCACGTCACCATTTGATATGCATCCCTGCATCCCTGGCGCTATTATCCCAGCTCCTTGTTTTGGTCAACGAAGCAACAAGCGGGCGGGGTGAATGATTTGTGGCTTTTTTATCCCTTCCACGCGGTGCGTGTACACAGTCCCGCCTTCCACTGGGCTGGGTATACTCCATAAATAGCTCTTTTAAGTTGAGTGGTTGACAAAGAGCCTGGTCTGGGCCTGCAGCAGCTGTTTCAGAAAAATGCGGTACATCAAACGAGCAGGTGGATGCCGTTCCCCAAGTGGAGAAGCCCAGGCCCATTTTTTCAATATATCGGTTCTCCCTACAATGTGTGGGGGTGGATGAGTAGAAGGTTCAGTGGGTCGACAGGTATCAACAAGAGTAAAATTGGGATAAAGGGGTTGTCACACGCGTACACACACAGCTGTATATCTGCTTCTACCACTCCGCTCCGAATCCGCCACATAGTTCCTGGAACATATTCATGCAGGTAAAATGGTAAGCCTTTGTTTGATCTCAAGATGCCATCGCCCGCTCTCCGTGAAGAACCGCCAGGCAAAGCATGGTTAAAAGCGATTGACGTGTTTAGGCCCATCCCCACCGCCTTTCGATACATCAACACTACCCCACCAAAATATTACCACCAAGCCACCAGTGTCTTCTGTCCTCTCTCTCTCTCTCTTCTTTTCTGCTTGTTCTTCTTTTTCTCTTCCCCGTTCCCCATCCTTTTGTTTCTCCAACGTTTTGCTTTCTCAATCATACCAGCTTTCTTTCTAACCAACCAACGCAATTACCCTTAACGTCTCTCCCGCCAGCTCCGAAGCACGGACCCTCGTCTTCAACCCCGCCCACCTCTCAGCTCACCTTATAAAATAACAACCCATCCAAACTAAAAATGACCAACGAACACGAGGATGATTTGGCCGCCAGCCAAACTGCCGGCTTCAAGCTTGGCGAAAAGAAGACTGTTGAAGAGTACAAGCAGCTAGGTATGTGATATATATGTTCATTCGAACGGGTTTCCAACCCTGGCTGCAATCTTCATGAGAATCAACCGTGGATGTGTGTATTTTGGTCCGTTATCGATGGGACGTGGGGAAGGTGGTTGATACAAGAGCGGCCTATATTATTTTTGCATGGGATTGTTTGACCATTTTGGTCTCGTCTCCCCTTTCCCTGCACAATAACCCGTCTATATATGTATGCCTCATGGATTTATTTACATGTGATTGTACTATATGATATGTCCCACCTTAAAATATGGCGGAGTTGCGAAGCAATAAATATTTCACCTCCCAAGTTCTCCCAAGCCCCCGGGAACAAAATACATATATATAAGAAAAAGAGAAGGAGGAAAGGCCAATTCCAAAATCACTAACAGCACACCTCCACGCCCCGCACCGATAAACCCACACAACAGACGCAAACGACGAATCCCTCAACCGCTGGAAAGCCTCCCTAGGCCTGGGGACGGGTACCTCGATATCCGACCCCAACGATCCCCGCAAATGCATTATCAAATCGCTCGCCCTCGAAGTCGAGGGCCGCGAAGACATCACCATCGATCTGTCCGCGGAGGGCTCCGTTGAGAAACTGAAGGAGAAACCTTTCACTATAAAAGAAGGTTGCCGCTTCCGTATCAAAGCCACGTTTGTCGTACAGCATGAGGTGCTGAGTGGGTTGAAGTATATTCAGGTTGTGAAGAGGAAGGGCGTTAGGCTTAGTAAGGATGAGGAGATGCTGGTGAGTTTTCTTTTCTTGCTCTCTTCTCCTGGATGAAGATAATACCTTCTCCCGAGTCCCCCTTTTGACAATAGTTGATGGTGGATTGATTGCTGACACAAAGGTTTTTTCTCTCTTTGCGTCTGGCTTGCTAGGGGAGCTACCCGCCAAACACCACTGATAAACCGTTGTACGAAAAGAAATGTAAGTTTCGCGTGAACAATCCCTCCTCAAATATAGTCCTTTTTCGATCGAGGACCCGTCTGATTGGCTGCTTTTCCCTCCTCTTTTATCTGCAGTCAATCCCGAAGAGGCTCCGAGCGGGTTTGTTGCTCGCGGACATTACAGCGCGCTGTCGAGATTCGTAGACGACGATGACACCACCCATCTCAAGTTCGAGTGGGCTTTCGACATCGCGAAAGATTGGTAGATAAACAGCTCTGCAGACCGGATTCGATCGATCGCTCGTGCTGAAATTTTGTTCCGATTTTGTGCTTTCCTTTTCCGCTCCTTTTTTTTTTTTTTTTATTTCTTTTCTTTCCTCTTTTTTGCTCAGAGATCCAGGAACAAATATCCTTTTAACATTATTTGGTATATGGTTTCCTCGCTTTGCTGGGTAGCACCCAAGCCAGGAGATCAGTGATAAAATAAATGTGCCGCCCGTTGGCGATGATAATAAGAGAATCTCTGGATTTTGCTTTCCCGGCGCCCGTCAAAATGAGTGGCACCATCCGATGTGGTGATTTCATGTTTTCTCGTGTTTTACCTCTTTGCTTTCTCCCCCCCGCGAGCAGGCCCAGCTCTTTCTATAATAGGTATAAACCAAAACGCCCAACTTATGCTTGGAAATTTGCACGGACTGTTTTATTTATAGCGAAGTGGAAAAACGGAAAAGAAAAAACGAAAAAGAAAAAGAAACAGAAAACAGAAAAAGAAACATTTGAATGATATAAACATAAAAAAATAAATCGAAAGGTAATGCAAATACACCTAGGGTATCATAGGAAATATTCAGTTACAGGGTTATGCCCATCTTTATTCTGCTGCTGCGCCTGCTGCTCGGCACGGTGTACATCGTTATTCTCAGGCGCTGCATCGAAGATGTTGAAATACCGTTCCCCAGTATCGCTGACCTCAAGCACACTCGCCAGGTTCCCACAGCGGTAGCAATAGTTCGGCGCGCTCCACACAGTACTTAGCCGATCGTCGTAGAGTACCTGATACCCTTCCTGACACAACTGATGCGCACGGAGGATATGATTCATATTGTTCACCTCGAGGAACTTCTTCACCACCTGAGCGCCAAAGGTGTACCCCGCACCCCGGGGCGAAAGGGAAAACTCATCCCGCTCCATATCGGGGTCGGACCAGACGAGATCCGCCATGGGCCCCTCGTGTGGAATCTCGCGGAACCGGTCGATGATTTTGATCTGGTCGATGGAGTGGATGGACGGTGATAGGCCGCCGTGCACGCAGAAGATCTGATTGTTGATGACGACACTGAGGGTGAGGAAGTCGAACATGTCCGTGAAGTAGTGCCAGACGTTGGCATTGCCGTATTTGCGGGCGCACTCGGTGTAGAAGCCGTAGGACTGGGTGACGCCACGGGATTCGTGGTTTCCGCGGATGAGGTGGACTCGGGCCGGGTAGCGGAGTTTAAGGCAGACAAGGAGCGAGATTGTTTCCACGCTGAAAAGGCCGCGGTCGACGTAGTCGCCTGCGACAGGAAAAAGAAAGGAGGGAAAAATAGGACAAAAGTTAATCTTTCTGAAAATTTATATTTCCATGCCAGATAGCCCAGTGTAAATAAAAGTTCGTACCGAGAAATAGATAATTTGTATTCGGACAAAAGCCGCCAATTTTGAAGATCTCAATCATATCGTAAAATTGGCCGTGGATATCTCCTACGACAGTAACGGGCGCGGCGATGTGGACGACATTGCTCTCCTTCATGAGCAGTTCTTTCGCTTTGGCGCATATTGCCTCAATAACCGACTCTGCTAATAATTCCTTCCGGTACAGTCGTTCAATACACTCATCCAAATCGATGCTGGCTAAAATTTTTGAGACAGAGGCTCATTCATTAGTTGCCACCTTTGTTTACACATTTATCTTTTTCTCGAATACGCGCGCAAGCTGTCTCAACTTCTGGCAAGAGGATTCGTTTCCCGTCTGGTTCACAACGTACATGGTAGTCCTGGCATTGCTCCTATAAGGAGGAGGGGAAATTTTAACCGAAGTAATCAGATCTCGGGTATCTATTTCTAACAAAAGAAATGAGTGACAGTGGATGTATCTGGAAAAACAAAAGAAACCAGACAAGGCTTCAGGAGAAGAGGAAGGGAGTCGGAGAGTCGGGCGATTCAGCTTTCATGGTGGTCCAGCAGATGGAAAAACGCAGCATCTGCAAAGCGATTAAGTCAATGCGCAGGAAAAGGACAGCGGTTTGGCATGTACTATGCCATATGGATGGTCGGTGGTAGTCCAGAGAAGATGGTGTAGATGGTGCCTGGCTAAGAATAACCCGCAGCCCACAGTTGATATTGACCCCGTCGTCGAACTGCTCGCTGACTTGGCCGATGGATGCAGTCGGGGAACCGCGTTTTGTGGCTGCGTAGGGAGTCTGATGACTAATGCGGCCGGTACTTCGTGAACTAGTTGAAGTCACTAGTGATAGATGCCGGTCCATGACTCCCAAGGCTCGACGGAGCTTTTGTTTACTGCGTACGGGATATATACAGACCTAGTAATAGGTCAGTGGAGCCACCCGTGAAATACTCTGGATTATCTACATAGTTTTGTATTTGATGATACTGGCTGTTGCTTATTAGCTTCGAAGCTCGTCCAAAGTTCAAACTCAAATAAACCGACGGCTGCCAAGTCTCCGCCATTCCAATCCGGGTAATCTTTGCAGCCGAGAACTGCCAGTTACGTCACGTGATATGCTCACGTACTCCGAGTCGACTTCCAACTCTCTTTCTCGTCGCCGAAAGTCTGTTTTACAACGTCTCACGACCTCATCCCCTTCACGGAGACTGGGACGTTTTCTTATTTTTATCTTCTATGTATCATATACTGACTGCTGTTGATTTTTGGTAATCACTTGGCCTCTGGAATGCCAGAACTAGGGATTTGTCACGGGTAGACATCCCCCTTTCTGGCCCCGTCTTACTTGCCTACCTTGCGGCTGGTCTCCTGGCAATTGGAAATTGCTAGCTCATTGGCTATTTTTGGCTGTTGTCCGTTTGTGCTTTTGATTGTTAATTTTGTCAAACGTTTACTGGATATTCCTATTTCGCTGCGGCGTCTATCTTGCTTTTGCTGGCTCTCAAGCCACTCCCTTTGTCTCCTTCCCGAATTGCAAGATCCGTTTCTCTGTCTCCAATATTCTTGCCATGGGAAGACTCCAATTTCGGGCTTTTCTTGATTCCTGCATTTTCATCTCATGTTCGTTGAAAACCGGGCTTGGGGCTTCGTTATCTGTCAGCTGAGCCGAAATGGCCTCATATGCCGTGCCCTCCGACGGCGTGCTGCCCTTCCACCCGCAACCAGCTACATCATTCAATAACAAACAACGAGGCCAAAAGCACACTTGGAAGGGGAAAAATCTCCAGCAGCACCCATACGCTGGTAATACCGATGGCCCGCGCAAAAACTCGCAACCGCCATCCTGTTTTAATTGTGGTTCCCAGGAACATGGGGTTCAGCAATGCCCAGAACCCCACCATGAATTCCCTGCGTAAGTTCGAGGTGGTGCTTGTCGAGAAAATCGCCCCTGAGGCTAACGGAATTTTCTTCAATGGCAGTATGAAGCATGGTCGCGCTCCCAAAAGACAGAAAACTACAGGTTCACATATCTCCTCCTACGCGGGCGATCCGAATTACAACCACTCGCACCGAGCCCCTCAAAGGGGCTATACGCATCCACCCGTGGCCCAGTCAGGATATCAACCTGCTCCAATGACAGGTACACCATATGGCCCTCCGACCCCCTTATCTGCGCACCCTCATTCAGCTGGTCCCTGGCCTCAAGAACACCCACCCCTACATTACAATTCACCCCAGTCTTACGGATTGCCAAGTCCCATGAGTGGCTACGGACCGCAGTTCACGAGTCCATCAACTACTATCCCATCCCACCAAGGTTATTTCCCACCTCATTACCCACCTCAGTATGGAGAGCACGAATATCGTCGGAAATCCTTCGACCCTCATCAGCAGATTCTCTCACAGGCGGGGAGTAATCGTCAATCAAGAAAAAAATGGCGTCGTTCGGATAATGTACCCGCAATCGCTCCTCCAATAGAACCTTGGATGGAGGAATTGCAGTCCCTTGACACCCCAGACAGTAGTTCAAATCACAGCGAAATTGGTGCGTATAAAGGAGGATTTTTTCCAGTCTGTTTGTAAATACCATACGCTAATGGTTTATTATAGTCTGGAGGCCAGCCGTCCAAGTCGCGCGCCCACTTCCCTCAACCTTTGATGAGCGCGATGATGTGGGAATGCTCCCGCCATTCACGTCGCTACCACCCGGCATGTCTGTTTCGAAATATATCCTGGACAAGGGACCTGAAGAGTTTGTCTCCAATATCAGGAACACCGAAGATTGGCCATTTATGATGTCAGATCCTATCTTCCTGGAGATTCCAATAGAATGTGAACTTATCCCAATCCATGAGCTCATCGCCCGTCGCAAACTGGTATATGAAACGCATCGGATTGAGCCGCCTCCAGTGGAGGAGAAGAACGATGACGCCAACGAAGTGAACGAATCTCCCGAGGAATACGGATCCGATGATGCCGAAGAGGAAGATAGATATCAAGAGGGGGAAGCCTCCATTATTAATTCTAATGAAGGCAGTTATGATCAAGCTACGAGTAGGAGTCATTCCCGCGAATGTTCTCCCTCCCCATCGTACACTTCAAAGATAAACGATAGAGACGATATATCTTCTCCGGAGGTGGCAGATCATCCAACCTCCCCTATTTCGAGGATAGATGATGGTTACCATGACTCTCATGATCGTCAAAACTTTAATCAAACATACGCGTAAGTTGCCGTTCATTTCTATACCTCATGCATGTGGCATATTGTTTTCTACCCCTGGGTTTACATTCTGACTGGGAAATTTGAAGAATAAAACCCGGGAGGGGTCGGTCGAATGACAAGCGACGGGGGAATCAAAGAAACCAGCGTGATCGGAGGCAACAGATGGAAGGCCCAAACCGTAAACCTGGCCAACAAGAAGGCAGGCGTAATGTTCCTTTTGATCGCCGAGGTGGTCGTGGTAGCCACTTTAATTCCCAGGATCGACGAAAGCCAAAACCGCAGCAATTTAAGGGGACAAATAAACCAAAGCCGAAGAAAGGATTGAATAACCGTGGACACCCACAAAGCCACGATAATGCTGGGGTCCGTAACCATAAAGCCAGTGATAACAAATTTGGACTAGACGGCAATGCCGACCTCGATCCCACTAACAATCCAAATGAGCATCAGCGTTCCCAAGACAATGCTGACATCCAAAAAATACAACACGAACCCCATAGCCGTCACGGCCAATCTGAAGCTGAACATACCTCTCGCAAGAGAAGCAGGCAAGATGAATCTCCTGAAAGACCTGAAGAACCCAGACGCCAGGAAGATGACATTACCCCAAAACTGAAGCGACGGCAGCCTCATGTCGCTGAGGCCTACAGGTATGGTATTCGTCAACATATAATTTGGCTCACTTGTACTAATTTATTCCTAGTCGTCGATGGTGAATTACGATACTCCCCTGAAATATGTCACTTCATTGGTAATCTACCACCTTTTTCTCACATGATAACCCATACCCGTTAACTTAAAACGTCATGGCATTCTTTTCCTTTTCAGGCTAATGACCTTTTGGGCCTATAAATTAATATATCTATATCTATATATATGTCAAACAAGTCGGATTGTTTTGCATTTGGGATACTCTTGTTGTATCCGACTTTCCTTTTGAATTATAACTCTGCGGCCCTCGTCTACACTGGATATAATCTCCTGAGACCGGGAAGCAAATTTTCGTTCCACCGAATATGTATGTCTTCCCGTTTGCGTAGCTAACGCTTGGAGACTTTTTGTATATCAGAAATGGGTTTGCATTCGGCCACTTTAACACCTAACCCTCAAATCTGTAGATGGCGGTTGTGGTTTTGGTGGTGGTGTTTCCAGTTTGCCTTGACTATGTTTTATGCTCACGCCGAGTTTAGTATGGCTTCATATATCAATCTTCCCTGGAAAGAGCGTCGAACATACGCCTATATCAGCCCTCCAGGAAATGTTATAATCCTGAGCTTCTCATGCTTCTACTTCCGCAGCTAGTGCTACGGACAATCCGTGTCATGTTGTCATGTTTCCCCCTCTTTTCCTGCCTTTTTTTTTCTTTTTCTTCCAACAGGCTTCACAAGTATACAGCAAAGCAAAATACACTTGCAGAGCGAACGTTTTGTGTAGAGCGATAGAAGCGATTAACAATATTGGCCAAGGTCATCTGGTTTCAGCTCTCACTCGCCATTCAGGCAAGGGAGGCTGACCATCGCCCTGGTTCCGGACCTGTCGCTCCCCTTGTTTCCTCATCAGTTGCTTCAGCGAAGTAAGGCCGCAAGCGTCCTCTTTCTCTGTATGAATTTTACGAAAGCTGTAAGGAAGGTTATGCTCTGGGGTTATTTCCCTATTTTCTTAGGAGACTTGGGAATATCCAAGGAACCCAAAGGTGTTAGGTTGTGTCGACAGTAGTGTCGATTTATTTAACCAAATACATCCCCATCCCATCGTTTAACGATGGAATGGAGTTGAACGCATATGCGTACGTCACAGACCCTGACTATATCTCCCTGGGATTCGGGATGGCATACCGCCAACCACTACTATCCGTCTGTTGGCTAAGTCAATGGGACAAAACACCCTTCATCTGGATCCTGATCTTCCAACTCCTCTACCATGGCATTAGGATCGGGCAAAATGCAAGAAATGCAAGAAATCCCTGGCTAACAGCAAATCAACCAAGCTGGCAAACGAGAAAAGAACAACCGGGGGTATCCCTATGCTGTTGAGTTATGTGTTATTTTATTAGATTTAAGCGACGGGAGTAGCTGTAGTGCACTATGGCTTTTTGGCCATTTCTTGTACACTTAATTGATTCATATTAAGGAAGCCCTATACAGGCTAATCACCCAAGGATGGATACATGATGCGAGGTGGATTTTATTTTTTTCATCCACATTATGCACGCCTCACAAGAGTTCCTTCTCAGGTTCTTTGCTCTACTTTTTCGCTCCGTGTCCACTATTTTGACATATCACGAGGCAGTCTGAAATTCGAGAGAGATTTGAAAGGAGCCTATATAGCCCATATTATTCACACCCATATATATATATATATATATATATATATATAATTTCGAAAAAATACATGTTCATCGAGGTTCGAATTTGAATGTATATCACGTGATTGGGAGATACCGGAGTATAGAGATTTAAAAAGAAGTAGTAGTCGAAGAAGGAATAAGAAATAAAAGGTAAACAGTAAAGAGGAAACAGTCATTGAACTGTTCAGGTCGTACTGGGACTCGAACCTGGGTTTCCATCTGGCGTGCTAACCGCTAGCTATACAACCGCAACATGTTGGGTGGCTGGTTCTTGCCTACATCCCATTACAATTTCTCCGTGTGTTTTTGTGGGTCCCCTTTGGAAAAAAAAAAAAAAAGAAAAAAAAAAACCCTCACCCTATTAAATTGCTTGAGCTGATTGAAGAAAGCCGGGGAAAAAATTATAACTAAATAGGTGAGCTTTCCATTTAGGTCGTACTGGGAATCGAACCCAGGTTTCCAGAATCAGAATCTGGCGTGCTGACCGCTACACTATACAACCGTGATTTATTGGGTGACTAAATTCCCGAATTATATTTTCATGCCAAGAACCAAGGGCTGGCTCTCCTCCTATCCAAACACAGCGAGAATAACTATTACTAGTACTTATAACAAATCATGGGTGGCAACATTTATATCATACCGGTACGCTTAGAGTTGTGAGGGAAGGGGTGCTGGCTGTGTGCCTGCTATTGGGATATCTTGGGTGCTCCTGAAAAAAGCTTGATTGAATGGATCCCACGACACTACTGGGTTTTCCTGCTCATAACTCGGATATCAGTATTTTCATATTATTATTGCTTTGCTGAGCCTCAGTCACAGAGACGTTCTAGCAAAATTATGTGGCTATTGTGTTGATCGTTATCAGCCCGTAATGTGCTTTGTCTAGGTAATAAAGATACGTCGAAGTAAAATAGATATAAAAGTAACTATGTCATCTCACCAAAGCGGCATTTTCATCATCTCTGCTGTGATCCTCTTCAGACTCATTCCCCGACTCGTTCTCTCCCTCTTGGCTATCCTCCGATTTCTCATCCTCTTCGCTTTCGTATTCTGTACTTCCTTCTTCCTCCTCCTCCTCCTCCTCCTCCTCCTCCTCCTCCTCCCCATCACTCTCCTCACTGTCCTCCGCAAGCCAATCATCCAACGTCTTCTTCCCATTCCCCACCACAACCCCATTCTGCTTAACCCTACCCGTCCCAACATCATGTTCCTTGAGTGCATGATCTAACCTCTCACCAGCCGTCAGATGCACCTTCTCAACAAGCCCAGCTCTGCTCAGCTCATCCTCACGAAGTTTTGGATCTGGCTCCTCCCCAGCATGGACCCAATCGGGAAGAGTCTTGTAACCACGCAAGCCGTGGATACCAGCATCGGGCCCTATGACCAGCGTAGATGTACCGAGAAGTAGGTCCTTGCGCGTTTCTGATGGGGAGGGGGTGAAAGGGACCGGTTTTGGGGCGAGTAGGAGGAGGCTGGCTAGTTGCGTGGAACTCGGTTCTGCGAGTAAAGATTTGTAGAGGCGGGCGCGATCACGAAGGTCGTAGGAGACATCGTAGCGGGCGAGCAGGAGGATGTATTCCCATAGGACTTTTACGGAGTCTTTATCTCCAGGTTCTGCTTGGAATGGGGTTTGTGAAGCGTTGTCACAGTCGTTGCCATGGTTCTCTTCTTCGATATTATTGGTTGTAGTTTCGATGTTCTCGGCGATATGTAGCAGGTGGTGGAGGTAGACCTTAGCGCCTAGAAGGACAATTTGTTGCTTCGCCGTTTCAGATTCATCTGCGAATCCCTTTACGAGAATCCGCAGGACATCTGGGGCAATATCATTGCCGACGTCAATGCCTGCAAACTCGCCCACTAGCCATATTATGCTGGCCCTTGCATCGGGGCTGGTCGTCGTGTCGAGGTGTTTAGCTAGCATAACAACTGTCTTTTTGTGTGACGCTGGATCTTGTTGGATAAGATGCCTAATGACGGTTAAGGCTTCCGAGACAAGATTATCATCGGCACTGGATATCTGGCTGAGCAGAACTCGAAGGCACCACGCTGATGTGGCTGAGTCATTCTGAGCACATCTACCAATTGCCCTTACACTTTCTCGAACGAGTTCAGGTTGTGATTCATGAGAAAAATGCTCCAGTTCACTGAGGATGATGCCTTTAAGGTGAAGTCCGCAGTGTGGGAATAGGAGAGTTAAGATTTCTAGCTTTAACCTCCATATATGCGGCAGATCAGACGAGCGTATTAAGAAATGCGAAGTGTACTTCAAGAAGGGTTTTGGGTCGATGAGGGCCACACATATGATATTATATAGTGCGACATATTGTATATCTTGCGGACCTCGCAACAAGGCAACTAATGGTCCAACAGCAGAGTCAAGGTACGCATTAGTCCCAACATATAGGAACAATCGGACGACACTCACAATGACGGCGGCGTTCCGACTTTGGAGTAGAGGTTTGCATGCCCTGAGCAAGAGGTCAAGGTCTGGGTCGATTACCTGAATCTCCTCACCAGATTCCTCGGCATCTGCATTCCCCTCATCTTCCTCTTCATAAAAACCCTTAGACTTGGAAGCCTTTAGTTTTTCTGTTCTCCTAGGAAAACATTTCCTAGCATAGACTACCATCAACCGTAGAGTCGCAAGTTGTCCCCATTCATCCATATCCACTAGCTTCCTAACAAGGTTGCGATAATGCTTGTGTACCAAATCAATCCTGTCAGGACACACCTCAAGAAATGATGAGACAGCGGGTCCCACTACGAAATACTGGCTGTCACCTAGCAGCGTAGATAGATATTCCAAAAGTTGAGGCAACGTCGACGGATCCAGATTATAACATTTTGGGATGGCTAGGGCCGCAGCTTTGCGCACATGAGGACTCATATCTCCGCAACCGCGTTTAATGGCCAACGAAACGATCTGGTTAATCACGGGAACTCTGATTCCTGACATTGTACGCAACGCCATGGCGCGCACTTGAGGGTTCTGATCTGTCAATGATTTTTGAATGGCATTGATCGAGAGGAGTGCAAGATCAGGTTCGGATTCGGCGTGGTGCAGTAGGTATATATAAACTAGTTTCTTGACCTCAATGTTCGGGTTCGCAACGTTCTTCACGACCGATGAAAAGAAAGGTAGGCATGGCTCAGCCCTATACATCAACTGGAAACCTAGTCAGCATTTTCTCCAGTTATATTAAAGTATGATCATACCGCTATGACCTTCCGTAGCCCATCCAGAATATCCCGATCATTCCTGCTATCAAGGAGCTTCTTGATCTGCGAAAACGAGGTATGGCGATATGGGGAAGTTGATTTGAAAGCGCCTCTAGAACTGCTAGCATTGTGAGCGGCTTCGACTGTGAGCTCGCGAGCTGTAGACAACATATAAGTATATGCTGATGCTTTCAAGTGAGGCAGCGGAGATGTTACCTGTTTCTAGTATAGAGGAAATGCGCGAGACAGACTCCATTTTTCCAAGATACCTCCAGCAGCCGCCCGCGCAGCAGTTAATCCTCAGTGGTCGAGCAGCTCATGGAGTGGGAAGGGTAGGGCGTAAGAGGTGATGGGTGGGGTGAGTTTGTGTCTGCGAAGGGTTCTGCACAGGATGACGCTACAGTTCGCCTGGAAGCTTTTGGTGGCGTTTGCACAGCGTTGTTCAAGCACATGCCTGCCGCCAGCCAACCGCAAGATCAAAGACTGAATATGTTTTATTAATATGATATTTGCCATATCACTCAAATATTGGTCTTGCAAAAAGGAGCAAAATCTCTAGAATTTGCGAGATATATCCATCGATATGGTCTCCGATCGCAACCCAAGTGTCCGATCTTTAGACTCCGCGCCAGACTATGTTGAATATCTACTATCCAGAGACGCTTCTACAACCACGCTGATTGTATGCTCTACCAGAGATGCCTTTTTACAGCAACTGTACACCTCCATTGCGTCAACTGCACCAGGAGCTGAACAGCCATCTTCACCACAAAATTGCCACCATGGGGACAGCCATAAAAGTTCTCATCGCCGTTTGTTCAATACCATAGAGTCGATTGCCCGCGCCAAAAGGCTCACGTTAGCATTTTGCCCGAGTCTTGAGCATTTCCGTGCTTATATATCTGTTTTCCGATGTCCGCAGCTTCTGTCACCTCAGCAAGAATGCAGTCATCTCTCATACCGAAAGAGGCCTGTGCTGGCTGTCCTTGGTCTCGTTTCACTCCATTACGATACAAGTCAGTTCTCTGCGCAGGGCATTGCGAAGAACCTTGCGCTCGCTGTTGAGATTGCTGCTAGGGAGAGGGTTGATTTGACCTTGTGCGAGTGCGTTGCTGTTGGCCGTGAAGGTGCCAGTGGTAGCAGCCTGTGGGATGCTGATGTACCTCTGCTAAGTGGACAAACACTGGCGGCCGGGACTGGGGGAAATAGTGCTAATTTGGGGAGGACTGTGAAAGTGAAACAGGTTGTGGAAAGGTGGTTTTACTTTGTTTGAACGAACGAGAAATTTACAGAATGCGAGAAGAAAAACTATCTACTTGAATTATGGAGTTCTATATACGTACCCTGAGTTCCCCAGTTCATGCAAGAGGTTCTCAAAGAACCAGAATCGAAAACAAAAACACCCGAAGCAACCATGAGGGTATCCTAGAAACGCATGCCTAAACGACCGGCCCAACTCCCAAAATCCGAACTCCATTCCGTTTGGACCCGACAATCAATCCTCAGAGACATTTTTCCATTTCCGTGATATAAAGCTTAATATGGGACTCTAACTTCAAGTACTCATCGTGGGCACTGTGGATTTCATTCTCGATATTTTCCTTGAGGTCTACCATCTGTAGAAGGCGTTAGCAGGGCAGATTCCATACTTCAAGTATCTCAAATGTTTTGTAGGCATTTTCTGCACCTGGAATTTTACCTTTTTCTCTGTTTGTTCGATCCGAATCCTTCGCCGCTCCATATCCCGTTGCTTCTCCGCAAGTTCCTCGCGAAGCTGCTTTTGTATTCCCCTTAGCTCCTCCATCCGCGCTTGTGCTAACTCTTGTTTTTCCCGACTGCTTTTCCGTAGCGCTTCCGTCCGTTCGTGCCAACGAGATAGTTGTCGTTGCAGAAGTTTCTCCGTTTGAGCCACCTCCCGGACTGTGTTTCCTCGCTCTGTGAGCGCATCCCTGTTTCGAATGGCACGAGCATCTTCCTCCTCCTCCTTCTGCAGCTCTAGAGCAATGTCTTCCAAAACTTTTACACAACTTTGGACATCATTGGCAACAACATTAAACGTGTCCATTGACGTTTGTAATGCGCGCATTCTCTTTTCCATATTATCAATCTGTAGTTTGTCCCTCGTTAGACTGTCCGACAAGTCTGTTAGAGACGCTTGAAGTGTCGCCGGGCTTTGTAATACGTATGGCCGTAGTTTCTCGCTCTCCTGTCGACTCTTCAAGATTTTCTCGGTCATTTCTTCGAGATGAGTTTGTTTCCGTGCCTTCTCCATCTTGACTCGCTCGAGGGTCTCCGCGACACGTTCTTGACTCCGCCTCAATTCCAACAATCTGACTTTTAATTCGTCATTCCTCTTAATCTTATCATTTACCGGGCCCTCCATTGCCTTTTGCTGCCTGCTCATCTCCGCTAACCGCTGTTGCATTTCCTGGTTCTCTTCGTATAACGTCTCGATCCGCGCTTTGGTCGTCTCTGATTTACTGAAATGTTTGTCTATCACGGCTGTTTGTGTTTCGCGAAACCGGACAAAGTTAATAAGGTATGAAAATATCTTGACAAGGCGGTCGTGTGTAGGTTTTGTAAGATCCGTAAAGGCAAAGTCGTTGACGCCGCACTAGATAAATTTGTTACAAATTGCGCAGTATAAAGTGTTTAAAGAGAAGCTTTTTCTTAAAGAAAAAAAAAAAAAAAGAAAGAAGAAGAAAAGAAGAAAAGATGCATATCTTCGAACATACTTCAACCATTAACTTCCGCAGGGACATGAAGAACCCCATCAGATTACGTGTGTCTGGAGGAATAAGATCGACATGGTCTGGACATATATCCTCCGCAGCTGCGCGCATGGCCGGCTCAACAGTTTCTCGAGTTGCATTCATTAGTAGCTCCGCGAACGATTCAAAGACTAATTGGATTTGTTGTGGATTCGGCTTGACCAGGTCAGCGACGGAGAACGGGACTCCAATATCGTTTATACATCCTGCGATTTCCCTATCCGGCTACAAGAATAATTGTTATTATTAGTAAAATATTAGATGTGGTTACGGGATACAGTAAAATGATGTCCACTTACAAGTCGCATTAGCGCATCGCTATCGTCTTCTTTTTTCTTGTTCCGACCACCCTGCTGGCCACTCCCGCCATGGAACTGCTGGCTCATTCGCGAATTGAATGCCATATTGCAGATACGTAAAGCAAAAAGTGCATCGGGCAGTTAATTTTTCTGATCTTGATGTGACAGAATTTTTATATATAGGTTTCATTCGTGAATGAATATGTTCTCCGCTTTCGCGTTGGAGGGGAATTTGTTTGTTTACTGAGATAGAATGACCGCATGCTTCCAAAAGTAATTTAGCGTGAAAAGAGGGGTTGCTGCTGCAAACAGCGCAAACAATGACCACAATTTAGTTTTTGGTGAGAGTCTTGGCATCAAGTGAGATCTTGGATGCTGCTTTGACTGTCCTAGCTTCCTTCACATATCAAATTATTTCTTTTCACGGATTTCGATTGTGGGTCATTTGACGCCACAGTGCAAATTGGTATTTGAAATTTGACGTTTCTTGTCCATCTAAAGGCTTCAGGCAAACCACTGTTCAAACATCAAATCTCTGACCTCACTTGTCAAGCCGGTGCTCAACACCCCGCTCATCGCTTGGTCGCGATCGTTTCTCGGTGCAATAAACGACTCACAATTACTTGACCATTTACCTGTTTGCGAAAAACTCTCCTAGGCCGTTTTGACCAGTTGCTCTCTGCCGGTGAGCGGTCATTTACGCATCCAATGGTAGCAAATATGTCACCAGAAGGCACTAACGAGCCATTTGAGTACGTACTACAGCACTGTGGAAATTCTACTAATATTTCATGGGTTCTGATACTTCTATAGTATTGTTGCCACATACAATGACCTCCTCCTTTCCGATCCCGACCTCACAATGCCGATCGCGGCTATCGAAGCATTAGTCCTTCTCCTAACTCACAACCCTGCTTCCACAATATCTGAAACTCTGGATCTACTAGAAAAACACACCACACACTTAAAACGTACGATACCGAATCCAATCGCCCTTTCAGCAGGCACCGATCTTTTCCAACGGTACCTCATAACAACATTGCAAAGACCGGGCCAGCTCGGCCCCGGAGGGGATTTCAATGCGATCAGATCGCATCTCCTAACCAACGGCCGGTTATTCATAAAGCGCGCAAAGGAAAGCAGGGATAGAATTGCTGCATTCGGGAGAGGATTTATACGAGATGGAAGCACTGTGTTGACAAACGGTGGTTCGAGGGTGGTTAGTGCCTTGTTGCGGAAGGCTGCGGACGAGCTGAAGGAATCAGGAACTCCCGCGGCTAGATTCAAGGTCATTCATGTTTTGTCAGATAATTGTGATGGCAGTTCGTCCGGGCCGAATCCAGAAGGTATGGATACGGTCAATGCACTTAGATCGAAGGGTATTCCAGTAGCTACAATCCCAGAGTCGGCAGTGGCATATGCACTGGGGATGGTAGATATGGTTATTGTCGGCGCGGAAGGCGTGGTTGAGAACGGCGGTATCATATCGCGTCTGGGAACGTATCAAATTGGCCTTCTAGCGAAGGCTGAAAGCAAGCCATTTTATGTCGTTGCAGAGAGTCACAAGTTCGTCAGACTCTACCCACTCGGGCAATACGACCTGCCGATCAAACAGAATGTTGTCGATTTCAAGACAGATTCCAGCGGTGAGTCCTCTAGGAAAACCACCAGCATTCAAGCAGGAAGCCCACACCACGAGCATGCAACGAAAGAAAAAACGGATCACCTCGACGCGCTACTTAGCGGGCAAACGTTGTCATCTGGCGAAGGGGAAACGTCAATAAAACGGGCAGCTGTCGATTTCACACCTCCCCATCTCATCTCAGCTCTCATTACAGAGAGTGGCGTGCTAACACCCAGCGCCGTCAGTGAGGAATTGATTAAGATATGGTTTTGAGCTTCACGTTTTTGGCATTGGACTTTCATACCCTTTTTTCTTCCTCTATTGTTAAGCGGCAATTAATACATCCTCCATTTGTTCAGTCAAAAAGACGATGTTATGGAATCCATTGTAGCTTTTTCGCCACTACCTTGTATAAGCTCTCTGCCTTTGTGACTACTATCGAGCGGCTTCTCATGGTGATTCCATAAACTCCTTACCAACCAATTATCATCCACCATTCAAATGCGAAGCTAACGCTCAGATGATTAAATATGAAAAAAAGGTCTTGACATCATATGCATCAATACATTCGGTATTGATACTATACACCAGGAATAATACCTAGGTAAACCAAAATCCATCCAAATTACGGAAGAACAATATATGGCAGGAAAATTCAAGATTAAAATAAAATAAATAAAAAACCAACGCTATTCGGAGAGTTTCTATTACACAAGCCTTTTGAACTTGACCAACTACCCAGCCCACGATATCCTTTTACCCTGCGAGTATGATGTCATTTTCTCACTGGAGCATTCCTACCTTCTTCGTGAAGACCCGAAACTTCCCCGGCGTCCTTTTCGTCCCTACGTGGCGCTTTCAGAACCGATCCGGTGCTATTTATCTGATTGAACATGTTCACTAGCCTGGGGGAAGCCTTGCACTACAATCATTTGTTCGAGGAGGTCTGAGATTGGTATGGAATGAGGATGACATGCTTTTCTGTTGTCCCGAAGTTATCATCAAGTGGCGCATGATAACGTAGGGGCACTTCTGACGCATTTAGATAGACCTTTTGTTTTGAAGTCGAATCCGATTGAGTCGAACTTGGGCATGACGGATATGACTGGGCGTGCTTTCTCCCCCCTCTTCTAGTTGTAGAATGAGTGCCTTCGAGATTGTGTCCCCTAGAATGATACAGGGCACCAATCGCACATGCTGCTTGCATAGCTGGGGCGAAATAAATCACAGCTAAGAAACCGCGTGAGCCACCGGGTCTCATAAAAATATAGTAGATATGGGGTTTATAGAGTGTGTGGCGCTTAATTTTCTTTAGCACATACATGGATACATGGATGGACGATATATATCTATATATATATCACCTTTCTTTCTTTCATCCCAAGGCTGGCCTTCTTCCTAATCTTTCGCCCTTAGAAGAATTGGAGAATGTGGCCTCGAAACGATATCGCCTTCCAGCAGTGCAATATGTTTCCATTCTAGAAGTTGATGCTCCTCCTCTTCCTCAAGGATAGTGGGCAGAACATGAACATGGTATCGTGCGCGCTTGTTCAAAAGTTTTCTATATGCGTGGCTGGCGGAGCGAATAGTAGGAGATGCCTTGGCATGATTCTCCAACTGTTCAGTCCTTCCCGCGATCCCCGTCACGAAGACGAGAAACACGCATGACCATAGGATGGCATTGCGGAAGTAACCCAGAAGGATTCCGCTGTGGGGGGAGGTGTCTTGAATTTTCTGGATTAAATCAACGATGGGATACATGGTTGCAAGTCAAGCCTCTCTGGGATGGAAATATATGAAGATATGTAGATAGATATGTAGATGACTATATGAGTTGCAAGAAGCATGGAACTATATGTGCATGACGAAGCGGGCGAAGGGATGGGGGAGATCCATATAGTAGAATTGAATGAGGTCGCATATATAGTTTATTTAATAGCACGATCACATCGACTTTGGAAATGCTTTCCAGGCAAGGAAAAGCCTGAATGAGCTTTACTTCCTGTTATAACGGTATAATAAAAAGTAAGAACGCCAGAACTATGATATCGACATGTAAATGACCACATAAACGAAAAGAAAAATACTGGAAAGCTCAAGAAAGCCCACGATTAACCTCGAAGGAACAGGATATGAAAACTTGAGATTGAAAAGTATGATATCTTCTTCATGTTTCGAACGGTAAAGATGGGATATACAACAGTAAAGACCACCTTGTCAACTCCAACGGGTTCTTGTAGCAAGATGGGCTGAAAGTTAAAAAGCGTTTGCATTGAACCTAAGAGGAGTTAAAAAGGAAACCTAAACTCTATTTTCAAGCCTTGTTATAGGGATGAGCCTATTTAGCTGACAGTTAGCCGCCTTTAACAACCCCGGACTGAGATGAGATGGCTCCGAGTCTATCTATAAATTGCTTCATTGGGAATAAGACCTGTAACTTGCTTCTCACCACTACCATTGGTATATCTTTGCGCGTTGATAATTAAGTTTTCACTAGTTACTTGCAGACTGGATATCTATCTAAAATTTAAATAAAAATTACGAAGAATAACTGTATCACCACAGTAGAAAACAAACACCCAGTAAGCGGGAATAGGAAACACGTAACTAGCATTATGACTGAAATTCCCCAAACTCCCCGCCGCCATCATCATCATTATCGCTGAAGCCATGCACCACTTTATGCTCTTCCGTACCCAACATAGACTGCGGTCTTCTCCGTCGATCGTTGCGCGCACTAGATGGCGGGGGCGCAATCATCGGGAATGATGTAGAGGAGAAACCCCCACCCCCACCTGCATCCTCATCCCCGGTTACTCTTGAAGGTGGCGCTGGTGGCGGAGGGATGGAAAACAGCGCTGTCTGTTCCTCTCGAGCAGCGCTGGTGGGGCTGATCAACTTCTCCGGCGTACTCGTCGGCTTCTTCCCGCCGATATTAATACTAATCGTTTCCCCAGGCTTCAGGCTGTAATCCCTCGGCGGCTGCGCTGGGTTTCCCGATGCCGATGTTTGCAGTGAGCCGAGTCCTGATGTCTGTCCCCTGGCCCTGTTGGCTCCCATAGGGCCCCTTCCCGCGCCTGGTGAAGGGGTCTGCTCGTCCAGGGCAAACCCCAACACCTTCCGTGCCTCCTGCAGCGTGACGCCGAAATCAAACGCTTCGCTTCTATCTTCGAACCCAATGCCTAATATTGCTTTTCGCCCATCATTCATAACTCTTAATGCGAAGAAGCGCGAAGAATCGACGGCATGCTCTACGGCGCCTGGGTCGGTGTACGGGGCTGCTGCGAAGAGGTTGCCGGTGCTTGGGTCCTCCAGTACAATGTCCACCTTGACTTTTTCTTTTTCTTGTAGATTAGCTACCGAGACTGTGGTGGTGGAGGTTTCTCTTGCTGGAGCCGGATTTCCAGGGCGGGGTTGCAAATGTGTCCGCGCTTGCGGCTGCGGGGAGGAAGGTAGGGTAATTGCGGTTTCAATAATGCGGAGTCGAGCAGTGAAGATCTGGCGGGTCTGGTTGTTATTCTTCGGGTCCGGGACAGTCCAGTCTGCGGCTGAGTAGCCCTTCATGGAGGTCAACGGTGGTATCGCATAGATATGCACGGGGTGACAGATGAAAAGCACACGTTGGATCGCATCGCTGGGAAGCTCCTTTCCGGTTGCGGGATCGATTTGGCCTGACATTATAGCGATGGATCTTTGTATAGAGGGCAACGTGAAGGATTTTGCATAGAGGGCTTGATCAATACACTCCGAAAAATGTGTCTGGTTCTGATCTTTCGTCTCATTATGATGCTGGATGCACTGTTGGAGGGTGGGGCAACTAGGCATGAAACTTGGTCGAGCGGAAAATCAGTAGCAAAACACTGCAAAAAATAGCCAAAATATCCATGTATCTCTAGGATTTATTCAAATATCATCCAATCCATTCAAATACACATTTTTCATATCTTTATCATCAAATCTATCAATATAATATCTTTTTCAATACGTCTCACAACACTCACTATCCTACTTTCTAGGGCAAAAGAGCTCGACCACCACGCCCGTTCGCCCGCTCACCTGCCCACTCCTGCCTACGAAAGTTCTGGCTGTATTCTAGATAGCTTGCCCTCCAAGGGTCTTTTGCTACCGAACGAGACTGAAACAAAAGAGACTGGTCTGATAATTAATACCTATATCCTCATGTATACTATGTAGAGTTAACCGCCGTGCGCAAGACAAAAAGCCATAGGCCCCCGGGGAGGGAGAGGGATGTGACGCGATAGTTTAGTGGTGGCATATGAGCAAGTGGCTTCCGCCTGGAGAACAAAAAATATTTCGCTTTCTTTTCAATCCTCACTCGACACTCATCTCTTGCAACAAGTTGACCTCCTACGACTATCCACAATGGGTGAACCGCTCGAGAAAAGCTGTGTCGCATGCGGGTGGACACTTGACAAAGAAAGGCGGTGCCATTATACAAGCCACCTCAAACTCTTCTACGGCGCATCTACACGGGGTGTGTGGTCCATCGGATCAGATGTAATTCTGAAAGATCGGCCCGACGAGGATCTAAAAGCGAAAGTTGAAGTCAATACACTGAACTATTTAGCGACCCATACCGACATTCCCGTCCCGAAGGTTTTACGTGACTGGGTCGATCGAGATGGGCGGTACTTCGTTTTGAACGAACGCGTAGGTGGTCAGACGCTCGAGGAGGCATGGACTTCTTTGTCAGAACCCCAAAAACTAGATGTCGCAGACCAAGTCGTGAAAGTGCGAAAGAAGCTTCGATCCGTCACGTCAACATCTATTCAGTGTGTCGATAGAAGCCCATGCTATCCAGGCTTATTGTTTTTCGATCTTGAGCCCCGTGGACCGTTTCACTCTGACCAAGAGCTCTGGGATGCTCTGGCCCTAAACCTTCGCCACCTCCCTCAACAAGTTTTGGAGAACTTGAGGAAGAGCCTACCGAAGTGCGAACCCTATGTGCTCACTCACTGCGATCTCAATTTGGGAAACATCATGGTCCAAGACGGAAAAGTTGTCGGTATACTTGACTGGGAATACGCTGCCTTCTTTCCTATTTGGTATGAGTACGTTTCGGCCTCTTTCGGATTTACAGACACGGACGTCGAATGGAAAAAGTTGCTCCGGGAGCGCTTATATGTACATGGCGAGGCGCACGAAAATGCGAAGGCATTCTGGACAGATATGTGTAATCTTAGACACTATCCCAATCTGGACGAGAAAGGTCAAGAAACTTTAAAGAGACTGTCCTAGACAATCTTGAACTAGTGAAAACACGCGCTCCCTAGAAATCTCTGTTATATCGGCTAATTCCAGTAGTTTTGGTCCCGATAACTGCTAGATATAATTGATCACAATGGGAGTTATTCTTACGGAATATCCTCAGTGTGTGAGCGCAATCAGTGTTCAGATGATTTCCCTCTGCATGCCGTTTGAATTGGATCGTAAGGCAAGTTAAATGTCTGCTCCAAAAGGAATCCACACTCAATTGGAGAAAGAACGAAAAGAGGCGAAGACCGGGAGTGACCTGCGCCAAATCGAAAACACATTGTCAGCCAAGTACACGCGGATCCTGTACCTAGAAATCGAGCTTGCCTACCAACGCGGGGTGAAAGCTGTCTTGGGCTTCGCCGAAGCGTTACACCAGTTTCGAAGCCGCGCGTCATGAGGGCAACCTCCGAGAGACATCTGTCTGGTCATGCTGGGATGCTGGTGATAATTTCCGTTGCTTGGATCTGCTCACCATCTGGGAGGCATGATCGTTCAATGCTGTTCCAATGTTTGGAAGCTCTCCAACCTGGGGAGCGTTGCCAAAATTGACACATCCTGAGGGTGCTGGCAAGCAATAACAGCAGTCTCGAAGTCGCACAATCCAGAGGAACTGGGTATAGGGCAAGAGGAGGATTTGAAGGGAATTTGAATTCCAGTTTTGCCATTTGAGTGGAACCGGAGTCGTTTTTATAGATGACGGTCGCCCGTGACGGGAGAATTCGCCTTCTACCCAGCACAGACGATCCCGACCAGCTCCTGCAATCTAGGCCATTGATTACCTTCAATTTAATCATACCACTTACTAATATTACTATTATTTATGGACCCATCTTCGAGGAAGACGGAAGCTTGCTCTATGAGAGTCTCTTTTGTGGGGGAGTCTGTCTGCTCTAGTTCCACTTTTGAAGTGTTGATGGCTGTTGCAGAATTCAATGTATTGCTGTTCAAATGTGAGAGTTGTCAGCTAGGAATCACAGGAGCTTTCAGTTCTGAATTTCCATACATGATTGCTGAGGACAAGATATAGAGGACAGGGACTAGAATGCAATGTTTCATTGTCCCCTTGAAAATGAAGATGATGCTGTTGTTGCCATTTGAGATTGAAGATTCCACCCAGTGTAGTAGATACTGACTGGATCACGCAGGAATGATTCGACAGTTGATTTGCGGAGTGATTTGAGTTGACTTATACAACCGAACTTTTAAACAAAAATTTCTCTCAAGAAGGGAGTGATTGCGATGCGCAATGCGCGTGGTTTTCGAGCTGGTATGGTGAAAGTCTGCCTCGTCGTTGTGGAATCCATACAGCTTGGATGGAGAAGGATGTCCCCAGGATGGAAACTGTACCGCAGCCCACCGGTCGATTACCACGATGTTCATGTGGTCCAAGCGGAAAAGGAGTCCCGGAAGAGGATACGATATCAAGCGGCCAACTTGTTATTATTCCGCCAGTCAGGGACACCACAGCCAGTGTCAGCAAATTGACTTCTCCAAGCTCCAGGCCTCATCAACGGCTTACTTAGTATATGGAATAAATTGCAAGCAGATGCTGCGTTTTCTCGCCGGATCCCCTGGCCCGCCATATGATACAGTTGAAAAACGCCGACACCCATCATCACAATGCAATCAGTGAGCAATCAGTGGAGGTTATAGTTTATGTATACGCATACTACTAAAAATCTCTACCGACAATGTGGATCAAAGCGGGATAATTCAGGATATTTTTGGAAAGAGCGGGACAATCCGTGCGCTTGAATGCGATGCAGATGGCGGGATCTACGGACGCTCCGATGCAGATGCGTTTAAACGCCCTAAGTGGGGGGAACCTTGGTGGAGGCAGTACTTTGCCGTCTGGTAATGTTTTGGTCGTGAGTAAATCTAGCCTTGTCTCACTATTCTTCTTTCCTTCCATTTCTTCCATGGACCATAATGATGAATATTATTATCACTATTATTGTTATCTTTTTTTTTAAAAAAAAAGAAAGAAAAAGAAAAAAAAACTACAGCGATTTGCGATGACTGAGGCACCATTCATATACAGCTGTTATAAGAGTAAGACGTAGGGAGAGGGTGGGTGACTTGTCGTTTTTGTTTTTCGACTGGATATTAAGTTAGTTAGGTGGCTGGGCACCGATGAGACACTGAATGAGGCAACTGATGCCAACCTCATAGCTTAGTTGGATAGGAGCGCGCATGTTATTTTGAGTTTTCTTTTCCTTTCTTTTTCCTTTCTTCCCTTTTTCTTTTCATTTCTTGCTTAAGTTACGGGATCATGACATGTCATTGCTTCCTGAAACCGCTGCCAACTGTCGGCTTTCTCCAGTCTTGACCAATAAATCAATCCCCTTCTGCCGAACTGGTACAGGAACAGGAACAGGAACTAGCACAGGCACAGGCACAGGCACAGGCACAGGCACAGGAACAGGAACAGGAACAGCCAGTTAAAATCCCCAACTGGGGCGCAGGCAGGGCGTCCCTCCGTAGGTATGTTTCAAACGATAACGAGTTGTGAGACAAAATACGAGGAAGAAAATCAAAGCAAGAACAATTTATTCGCACTGTTGCGTCGGAATCTCACGAAAATTTATTCCGTCGATTGATATGAAGATATCTATATATCGATATATCACACATCGTATACATACCTCCTTACTAAGCGCAGAACAATATTCCCAGTATCGATCAATCCTTAAGACATAGTAGCATATATAGCAAAGCAGCATTGTAGTGAATGACTACTACGGTGGTGATACCCCTATGTAGGTACATCCCTGCTGGAACGTTCCCTGTCCTGGGTACTACAGCTTAGCTCCGGGAATAGATTTGGCGACGCGAATACGTTGAGTTGGCAGGCGACAGGCAGGGACTCTGGGGGGATCGCATTGACAGTTGACAGCTGACAGTTGGCAATCCATGGATCAGTTGGGCCAGAAACCCTGGAACAGCCGGCAGCACGATAATCCAGGCCGAGACAAACACAGAGCCAGGGCCGAACGGCGGAACTAGGCGAAACTAGGCGAAACACGGCTAGAACCAACCAGGAGGCTTGGGGTGTGTGGCTTAGTCAGCGACCCAGTGACCGCTCGCATTTCCCCCTCCTGCCACCTGCCACAACGCTCCCTTCGCTGCCTTCATCCCAGCTTCAACTTTCAACTTCAAACGACGCCGTGCACCGCCCATCGCCACGTAACAGTTCCGCTTTGCCTAGGCATCTCCTTTTCTACGGTTCCAGTCCCGCTCTGGGGCCGATAAACGGTGTTCGAAACTTTCCTCGTCCCTTTTTTTCTTTTTTTCTTTTTTTTTTCTTTGCTTTTTCATTTGTGTCCTCTTAACTATCCTTCGAAATTTATCCTAACCTCCCTCCTCTCCATACCTACCAATACCTACCTATGTACCCTCTCTGGAAATATCGTCGCGGTGTCGCCGCCATTCTCTATTCTGACGTCAACTGAATCGGGCGTAGCTGGTCTCACCCCAGCCCAGAGACTGGCGTCAATTTGTTTCTGGTTTCTCATTGTGCAGTGTTCCTCGTTGAAATATCTCCAGCCATGGCTATATGGCCCTTTGGTCGCCGGAGGAAACGGTCCCGAAAGGCTGCGGACGACGATGCTTTCTCGAGCTCCCTCACTGCTGGTGATCCTCTAGCACAGGCACACGCTCGGGGCTTTGGGAGCCATGGTTCCCCTCAATCTAATCTCCATGTCCATTCCCATGGGTCCGTCCTAGGTTCTGGGAATGCTACCAGGAGAGACAGTAAGCGAAGGAAACGCAATAATGTTCCCCCAGCAACACACGATTTATACGACAGCGACACCGTCCGTCTGACGGATATACCCCCCGGTACCTTGTCCATCGCTTCTGCCCGCTTCCGTCGCCAACCTACCTCGATTGATACCTCTCTCTCGCGCAATTTTGTAGCGTCGTCCTCGCACTTTCACTACGCGGGCACTGTCTCGCAGACCAGCCTTGGACACCCTCCGACCCTTCACGGTCGCCGCAGCAGCACCGAACCCGCGATGTTGAGACGGAAATCTTCGAAGCGCAAACGAAATGATTATGCGAGGGAGTTGGAGATAAAAAATATGACCAGCCATGTGACTGTCCTACGACGACCTTCGACTGTGTCACCCGCCACCCAGTGGTGGGAGTCTAACAAACGCGGCACGAGGAATATAAAGTCTGCCCATGGCGCTGTATCATCCCAAATGTCGCTACAGGTTGATTCGGGTCGAAGTTCCCCCTTCGACATGGAACCTTGTTCCTTCAAAATCAGTTCTTTCGCGGCTCTGGCTCCTCGACCAATTCTGAGGTATGCTGAACCACCGCGGTACGGGCCGGAGAGCAGGGATCATTCTCGAGCATCCACGGGCAAAGAACGGAGACAGGTCATTCCAGCGGAAGACCTTACGCGTATTTCTCGCATCCAAGACCTTGCGGATGATATGGATGCGAGCGCTTTGAGGGAGCTGATGGAAAGAGACCGACGGCGAAAAGAAATGAAACGGATAGCCGACCAACAGAAGCTACAACGGAAATTACAAAGAAGAGCGGACCTTCAACGCGAACAAGAACGACGGAATCCACCCGTACCCTCGCAACTTCCAACTTCAGGATATAGTGTTGGAGTTGGAGTTGGACGTCCTCCTATTCCTGAGCCTCGATCTGCAGACAATGTTGCTGTTCCTATTCCAGACCGTGTATCTTCAGATACTGTGGAGGCTGTTCCTTCTTCTGGGTCTTGGCTACGGGACCCATCCAAGGAAAGTCTACGCGGTACAACTTCAAGCCCGAAAGACAAACCACTGTCGAGCGTAAATAGCGGTTCTGCTCTACGTGGGCGCTCCAGTGTTATCAGCCACGATATTAGCATGTCTAGTATGAGCGGCCGACATTCCATTGAGCCGGTCCATGGTGCCAAAGGCCCAGACAATGCTGCCAATTCCCATGCCCCAGAAACAACCGGACGACCTACAGCAAATATTCTTCGGGATTTTGAACTCCAGAAGCGTCATTCAGACAACGCTGGAAAGCTCTCTACTTCCTGGACCACCTTCTTCCGACGTGGTGGGACGCGGTTCCGACGACAGAATTCGGAGCGGACGAAGACACCGTCGGAGATTTCAAGCCCACCCAGAGATTCATTTCAAAGAATCAACCAGCAGGCAGCACAAACGCAACCCGTTCCACTTCCGGAACGAAGCTACATGCGCCCTGGAATGTTTCCTCGAAATCAATCCAAATTTACAGAACATTTTACCGACCCCGTCAATGATTTCCCGCCTCCACCTGGACGCGATTTCCAATCGCCAAGCGGCCCTCATCTTTCATTTTCAGTAGCTAGATCACCCGCAGCGGCTGGCGCAGACCGTTCTTCCGTTGCTACTCCTGAGCAACGTGCCTACAGCCGTTCATCTGGCGCTGGCAGCCCAGAGACTAATGCTGAGAGCATTTTACTCGCCCACTCTCTTGCTTCTATAGACTCTGAGGGCTCGTGGCTGTCGGGGCGACCTTCCCGGCGCTTCTCCCATCCGCCCAAGAATTCTAGCAGCGCGAATTCCACAAGGGACATACTAGACGTGTATGCAGAATATGCGGAAGATGATCGCGACCGCACTCGCCACCTGACAGCGGATGATCGTGATCATGGGCGTCGGCCACCTTTACTTTTGGAAGAAATGGATCAAGGAGAAGAAACCTTCCACGACGGTGTCGGGAAACGCGCACTCCTCGTCCGCCCGGACTACCGCCCATTCTCTAACAATGCCAACATCATCATCGACGACAACCTCAAGAACCTCTACATGGAAACAGAAGGTGTGGGAGCGGGTGGAGCTCAATCAGACGCCGAATCTGCCAGTCCAGTTAGCGCTCTCGGAGCCGATTCGGAGGTCCGGCGCGCAACCAGCGTGGATCTGGGTAAGCAACACGTGCGTCATATTAGCGCAGGAAGCGCCAAACTTTTGGAGATTTCCCGGCGGGCATCTGAGACTCGCAGGTTGAGTGCTGGTTCGACAGGGAGCGGTACCTTACCGAATCATGCGTAGCGCCGTGTGAGTAGGGGAAGTTTCGACAAGTAGGTGAAAGAGATAAGAAGAAAAGGCAGAGCAAAGGCCATAACGGGTGGACGATGATGAAGATGAAGGAGGAGGAGGAGAAGAAGAAAAAGAGAAGAAGAATTATTTTCTCGGACTGCATTATCAAGCAAGCCAGCCCACACTCTTTTGGTTTTGATTTTTCTACCTTTCCTTGATTCGACTTTTTTTTCCCCGAATGATAGGATATGCTGAAGGTTGTTTTCTGCGGGAAATACCCCCCAAAAAACAAAAGTGACAAAAAAACCACGAAAACCCAGCAAGAAAATAACCGAAAAAAAAAAACGAAAAAAAACGAAAGAAAAATATCAAGATGAGAAAAAAAAATTAAAAAATAAGGTAAATCCCAAAGGAATGAAACCAAGACATCCGCAACGTCGGGAAAAGAACCAACTTGCCAAAGTTCATAGCAGAGCATGGCACGTCACACTCATTTGTTATTTTTTGTTAACCCTTCACTAACGCCTTGTCCCTTTGTTAACTAACCCCTTTATTTCTAACTTCTTACGATCATTTTTACCCCTTGGCCTTGCTATGATAATCCAGATGGAGAATTGCGCTTCCTCTTACTCTTCTTGTTTCTCCTTTTTCTTTTCATATCTTTCTTAGATTTATCAACGAAAATCCTCATCGTCAAAAGAATATCTTTGCCACTTCTTGCATGCATTTTTTTTTAGCTTTCGCCATCTCTTCCTCCGTTCCAAGTCCGTACGCTACGCAGAACTTCGTTTTGCACCGCTTCCCTACCAGAGGACCTGTTATATTGTCTACCCTTAGTTGTTGAATTTCGCTATTATCCCCCATTCTGTTTTTTGTCTCTTACTAAGTCCTTCGGCTTGGCCTTCTTTTCTTTCTATTGGTTATGTATTTATTTATTTATTTATTTCAGAAATGGGCTGGGAAATAACGACATCAGCTGGCTAGCACACGCCAGCAGGTAGTCAAGGCAGGAGTGTTATTTTGGAATAGGATATTGGGGATTTGAGGGGCGGTGTGTGTCATTGCAATTGGAAATGGAAATGTCCAGGAATGAATCTTATGGAATTTAGTTACATCTAAATGATTTGATTTGATTTGATTTGATTTGGTTTGGTTCAACGTCTCAGAGGGCATGGAGACGTGTTACGCTAGAAAGGTCTCTCTGTACACAGAAGAAACATAGAAGGTTTAGATAACAACTCATGAGAAGACCCAGCCAACATGATTCTTAGAGTGTTCTCTGCTTTTTATAGTTAACTGATTCATCACTGCTTACTCTTTTCATATTGCTTTTTACTACGGGCAGCCTGCCCTTATCGGGGGTGGACAAATGAACCTCTAAATCACAGGGGATGAAGGCATCTTTTGATTCCTCTAAAGGGTTGGTTGGAAAGCTTAGGTATAACACTCTATATAGCAGAAACATGCAGCTGGGACACAGGACAGAGTGAAAGCACAAAGTTATATTCATTATGTTGCTATTAAACAATACCATCACAGATATCATCGCAAATATCATCGATATCTCTATCTTAACAATGATAACTTCACCCGCTACTTATCCGAGCCTTTTATTCCTTAGCTACATCATGGCGTTCTTAGTATGGATCTCGTGGCGACGAACCCTACCCCCGAGGTCCTTCCATCCATTTTTTCTGAAAATTTGAGTTCTCATAGGCGCTCAATTTGACGCTCTCCAGAGTGACCATCAATCCAAAGTTTTTCAAGGCGTCCCTATGTTTAACGTCTCTGCTTCCTCCCTCAGCATGAATTCTAGCTCTTGTTTGTCATCTGGTCGATCCTCTGCAGCAAAGTATAGACTATGTGCATAGCCATGCTTAGCATTGAGAGGGAGAAGGTGATCCCAATGGCAAACAATCCGCACTATTCATGCATGAACCGTGGCGCTCTCATGAATTCAACTGCCCCACATTCCGTTCGGGTTATGCTGGTGCAACGCGGGCTATATAAGAGCCGCGGAATCGGCTGCTTGGTCAAGATATCGGAAGAGATTATCAAATGAGCCGCTGGCTATAGCATCCTGATACAAGTTGACCATCTCTCTAGCTTCAGGAAAATCTTTCGTCGTACTCTACTGCGCAAATTTGGCCTTGCCCAGATATTTTCCCTTCCGTTCTTCGGGCACGGAATCTCGTATTGGCTTCTTCTTCGAGCCATAGCCATTACTTGGCTAGCTTTTTCAGTAATCCTAGCGACCCTTTAGACGGAAAACCGAAATGTAGGTAGTTGTGTACTACAACTCGGATGCGTTTTGACCTCACATACGCCATCAAGTGTAGCCCACAACCTGTTAATCGTGTTATACGCGAAGTTAACGGAATCAAGCTTGAATATTCGAGAGGAAATTTCTAGGCCAACTTATATATCTGTGAGAATAACGAATTAAAAGTTTTAGAAGACGTATCTTACAGTATTTCTTAAAGCCATCTTCCCTCCTTCGGCTCTTCAATGCTTCCATCCCCTCCCTCCCACTGACTATCCACTTGCTGTAATCATTCTGTGTGAGATGTGCAGGAATACTCGCCGCGCAGAGCCACTCAGCAAGACACTTTTGAAAAGCAATTGCGTTAAAGCGATGGGATCTTGGTTCAAGGAGAGCGAACAAAATCCCAGTTGTCCTGTTTAAAACTTCTTTCTAATTTCTGGGATTTCTATTCGTGGCCGTGCTAGTATCTCTATTTCGACGCCGAAGGTCAGTTTCTCCATGACGTTTATTCAACGTTGTTAGGGTTAGTGGTATTGTTGAAAGGATTGCTGCCTTTTCTCAGAAATCCTCAAGAGAGAGTAGACGGAACTAGGGGAATCGAGATAGTTGACATAAGATCTCCTTGCACAAAAACGAGTGTCGTAGGAGAGCATACTGGGGCATCTTTTTGATTTTTAGTGACTCCAAATAACGATAGAAGTCTTCCTGCTTTTCTTTGGGAGCACAGAAACGGCTAAGCCTCATCTGCTTTTCCTCCTTGAGCTTCTTGACACGGAGGGCATCGTCCATTGACATTGACATTGACATTGACACGCACTGAAACCACCATTAGCGGAAGATCAAATATTTCGGGGTGGGATGACTCGGTGGAGTTTTCGTAGCTACCTCCTATGCGGGTTTTGTTTATTAATGCTGTCAAAACAGTCAGTAGAATGAATACAAATGAGAAGGGATGAATACTATAATTATGCTATATTTTACTTACAATCATTGACAAAAATACAAGGGCCTTATTAACGGGTTTATAAGCTCGGCAGTAGTTACCGTGTCACTGAGCATCAGTTGAGCTTCACTGTATTTAGGTGATTTAGATATGATGATGATTAATGGGTAACTATTTGAAGATGAAGAATAAGAATAATTCAAAGAATTTCATTACATGGCCTTGTTCAGCGGCCCAGCCTCGACCGAGCCCTGGCCCACAATGGACTAATAGGCCTTTGCGGTGCCGGCGTCAGGTGTTGCATGTTCCCTCATAATTGATTTCTAGCTGTACGCAAGGATTATCTCAGTGAACTCAGCTGCCCTGCTCAAAAGGCAGTGTGAAAAAGTACACACTAACCCACATTAAGAAATGATAGCATAATCCTCAGCAATTGCTTGCAGAATGTCTGAGAATGGGCACACGGTTGAGGCGATGCTAAGAAAGTTTATCATAGTGCAATTCAAGGCTGAAAAACAGCTTGATATGATTCTAAATCCTGCACCACACCATGATGCAACAGTTCATCATGGTGCAAAAAAGCTGACAAATCTCACAACTATTCCACATGAAATCCACACATCATCATGACATCTTCTTGATCCCTCTCAATAATGTTGATTTTTCATATTTTGCAAGGTTCTAGCTGTTTCTAACTCTAATTCTAATCCTTAATCTAATCTCATAGTTAATGAAGAAGTGAGAGTGTATTATATGTAGTGTATGTAGTTTTATTGGGATGAGGTGCAAAGCCGAGGTTGGAAAATAGCTCAGTGTATTGATGATGATTGAACTTTTGCAGTGTTGTAACAGGAGTAACGGATGTATCTATATTTAGAAGTGGCAAGACAGCAGTAGAAGGGCACAGAATGTGCTAGAATCATGATGGACATGGCGCGTGGTGTGGCAACACTATCTATAATGCTCGCTGATATCCGCAGATCTTAGGAGATCAGTGATTAGCTTTGAATATAAGAGATTGCTACCTTGTTAATACTACCGTGCGTACTTCACACTACTCTTATCACTACCCTTTGTAGCCTACCTCTTACACAATCCTAATCGCTCTTAGCCTTATTTGAGTAGTCCGTTGTTACGCACGCCCTATAAATAAGAACTCGCAACATTACGCTGTAGTTAGACAACCCAAGATGGTTTCCACAGACTGCAACAGTTGAACGATCAAATTCGCAAACGAGAGCAACAACTCGCCATCTTACACATGCGCAACAACGCCTTAATGAGCTGGAGGCGCAGATCCGTGAAGATTCTTCTATTGTATTCCCGACCTAGCCCAAAAATGCCGCCGTAGAACCACCACCTGATCGAACCACAAGTAGCAAGGATAACGATGACGAAACACCGCCGAGATTGGAGATTAAGGAATACTACAAAGGGTAGTGATAAGAGTAGTGTGAAGTACGCACGGTAGTATTAACAAGGTAGCAATCTCTTATATTCAAAGCTAATCACCGATCTCCTAAGATCTGCGGATATCAGCGAGCATTATATAGATAGTGCTATGTCCATCGTGATTCTAGCGTGTTCTGCGCCCTTCTACTGCTGTCTTGCCACTTCTAAATATAGATACTTCTATTACTCCTATTACAAGTGTGAAAAGTGAATAGCAGAAGATAGTAGAAAGGGATAATAATAGTAATGATATTAGTAGATAGTAGCGTAGCTAATCGCTAAGAGAAGAAAGAGAAGAGAAGAGGAAAGAAAAATGTGCGAAGGACATGCGTATATATATATATATATATATGTATATGCATAGAAATAGTGATAGAGCGAGAAAAGGAAAAAATAAACGGAGATAAATGAAGATATATAAGGAAATAATAAATGAGTGCATTACAACTCTTTCAGCATCATGTTCAACTTGTGTCCCAGTCTGAGAACTACCAATTGCAGTTTGTATAAGAGTTGATTGAAATTCTTTTGCTTTATGGCCACTCCGTCACAAATCTAGATAATTAATGTTTGAATATACGGATTAATATGATATATAGCTATCTCTGAGGTGTATTTTTATATCATATATATACCTTGTATATCCTACTAAAGCGTAGCTGTGGAAGAAAAAAGTAATCAAGATATGAAAATAAAAATTGATTCCATCGAGAGATAAATGATATATCTAGCTCTTTTACTTACACTCATTTGTTGAACTGATATAGCTGTTTATTATTCTTGTTCAAAGATTTCTTCTCAAAAAATATAGTTACTGTATCTCAGACACTGCTCCAAGAATCAAAATTGTTGATTGAATAGGATAAGTGACAGATTAGTAGCAGATTAGTGGCAGATTATGTGGTTCCCTGATTGGCTGGGCTAAAATGGCGAATTCTTTGCAAAGCATCTGAGAAAATGCAAGGATTGGAAACTCTTCTGCAGCTAGGGAGCAGTTTTGGACTCTTGGTTGTCCTTGTTTTTCTCACCAGTTCGTTCCATCCGGGATTGCAGAGGACAAAGCACACACAATTCTCAGGATACATACATCCTCAAAACGTGTTTGGAAGTAAGTGGTTTTCAAAATTCTTTACCCGCCAGGCACAAATTTTTCTGGGCCCAGAGACCAGGTTCGGAACTTCCCTCCCGTCTTCGGCGTTCTTGATATCTCGCGCCGAGCTTGCAGTGCCATTTGGAATCACCCAAACCTGCTGTTAACAGGAAGGAAATAAATCTACATAGGAGTGCTTACAAAAGGGCGAAAAGGGAAAATTTAAAATAGGGTATCCTGGCAGAGAATCATAATTTAATTAAGAACCAGATAGAAAGCGCAAAAAAAGAATTTCAAAGAATTTTCGGCGGCTCCCAAAAGCGAGAAAAAAATCCCCCAAAAAGCCACGCAGACAGAGCCATGTTCCCGAAGACGTCATCGCGGGCAGTCCGTCTGCGACATCACATAATCCACACACTCCGCCCCCGTCAACCGTCCACCAGCCCACCACCAAGCTCCCTATATAACCGGCCCGCGCCCACAGTCGCCTCACTCCGTCCTTTGTCATCGCTATCATCTTTGGCACGGCCTGCAACGCCTCTTTCCATCTCCACAGCGACTCCATCGTCCAAACCATCGTCTGCTTCGCTTGGAAGAGTCGCCCCCTGCCCCTCTCCCTCCCCGTCGTCGCGAACAACTACCCCGCTTCATCGTCACTGGCAAACGAGCATACGCTGCTTTTCCTCTTCTGCACGCAACAGCTTTAGACCTACCGCCGGCACAATGGTTGTTCATAATATAAAAGAGTAAGTTTGATGGGGCACTCGGTTTATTTACAAGTTGTGCCGTCTTTTTTTACTTTTTGGTTCCGCAGGGCTTTTTTTTTTTTTTTTTTTTTTTTTTTTAGTTTCCAAGATTTCAATTTTGTTCCTTTTAATTCTATATAAACATTTCCATATCTTGCATTATTTTTATATTTATCTTGACTTTTGTTCCTGTTCTTTTGTTGCCAGGGTGACTTTTTTCAATGTCTTCTGCCACTCTGGCGCTTCCCTCATTTGCACAATCATCCTCAAACCCCCCCCACCAAACCCTCTCCGCTCAATCTTGTCAAACAAAAGCAACTAACTAACTAACCGCCGCAGCCGCACCTCCTTCGAAACTGCCGTCTCCACCACCACCGCCGCTGGTGCCGCCAGCAACGCAGCAACCACGGGCCAAAAGACCCCTCTCATCGTCATAGACTGCTTCGCCACCTGGTGCCCCCCATGCAAGGCCATCGCGCCCAAGCTCGTCGAGTTCTCCGAGCAGTACCCGAACGTGGGCTTCTACAAGGTTGACGTGGACGAGTGTCCGGATGTCGCGCAGGAGCTGGGCGTGCGGGCGATGCCGACGTTTGTTTTCTTCAAGGACGGACAGAAGGTCGACGAAGTAGTTGGGGCCGTGCCGGCGTCGATTCTGGCGGTGATTGAGAAGTATGCCTCTTAGTAGGGGCTTACTTTCTTTTCCTTTTCTTTTCGCTTTCTTTTCGCTCTATTTTCATCTTCTCTGGAAGGATGAGGGTTGATGGTCGGAAAGAGGGGGAATGGGGCCGGGGTTGGTGTGAGTAGATAGATGGTATATGTGGTTTTGTGCCCCTTTTTCTTTTCCTTTTCCTTTTCCTTTTCTTTTTCCTTTTCTTTTTTTTCTTTTAGCTTGCTTCTTCCTTCATCCCCTGGAACTGGGAATGTGGAAATTAGCAAGAAAAGAAAAAAGAGGTAAAGGGTGGGGGAAAAGTAACGACCCACATGATCGATGGGATGGGGAAAGGATATGTGTCTTAATTTTTTTTTCTTCCCCAATACCATATGATGTATACCTTTTGCTTCTGCTTTTTGCCCTAAGAAAAAGGCTTTAACTTACCATCAAATGGCCAGAATCAAATTTCCTTGTTTGTTAACACATACACATCCACATTATAACATTCCCAGGTGCTGCTTCCTCTCATTAGAAAGTGAATCAGTTTCACAATAATCAGTTATGTCTGTATTATTTTATTCTCTCCATCATCCAGTCATGATGAATAACCTCTTCCGTTATTTCACTCCAAACAGTTTTCTTTTTTTTTTTTCCGGCTTTCTATATTTGGCAGTTGGGGGGGCCAACCAAAAGACAATGGATGCTGGGTTGGCGTGGCCAGTTCGTTGTAGCTGTGGCTTTTACTTCTAGATATTTATTTATTGTTATTTGTTGATCATGCTAGTATTATTGTTATTGCTATCTAGCTATTTTGAACATTCTTGTAAATAAAGGGAGTGAATGTTAATCACATAACCTCGGTGATTAATATACTAAGCAGAAGATCAGAGTGATCTAATAAAGATGTTATTGTGAATATCAACACTCTCTCAAAATTATATATAAAATAGATCAACAAACAGATCTCTAATAAATGTACAGATATTATATAAAAATTAAATCTAAGAAAAACTAGTTATTCGTTGAAATCAGTGTTAAAAAAAGCCTTCTCATTTAATGTCCATAGAATTAGTTTCACTCGATCTATATATAGATGCTGTAACTAGCTGATAAATAAGCTGCCGACCCACATCATATCTTTAGTTTTCTCTCCTAGATGCCTTTCTAGGAAATGGGACGGCCACTATGTCAACAGGTAATTCTTTCCCAGACCCAAGACGTTTTGATATACGGCGGTCGAATGGCCCATACTTGCTCTCATGTATTCGACCAAAGTGTGTACTATACCATGTCACAACCTGCTCATCCAAGCAATCATCTAGAATATCATTTTCTATGCCCAAATATCCAACCATCATGGAGACCCATGATTTCATTGAAGCCGCCCAGGATGTGAGCCCGGCATTGGCTTCCTCAACAATCGCAGCTCTGATGAGACTTTCGAGCAATGTTTGCTGGTGTGGGTATAAGATGTTGCCCGAATGTGTCATATTGAGCAGTTGCAAGCGCGGCAGATTGCTTTGTCGCATTCAATTCTGTTGTTGTGCTACTAAAATCACGGAGACTGGCAAATGAGCTTGGGATCAAAAGTATTTGTTGAAAGCTCTCGAGTAGATGGCTCGGGCAGTTGAAGGTCTTGCAGGAGCGGTCTACGCGCTCGTAACCTTCGTTTTATCTGCCGCAGAACGGCTTGTGGATCTAGAAGGCCTGCCATAATTTCAGGGGCAGGATTGCGGTTCGGAGAAGAAGGGATGAATCCAGAGTCTTCGAGTTTGCGGGTTGCCTTCTCAAAATCTTTGTCCTGGACCACCACTATAGGAAGCTATTCATGTACAGTACATACAGTACAGTTAGCAGCAATGCACGGAGGTTTTTCTTTGGAAGTAAAAGGCTTACTATGGGAACACCTAGATAACTCATGGCAACAGGACCCCATGTGGAAATGCGGAGAGGCGAAAGGATACGACCCAGTTGCGATGTTTCTGGATCTGGCTCATGATCTTGCGGGCGTCTGAACATGGCTGGATACACGGGTAAGTTAATTAAAAGCTAGCCGACTTGAGGGAAATGCTGGCCAGGGCGTACGGGTTTGTCTGGTGGTGAAGCGGGCGTTGGTAGTAGAGGGGACGAACCCATCCAATCCCCCAACAGAAGGTGCCAACATAGGCACCAGCATTATTTATTTATTTATTATTATTTCTTTTTAAAAATATAGGTTTTTTTTTTTTTTTTTGTACCCCTCCCATCCTGCTTCAACGTTGCGACCAAGCCCCTTTGATGATGGCTCTGAAGGAAATTACTGACATAAACTTACTACTTCATACATATACCTTCAACCTTGTCTGTTTACAAAAGAAAATAGATGAATTATTTTTTTCTGTACCTACCCACACCGCATAGATAGATAGATAGATCAGCAAATACTGAATTTAGCATGGTGGATGTTAACTTATCTCAGCCGATCCGAGCTAATTAGTTAACTTAAACAAAGTAGTCAAAAATAAAGCAGTAGTTGATGATTTCCCAAATGCATGCATTGCCCAGAAATGACGAAACGGAAGCGGGGGAAAAAAATTGCGAGAAAAAACTTGTGGGGCGTCTCCTTCCGGGACCAGGCCGGACGAGTGTCGGTTGCGTGGTTTGGTTTAAGGGGGATAAGAACGAGACGAGAGCTGGAGATTGGAAAGAGAGGAATAGAGAGAACGGACAACATGCGATGAACGCTGCAAGAAGAACATATCATAGAGATTTATTTGAGAACAAGGCAAAAAAAAAAAAAAAAAAAGAAAGAGCACAAAGTTCGAACAGGATAGCCAGATGGGGAAGTCAAAAGATGCAAGAGGGAAAAGTACCTGGAAGCAAATAGCTACCCTCCATATTGATGGGTAAAATTGAATGGGTTCGTATAGGAAAATGCCACACTTTTTATCCATCAACTCAAAAAATAAAATAAAATAAAGAGAAGAGAAAAGAAGAGAGCAATATGACACCAATACGATGATCCGCTAGCTTAAACAACGGGAAATTGAGGCAGATATCAAAAAGAAAACCACCGGGAGCAAGAACCTAGATGGGGTTGAGGGAGGAAAAGAGCGGGATAAACAAAAATGAGATCTTTAACTTCGTGGGACCATTATGCAGGAAAACAATGAAGAATGATCAGCTCAGTGACAAAACTCCGAACTAGTAGATGAGGTGGAACAGGACGAGATAGGGCGAAAAATGACAGGGTAAAAGGTGATAGGAGTACATGAAGATAAAACCGTTTAACAACGCTATTGTCGCGAACGATGGGGACAGAGGGAGGCGGGAAAGGTCATACGGTATATTTGCGACATGGGAGGACAGGACAGAACAGGCCACGGCCAGAGTTCTTGAGCGGAAAATGCATTGCATTGGGAAATTTGCACGAGTGATGTCAACGAGCCATTTTTTGTTATGGTTAAATAAGCCGCTGGCCGTAACTTATGTACATTTGGATTATGGGCACACATGTGTAGCATGGTTGTGCGTTTATCCCCCTCGTACATGAAATGTCAGATTCATTCGTCATCCTCCTCGTCCTTATAGTCGCTGTCAGCATCATCGTCGCCATCGCCATCCTCATCCTCATCCTCATCCTCATCAGCATCAGCATCAACATATTCGTCATCAATATCATCCTCCTCCTTAGAGTTCGTAGCCTCCGAGCCTTGACTGGCACTAGGCGATAAGGTCCTCACACTACATGGATCGCCATCGTGGTCATCGTGGTCATTTTCAATTGATCTGATCACGCCATCCGTCTGCTTCTGCTTCTGCTTCTGCTTCTGTTTGGTGTAGTGTTCCTTCGCGATCGGTTCAGGGCTCAGAGTACGTGTGCCTGTCAGTGTGCGTGTGGCTGTGCTTGTGCCAGTACGGCTGCTAGTGCCAATTCCCACATCCAAATTTCCTTGCCCGGCGTTGAGATTGCCATTTCGGTTTGTACCATCATGGTGGTCATTGTCCCTGTTGCTGCTATTGTACTTATTATGATCATCACCTTCCTCATCATCATTATTATGATTAACTTCAATTGCAACCACCTCACTCCGATTCCCGAGGATATCAACCGTGACATCCTCCAGCATACGGCGTTTTCGACACCTGCCACGGGAACGGCGGGTAGCAGTACGCACAGTGCCATCTTCTTCATCCAAGTCGCTGTCATTTGCGGACCGTTTGCTCGTCACACTATGGCGGGACGAGGAACGTGAGGAAGATCCCTGAACGGCTCCGGAGGATGTATTCATTGTTGAGGAGGATTTAGGACGGGAGCCTCCGCTACATGGAGTAGGCACAGAATTTGAAGTCGTGGTTGAAGATAGCGACGTTGAGAAAGGAATCGATGATCTGGGTAATGCACGGTTTTTGTTTTCCACTAGTCTATTAAGAGCGGCGGTAATGTTGGGGCTACACTCTCCAATCATGGCTCTGATTGACTCGTCATCGTTTGCTGGGACTCTTTGTCCAAAGATTGTTATCATCCAATGCATATCAGCAGGATGAGTGACGGTGGGATTTTGGGACTCTGACGGAATGTTTTCCGGGTTGATTTTTTGGTCGATCATCGGCTCCTTGCTTGTGATTTTTCTGTAAATAAGATCGGCCGCCTTAATCCTTTCTGGAAGCTTTGGAAGTCCGACATGAGGTCCATCTAGATTCCGCACTGAGGAATAGTGCTGGAACGACTGCAGAAAATGTCAGTGAGAATGATATCTGAATCCATTAGGGGATTCACATACGTGAAAAGCTAGATGTATAACCCCCCGATTCGGATCTGCCTCAGCAAAGAAGTTTTGAAACCTCTGGACTCCGTCTTCCGAATATACTAGCACATCCAGCCCATAGGCTTGGCAGAAAGCCTGGATTTCAGGCGAGCCCCCCCAAGCATTCTGTCCTTTCATTTCGTTGAGCATGAGTTTAAACTTCGCGGCTTGCCCTTCTGCAGTAGCAGCTCTGTCTACATTGGTATACGCAAGACGGGAAGCTTGAGCGGCGCTCCTCCTGGGAGCTCGACGCTCTCCCCCAACATCTGCGGTGAAATCTCTGAAATAGTCCGCATTGTCCCGCATATGCTGGACCAAACGCTCTCGGATTTCAATGTGGCGGTCAACGCTTCCGTACAATTGGTCTGAGAGTGAGTAGAAGAGACAATTTCCTAGAAAAGTAAATGGACATGTATCAGCCGTATGATTGAACGATTGGTGCTTTTCTAGCTAGTACGGATATGGCAATGAAGAAGAAGAGGAGGAGCAGGAAGAAGGAGGACAAAACAACAAAGGAAAAAGCAGCACCTACCATCGCCAAGGATAGGCATAGCATATAGATTGAAGTAATCAAGACATCCCAGTTTGAGACTGCTCTTGCTAGGCATCCCGGCCATGGCCATCTCTAGGTGCATTTTCATGGCACTGTCCTCGGGAGGGCTAGTCCTGTTACCAGCAGGACCGGAGGAGTGGGATTTTCTTCGGGCCATGATAGGGACGATTCTGGGGTTGGAGGGTGGTGGAAGGTTAGCCATGGTTGCAGAGGAACGGCCTTTAAGGGCTTCATCTGGGAGCGGTCCGGTATTCAGGGATTGGTAATGTTCTTCCTTCGGTGGGGAGCGGGCGGGGCGATGGGAGTGAAGGGAGGGAAATGTAGCAGAGAGAGATGAATTATTTCTTCAATAGGACAATAGAAACCAGATTGGCTGGGTGGGGATGGTAGAATAGCCGCAACAAGGGAATATGTTTGTGAATCCGGAGTGGTGAGTGCAGTGCAGTGGTTGGGCGGTAGACAGGTGAAGAGAAATGAACAGTGATTAGAGATCTAGTGACATTTAATTTATTTAGCTGAGCTCTCAGCAGCCACCAGCACGGCTGCAGGAGTTCAGCAGTGAAAGAAGAGCAACAACAATCATCAACAATCAACAATCAACTGTGAGCACACACTTCGGCCAACTATATGCTCGCTGGGCAGGCGGAGATGATGGAAGACGGCCAGATAAGGTACGCCCGTACAAGCACTGTCCCTGTAATCTGTGCCTTGTACCGGTACCTGTATCGTGCACTGTCCACCGCCCCGAGCACTTGTACTGGTACCATGCCGTACTGTCCATACAGCATCATCGACGGAGCTGCCAAGACAACCCCCTCACGTGGCTCGAAATTTCATTGTAAACCGCAAACCGCGTCAACTTCCTTCATGTGTTCTTTTCTTCCTTCATCCTTCTTTTCCTTTGAAACCAAGAGTGCTTACCCCCCCAATGCTTGCTGTCCTTCCTACTACGGGCTGCTATGTTAAGTGTATAATTAGCAAAACATGAAGAAGTAGTCAGTTAATTAGTGAATTAAACACTTTATTCTTCAAGCTGCAATGTTGAAATATCTAAGGGAATGTCGTGGAACTTGCCCTGTTCCGTAAAAACCACCGGGTTTCAATATCAGTCCGGCTTCACGAGCAACTACGCATCTACCCCCCCCCATGAGCGAACGGAAGCTTCAAACTACACCGTGTCCTTCGGACCCCACTCTGCGCCAACCCTGGCCGGTGATAACGGGCCGATAAGATTCTCCGCATTCAAGCTCCGGCACTTGGAGCTTTGCAGACAATTTAGATGATTATTCTTACACCACTCGCTCTCGCTCCACGTTTTTCATGTAGCCTACATTGCCATTCCTCAACAGCGATTATATTGAATATTAAGCTTCTTTGCGACTTTCTCCTACGGTGCGGAGTACAGTTACGGCATGGCACCGAACAAGATCGTGGTGGTTGGGTGTGTGCTTCCTCCCCTCTTCCAGTACTCCTGGCGCGCACGCCCTTGGTGGAACAAACCAAAAGAAAGAAAAAGAAAAAGAAAAAGAATCTCAAAAAATCACTAGGCTCACCATTTCCATTTGCATTTATATTCTCCCTCCAGGGCCGGAGTGACAGGGCTAACTACCGCCCTCCTTCTCTCCCGAGATACATCCAATGAGGTTACCGTGGCTGCAAAGCATATGCCTGGTGACTATGACATCGAGTACTGCTCGCCTTGGGCCGGCGCAAATTACCTACCGTGCGTTTTACGGGTTCTTTGTCTTACTGTTACACTTTGTGCCTGTTCCATTCAGCGCTTAAGAGCTGCTTTTTAATCAATCAATAGGGTCGGGCAGCCCGGCAGCGCCCATGCGGAGTGGGAGAAGAATACATGGCCTGTCTTAGCTGATTTGGCTAGGAATGACCCGAGTGCTGGTATTCATTTTCAGCGTGAGTTTTATGGCTACTTCCTCCTTTCTTCTTTTTTTTCCCCGCTCCATTTTCTAGAGGACGATGGGGTCGTGCAGGTTATGGATTTTTCCTTTTTCCCGCAGAACTAATTCTTTCGACAATCGGATTGATAGGAACCGTAATAAATTCTCGTGATAAGGACGCAGAATCCACGACCGGCCAGTGGTTCGCGGAACTATCAAAATCGCAGCCATGGTTCAAGGACGTCGTCCCGGATGTATGTTCTACGCTAACCAGCCCATTTTTTTTTTATTTTCTTCTTTCTGATTACCGTTCTATCCTCCATTGCTGGTCATCCGCCACGAGAGTTCCTTGTATGATAATAATAACGAAAATTACCGGAACTATGTAACAGTTCTACGTCCTCCCCAGGGAGGAACTAGGACCCGGCGTCGACGCTGCGACCTCATTCACGTCCGTCTGTATCAACACGGGCATCTACCTCCCCTGGCTAGTCTCCCAATGCCTCAAGAACAGCGTCGTATTCAAGCGCGCTGTCTTCAAGCATATTGCCGATGCAGCATCCGCGCATCATTCGGGTACGAAGGCGGACGTTGTCGTGAACTGCACAGGCCTCTCGTCGCGGAAACTGGGTGGCGTGGAGGATCTGAAGTTACTACCCGCCCGTGGCCAGATCGTGGTTGTTGGGAATGATCCCGGGATTATGACGTCGATTTCCGGGTCCGATGATGGTGACGATGAGGTTTGCTATATTATGAATAGGGCTGCCGGTTAGTGGATTCAACGCTTTTCCTCTCCCTGAGTTTCTCTTATCTTTTCTTTTCTTTTCTTTTGGATGTCTGTGCAATTTCATCAACTACCTTATCCTTTCGCTCACTTCTCCCAGGCGGCGGCACCATCCTTGGCGGCACCTATCAAAAGAACAACTGGGAATCCCAGCCAGACCCATCTATAGCCGTGCGCATCATGAAACGATGCGTTGATCTTTGTCCGAATCTAGTTGGTAAAGATGCAAACGGCAAACAGCGCGGCATCGAAGGGCTGGATATCATCCGACACGGAGTTGGTTTGCGGCCACTGAGGGAAGGAGGGGTGAGGATGGAGACCGAAACGATTGGGAATGTTATTATTGTCCATAACTATGGCCATGGCGGGTTTGGATATCAGGCTTCGTGGGGGTGTTCGGCTGCCGCTGTGAAGATGGTCAGGGAAGCGTTGGGGAAGAAGGGGACTGCTAGGGCGAAGTTGTAAATTCTAATAATTTTATGTTTAGATTGTATAAATGTCATTTCTTAGGTGATGTTCTTTCTTTCTTTCTTTTTTTCCCCCCCCTCGTCTATCCATCTTGGGGTATATATGTTGTGCTACTTTTATGTTTTTTCCCAGTTCCTCAGAACCTTTTTGAGTGATCAACAGTTTGGGAGTAATGTTACAAAGTAATGAGACTAGTAGTGATAGAAAACTAAACCCTATACATTAGATGTAACATAATATCCTCGAGTGATTAGGAGCAAAAGAATGTATTTTCGGAAACAAGAGTTGCCGAAATTTTTTTACCAATTGATGCCAAGGAATGGCGGTTATGGGGCCATAGAAACCACACTCGTTTCTGCAAGCCTCCACACATCGGAGACGTGCCCGATATATATTTTATTTACAACAAACAGGCTAGAAGGCATAGCCGGGAAGGAGAGGACTGTATTCCTCCTTCACATTGGCCATCGGATTTCCCAAGTTATGAACCCGTTGTTTATAAATACTATCTAGCAACATCCCAAGCCATCGCTGCTTACCACCTCTGAATATCATCAACGGCTCACCGACGCTCTCTATTGACCATAATATTACGGGTCATATACCAAAGGGAATAGTAAATAGCGGCGGAAGACTGCCACAGGTCGGGCAGAATAAGAGCAAGTGAATGGCTTTTGCAAATAGCCTTCGCAGTCAAACGCTTGCCATACGCAGGGACAGAAGTGGACATCTACGCTATAATTTACGTTGCTTTTGTGATTCCAGAGTGGAGCTGAAAATTGAAATGATGGATGAGATTCTGCTCATCTTTTTCAGACTATTTTCCAGCCTTAGAGAACCCACAGTTATTCTAAAGTCATGGCATCCATACCTATATAGGAAAGCGTTGGCAAACTCTCCCTATTTCCGGCATACTTCGGATGGGTTTACGGGGCGCATTTAATTCCCTTTTTTGTGCATGATTTCAAGGTACTGCGAGCTCTCCAACAGCGACAATGGGTTAGGATGCCGGCATTTTTAGAAAATGTTCTGTGATATATAATGCAGCCAACTGTGCCTCAGAAAGGGGAAGATGGGTGCAAGCCCTCCCAGCCCTTCCCAGATGACCAGGAGCTATTCTATATACTCCCTGTGTTTGACCCTGATCTCAGTTGAAACATGATACACACTTTTTCCCTCGCGGCGGTATTTGCGTACTATGCCAGCAGCTCACTTGCCATCTCGACGTGTGAGAAGATCTCGTCGATTTCAAATATAGAGATCAAGGAAAAATTCACGATACCATATGCACAGGATCAAAAGGAATATTGGTATGGTTGACATAAGTTTGGCGTTTGGATGCTCACATGTCCGGAGCTTTTCGTCCTAACCAATTTGCTTATCCACAGGTCGGCCGACTGCGGAAGACTTAAGCCCTCGTGCATCCTGGAACCTCAATCGCCGGAGGAGCTGTCGTTGATTGTAAGGACGCTCGGGGAGAACAATGAGACATTCGCTATAAAGAGCGGCGGCCACAACCCTAACCGAGGTTTCTCCAGCGTTGATGGCGGCCCACTTATCAGCCTGAAAGGCTTCAACGAGATCACCTACGATGAATCGTCGGGCTTGGTAAGAGTTGGTGCCGGTCACCGCTGGACTGATGTTGTAAAGGGCCTTGAGCCTAAGGGCGTAACTGCAGTTGGAGGCCGTATTGGACATGTTGGAGTCGGTGGCTATACTCTTGGAGGTGGGTTTTATTTGTCTTAACTCGCTGTGTTGGGGTACTGAATTTGGCTGAATTTGGAAACTGATGTCATTTTGTTATTTAGGAGGATTAAGCTATCTAAGCACCCAGACGGGTTGGACTATGAACACAGTCGTTGAATTCGACGTTGTTCTCGCAAACGGTGACATTGTAAAGGCCTCCAACTGTCAAAATACTGACCTTTTCAACGTCCTCCGTGGTGGTGGGAATGCATTCGGAATCGTCACTACATATACACTAAAAACACATAAAATTGGAAAAGTAAGTTGGCTGCTTTTTCTCTTTTTCATGGTGACTGTTTGAGATATAAAGGACTTTCCGTATCTAAGAGAAACCCAAAACAGGTCTGGGGTGGCAACCTGATAATCAGCGCTGATAAGTCAAATGAAGTCTTGGCTGCTGTTCGAGATTTCACGGAGTACTATCCGGACGATAAGGCCGCCATCATCGCAACCCGCAATATCGGCATAGAAAACCAGTTGGATATCTGGCTGATATTCCTCTTCTACGACGGCGAAACTGCTCCCCCCGGAACATTCGACAACTTCACCAACATCGGTCCAATTCTCAACACTGCAAAAACTCAAAGCTATTCGACTTTGGTGAGTGCCCAAGATGCACTCGTTATCACCGGCAACATAGTCGACATGGCAGTTGAACACTCCCCGCTCCCCAACGCCGCCAACCCGGAAGTCATGCAATCCATCAACAACCACTTCGAAGCCGCCACAAATGCAAATGCACTAGTTCCCGGCCTGCTGGGCACATTATCTTTACAGCCCATCCCCAAACGGCTGGCCCGCCATGCAAGGGAGAATGGCGGCGACCTACTCGATCTCGACGACTCTGTCGATAGGTTGTTGGTAGAGTTTAACTATGCGTACGCTCTCCCGTCGTACGTGGCTCAGATCGAACGTGCGTTGAAGGCCGTCACGGACGCTGTGCGCAAGGATACGCTAGATCGGATTAAAGAGGGGACTCTGCCTGATGCGCACCTCCCCCTTTTTATGAATGATGCGAACCATGCGCAGGATTACTTTGGTCGGCTGCGCCCTGAGAAGCTGGAGTATGCGAGGCGGGTAAGGAGCGAGTACGATCCCAAAGGCTTGTTCCGTGATCGAACGGGAGGATTTAAGATGTGAAAGGAGATTGTACTCGCTATCTGGGCGATGCAGATGCACCCTGACAATTGAGTATTTTTGGTGTTCGGTATAGATGCTATGTTTTGGAAAGCATAATCTGTGAATGCAAGATTAAAGTGTAGTTTTATAAAAATACTAGTATTATCTATACTCTGAGTATACGGACGCTTTGGTTGCGTGCTGTTCACCCAAACTACGGAGGTGAATGCTCAGAATACTCCCTGTGCATCGATCTCTCCGGTGCCAAGACAGGCGCCAAGCCGCAAGCTACTCTCAACAAAACAACACCCTTGATCACTTGTCTTCCTCATCCCTGGGGCATTGCAGTTGGACAACTCAATAATATCGACTGGAGTCATCGTCCCATCGTCTCTTTTGTACTCTCCTTAAGGACATTTGACCTTCACACGGGTCCTTGTTGAACCCAGAGCCGAGACCGAAGAAAAAGATCCCAGCCGCATTACGCACGTTCCCGAATGAACGCGGTTTCCAAGTCCTCAGCACGAGTCGAAGCTTGTTAGGCTACGACATTCTTTTTCTTTTTGTTTAAAAAAAAAAAAAAATTGCGCTGGAACGCTTCTCACGAGTACGATTTACCTCTCCATACGGTGTTCAGGATCCAACGGCAGTGAGTATCAGAATGTTTCCAATGGATCTTGAAACGAAAACGAGATCCGGATCTCGGATGGCATTTAGAGGGGTGATTCAGGACATGAATGAGGAGGCGGACAATGGGATGCCAACATGTGTGTCCTGGATGGATGCATTGGCAAAACCTCCATCTCTTCCTCCTCCCCCGCCTCCCTCCATCCTTGTCAAGAAATTCCTCTCAAAGGGATGAATGATGGTTGAGGCGTCGTTGACGAGCGAGAAACCGGGTCCCTGCTCAAGTTGAGACGAATCCAATCAAGAAATAGGAAACACGTACCTCTCTACATGTTATTGCCTATAGATTCATTCCATTAACCATCACGCACTTCTGAGAGCGGCGAGTTGGTGGTAGGTAGTTGAGTACATAATCGATTGAAAAAAAAAAAATCAATTTGAAAATATGCAAACAGAATTGCAAGGCGAATCATACAAAAAAAGAGAAATATGCACACTTACCCACACAGTTGTTGTTGTTTGTTCAAGTTGTAATTTTGAAAATTATTTATAATTTCAGTTAATTTTAGGGTATTATAAAACAAGGTTGGCAAATGGCCACCACGGTGGAAGGAAAAGATTTTCAGTCTCAAATTTTCCCGCAACTTTCATTCTGAATTGAGATTTTTTCCCCCTTTTTTCTTTTTCCCCACCCTTTCATTCTTCCGTTCATTCTTTCTTAGGTTTTGAACATGAGATGCTTATTGAAAGAAGTAGAAAAGGGGCGGGGGGAATTAACTAAGATAAAATAAACCGTCATACAAGTTAAACCAAACATACAGAAATAAAAGGGGGGAGGGGAGGGGAGGGGAGGAAAATCCGCATTAAAGAAAAACTCCCTCGCCAATTCCCTTGCTCGGTCTGTAAGTAATTCACATACCAATACACCATACATGTATGTTAGTTTAATGTTTAAGGGGAAAAAAAAAAGAATCCCCATTTCCTTGCCATGTCCAATTGCGCAGCAGAACACCTTCGACAGCGCGGGGAGCAAACACAAAAAAAAACCACCCCTCCGAACATTAAAAAAAAGGTAATGACAACAAGAGAGACAGAAGGAAGAAGAAAGGGTAGAAAAGAGAGAGGAGGGGGGAATAAAGGAAAGGAAGAAAGGAAGAAGAAAAGGAAAAAGAACAGAAAAAAAAAGGGAGTAAAGGTTAAAAGAGAGAGAGAGGGAGAGAGAGAAATGATCCGCCACCCCTCCCAATAACAAAAAAGATTGCAGTTTACAAAAAATAAATGTCATTTATCTTCATTCTCCACTCCCATCCCATCCGATTCCCGTCCGTTACCACCATCCTCCATCTACTCCAACAACGCCAACTCCCTCTCCTTAGCCTTCAACGCCTCCCTCATATCCTCCGCCTCACGCTGCAACCGCGCCCGCCTCTCCGCCTTTGCGTCCCGATGATCTACTACACCCGCGCCCGCAGCTGCACCACTCCCACTCCCTCCACCAACAGGCACAGCGGCAGCAGATGGCGGTGCAGGTGACAAAGAAGGGCTGAAGCGGGGAGGGGAGTGGGAACCAGCTGAGGCATGCTGGTGCTCCTGCTGTGGCTGATGTGTTCGAGGGGCGACAGCTGAGGAAAGCGCGGGATCCACGCGGCTATCGTCCCGATCGTGGGCTGCTGCTGTAGCTGCTTCGCCGGGGTGATTTAATAGCGAGGAGATAGAGTTGAAGCGGCCTGGGTTATTATTGGGGAAGGAGGCGGAGGATGAGGACGGGGGCGTGGGGGGGTTTATTTGGGGGATGTGTGTGGGGATTTGGCTGGCTTGTGGGCGTTGAGAGTCTTCTATAGATGATTCGGAGATAGTGCGCTTCTTTGGATTGTGGAGTGCGGGCATGGGTGCGCGGTGGGTGTTTGTGGTTTCACCGTTGTTGTGGTTGTTGTCGTAGGGTCTTAGTTGCTGAGAAGTGGACGGGGGGTGATGCGGGAGGGAGATGACGTTTGAGGTGTAACCTGTGAAGTCTGCTGGGGGTGGGGCGTGATATGGATGGGAATATAAAGGTCGGGTGTGAGGTGGTGGATGTCCGTTGCCGTGTTCGACGTTTTGGTACTGACGATGACTATCGTGGTTGTGCGCAAGGGCAGCGGGAGATGCTTCAGGGGAAACGGAGCCATTCGAGGATTGGGTTGCACTTGGGGGAGATTGCTCGCGCATGGCGGGAACCACACGTTTTCGTCTCTTGATAATTGACTTTTTCATCGTGGGTGGTCGATAGGCGCCGTGGAGTTTATGGTAGAGTCCTGGCATATCATTAGTTTCTAGTTCATAATAGATTCTTTCCCCTGGCTTCAATTGTCTATATACTCACCGCAAGCATTACAAATAGGATGCCCATTCTCGTCACGTCTCCAAAGCGGAGTTACGGTAGTTTGGCAATTCTGGCAAGCTATGTGGAGGGTCATCGTTTCAGGATTCGATGAGCCGGCATCACCTTCCGTACTTCCAGGGCCGCCTTGGCTTGATACTTGCGGCGACGTTCTCGGAGTATGGAGCGCCATAGCGTTTCGAGCAGCGGATTTATAAACGCGATTGTTATACGCAGGACACCCATCACACCCTTCTGCACCGCCAGTGCCATTGCAACTTCCTCCGCCCGGACACGATCCTGAAGGTGTACACTCCTTGACAGCATAGTTCGACCATGTGTCTGTCAGCCGAGGATCATTCCCATCATTTGTGGGTGACGTACTGCTCCGCGACTTGTCGAGGGTTTGCGCAGAACTTGAGCCATACGGAGTAAGTAGCGAACGGGAACGATGCGTTGGACGATCAGTATTCCGGGCCTTGAGGTACAAGCCGCAGGCATTACATATTGTAGCACCAGTCGGAGACCTTCGCCATAATGGTGTCCGTTTCGTACCGCAGTTGCTATATCGAAGGATGAGATTAACGACATGACTTTAGAGGAGTATAGTTATGTGCATGAGGAAATTGGGGTGACAAACCTGCACGAATGCCCAGTGAAAGCCTGCTCCTTACTCTGCGCTTTCGGGGATTTCTTCGACGACGTCGGATGATCTATTGGATTGGCAACAGACTCAGGTGGCGGCTCACCCACCCGTTGCTCGACAGGAGCTTTGTGTCCATTCTGCAACTGCGAATCCATATTCCGGCTCCCATCCCCTTGGGTATTATCCAACGCTTTGCCGGTCATTTCTTGTCTGTCGGAGCGAAAATTCATTACATTATCTCGTCCACCTCGTGCGGAAGATACCAGCTGATGTGCCGCATCCAAATCCTCAGCAGACGGCTGCCGCATGGGAATATCTGTACCCTTTGTAGGAGACCTTGCGCCCTCTGCACGCAGCCTGGAGGCCAGCAGGCCCGTCATCGTAGTCAACAACCACTATCTTACGGGTCCGTGTTCTTTTGGGAGCACGACTTCGTAGTCAAAGGAACGCGATTCGGGGAGAAAGAAAAAAAAAAAAAAAAAAAAAAATCCAAGTAGTGTTTTTTGTTTTTTGTTCTTTTCTCCTTCTACGATAATCGGTCAATGAGTTCTGAAGGCAGAGGAACGAAGGGAGACAGAGAGGATCAACTGGAATGGCGGCGGCGAGTGTTAGTAGACACGAGAGCGACGATATTGACCAACGACAGCAGGATGTTAGATTGCGAAATACCTAGATGAATTCGCGCAGGCTTGATATCTCCAGAATAAGCCGTAGTGTTCCTTGATGACTCGGGACAGCACAGCAGGATTTGTTCCTTCGAATCAGGGCAGACAACCAGGCCAAATCCAGGCCAAATCCAGATCAGATGGATCAAAAGATCAGATTAGATCAAAAGAAGACTCCACCCCAGATCACGACACAGACAAGGACCCGAGGCTAGCGATGCCGGTGGAGTTAAGCTGTCTTGTCAGCGAGATTCCCTGACGCTGGTGTTGAGGGTTTGACCAGGAGCTGGTCTTTTGCTAGGATTCGACTGCTGCGGTGATGGGAGTTGGCAAGATCAACAACGGGCGATCGAGGATTGAGGCCGGAGAAGGACGAGCCACCAGCAATGTGGAAGATCGTGAGACAACTGACAGGAAGATACAGGAGCCAGAGTTGTTAAGGGTGTTGTAGATACGACCAGGGAAGGGAGGAGGAAAGAAGAAAGGGACGAAGGACGTTCGAGAGATGGCTCAGGAGTCAGAAGCACCGACTGGGTTTATGGACGGGACAATCCACAGCGCATGGCGAGAGCACTTTTTGGTGATCTGATCGGAGATTAGGACGAAGAATGACAGCGCTGGAGACTTGCTCTGAATACGAGACAGTCGATATACGGATGGCCTCTGCGATGAATGTCCAATAAACTCTATCTAATCTAGCGAATGGTTCCATCTGTCGGGATCATTGCCCCCATACATCCCTCGGCACACGAAATAAATAGCATGCCCATCGCTTGCCCAAAGCTACCAGAACATCATCCCGCAGCATGCCACTCTGCTCCCCAAGGGTGCCAGCTCCATCGCCGTCGTCCTCCAGAAACCCATCTTCGTGATGCAAATGTCCGTCCAAATATGGAGAAATTACAAATTCCCAATACGCACCCTCTCATTGGCTGGCTTATCCCAGAGAGAAGATCCACGCCAAGCCGCGGCTGGTGATTATGTCAGCGGGAAATTTCGCTGCCTGGAATGCCGATTCTGAGCCCCAATTGGCCGGCGCCGGGATTCTGCCTAGGTATGTGCCTGGTGGGCAGGAGGCAGCTGGAGACATCTGGAGACATCTGGAGAGAGAGGACGAACCTCGGTTGCGAGGCCCCAAAAAGCCTACCACGCGCGGTAGGGGGAATATCAGGCATGATCGATAATGGTCATGATGATGATGCTGCTGGTGATTTAAACTGGGGATAAATTGTAGCCTAGATGTACTGTACATATGTGTGAATGTCAAGCTTATAACGCGAGTTGCAGCTCGAACACGAAGAAAATATACATGCTGGGTATGGTTTGCTGGGTTCATGTCAAAAGCGATATCTTGAAAATAATAAAAGCCGGAAAACGGTAACTAGATAGACAGATAGAATGTGAATATATAGGTGTATATTAAACATAAAAATATTGGAATGTCGCTTGGGGGCGCGCCCAAAAAGATTGAATCGTCACCCCTACCCCCCTTGAACACATAAACACTACCCACCCGCAGGCACAGAAACGTGAGAATACATGTCTCATCATCGATAGGGTTTGCGAGCGCACGCGCGCACGCATGATCGAGCACCGTCAAAAGTATTTCTCCTTTCATACCTTCCTTCATTTTCGTCTCTTCAAACAGATGGTCTGCCTTGCTTTTGCCTTTAAACCTGTTCAGATCCCCACGTGCTATCCGCCTCGCGCATGGTGGCCGGCGGTTCTATCGACGGCACGAATTCCAAGCCAACGTATCCGAGACCGACAACACCAACAATGGTACCGGCAATGATGCGTAGGACTTTTCCCTCGAGGAGTATGCAGCCGACGAATATGTAAACTGGTGACAGAAGGGCAAGCGAAATATTAGAGCGGCGTTAAGAAAAATGAGGCGCTCTAGGATAAGGAAGAAATGTTCTTCGTCTTATTTGCCGTTTGTGGAAATGAAACTTACAGATACCCCGGCCGAGGAAGGAGAAGAGGAAGGATGCGTAACGCGAGAGATTAGATGGCGGTTGTGGGACGAATTCAAGGGCAGCAACGGCTGTGTATACACTAGATTAATTTTTGCCAATTTCATGATGCTGAAGTGGTTGTCCAAAACAAAAAGGGTCCCAGAAACTCACCCAAACCGAACAGAATCACATATACACCGACGACAACACTGCTTCTATATCACAGAATGAAATTTGGCAAAAACCCCATCAGCAGGCATTTCCTAGGCCTCCATTCGCAAAAATACCGCGTAGCTTGCATATCAATGGCTCACCCTTCCCCGCTAAAACAACGCATTATTCCCAAATCCCCTTCACGCAGAAGCGCCAATTGGGGACACGGGAATTCCTTTCCAACCATCCAACCCGCGAAACGTCACTGGGGGAATCTTGTGGGGGAAGAGAGAAAAACATGGCTCGTACTTACATGGTTGGCGGGAAAAACTGGCTGATACCGCCCAGGACCATGATAGCCCCGACGGTCAGGTTGACCAAGCGACTGTAAATGCGAAAATAAATCACAAGAAACCATTAGCAAAATTTGTTCAAAAATCACATCCCATGTGAGGCGATAGGGGGGAAATAAAAACAAATGCGAAAAAAGGGTGAATGCTGTTTCAAGAGCAAAACAACCCCCCTCCCGCATCGCGAAATTGTGATGGGAGATCCCAATCCAATTGGCCATGGGAAGGAAATGTCACGTACAAGATATTGGAGAAGTCCATCTTTCTTCCTTCGTGTCAATCAGAAATTCCTTGATAGTATTAAGAGATGCTTGCGCGTTTTTTTTTTGTCTTTCCGTCTTCCTTTCTCGTCAAAGGCACATAGTTTACCTAAAGCGGTTTTGTAATCAACTCCATTGCTGACCCATTTCTCCACGTAACGCCCCGGCAAGTGATCTACCTGCGATAGTTATCGACGACTTCGACGATTCCTGCTCATATTTCCCGCCAAAGCTCTCCATCGCTTGCATCAGTGCCAGTTGCATGAGCGCTGGGAAAACCACATCCGCAATGATATCTGCGAGGGCGTTCGGGTCGGGGCTTCCGGTCTCGTCCGCAGCGAGGATAGTAAACCCGACTTGAAACTCAGGCACGATGCCAATGTACGAGCTTTACGAACCGATTGTGCTCAGGACCGTGTTCACATATACCACCGCAGTTTGGGGATATTGGCCTCCCCAATATATCACCCATGGGTGCCCGACAGAGTTTGCAGGATTGGAAGTGTGGCTAACGGGTTTGTCCCAGCAGCGAGTCTGTGCGGGTGAGATGAGTGTTGAGGAAAGAATGGCATTGCCGACTCTGGAGAGATCGGACACGGTGGAAAAGATGGATTGAGCACCGAGGCGAAGAGGCCAAATTAACTTATTCCCTGAAACAATCCAGAGCCAGGGCTTTGCTTATGGAGCTCCTCCGCCAAAGTTGATAGCCCAACCACTCTCCTTCAGGTTGCCGGATATCACCCCGTTGATCGTATCTCGGGGTCCAAAAAGGCTGCTGTTAGACATCCTTAAGGGCTCGAAGATCTTGCTTTTGAGAAGAGATTCAAATGATTCACCATTCCTGTCTTCGGGGATGTATCCTAGAATTTGAAATGCAGCGTTCGAGTATACTGGTATCTGACCAGGAAGGTATACCGGCGCCGGGTGTATGAAACCGTCAAAAAAATTCTATATGGTCTATATTAGCAACACGCTTGCAAGCTCTTGAGCCATGCTGTTTGCTCCAACTGCTTTGGGTTGTTTAAGTAGGTTCTACATACTAGATCGATCACACCGTGATTTGGATGTGGAATTGCAAGCTGTCTTCCCTATTTTCGGCAGATTCATCACCATCTACAATCAGGTCGTCACTGCAGTCTGTAATTATCATTCACATAAGCAGAAGATTCGCACACAATCAACATATTCTCCCCAAAAACCCATTGGAGATCGGGAAAATTGTTGGTGATCGAAGGATGGCCAACCAATCTCTGCATTGCTGAACTTGAAATAGTAATAAACAGGCCAGCCAACTGAATCAAGGATTAGTTATTACTACATGATGTAACATTAACCGTGCTAGTTAGCGACTTTGGAGCTCCCATGAAATAATCACTGGAACAGCGGCCAGCAACGTCGTTGTCATTGAGGATATTCTTCTATCAAAAGAAACTCCGAACTAGTATCGGCGTTCGAGGAGGTCAAACTAAGCTCAGCTCGCTTGCCCTAAACGGGATCGTGACCATCAATTAATTACCCGCCTCAGAAATAGCTTCTTAACATGGTTTTTAAAACTGCCAGGAGTGTATCAATCTCCTCCATTTCTCAGCCAAAATTCGCTTGCGAAAGTTATATATTTTTGCCATTGGAACCCGCTAACCTAGTTAACCCTGAACTGGTCTACTAGTTAACCGTCGTTCTCGACTCCTTACTCCGTATTCATACTCCAAAGCGACTCGACGGGCCAAAGTTATACACAGTACGCAGTAGATAGACACGTTCAAGGGTATCAAACACGGCGACCGCGTCAATCAAGTTTGTCTACTTTTAGCCATATCCCTTGCCTCTTGAATTTTCGTATTAAGCCTCCCAGTCCCCGCAAATATCCAGCCCCATTGGACCCTTGAGAAGCAGTTTTACACACATGTAACTGTGGCCCGTCAAGACGCTTTTCAGTCGCATAATTCCAAAGCGACCCTATCAATGGGCCCTGGCCGGCTTTTCTGGCAAGTTTTCTCTCATCCGCCGCTTCCCACAGCTACTTTCGCCGGCAAAACCGTGATTGTGACCGGTGCAAATGTCGGCCTTGGAAAGGAGGCTGTTAAGCATTTTGTTCGCCTAGGCGCTACAGTCATTGGAACGGCGCGATCGAATTCCAAAGCGGCAACTGCTCTTGCAGATATTAATGCAGAGACCAAAGGCCCAGGACGCGCAATGATCTGGGAGCTGGAGTATGGTAGCTACGCATCCGTTCTAGGGTTCTGTGAACGGGCATTGTCAGAGCTGGATCGGCTGGATGTGGTAATTCTGAATGCAGGGGCTGCAACCCGCACATATGAGCTCCTCGAAGGGGAGGAGTCCTCGATCACAATAAATGTCATCAGCACATTACTTCTTGCGCTCTCTTTACTTCCGAAACTTCGGCAAACAGCCGCGACATACAATGTTAACCCTTGTTTGACTGTGACGAGCTCTAAGATTCATTCCTGGGCGAAATTCCCAGAGCGCGAGGCTGCGGATATATTTGCAGCGCTCAATGACCCGCTTTCGCCGATGATGCAGGAGCGGTATGTCTTTTGCCTCTTTTTTATGGTAGAATTCAAGTTGTCTTCCTTTTGATCAACAAAACCTTCATTATCAATGCTGAGTATGAAAATCCGTGGTATGTCACATGCAGCTACCCTACTAGCAAACTTCTCCAACTTCTCGCAATACGGGAGCTTGCGTCGCGGACTTCTTCCACTTCCCCCCAGGTTGTCATCAACCTTGTTAGCCCTGGGCTCAACAGGACTTCTCTTACCCGCGAAACAACAGGCTTGGAAGCCATCGTATTGGCAGCCATCCATTACATATTTGCTTGGGATCCAGAGGTTGGCTCTCGCATATTGGTGCATGCAACCATGGCCGGCAAGAAATCTCACGGGGTGCTGCTGGATAAATGTGAAATTGAAAAGTAAGTTTGAATGGGTTGCTTTATAGGTTTCATTTAAACTACTCTCCGTCTACAGACATACATAGGAACCTTAATCTCTCACTCAACATTGGTTAGCATGAGTTATCCTGGACATGAATGAATTTGCTGACAATCTCATTTACAGCGACATTTTGGCCCATTGGATTGAAACTGATGAGGGCAGGATCATCCAGCGCAAAGTTTGGTCTGAATTGGAGAAGAAGCTGGAAGCAATTCGACCTGGTATTCTTTCCGGGATTTGATCTGTTGGGGGTAGTCACTAGAGTTTGTATTATTCAAAACTATCTTCTCTTTCAAACGGTCTTTCGTTCAATGTCAATGTCTTAGGAAAAATAGACATCTAAGTTGGCTTTATGGATATTGTATTATTATTTAAGTCAGAAACAATGAAACCTTGATGTGGAGAAGAGGTGTTAAAATAAGGCATTAAGATAGCAGATACGATCTAAAGCAAAATAACAAAGGCTCTTCACCATGGATCGACCCATGAGGGAGAGCCATTGTTAAACTCACTAAATTCGTAAGTAATCCTCAGAATGAGTGTAAATTTGGCCGGAGTCGCTCTCACTCACTCCTCTGGTTGCCCGGCACTCAGCGGTGGGTAAACCAGGTGCCCTGAAAAATGTGGAAGTTCCTATCTACCGAAATTGTGGCACATGCGGCAAATCCAAAGATATAAAAAGTATTCTCGAGTGCTCCTCCAAAAATAGCACCGTGTGTTCGCTATCAATTCATCCAGCGTGCGTAATTGCTGGAAGGATCGCTAAGCTAAGGAAGCCATGTTTGGAAAACCCATGCAAGCATACTACTGAAGCAGCTACAGCTCCATAGCTAATCCCCCTTTACTCCGTCACCACCCGGCACCAGCAGATCAATGATGCTTGCCGATTATCCAAACATCGCTGGCTATTTTCTTTTTCTTTTCTCGTTTCTTTTGATATGTGGAGAAAATGCAACAAGTCAATCCGCCGCAAAAGTCAAAAGATCACCTTTCTGAAGCAAGTTCTGGTATAATCGCTAGAGAAGAAGTGGGTTCGTAATACTTTCCAAAGGCGGAGTTCAATGTATCTTCTGCGGCATGTACAAGGTTCATGATATTATTCCAATCTGCCGTCATCTTCATAGCACGACCCCGTTCTGCGTGGAGTTGCGATACCGAGAAAGCCATTGCTGCTTTGGCCCTTTTATTCCCTGATGGGCGCAACGGTCCGATGGTTATGGAAAGACCCTCTATGGCTTTTTCTTCGTCCTCTAGGTCCCGTAATCGCTTTCGAATCTTCTTCGCAATATCGCAAGCTAACTGCTTTTGTGGAACAGAATAATCCTCTCCGCGGAGCTGCCTATACAAAGTGCTAAGAGCTTTCGTATATCTCCACAATTGATAGTTTTCGGGATCAATTTTGCCGCGGTCGAACCAGAGATCCGTTAGGGACTGTACGACCCGGCTGAGAAGCCTGATCAGTTTCCAATCACTCTCGTGAATGAGAAGAGGGATGATAGACGAGTCATGATAGAGCTGTTTTTTAAGGTCATCGAATTTTCCACTTTTTATCAGGGGGAAAATGTTCATATGCTTTCGGTCCTTTCTCGTGACATAACTGTGTATAGTTTGAACCACATCATTGCGACTGAATCCGATCCTGTTCCAAGCTCGATATATGGCTAGGTGCGTCGGATTTGCGTGGTGGCTTTGTAGGCCACTGAACACACGTTGGTAGGAGGGATTGTCTTCTACCTGAAGTTTCCGGTAAACCTCAATCCAGTATGATTTTTCGACTGCCCCAAATCCTGGCTCCGGTTGTATGCAAAGCTCTGCGAAAATATCTGCGTACCTAGCATAGAATAAATCTTTTTGAAGGCTGATTAACCTATCTTGTAGGGTTTGAGCGTCGGATGAGCAAGCCACTTGCAGACAAGGAGCATTATAGAGCGATTTATCGTATGTTTTTAATGTCGTCCGCCATATATCTTTGGCAGCTTTCAAATCCCCTTCCTCTTTCTCAAGGTCAAGAAGTCGTACGCAGGCGTCTTTGTATATCTGTAAGGCTCTGGTTCCGATTGGGGATGGCTTCCTTTGCTTGTTTCGCAGAATACGGTCTACATATATGAGCCTGTCCTTGAGATTTTCAACCGTGTAATCTTGAACTGGCAGCGGTGGAGAAGGTACGTCTTTCACAGGGTCCTGGTAGGCAGTTCCAAGCAAAGTGATTGTGTCAGAGCGATTTCGAATCCTTCCTTCTTGGTGCGGCTCCGTGAATGTCCGGGAAAGTGGCATGCCGTCACGAAATTGAAACTGAAACTTTTCGATTCTGCGCGAAGCTATTCTGCTGAAGCTCGCACTGGACGATTCCGAAGCTTTATCACTGTTATCATCGATTGGAAGGTGTGATGATAACCTATCAAATACGTCAGGCATCAGAGGGGCCAGCTTGCGATGGTTGGCGTTATATATGACGGCCTAATTCGCTACAACCAATGGAGGATATATCAAATCATATATATGCGGGATAAATGGCGCACTAACTCGTTGGACGGTGAGAAATTTTATCCTTGTATCGTTACGCTCTCCACTATGAGGTACGCAGAAAGCAAGTAGCAGCAGGGAACCGACGATGTGCAAACGGGTTTGTCGCAGCAAAAGCTAAGCTGGATCCTGGAAGTCAACTAGGAAGCCAATAGCGACAATTGCTAATATGACAGTCTTCGGGCCACCGCAAACGAAAATAATTCATGACACACGATGAGTTGCTGCGGCGCAGCTGGGCTTCTTATTGTTGTCATATCTTGGCTCATGGCACTCGGTAAACCTCAATTGTAGTTGAGCATTCGTGGCGGGCCGCTGAGGGCGAACGATGCAGATCATGGGCACGATCCATCAACGTATCCGTCTTTGGCTGCGACTAATCGCGAGCCATCCCATGGGACGGCAATAGATTCCATTCCGTGCCAAATATCTAGCAACGCGATCAAGAGGTAATTGGCCAACACTAATGCATGGAAATTTGGGCACAGAGGATCTGCTGGTTCAAAGTCCGTATCGGCATGGACTCGAGAGGCATACGGCCAGTACTGAAAACGAGATTAGATGATATTGTTGCAAACGGGGACGGCATTGGTAGGGAGAAATGTCGCGGGCCAAGCTGCATACATTTAATAATTTACTTGTTTTTTTTTTCTCCCGGAGAAATAGAACGCACGACAGCTTCTACCGGCGGAGGGCTCGTTAGTGTGGGACGCTTCTTCGAGGCAGGAGAGGGGTCGTTAAACTATGTCGGGTGAAGCGTTCTGTTGGGGATAAATTTCGTATTTGTGTACAAATTGTTGAAAATTTCTGGAAATATGTGGAAGCAATGACTGCATATATTATGGATGCTCTTCGGGGAATATTTGCACGGGTGTGCAAATTCAATAGACGTCGACACTGTAAGCGCCGATCCCCAGAAGGATCCCTGGATGTCATGAAATCCGATCATTACATCCCAATTCCAGACTCGTTGAAAATAGTCATAGCATTAGATTGATCTTGCTGAATATATGAATTTGCAGCGCATATATACAAAAATGAGCAACATTTGTGACAAGGATGTATATATTGGCGGGCTGGAGCGTGCACGGCAATATTCTGCCACAGACATATGCTCAGTCTGAACTTTCCAGCTGCCCTTTAGAAGATAGCTAACTAGAAAATTTCAATCCCCCAGTTTCATTGAGGATCAGGGCTTGAGGGAGAAGTCCGAAAACGAAAACAAAGAACCCACATGTCCAGCGACTGGGGCTTGAAAATATAGGCAGTAGCCACAGTGAGCCCGCTATAGAATGACATATTTCACACGGGCTAATCGCATTTAGGCCCTAGAATAATTTACCGATGAGGTCTATAACGTAGTAGAATTTGTCCGCTCCTGGCAACTGGTGCACTGGACCCCTTAAGATACTGTTCGCTAAAGGTCAATAGTGCCTTGGTTGGCCTTATTCAGTTCGAAGCTTCGTGTCCGGCGGAGGGATATGATCTTTAGATTGGCAGAACACAGTTCTGAGTTCTACACGCGAGTGTTCATGAATGGTGTGTGGTCCTAATTTTCATCGGTGTTTGACTCTCCACCATACTCTTTACCCGCTAATAGAATGGGACATCAAGTAGTTTCGTTGACAAGTGGATGGGTGTTTTTCCAACCTTGGGAGTGTCGTTCGAGAACGCTGGAATTCTCCGACTTGTCGTTAGGTGTGTAAAATACGTAATCTATCGCGATACATTGCTGAAGAGGTGATCTTCTGGACAACGGCTTGCGTCTGCGTCTTCCCGTGTCCCTCGATTCAGACAGTTCATTGGCTAGATCGAGATATTTCTTACTGGTAAACGCACTCAACCATCCGTTGAGCGGGAGCCCTTTCTCGCTGGCATAGAACTGTGGGTTCGATGGGTCAACGATCGGTTGTTGGATGTCAGGGTGGGGTGTGTCATGTTGCCATGTGCCTGCCGGAGTGTAGAATTGGAACGTTTGACCGGTGATGGCTTTCAACAACTCCCGCCCTGAAAATTTCAAGTCTTTCCAGTCACCACGATAGAGGATGGGATCCACGAACTTCATTGCTTGCCAAAGCGTTACGGCTTGACGCATTAAACGCTCTGAGAATAGAGGCTTTGGCGGAGACACAATGACGAATAGTGACACTTCTGGAGACGTGTAGCTGCGTTCCATCACGGCGTTCCCGAGCCAGTTAAAGTGATGGATGTTGGGACAGTTCTTTACTAGATCGATCTGCCGCGTCATTTCCCGTTTCGCTTTGGAATCCACCCCGAATAGTAGCTTCCCCGTGAATTGACATTGAGTTAGATTCGACGCTGTGATCTCTGGGCTATGCAGTATAGGAAGAACTCGTGGAGTGTAGTACCAAAGTATATCGATATCTTGCACTTCGGCTTCCTCGACTCTCGGCTGGATATCGAAGCCATCTTTCGACACGGCATTTGGGTCGCAGGAATTTGGTGGGACGATAGAATCTACCACAAAGAGCAGTGGTGTATTGTTCAGATCATCCATTTCGGACTCAACAGAATCCTCGACATCATCTGCCCAGTTAAAGGTTTCCGGTTTGAGAAGACTTAAAATATCGTCCAATCCAACCGCTCCGACATTATTAGTTCCCTCAAAAGGATATGCGAGGGAGTTCTCAAGCTCTTCCTCACAGGGAAGCTTTTTTCCTCTGGGCGAGGCCTCAATGTCATTTGGCTCAGAAACACTCGAAGAGGCTGCCGTTGGGCTATCAGAGACCGAGGCTGGAGAAACGTCCATTTGACGAACTGCATATAGTCCAAGATCATACTGGCTCTGGTCCTCCCAGTAATTATCGGATACTGGTGGAAAATGCTCTATATCGAACAATTCATCAACGTCTGTTGACTTTCTCTTAGAGCTAGTTTGAGGATGTTGCGTGTTAGGCCTGGTTCCAAGTAACATGGTTATGAGGAATTCGTTTAGTAGAAGCAATGTCAGTAACGTGGCCAGGCCAGGAAAATGATGTAGCTGGTAATAAGCACAATGGGGCTGTTTAAAGTGCCAGAACTTTATCCATCAACTTTAGCCTTACGCTGAGAACTTAGAGAGCGCAAAGAAAGCCAGGAATGAAACTTCGAGCTTGTTCGACCAAGAAAAGAATACATATCTTTGTCTTGAGAGTTTGGCTTCCGATCAGCAACAAAGTGAGTCTAAAATTGAACAAAGCAAATAATGAAAAATTGGATTGTCACTGGTCAACAAAATAAAAGAATAACACGGTTACAGGAGGAACTAGGTCCCGAACAAAATAGATAGAGCGGAAGGAGGAAGATATGTCTTGTAGCGGCAAATGTCATTCCTAGCAGCCCTCCTCACAGATAGTTAGAGGGAGTTTCACGAATTCGTGGCTTCAAAGAACCTTAAGTTCTAAATATCGACTTCAACAAGGCCAGAGAGTGGGGGGAAGTTAATATACTTCCATCACCATAGATTTATATGGCAAACAGGTATTCTAGGATTATTAAACCCTCTTGCTTAGGTGACTCTTTTATAGTATCTCAAAACCAAAGACACCAGACGCCAAACCTGGAGGACAAACAACATGGAGTGGGCGTCCAGTGGCACCCAATTTGCCCCTCCATTTAGGAGAGTAAGAGCGACAATAGAGGGATAAATACTCACAACTGATTTTAACCCAGCTATAGTTGGAAATTGTTCCTAAAAGCGAACAGAAGCGAGGAACGGAAACAAACAATGCAACCTTAAGCTGGGCTAACTGCTTGAAAGTAGTTGATCGGGTACACATACCCTGCTTGATTGAGCGACTGGGTATATAACCTCCTCGGGAGAGCAATCACGCAGGTAGTTCACCCAGCTGCCATAATGAAAAATGAATTTTTTTTCTTTTTCTTTTTTTTTTTTTCTTTTTGCCCATATTGTAAACTTGAGAAGATTGAAACATTTCAAAGACGCCCTAAGAGGTTCCCCCATTCGTGGGAACATGGGTTTTATAAAGAAAGAAACAGCGTGTATGAATTCAACACGCCACATTTGTTTTGACAAATGCTGCTGAAACCCGCCCTCATTGTCTGCAGAGTTGGGTCAACTTTTTCAAGATGAGGTTGAAATATCCGAATCTGGTCGAATTGTCGCGCGGCTAATCCCTTTAATGGTTGACTAAGCCGTATTTTTCTATACCACCGAAACCCGAAATTATATGTTGTATGCTGTATTGTAACAAGAATCTCCGCCAGTAACCATGCGGGGGAACGTTATCGCAGACTCGAAAATAAATTGACTCCACCATAACCGTGCACAGTTGTTTATTCTATCATCTCTAAATACCGATTTTCAGCATTGCTTTTAGTTGCATTATCTATATTTCGCATATGTACTGTTTCCGATTTTACAGCCGTGCAATCGGTAACTTCGCACTTTTCACTTCGCGGCCATTTGCCCCTTCATTAACGTCAACATTTCGCAGCAGCCCCATTGCGGAACTTGCGAAACAGTCATATATCAAACGAACCATGGCCACGGCAATGGGGAAACGCCTTGAGGGCAAAACCATTGTGATTACGGGCGCATCCTCCGGTATTGGAAAAAGCACGGCAAAGGAATTTGCAAGAACATCGCCGAAGAACCTCAAATTGATTGTTACCGCCCGACGGATTGACTCATTGAAGCAACTCGCACAGGAGATCAAGGAGGAAGTTGGTGATGGTGTTAAGGTCTTCCCAGTCCAGCTAGATGTTAGCAACCCCGAGCAAATCAACAACTTTGTGCCGTCCTTGCCAGCTGAATTTCGGGAGATTGATATATTGGTTAATAATGCGTGAGTACCCCAAGTGTTTGATGTGGGATAAATCGCTTTTGTGCATTTGTTTTACTCTCGGAAGAATTATTGTCAGTTTAGATAATTGACGATATCGATGAAACTTAACAGCGGACTCGTCAAAGGTGTCGCCAAAGCCCCTGAAATCGACCCAAAAGATATAGATATTATGTTTTCCACAAACGTCACTGGCCTCATAAATATGACCCAGGCAATCCTACCTATCTTCAAAAAGAGAGATGAAGGAGGTCGTGGCGATATTATTAACATTGGAAGCGTTGCTGGAAGAGTACCATATCCTGGTGGCAGCATATACTGCGCAAGCAAGGCTGCAGTTCGAAGCTTCACGGATGCCTTGAGAAAGGAGCTAATTACAACGAGAATTCGGGTTATTGAGATTGACCCCGGCCAGGTGGAGACGGTATAACAATACACCCTATAAATCCAATAAATTACCTACCAGGTTTGTTTGTTGAACAATTGAAAAACTGCTAATGGAATTTTCTTGGGAAAAGGAGTTCTCCCTTGTTCGGTTCTATGGAGACAAGGCCAAAGCCGATGCCGTATATGCGTAAGTATAGAATACAAGACCAATCGCCCCTTTGAATTTGCACTTGGAATGTCTTTGATTAACAAAACCTTAGTGGCTGTGAACCTCTCACGGGCGACGACATCGCCGAAATTGTTGTCTTTGCTGCTGGCCGTAGAGAGAACGTCGTTATTGCGGATACCCTAATATTCCCTCAGCATCAGGTAGGTTCAATATCCTTTGGATGCAGCAGCTGTTAATGAAACTAAGGATGACAAACCCCCGTTTCATCATACTGACTATTTCTCTCAGGGTTCACCCACAGATCTCTACAAAAAATCACCATGAGGAGATAGGAAAGGTAATAGTTATATGAAACGCCAGCCTTGGAAAGCTTGCATAAGACGGATAGAGTAAGATCATTCAACTGTTTTCCCCCGAATTTCAGCAACGTATTACTGTGTAAACATACATAGAGGAGAGGGGAAGCATTACATGTATATAACAGAATAAAGAACCAAATATAGGACAACAAAGGCCTCTCACCTCATTTTACATACCGCTGCCCCTGTGTATCCCCGTTGGAAATTATTGCCATCAGGGTAGACGAATCTGCTAGCACCAAATTATATGTTGAAAGCCACAGGGGGTGGCTTAAATCAATAGATATGACAGGAGAGTCATGTTTCCTGCTTCCCATGTAGTTTCTTGCCTAATTATATGGCGTAATGGGTAAAAACGTAGAAATAGATACGTAAGACACGACAGGAGATTAAAGACAAGTTAGCTATATATAAAACAAAGTAATAGAAACGCCCATTCTTGTACGAACAAAATTACCTCATCCTTAGTCTTGATATATGTTTGGGTGATAAGAACTACAAGCAAGAATATGCCCCTGGCTTCCCAAAAAAAAAAAAAAAAAAAAGGTTGTTCTCAAAAACACACGCTTGTATTCCCCAATATATATGTACCGTACATTCAAGAAAGAAAGACAGGATCATGAAGACCCATTGCAAGAATTACATAGAGTGGATATCTTCGATACGGATAAACCCCTTTTATTGCCTCCAGATTATTCCGAACCTTGCAGCTTAGCCTCTATATTAATCACATCTGATTCACTATCCACTTCGATAACCCTGTTCACCTCTGCGGTGTTTCTCATCAGCTCGACAGCCCCAGCATACATCATGCGCGATGAAGGGTTGCAATTCTCCGGAAGGTAGTATAGAAGGACATAAGGGACGGTGAGACGACCGGAGGACTAATCGTTTCCCGAAAGGAGAGGAATATTAAAGTTAGCATTGCCTCTTAACTGACTCAAAGTGGGGAGAAAGAAAGAAGCGTATAACTGCATTAGAATTAACGGGTTCCGCATAGAGGGCATGTCCTTCAGGACAAGACATCGCGCAAAGATAACACGGGGAAAACTATGGCATTTACCAGCGTGAGCGGATAGCTGAGCAGGATAAACCGGGGCGACGAATCAGGAAGCTCATCTGCAACATCTTCCATTTTGCTATATATTTCATCATCGGCGGGGCGGATCTCTTGAGATTTCGAATCAATCATATCTGCAGCTCCCGTGGGCCAATATATGGTTTTCGGTTATCATTTCCGCATATACCCAGGCAATAGAAATACAAATGAAGAGTAAGGTTTTCTTGTTCGTGTATTAGGGACATATATATTTGTTACTGTCCCAGGGACATGGGACCACTGGACTAAGGAAAGAAAGGAGAATTACAGATGATAGCTTGAGGGTCTTTCGCTCTGGATGTTCCCAGCCGAAACTTGCGAAGTTTCTCTTTCGTCTCTGGCGAAAAGGAGTATAACCTGGTATCAGACTGCAGAAATATCACTCGCTTGTTAGCTGCCATACGGAGTTGAATGTTGATCAGGCCGTGAATCGGAAGACTGGAGCATTAAGATACCATTTTGGATGTTGCTGAGGGTGTCTTCTGAACCGCTTTATGGGTAAAAGACCGAGGAGGAACTGCAATTATTGGCCAATATGATTGTAAAATACAGGTAGTTTTACTTCCCCGACGGTTAACAAGATGTGGACATTGTGATAAGAAAAGTGACGATGATGGTGGGGCATGTTAGAGTTAGCCGCTAAGTTAAGCTAGGGGGATCCGCTCGTTCCTACGACTCATCTTCCGTTTGCAAATCCAGAGACCAAGCCCGACAGCCATCCCCTGGCCACTCAACCCTTTCCATCACATGCAGGCTAAATGTTTGCTCGTGTCAACCAGCTGGCAAGACATCTCTCCCGTCCGCGACCCAATTACGGGCATATTCGCGCTGCCACGGCTGCCCGTTCGCTTTGGATTCCGCTCCCCATGACATCATATACCGAGATGGCGCTGGCCAACAGCAAGAAAACGATACATACAGCAGCATGTTTGATTATTGGCGATGAAGTCTTGGGCGGCAAGGTATGTTAATCTTCATTTGCTGGAGGTTCAGGGAACTTGGTAACTGCTGAATTTCCTGGTATAATTAATATAACGTTACTCTAAGCTCTGCCGTTCTTCCAGACCGTTGATACCAATTCGGCCTTTTTCTCAAAATTCTGCTTCTCGATCGGCGTGTCATTAAAGCGTGTAGAAGTCATTGCGGACGATGAGAGCGAGATTATCGAAGCCGTAAGACGTATGAGTGAACGGTACGACTTCGTCGTAACGAGTGGAGGAATTGGCCCTACGTTCGTATCAAATTCCTTCCCCTTCTGCTGTTCATTCCATTCCTTATCCCCTTCCCCTGAAGCGTGTACGCGATATACCCATATATTGCACTCATGCACACGTAGCCCTTGCTTCACCTCGCAGCGTCATCACAGCGAAACAGATGCATACTGACTCCTTGGGTGTGCGCGGGCAATGACGGGGCGCTGCTGGGGGCGGGAAATACCACCCTCACCTTCCCGCCATATGATCCCAGCGGCACAAAAACTCCCAACCAAACAGCCACGATGACATCACCTACCAATCAATAGCACGAGCGTTTGGCCTAAAGCTGAAACTTCATGAAGAGGCCCTGGCGCGGATGCGCAGCCTGTCAAAACCGCAGCAGGCGCAACGGGACTTCGACTGGGACACCCCTTCACCGGCACTCACAGCGCGCCTACGCATGGTCCAAATACCTGTAGATGATGCCATCCCGCTGAAAGACCAGGCGGTATTCCTCGCGGATGACCTCTGGCTGCCTGTCTCCGTTGTGAATGGAAACGTGTATATCCTTCCCGGAGTACCGACGTTGTTCGAGCGCCTGTGCAATGCGCTTAAGCCGCTGCTGAAACCCCGCCTAGCTGATCCGATGGGGGAAGGGATTCATCGTCTCTTATTTGCAACGCCATTGTATGAGAGTACGATCGCGCCGTATCTGACAGAACTAGCGGCTAGGGTAGAGCCGCAAGGTGTCAAAGTCGGGAGCTATCCGCGGTGGGGCAAGAAACGGAATACGGTGACGCTAGTTGGAAAGGATTTGAAGTTTATGGAGAGCCTTGTTGCTGAGGTGGAGAAGAATGTGGAAGGACGGAGAGTAACGAGGGAAGATGAGGATGACCCTCCCGAAGCAGACGTTGAGAGTCAGTCCTCTAAATAAAGGGGAGATGGCTGGGACGATTTGGATTCGCTATCTATCGCTATTTAAGAGTGAAATATAATCTCCACATAGACCAGTTTATCTCTTATGGCCGATTCAAAAGTATATCTCTTGCCAGCTATATAATTCACCCTGAGAAACATTCTCTCCCAGTGCCGCCTAGCTAACCCTTTCCCACCTCATCCCGTTGGCGGATGCATAAGTCCCATTCCTGCACTGA